CCCCACGCGACCATTGAAGTTCAAGCACAGGTGGTCAGCCTCGAAAATACAATAAACTGTTCAATAGCATCGCTCCCGGACATACGCGACATGAGTTTCGTATACGTCGATTATACACTTTACCAATGAGCTCCTTGATAGGTTTCCGACGGTCACGATAGAGGTAACTTGCTCCGAAGTCTGACTTACGAACCATACTCTGTATGGCTACCTAGGCCCTGACCGCCTTAGCCACCAGATTTTTGCGAGCCTTCTAATTAGCTATGAGCCTCGGGTGGCTTGCATTATCACCACCCTCTCCGAACGACGGTCCCATATGCCTCATCTTGCTGCGGCACTATCACCTCGATAACTTCGACATATCGCGATATACATAGGTATCCAGCTGCTTCTGACACGACCCAATTGTATTGGCGAATTCATAGTACTTGACTGCGTTCAGCTACAAAACTATTGCTTTAAACAATTAACACTACATAGGTACCACGCAATTGACTGGCTACCTTACGAATAGGCAGTGTCGTCTTCGCAATGCCACGCGAGCCACACCATGTAAAGCATGTCCGGCACCAGGGAATCCATACCGTATCCATCAGGGATTGGTACTGTCGACCGCAAGGGACGGCAACGCATGTCACAGTTCCGGGATTCCTCCTAACGACGTCAGGGTCCTACATACAACATCATACAGCATAAACCCGCAAAGCTTGTAGTTTTCATACAAGCTTTTACCATTGTTCCCGCGCTGACCAAGCTTGGAAATCGCCAAAAATGTCTGTTCTTCCGGATCTTCGACAAGAATAGATTATGCAAAAAACCCGGCCGATTTACTCGGCTCACCTACTTCCGAGTTCGATATCCCTTAAGTCTAAGGTCAGAGAACTAGCAATCGTATTACGATATGTGCTACTACATGTTACAGTCAAAATCTAAAGACAGGTTCAATTGACGATGGTGGTGCTAATTATCCAAGCTCGTATCTACGTCTACGTCGCAAATTTGAAGTCGTCTTATGTCTCAACCGGAAGCATACCTAATAAGTGAGCCGACCGAGACCTATCTATGCCAAGAGAAAAAAAAAAAACAAAAAAAAAACTCCTACCGGCTATAACTTCCAGTCCGCAAAGAAGGTCGTGTCCAATGTAGATACCGTCAAAATGATACCCCCGTGGTTGCAAGTAGTCAGCCCCGGCGAATAACAGGCATAGGACTTCTCTGCTTGGCGTCAAGCCACGCTGCGGAGTTTGCAGTAGTCACACGAGCCCGTTGGATCGTATGGATGCAGGAACCAAAAAAAGGCTCCAGCCAAGACTTTAAAGCATTGGCCACATTACCATGTGAGAACGTGGGTGCCGAAGGAATTAAATTGTGATTACGAGCGGCCATCTCATTTCCTTGTTTAGATACCAATCTGGGGAGTAGAGCCGAGAAGCCCTGGTGTCGTCACGAATCTTAACCTCGCACGTAAGTTGTTCTGCACAGAATACTAAGACACGCGCTTCGTGTATGTATTTACCTGTGTATCCAGTAGTGAACGGCAACAACGTCACATTACATAGGTACTTACGCCCCAGCAGACTCCAATATCGCTTTAAACTAGGAAGCAAATACCATTCATCCCAAAGTAGAAAAGCACTTCCTCCAGATACTCTTCATTCCGGCATCATATGCGCATACGTATTCTCCGATTCCTTACCTAGGTAAAAGGTATCTAGGTAGCTTATGTATTAGGTGACGCCGATGTCGTGCCAGTACAATCCCAGGGATCGATCCAATAACTTGTACGGATTAAGATTGAGAAGCCCCATGCTGTAAACTCCGCTTCCAGAACTGAGCTTCTAGATTTACGGAAGGTTGCTAAAGGCTATATTCAGCGTTAGGGTAGTGAAGACGTATAATAGCTCTTATGCTAGTTACTATGGCATTGAAGAAACAAGGCGAACTTTGCAGTATTTTGAGGATAGGGATCTCGAACAAGACGCTTTCGATTCGTCATTTAGGTACGTATTACCTACGTATTACGCAGTACATACCTACCTAGGTAACGGCCTCGACATGTCTGTGCGTTCATCTGTTGATACCCAACTGATCGATACCCCTAGCTTCTTCTCGAGAAGCTCGAGCCTCTAGTTCCTAAGAAAAGAAAAAAAAAAACCCTCAGAATCTCCGCGCCCATTTACCTGAAACTATCTATAGCTACCTAGCTCACGATCTATACATCTCAGTAATCTCGCATCATACATACATGGTGCCGTCCTACTGGGGTACATATTCAGGTAGCGACGGAAGGATGCTAGAACGAAGAAAAAAATTCCAGACGCCAATTCGAAGATCAGGGTATATCCTTGAGGGTCCGCATCGTCATAAGCTAATTACCTTAGCTTGCTTACTACTTTTATCCCTTTTGGACTTGGCCCTCGGTATGGCCTTACGGTGATAACTTGCTATTTCCTTTTCAAGACTTTCTAGTTGTCTACTAAAATTGCTCTTTGGCCTATTACAGGCTCAAGCTTTTAGATGACTCGAGTACTGCTACTGATTATTGACAATGCCAATGGCTGCGGTGCCCCCCGCAATGTCGACTTGAGCTAGGTCAATCTGTGGTCTTGTTACAACTCAGATCTCAGGTCAATGGTATATGCAAAACATAACGATCTCCAAAGTGACAATGTTAAGCCCTAGAAGATAGCTTGCGCATGAACCGCTCTTTAAAAGAATGACGCTCTTCAGATCTAACTGTCGCGGAAAGCTTTCATTCGATTAATTTATTTGCGGGGGGTCGTTGATGTATACCCCTGAAATTTCCAGTGTCTTGGTTCAGATATTTTGCCAACTTTCATAAAATTTTAGAATGGGTTTTAATCCCGTACTCTTATCTCCTCGGTTTTTATTTTTATTTTTATTTTTATTTTTTATGCCATCGAGGTCGCTAAATTTCAAAGGAGCTCATGCATGTTGGGACTGACCGGACTCTCGGATCCATCCCTTTACCAAATGCGGCCAGTTCTCCAAGACTTACATCAGATAATTTTATCTTGGCATATACATCATATCGACCGTTGACCTTCTGTATATGACGATAGGCAGTACCTAAAATGCACCCGGCCGTTTTATGATTCTAGACCCAACAGAGGTCTAGAAGGCAGCATCACTTTGCATACGATATTTCTATGCAACACGATGTCTCAGTAAAACGTGTTTATCACACGCCTCAATTTTTACAACCCGTTAACGATAACGTTAATACAATATTTCCAAAGTAACCTCATTTCCCACCTATACAATATTTACTCAGCCGTCCCATCTTTAACTTCAGACTCATTAGGGTGTAGGCTATTCAGAATTCGGGGTATCCCATCTAGCCTTTCAAGACTCTAATCTAAATTGGTTCCCATCGGATGAGCTTCCGGTGTGTAAGCCACGAGCCTCCCGCCTGTCCAAAATTTGTCGCTAGTGTTAAAAAGTGCAAACCCGGTCAGTTTTGAGTTACCGCTTTGATCATGATCCTAGGTCTAGAATTGTCTTGGTTTTCTAATGGAGCCAACAGCAGCAGCTACTGCATCAGGGCACTACCAATGAAATCCGTTGCCATTCACGCGGCGCAACGCCACGCGAGTTTTCAGGGAATACAAAGGCTCTCTCAGCCCTGAACAATTACGGTGTGGGGTCCTCAAAAGCAAAACGAGGCGACGGCACGAGGCGGGTTTCCGTCTTTTAGTTACGAGCTATGGCTTGATCTAATGGTCCTAGTGTCAACGGCGTCTTGTTAAACTGCTTACGCACTATATTAAGTACGTAATATGAAGTTCGGGGGGGCACCGGTGAGGTTGCCTAGGCGATTAGAAATTTAGAAGAACTGTTGGTCTTTGCTCACCTTTTTTATCCATCTTTGATATCCGTTCGATCCGCCCAATATTCAATTCTTTACGCCCCGACGCCCGCCAAGGACCATCTCGGGGAGCTGCCGTCCCAAGCGTTCAGCCATCCATTTACACAACATCAATGGAACCGCGTATGATAAATCAGATTAAGTTAGATCTTGCAAATGCGGTTCCAAAAAAAGCGGCAACTTACTTAAAAGGCCGGAGGGGATGATCGCTCCATGGGTGCTCCAGCAAAGCTCGGATCTGATCTCAGTCCGGGCAACGCATGAACACGAGCACGGTTGCGAGCATACGTTGGTCTCGTCTTTTATGTAATGAAACGAGACATGATACCGGATACAAATATTACATATTAGTCTTCTCTTTGGTTCTCATATCGGCGCCCCGGATAGAGTCGAGACGCCTACTAACAAGAGCCACAGACTTATGCTGCACGCTATGTAAGCCTTTCCGGCACTTCGTGATTGCCTACACCGATATGAAGTAATACAGTGAAGCTCCAAGCTCCTTCTTAGCGAGAAAGGGGTATATACAGTAGATTGCATATCTACTACAGTAGATTGCATATCTACCGTTAGTATTGAGCTGGTTCAGAAACCACTCAATCTCGTCATATACCATGTTGCACTACAAGACTTACGTACTTATTTAACCCCGGGAGCCACGCGAGCAACGCAGGTACACGAGTAGCCACGAGGGAATCCTAATTTAATCCATATTTGGCCATTCAGCATTTGTGCGCCGAAGAAAGAAAAACGGAAACGAAGTGGCCGCATACTCTGCAACCCCCCTCCGCAACTAGGACCTAGCCAGCTAGCCATCTGTTTCTCCATAGCAAGTACATCTGCAATGTCGATCCTCTCTCATTAGCGTTAGAAACTCCAAGATGTAAAAGATACGGCTTAGATGTAGTATAGATGCTACTATTCAGGCTACTACAACAACATGATGCATGCTCTACATAGCCGAATAGTCTAGATCAGTTCGGCAAATAGACGACAGTTTAACCCCTTTCCCTTACCTCGTACATTTACTAGTGGTACCATGGAAATATAGCGGTGTATTATTACGATTAAATGTCTTTTAAGGTTACGACTCCGGTAAAATGACTTCGACCTACTGCGGCGCATACACGAACGCCAACTGATCTATCTCATCACCGCACTGGCCTAAGAAGCCGACAATGCCCCACCCATCCGGCGCCGTGAACGTCGAGCAAGCCGAAGTAGACTTTCCGGCCTCTAAAGTCCGGCCTGCACTCGTTGTCGCCTTTATGTAGAAGTTGCGCGTCTGATCGCTCTTCTGGCCTTGGCACAACTGAGCGCTAGTCCAGTGTTCATTGGCATTAAGCGTTAAGGTCGCAACATTGCCACCATCGCCTCCGTGCGTAAACGTCGTGCCATCAGCTAACGTTAGGCCAACGTTATCTAACCTCTCCCCGCCCCGGAAGGTGAGCGTGCTAACCTTTGGTGACGTCTTTCCCGACAGCGATGTTACATCACTAAACCAAGTACCGTGCGGGCCACCCCAAAATCCAGATTGTTGCAGACTTGATCCCGCTGACCAGGTAAAATTCACAGTGATAGGGTTATGGTCTGATAGGATACTGCCGTTGGACTGTAGGAACTTGGTACTCTCATAATTCCAGTACGTAGCGCTCAGATCGAGAAGCGCGCTCCCGCGGTAAAAGACTTTGTCGACTGTCTCGCATTCGTTAGTGGTGCTTGGATTTTCGCAAATGGTTTCGACGTTCGGAATGGTGCCATCATGCACAAGTTCAACCCAAGGGTCCGTGAGTCCGTTCTGCTCCGAGAAGATGCGGATACCGTCACCCGTCCGCGTGTAGCGGCTATTGGTGTCGCCGTATACAAGCACAGCGTTGCCAGAACTACGGGCATCGATGGCGTCAGCTACCTGCTTGAGATTGGCGGCACGTGCTGTTATATCGCCGCTCTCGCTACCCGCGTCTGTGTGTAGGTTGTATACGTCGACGTAAACACCATCGTCGATGGCGGCACGCATAAAGGTAAAACCTTTAGGGGTCAAACAGTCGCCTGACCCAATGCTGCAGGTTTCCCATTTGACGCGCTCATAGTCAACCCAGTCGAAGTTCGATAAGGTGTTGAGTCCGGAGCCGAAGGGCACACCACCCGAAGTAGCCGTACGGTACGGGTGCGTGTCCGCATCGTAGATGTAGGCGTGATAGTTGAAGTCCTGGGTCTTACGTTTAGCTTAGATCCTTCTTGTCTATCATGCAGCGTATATGTCGCAGCCCCTTTACCCTCAGGCCTCTGTTTCAATGAAAAGGGAGAACAGCGCAGGGGGATGGAACAGACAGTTTCAAAACTTGACCATTTGCCAAACTCTTACGAATCGTCGATACATATTGAACCAAGGGGGGAGACGAAATATCGTACGTACCTCTTGTACGTGAATTATATCATAATCGTACTGCGCTAACTTAGTGCCTATCAACCCCGAGTTGGTGGTCTTGTCTCCGGGGACCTCGTTGTTATTAAGGAAATCTGGCAAGCCTGCGACGTTCATGCTAAGGACGCTAAACTCGCCGCTACTGGCTGCCAATACATCGCTGATTAGCAGGGCCAATGCACCGACTGGGACGGCAAGACTCGTGGTTGAGCGCTTCATCTTTACGTTGACAAGAGTCGATGCTGACCTCTAGGTATTTCGCTACAAGTAACGATTACTTAGCGCTCCTTTTTATGTTTTCTTTCCATCTAGGCTATCACCAGCAAGGGGCATGCATAACACATTAAGATAGAACGAAGATTAGTTAAAGAAAGGGTCCATATCCTTCATCTCGTAAAGTCTCCATCTTCTCGGCCTTGGATTACCATAATGGGTTTCTCTGCCGGCGCCGCTCCGCACAAATCCAATGCCGATGCGACACATCCCGTTATATAGCTGCCATTAATGACCTTTTCCGTTATCGAATTCGACAATGCTTCTAACTCGTGTTCTCAGCCGTGACGACGATTGGCCTTCCTAACTAAGCCAGCTTACGCAGCTACCAGGTATTCTTCATATTATCCCGCTAGAAGGTTTATGGAATTTTCTCCTAATCTCAATTGCCAATTGATAGCGCACGTGAAGCTACCTAACCTAGGTCAGTAGTAGCAAGATTGTAGTAACTTGGCAGATCAACTATGAGCGAGAAATACAGATTAGCATCTCATTTTATTTTATGCGTTCTTCTATTCTCTAGGTACTCATAGGTCTAACATTTGATAATTAATGCCTATATAAGTGAGGAACAAGCTTGGGTTGTTATAATGAGATTTGAAGATTAACTAGTTATTATACGACTAGTTATTTATAATAAACATCATCAATTACCACTTTACTAAATTCTCTCCGGATGTACATATACTGTTATCAAATGCGTCTCATATTGGGCAAGCTTTGTTTAGTCCCTAGGAGTTCAATAGCGGGATACAGTCTGCCGAATGCCGGTTCAAGATCATCCGCGCACGTCCCTTAGGTGTGAGGTTATCGCCACTCTATGTGGTATGTATTCTAGCAGAATAATGGAAAGATCCGTTGCGCTATGACGAGCAGCGTAAGGCATGCAGATCTTAAGTGATCCGTCGCAAGGTTTACTTCCAACATCAGACCATCCTAGTTTCAGGCTTCAAACACTTATATCTCTTGGCCACGTGCTATGTTCAAGAGCAAACAGTGATAAGAGGAGAACGTCAAGTTTTTGGTATGGTTTATGACGTACAACAGATCTACTAAGATAAAATTTGGGCCTTGAAGCGGATGGCTGCGCGCATACACCCACTTTCGCAATCAATCGGACTTTTTTCTTCATATCGTTTATAGTCGTTACGGCCCAGTCTAGCGGCACTGAGACAATCCCTTTGGGACGGACTTCGGATGGTTTCTAGTTTCTATATAGGAACCGGGTTTTCTTAGATTTTCTTCAATGGCTACGTGCAGAGAATCCAAGACGATATTTCCGCTGCAATTATTATGATAATATTGAATCTAGATCATCAGATTATTCGGGTAGAATGTTTGCCACAGCGTCGATGCAACAGTACACGCACCTATATATACTAACATCAATTCTCTGATCAACTATGCTGCTACCTTATTCTTTACTTTGGCAGCATCACATGCCTTAGGAGGCTTAGAGGTTTTCCTTATGGAGGCTCGAGACATCCGTGTTCCCCCCGCATATAGAACCCTGCTCGTTGGGGGGGGGGAATGGAGATGTATGTACAAAGATATAGAGGGAACTAAGTATTCATTTGTCTTTGCTAGCCCCCCACTCTGCGCGCTCGCATAATGGAGTCACAGCGTAATAAGGTGACTATTCTGAAATAGGATACTATTCTCATAGAGTATATTATGCGGGAACAGAACAGACCATCTTTAAAAATTCGCATATTTTACTATGCTAAGGTAATAACAGTAGATCATAACATGAAGATGACTAGGTATCTATTCCTGTGACCAAACCTACCACGATGCTGCGGTATCGGTGTGATGTGATTGACATTCGGGCTATTATGGATTGTCTATGTAAGTGCCCACGCCACTATGTACCTAGGCAAGTAATAGATCACACAGCACCAATACCCGTATTCTAGGCTTGCTGAGTGAAAAATCATGTTATCACGCCGCTGAACCTCTGGTTACCGCTTATGTTCTATCTTGTAAAGTCTCAACATCAATAGACGAAAACCCCATCATAAGGCAGTCCAGTTCCAAACACTTCCTATCCTCTCACCCCACCATTATGTACGTACATGGTCCCCGAGAGCTTACAAACTTGTATCTGCATCTGTATAGTATGATCGTGCGTACAGTACGCCCCTTGTAATAATGTTATTCAGCGGACCCCTAGAACTACTTTGCTAAAATCCTGAAGCGTATATCTATTGTCGCCCTATGAGGTTGTTATAGCTTTTTAAAAACGTCGTTTCAGGGTATTTTATGCTATAAAACCCTGGTATAATAGTTGAGATGCTTTAAAGGGCGTTTTTCTATCCAGAATTAGAGGCCTTGTTTTGTATCGTGCACGTCCAGTAAGCTAACATTATTACAAGGGGCGTACTGTATGCAAGAGTGGCAGTGTCCCTGCATTAAGCATCGCGCACCCGCCTCATTGATGGTCGGGATTAGGGCCACCAGTTAAAAGAAAGTCCTGGACTCCGAATCCCTGCAAGCGTGTGTGGTAAGCTAGATGCGGGGAGACCTTCCGAAGCTACGCTACCTGTAGCAACTAACTGCTAAACTCTCAAAGGTCTTCCGACTGGTGCTTCCAGTCCGAATTCTGCCGCTTTAAAGGATGTCTTAGAAGAGACCAAAAGCGGGATGAGAATTCTACTCATGTACTCATACGTTACGTTAATAAAAAGAGCCAACAGCAATGCTACAGAACGTTAGTAAATCAGTAAGCCAACTTCTACTACCTATCACTTTAATTGTGTGGTGGTATTGTCAACATACAAATAAAGCCCGCTTATTAGTTCTAAGATACCATAAGCACCTAGACTCAAAGAAGAGGGGTTTCCAGGATATGTACACGCTTGAAGATGTACATATGCACGTGGATAACTATACTTTACACGCACTGTATACCCATCTAGTTGGAAAATTCATCAAAGGTACATATCACGTAATTCTCGGACCCTGAACTCTACGCTATCACTGAAATCCTTGAATGCCTAGTATACATGATAGGGTGTCCCAGGTAGGTTGGAAGGGTGTGCATATAGATAGCCTGAAGACAGTTAGGTCATTGGTAAATGACGTATCAATCTACCTAGACCAAACGACAATGTTGTCGGCGACTTGCTTCCCGGTCAAAGCATTGATGTGTTTGCCATTAGAGGCATACACCTGACACTTCACCGTATGATAAAGACCCTGTCTATCGGACCAATATAGTGAACGCCGTCCCGAAGAATTATCTTATATCTTAGACATACGGCAGCTACCGCTACTCGTAAGATTCAAACAGAAGGTTTGGAGACTGATGACTATTTAGTTTTTCGAAGCTAACTAGCAAAATTAACATACGTTAGGTTAGGTAGGTATTTGCCATGTATTTTGGATATCCGAGCGCATCTCAAGAGACTAGCCACAGTTGTATTGTGAGACATGACTATGAAGGCTATAAAGTTCGCTTTGAAATGTATCACAATGATGAACTAAGATCTAAGACCTCGTAGGTAGGTAGGTCTACAATCTAAAGGTTACCTATTATGTTATAGACTACTATAGCAGTTGAATATAGACTCTTTAGCTATGTAGATACTATTACGATATTTCTTTAGCTACGCGTAGAAGGTAATCGGAATGTTTTTGTGAAGGATAATACCATGAATATAGGTAGGATTTCCAGAAAGTTCTCTAATGTTCTCTTCTAAATACGATAAATCAACTGAATCAACATGTCTTATTTACTACATAGACAGATATCGATAGTTGTTATCTTGAACTTTCAAGTGCCCGGTACTCCCAATAAAAATGATCTCGAAACAGAACGAGTCCGTAACTGGGAGTCAAAAAACTTAATATAACTACTAGGGGTAGGAAAATATTGTCTAATAAAATTACTAGTTAGAAATATAGGAGATAACAGCTTAAGGTATCTTCAATGTCTCCTTGAAAATGTATGAGATAGAGCAGATTGATATGTATTACTTTAAGAGCATCTAAGGATTTGATTTAACCGTTTCCGCATGGGAATGTTATATCTAGAATAAAGTAACAGTAAATGGTTTTATAAGGGGCATAGCTTACATATGTGCTCTGATAACTACTGAGAGGCTCTAGTGAACTCAAATGATAGAAATATGTGACTATCTAGTAAATATTACGTATAAATTAGGAACATTATAACGCGGAAACTAGGTCAGCCCCTTTACAAGCCGTGCTGCGTAGCCAGATCTTCATCCACAACAAACAGCATCTTACCCTTCACGTTTGTGCCTGATACAAGGTACTCATGAGCTTTTACAGCGTCGCCGAGCCTAAATAACTTCGCGATTGTGGGCGATAGTTCCCCGCTCCGGACCTTTCCCAATATTGCCTGCAAGTCTTCGAGCCAGACCTGTTGTTGTATCGCCTTGTAGTCGGCTATAGCACTCCATAACCTCACTCTAGAGTGTAGTCGCTGCTGAACCACGGTTCTAGGGTCGAGCTCGTTTTGCCGTAGTCCGGATCCATCGGTAGAAATCTCTGACATGGCGCCAATTACTATGACTTGCCTGATATCCTTCTTTGTCGCCTGGTAGCTTCTTTGGATGCTTTCTTCGCTCCCCACCGAGTCATATGCCACGTCTACCCCTTCGCCACCGGTCAAGGCTCGGACTTGGTCTACGAGGTCAGGCGCATGGCGATCGATCGGAATTACCCCTAGAGATTTCACATATTCGAACTTCGATGGTGAACATGTCCCAATCATCTTTAGGTCCATTTTAAACGCTCGCACCAGCTCCGCTATTGCCGTCCCAACACCTCCGCTCACGGAGCCGATCAAGATACTTGATCCCGGGACAAGGTTAGTCACAGCCCGCTTCAACATCCCGAAGGCCGTTGAATAATTGAGCGGGAGGGTGGAAACTTTGATCGGATCATCCGCACTGTCAATACGAATGAGTTCGGCCGCGGGTAAGATAATATGAGTTGCGTAAGCACCAACTCCGAACATAGCCATGACTCGATCTCCCACAGATAGGGGATTTTCTTTCGATGCTAAAGGATCTAGAGTAACCACTTCGCCGACAAAGTCGTACCCTAGTGTGAATCCAGGTTTCAAGCAACGGGGGTCAGGATAACCTCCCACGCGTTGGAGATTGTCAGTTCCGGCAATGCCGGCTGTTATGACTCGCACGATAGCATGGCCAGCTGGTAACTCCTCAGTATACGGATCCCAAATATCCCATTTCAAGACGTCCGGGCCGCCAAATTTAGATACGATCCACCGACCGGAACGATCGGGCGTAGCACTAGTATTTCGAGGCATGTTGGTGAGGAGGATGAAGTGTGTTGATTGTAGAAATGACTTACAGCTTTAAGCATAAAATAAACACTGATATGAAAGATCTATCACTAGTTATATAGGGGCCTACGATTTGTCATTGTCGGGGTATCTGTTACTCCGATTTATAATCGTAGTAAAGGTGTTAGTGATTCATAGTAATTGAATTCTGGCCATATTCGCCGAAGTATATGGGTTTTATGCTAATGCTGACTTCGCGTTTCGCGCCTCACGAACGCTATTCCGAAGGACGCGAGAATACGGAAACTAGCTTTAGTAATACCTGAAAAGATAAATGTTTCCCACTACTTTAGCAGTAGTTAAGTTCATACTCCCTATCTGATCTGATCACTAATTATTCGTTCTATATAATCGAACTTACTAGTAACAAGAACACTATTGGCTTTTGTAACAATATCTTCTATAATGACTTCTATCGTCATAGCTATCCCCTTAGCTGATATAATTATACCCCCTGGAATTCTGAATGGTACGTAAGGCTTCCTTAAAAAAGAGGAAATGGCTCTTAGAGAGCTAGATCGACCAATTATATTGCTTTCTAGACTAATATTAAGCCCTTTTCTCAATATGTTAACGAATAACTCTAAGCCTTGCGTACTATACATAACAATAACGGGATGAAGTTGTATGTCAGTTAAGGGGATGGCTTATTGTAGTTTAGACATTACCAGCTGATAAAGAAAATCATGTACCTAACAGGTAGTCAGGCGTCTTTATAGGAACTTGTCTTAATATTGATAAGTGAAATAGTTCTCTCCCAGTTTCCACGCCGAAGCTCAACCAAAGTACAGTTAATTAAATACCGCGTTTAACTAGTATTTTATTTGCTCCTCTCCCAGGGCCATCTTTTAGCTTATATAGGGCTTTAGAGTTAACTATATAGTATCATACCTTATAAATCACATACCACAGCCATCATATTGAGAGAAAATCAGCCTACTAGAGTTCCAGCCTCGAGGTTGTCAAGCATGTCCCCATTCCTCTTTACCGGCCTTTCTCAATTAACACATTGTTGATAGTAATAACTGGAAGTTATTATGCGATCAAAAAGTCATGAAATTTCTCGAGACCATGTTCTCTCCCCATCTCGCACTAATTTCTCAGCGCTAGTTATATGCGGGAGTCTTTATGTAGCGAGAACATACCAATATGTCCCACCCCCACGTTTTTAGAGCAAATAATATGAATATGGTAGGTGCACCAACACGGGCTAGTAATTATTTATAAAATAGTAGTTCCTAGAATATAGATAGGCCGTCCATAAGTTTATTTGGTTTGTTACGGTCTTTCTAGTGGTGCGCATAAAGAGACGACAAGCCACTTCGTAACCCAGCTTGTGTGGAGAATGAGGGGAAATCAAGAAGTTATTCCAGCCTCCCATGGGGAACAGGACCGCCCCCGTCTGTGCTGGATGATGGAATACGACCTTAGTATGGCTACTATTAAACCTATGGGATATTTCCATGAATCGGCGTAGGTCTGGGCTGTCGCTTTACCGTGTTCGTCACAGACAAGGCCTTTTGATTGGCTCGACTAAAATCTGGGGTACCATGGGAAGATCTTGTTTTTGCGGAGCTGTTCGGCGGAGAGCATAGCGAATGTTCTGAACGGGTTTATCCGGATAGCCCGAAATGCAAGTATATAATTAGAAGACGGTAAAGATGAAAATGGGGTGTAGATCCTCGACTTATAAGCTCTACTAGGGAGCTGGATTAATTACATCGCAGCCGAAATGTTGCTCCATGATCGCTTATTGGCCGCCTTGGCCATCTTCTCGCTTTCTACAAGCACTTTTGCGGTACCGCAATCGTCCGCAATAAAGGAGCTCTCGCGGGTTGTGATCTACAGTCCGCCTTCCACTTATACGGATCCGAGAGTTCTCTATGCGCGCACGGCGCAACTCCCGAATAACGATATTCTAGCAACCTGGGAGAATTATAGCCCGGAACCTCCCCCTGTATACTTTCCCATCTATCGATCTAGCGACAAAGGCGCTACGTGGACGAAGCTCTCTCAAGTCGAGGACCAAGGATATGGATATGGATTAAGGTATCAGCCATTCCTCTACGTGCTGCCAGAGGATTTCGCAGGTTATAAGAAAGGGGACGTGCTACTAGCCGGTTCATCGATCCCGACAGACCTCTCAAAGACCCAACTTGATCTCTATGCTTCCTCGGATAGCGGCAAGACTTGGAAATTCTTGAGCCATGTTGCTGCTGGAGGCGAAGCCAGACCGAATAATGGATTGACTCCCGTCTGGGAGCCATTCTTGCTACTTCACAAGGGCAAGCTTATATACTACTACTCGGACCAACGAGATACGAAACACGGCCAGAAGATGGTTCACCAAACCACTACCGACTTGCGCAACTGGGGTCCCGTGGTTGACGATGTGGCTTACCCTACATACAGCCAACGCCCAGGGATGCCATCGGCAGCATTGCTCCCTAACGGCCAATACATCTTCACGTATGAGTATGGCGGGGGACCGAACCCGGCAAATTCGGGCACATTCCCAGTCTACTACCGTCTCTCTAGCGACCCAGAAAACTTTAACAGCGCGACTCATCATTTGTTGAGGACTACTGATGGCACAGTCCCAACAGGCTCACCATATGTAGTGTGGTCCTCAGCTGGCGGTGCGAATGGAACGATTATCGTGTCTTCGGGGTGCTGTTCTGACATTTACATCAACAAGGCACTGGGAGCCGAAAATGCATGGACGAAAGTGTCGACGCCGGAGGGAGCTTCGTATACTAGGTCTCTACATGTCTTCCAGGAGGATCCCAAGTCTTTTCTGATCGCAGGAGGTGGTCGTCTGCCGCCTAGCACAACTAATAAGGTCACTATCAGCGTGATGAATGTTCCATGATCATTTAGGAGAATTATAATTTAATATTCATGTTCAAAGCAACAGCTAGTATCTATGACAAAACCATATGGATATAGTAATTCCTCCGTGATATTAGAGAAAATTTACTACCAGTTTGGGGAAAAAATAAGACTTCTTACAAGCTACCTCCAATTCTCGTGGGGCAGCTCAGCCGGCCTAGAAGTACCCGTGATCTCATGTCGATTATTATCCGTGACCATTTCGTGCGTATTACTCGTAGTCTGCATCTCTTGCTGGTACTGCTCCCACAACTCTGCCGGTGTTTTCTGAGCCCCAGGATTTGTCAGGTCGCTAATGGTCATATTACCTTGCTGCTGTTTCTCCTTGGGATGATTTATCTTCCACAACCAGATACCAATCGCGATTGAAATTAGGAGTAACCCTCCCAGTCCTACACCTACACCGATGCCTATCTTCGCGCTCAAGGAAAGTCCCGTTTCTGTATCCTCGTTATCTGTATCAGTACCACTTGGTGTGGGGGTTTGAGAAAGAGAGGATGATATTGACGAAGTCGCCGAAGAAGAAGTCGATGTGTCCGTGCGAGAAGCTATAAAATCGCTCCTCTGCCATCGTACGTTGATCGCTGCAGCATGTATGATGATCCCACTTAGTACAGTAACTTTGCTTAGCTGATTGGACAGGTCTGGGACTGTCACGGAGACAGATGAAATAGCAGACGATGAACAGGACAAGGTCGACCACGTCTCAGTTGGATCTGGCTTCTGTATGCATACATATCCTCTATTAAAATAAAATTTGCTCGTTAGAACCCACCATTCCTATACTCAAATGGGAACAAGGGTATATTATTCAACATACAGCGGACAACATGTCGCTCTGGTCTCGGTAAGAGTTGCGATAGCGTCGAGCGTTCCGCACGCCGACCACCAACCAGACGGGCAGATCCCAGGGGAGTAAAAACCAGACGCCGGTTCAAAGCCTGGTGGGTAGCATTCGGACGTGGCACTGGGCCCTAGACTATGGTACTTGTGAGTAGTCGTGTTGCCATCCTGTAAAGTCTGCGTGTATACAATCCCCGAAAGAATAGAATTGCACCCGGACGCCGGTGTAAACGTCGTCGTCAAAGGTCCGAGATTTGACATCTCTCGTTAGATTAAATATTAGATTATGCCCAAAGAGGTGGAGGTTGATATATTATGCGCATAGGAGACATGTGTGACGCTTAAAATTCGTGTCTCTAAGAAGAGAAGTGATATTTGATCTGCCCCTTTGATCTGACCTTATCTACTCTGCTCTAATTGGGGGCTTGTCTTGGATTCTACTCATGGGTAAAACTCTGTACACCATGAGTAACTTCTCCCTGCAGATATCCATCCTGAATTAATATAATAAGTATAAATAGAGGCGCGAGCGGGATATTCCGATTGGCTTGTATAAGCCACAACGTCACCGTCTCGATTTCTTCAAGGTCTGTGGCCTATCATGGATACAGATATGCGCTCGGCGGCTGTGGGGTCCAGAGGACTTAGATGTCGGAGAGGAGGGCTATAAAACATTGCAGAAGTTCCCCAACTTTCGCGTGTGACGAAGAAGAGCTACGCGCGGTTGGGTGGCATATCTTACTGGAGGAAAAGGCCATAAGGAATGCTTGGTGATATTATTTAGCAACAAGAACTGCACAGATTTGTAATATTCTAGATATAGCAACAAAGTACCTAAAGCACCATGATCTGTTCCCTCTCTTACATACCTACCTCCTGTACCTCATACACTTAATTTGGCGAAACATGAACCTGCCAATACCTCCTCCAGTCAAACCAAGCCCCCATGGTCTTCTCATTCTCACCCTGCGCCGGCTTCCACACTCCAAACCCCTTCCCCTCATCATACTGCGGAAACTCAGGCTTCTCCTTTAGCAAACCTCGCTCTTCGCCCGTAGACAAGAACCATAGAAAATCTTCAGATACATGCACATACTCCCTCAACCCCTCATACACGTTGATCCGCGCGCCAGTCGTCCAACTAAGCAGCAACGGCTCCAACAGCGGCGCATCCGTGACCGACGGATGCGACGTCCCAAGCGATGTTGCGAACCACGACGGCATTCCGCGCAGCACGTTGTTTTCGACGATATCCCGGACTGTATCGAAGTGCGCGCGCCCGTAGAATAGGCTGTACTTGCTGCTCCACGAGTTGCTGTGAATAACGAGGACCGGTACCCGGATGTCGTCGTTTAGCTGGCCGCTCTGCTTGCCCGGATCTAGGATAATGGCGCCTTTGAATGGACGCTCCGCGCTGGGACCGCCTCGTAGGGCTTGCATGGCGCCGGTAGCGCCGTAGCTATGGCCTGCGACTATCATATCGTCTGTGTTGAGACGGCCTTTCCAGTTTACGAAATCGACGCCTTCATCCCGCATATTTGATTTGAACACCTCCTTCCCCTGTCCTTCATTGATTAACTTTAGGACTCTCACGGTTTCCTCGATCTCCGCCTCTCGAAAGTCGAGCTGTGCTCGTTTGAATTCGTCTACCGTCAACTCCTTTCCGCTAGATGTCTCTACTTCCGGAACGTTGAAGGTAAGCTTTATGTGATCCGGTTTCCCACTTTCCATGATAACGGATCCGGGACATGAACCGTCCCTATGCTCAAGCAGCGCAACGACATAACCTCGGGATGCAAGCTCACCAGCATAGTGTGTATAATCGGTGCGACTACTTGCCATGCCGTGAGAAAACACAATGACCGGATGCCCGCCTTTTCCGATCTGTATGACCTTCTCGATCTCCTTCATGTTATCCCGGGTCTCCGGTATCGCCGTCACCGCGGATACAAGGTCAGCTAACGGTACGTCAACCTGAGCTGGAATTTGAATGTGTCCAACAAGAGCTTTGAGTACTCCTGTCATGACCTTGTTCATGATAAAATTGTCAATATGCGCAAACTTGGCGTAACCCTCAGCGGTTACGGATATCGGTTTTGGAATCCAGTCATGCTTCGCTTGACGATGAGTGGCATGGTGGATTGCTGGATAATATAGCGTGAATAATACAGTATCAACTTCAAACGCGTGCTCTTTTGTTTCCTTAAACCGCGCCGTATCGATGATGCGCGGTGATGCTAAGGGTGTCTCGATATCAACTGCACCGACGGGATACGGACCGCTGTAATTAGGTAACGGTCGAGGAAATGGAGGTAGAGAGAATACATAACAAGAAACAATGACGATTACGGCTATTAATCGCCATGTGTATCTTGACCGGAGAGTACGGGGTAGTCTTAACCTCATTAGAGGCGTGTTGCTCTTAACTTCTGGGAATGGCTTCATTGTGAGTTTCGACTCGTATAAGATTTACTCTTGAAAGACATGAATTACTTTGAAGAATAACTATGAGAAATCGAATAAATGTAAACTAAAGCTGATATCTACCTAATTTATTAAACTCGAGAGGAAGACGATGATGCAATAGTATATTTCAGCTCCACAGGTCTCAGCCAAGCCGATGAGAGAATCCAACTAAACTAATATAGCATATTTCAGCTTTCATGTTAGATCTAACAGTGAATGCGATGGACGCGTAAAAGTTATAAGGCTAGATTATGTAAACAACTCCACAAGATTTAACATCTCTTGTTTTTCAGCTGAACTGACGTCAGTCATAGTCAATTCAGATATTCTTTGTACCTATGTATTATTTGCCAAGGTAAACAACGTATATCTACCTCTTTGCCACCACACGTTTGATGTCTCTACTCCTAATTGAAGTACCCAAGGTACCTAATTCTTATTCCCTTCTAGCTCCAACGATGCGTACGATAATCTAATTCGTAGGTAGGTAGGTAGGTAACGCGATGTTTGTTAAATAATTAGGAGGTCACCTAATACGACCCCTAAGCTTAAAGTGCTATTATAATTATATAAAGGTTTGCGTAGATGTACACGGTTAAGACCAGCCCGTGCTCAATAGCCTCCATTCATCCAACCTGGGAAAGCCAAATGACTCCACGCTTTTGTACTCCAGCAAACCCTTATACGTAGGTATCTATTACTCCAACCCTCGATTTCTCCAATGATATGCCATAGTCCAAAGGAAGCATAATATATAGGCGAGAAGACATATCTCATACATCACCCTCTTGAAAATGTACGCCTGCCCTGTATCCACGTCCCATGTTGTGAGAAACCATTGTCGTATCACAGGTCGGTTATCTCGAAAGCTGTTAAATCCTGCCTCTATCAACCACTTGCCGGCCAAGGATTTCTATCTCGCCCGACTCTGCGGTTCGGCGTCGTTCCATTATCCATCTTGTTTCCCCACTATCTTCTTCCTTTGTGTATGAGATGCTGTCTGCACTTCCTCTATGTCTATGACCCATACCTGGCCTTTTTTGGGAAGACAGACTGACTGTTGGGCTCATATTTTCACTACGTGGCCTTGTCATCGTGCTTGACGCCGATAGGCTCGGGCTCACAACGTTAGTCCTTCTTTCGTCGAGTGGACTGGACTCCTCATCCTCAAAGACGGGTGGGCAGACTGATGAAGGTTGTAAGGGGGAAAATATCGGTAGGCTAGAAGGTGAGGTTGTAACAATGGGGTTTGGATTAGAAGGCACCGTGAGAGGTGGAAGGGAATTGTTAGGTATGCCAGGCATAGACATAGTCAGCGTGGGGCTACCCGAGCCACTACCTGCTCCGGCAGAATCCTGACTAAAGATGGAAAAGGCAGAATTCTTGCGTCCGTGAGAAGCTGCGATACCAAGATCCTGACCCCATGGACTAGTAGCGCCGTTTCTATCGTTAGGCGAGCCCTCGCGCGAGCTTACGAGTGATGCTTGGGAGCCACCCCATGCTTTGGAGCGTAGACGAAGTAGCGCTGATAGTGACATGTTATCATCGTCTGCCATCATTGCGAGCTGAGCTAAGCCGGGACTTTGCAAAGGCCCATTAGGATTTGCGCTTTGAGGTATGCCTAAGCTCATGATTGAGTTTCGATTTGAGTACTCGGACCGCTCTGTGATAGGTGTCAAGTTTGGCTCGCGCGAGACGATACGACCTGAGGTACTCCGATTGATACCACTGGGACCAAAGTAACCCCCGTGAGAATACTGATATAGGTTCTTTTCACTAAGCACGTTGGTATTATAATGGGTTTGTAGCTGTGCCGGCGCGGAGTAAAATCCAAACTCTTGTCCATACCAACCATCCGAATCGTTAGCAAGAGCGCTAGCATTTGCCTCAGCGATAATATCGTCGTCATCAAGTTCATAATCATCCAGTCCTGCAGATAGTCCATTGTCATATTCATAATCATCGAGGTTTTCCGCGTGGGAGGACGCAGACGTCGTCGGAGACGTAACTGTTAGCTCAGCAGGCAGCGAGGGGGATGAATCTCTTCGAAATTTTCCGGAAGCTGCTGCTTGATGAGCTGCCAACGCTAGAGCTGCTTGGTAAGCTGCTATTTGGTCCTGCTCTGTATCGTCTAGATCAAAAACCGACGATTTACGCTCCTCTACGAGTGGTTGTGTTTCTACTTTAGGCTCAGATTCGGTCGGTTTAGACTGGAGGCCGGCACTGAGAGAGGTGTGGGCCGTTGATTCTGAATAATCGGATTGTGCCGACAATCTAGAGGTCATATCGGATTCTCGCTTCTTTGCCTCCTCGACAGCTTTTCTCTGCGAGAGCGCATTGGCGAACAATCCGGGAATTGGCCGACCGTATTTATCAGTATCCTCGAGATCGAATATAGACTCATCAAACGCCGATCCGTCTCCCTCCCCGTCAAAATCATGGATCAATCCGTCATCAAAATATAGCTCATCGTCCTTAGAGAGCTGTCGCGGTTTTCCTTCCTGCTGTTGTTTTTGAAATAATACTTGTTCAGACATTTCGTTGACAGCTTCGAGTCCTTGGATGCCTAGTCCCGTCGGGGTATTTTGATCTGATGCCTGCCTTACAGGAGTTTCATCTAGATCCTTGGTAGGAATATCTAAGGGCTGGGGGACATCTATCATCTCTTCGGTCATTGCATAGCCAATGACACTGCCATTCGCATCTCTAGGCGTAGGCAATATTCCAGTGCTACGGGGACTGGCTAATTCTGACACGGGATTAGATCTTTGAAAGGAGAAGCCCGCAAAGTTTTCCTGGTCATTATCTGGGTCATCTACACCGTCGAAGTCTTCTTCGTCTAAGTCCGCATTAACACCTGGTATGCGTTCTTCGAGGCCATCGTCATAATCCATCGCATCATAGTCAAATGCGTCTTCATCAAAATCATCGAAGCGAGAATCCCTCTGTTCGAGGGGCTCGTCCGTTTTCTTGTCTTGCTGGCGCTGTCGGTGTCGTTCTTCTAGCAACTTCTCTTGTTTTGCAGCACCGATCATATCAAAACTAAATCGTGAAGACGTACTTTTCATATGTCTGGGAATCGACGAAAGGACGTCTCGGCTAGACGCTTCTGATCCATTTCGAGACAATGACATTAACGACGGGGGAATCGAATTTGTTCTCCTCTGGCTATTTCGTCCATTTCTGGACTCAATATTAGAGCGACTATTCACTGAACCCCGGCTTTTCTGTAAGGATGCTGTATCTACTGACACAGTCCGAGAATTTGTTGAGGACGATCGAGTAGACTGGGAATTTTCGTCCTTGGGAGGAGGAACTGGAGGCGCTCCTATAACAGGTGAATTATATTCTAAAGTAGGTGACACAACATCCTGACGAGGCTGTTCAACTCCTGAATTAACCGGTTCATTATTCGGCACAACTTTCCTCGGTCGTGGAGCACTAAAATCATGAACTCGGGTGCCTCTAATCCGAGGATCGTATGAAGGTTCTTCATCTTGCCTACGTAACGGCAATGCGAGGTCTGGTGCATTCTGACTGGTTTTCCTCCGCAGAAGCAACGTAGACATGGGATTTTTCAGAAAGGGGAGGCTTTTCTTTCCTCGCGGGGCATCTTGGCCATGAGAGGCTTGTGAATCTGACACCATTCTAGCGCCTGGTGGCCGTTTACCTGTCGTATTTGCATTCTGGAGAGAGACAGGTGGAGTGAAGGAAGAAGCGGCTTTGACGGGCTTTACCGGCGGCGCTGGACGACTTGGAAAATTGGCCACATTAGAATAAGTGGTAAACGACGGAGGGGGTTCCGACGCGCGGGTTTTATTCCTATCTAATAAGTCTGGTCTCAGTGCCGCCTGTTCCCGACGGTAATTCTGCAAGGCCAGTCCACCAATAAACCCGCTATCCCCATTATAAGATGACCGTGGTAAAGGTTTCGATTCTTCGCGTGGCTTGTGTTCAAATTTTTCTAGGTCAATCGCTAGGTCTGACTCGGCTGAGGAAATGCCGGAAATTGGTGGCAAGGTTGGCGGTTGGCTATGCTGTAAGGGCGGCTGTTGGGACTGAGGTGGCGCCGGTTGCGAGGGAGGCTGACCATGTCCATGAGCAAAAGGTACGGAGGTAGCGGATCGTGGTCGAATCTCAGGCGCTGGGACGCCATCGTCAGGGACCAGCTGGGCAGGCTGAAGGGCAGTAGCATCCCAAGGGCTGGTTTCGGGTATGGGAGATGAAGGATTGGACGGACCCCGTCTATGGAAGCGGAGATGTGAGAGCATTCCGACGGGCTGGATCTAATAAGTTAGATCTTGCAGACCAAACCCGAACATGACTCGGACGGGAATGGTGCTAGGTTCCTAGGAACAGATGTAATGTGTCGGCAAGGAAAGTGGTATTATGCGACAGCTTTCGTAGTATTAGGAAGATGGGTTGCTTGCTCGCAGTGCTGTCGCATATGTAGGAAAAATGGATCGTCACAATATCGAGGATCGGCACGGTCTTTGAACATAAGGCAGTTACCGTTGTTGTATATATACATTAACTCTTTAACTCTTTAACCAAAGATCATTGAGACGTAAGACGTCTTGTAAATAGACGTAATCCCAGGTTATTTGAGTTGAGGGGTTGGATTGGTTTGAGAAAAAAGTGTTGTTTAGTTTCTATGTCATTATTGGAGTTAAGCTTGTTTTTTTGAGTTTCTAATAAGTCGAATTCAAGTCATTTCCATTTCTTTAATGACACCACCCTACAGGGCAGGTCCTTTCCCAATCTTGTCCTGCCGCGTCTGTCACAGGCCCCACCGAGATTATTCCACCTTACAATTTACAGGGCTTATAATATGGCACGTGCGTTCGGGACATTTCAACGGCCAACGCCAAAAACTTTAAACTGTTTCCATCCCGTCGGGTCTACTGCGGTACCATTCCGACCTATCCTATCATCGTAATTTATGGTGTTAGTTAATTTAACCAACGCGATCCAGTATAAGTTGCATAGGTAGTAAAAAGAAAAAGAAACCTATACTATTGACAGCAATGTCGTTAATTCAATATTATTACTTCATTACTTGCTAAAATTCCCGACCTATATCATGAAAATTCTACCAAGCTCAAACGCGAAAACAACATGCTTCAGTCACGACTTTATACATATTCCTATCCTGCATATGGTAGGTTTCTCTTTTTATATACACCATTTCTTCATAACTTTCCTATTCTTGTGTCTTTTCCCGTATAATACATAACCTTATTTTCTAAACGAGCAAGCATTATACCCATTCTTTGGGGTTCTGGAGAACTTCAAGAAGTCTCTGCTCTCGACTCCTCGGCTCCGGTTCGTACATGTAACGCCAGGATGCCGTTAACGGTAAACTCATCAGAATGCTTTCGACTCTTGATCCAGGGACATTCAACCCAAAAGCTGTACCGCGGTCATGGACCAAGTTGAATTCGACATACCTGCCTCTTCGCACCTGTTGCCACTCCTTCTCCTTTTCGGTAAAGGGCATATCTTTTCTCCTTTGGATAATTGGCAAGTAAGAAGGCAAGAAGCTCTTAAGGCAATCCTGAATGAACGCAAATGTGTTATCGGCGTCGGCCACGGTCTCATCTAGGTCGTCGAAAAAGATCCCACCTACACCCCTAGACTCACCTCGGTGCGTGTTAGAGAAGTACTCGTCGCACCATTTCTTAAACTTAGGGTAATAGTCCTTGTTATGTTTGTCGCATGCGTCTTTCATCGTCTTATGGAAGTGCACCGCATCTTCATCAAACAAGTAGCTTGGTGTTAGATCGCTTCCTCCGCCGAACCACCAGGCTTGTGGAGTTCCGTCAGGCCTCATCGTCTCGAAGTACCGATAGTTCAAGTGAACAGTCGGCGCCATCGGATTACGAGGATGTAGTACCATACTTAAGCCGAGGGCATAAAAGTCGACCTCATCTTGCTCTGTGATATTTTTATGGTGGACCCTCATCTTCGAGATGGCCGGTTTCGGCAATGTCCCATAGACAACACTGATATTCACACCAGCTTTTTCGAATACGTTTCCCTCCTGTAAGACACAGGAGACGCCGCCGCCTCCTTTTTCTCTAGTCCATGTGTCCTCGCGGAAGCTCATACCATCTACCTTCTCAAGCTCGAAGACGATCTCCTTCTGCTGTTCGCGAATGAACTTCTCCATGCGCAAACGCATCGGGGAATTCTCGTCTACGCCCTTTTCGCGTTTCGTTCTTTCATCGAGTTCGGCGAGTGTGCGAGCGTCGAATTTGACCGGTTTTTGAGTCGCCTACAGTAGAAGACAAATTGGTCAATTAGGTGAATCTAGAGCCACACAGAAGGGTTCAATTGGACTAAATACCATCGTGTAAGCTAGACCAGATAATGAAATAGTGGCAATAGCAACTCTATTAACCCAACGGGACCTATTGGTAGTATTCGAAGCAGTTGTAAAGGTTCGACGAGGCAGACGGCTGGCTCTTCCAAGTTGTGGCCGTAGTAAGAACTGGCCCAATTGTCGCTTCGACATGGTGTACTCCCTTGGGATTGATCGATTTTATAGGAAAGCAATAGGTTGAACACTTAGAGGCACGGTCTAGACGATCGTAAGTTTTGCTATAGGGTCGTAAGATTTAATTGGGACCTCGTCAATTCAATGCTTCAATAGCTCGATATCGCAAAGCTGTTAATAAGAACAATCAGCTGAGGAAGGCGACGCTACAAACGGGAATTAACGGTGGTGTCCGCTGATAGCTTCTGTGCCCCTCTCCAGCTGTTGGCAGCTGATAGATACGATACTTCGATACCTTATCTGCTTACCTAAAGTACATTAACAGGTACCTAAGTTAAGATATTTAAAATACTTTTTATTTCCCTCTGTTGAATTATTAAAATAGCATCTACATAAAGTAGCGCTGCGCTGACTATTCTTTGATTCAACCTAGCTACCTATTATTCTAAAATAGTCCTATAGAATAAAACAGGTAGTTCATACCAATTTCTCCATCGCTTAATTATTTGGAAAAGTCTGAATTCTAGGATACACTAACATGAATCGGATTTGGTTCTCATGCCTCCATTTGAAAGTCGCGAAAAGAAGTTCCCTCAGGAAACTCGGATAAACCTTGATTTCATGGTGTGATTGCAAAACTACCACGTCCGCTTCATTTGCCCACCTATTACAAGGATTCGATATACGGTCATCACCATTATAGATATTTACGGCAAATGTTAACCGCACCCTTAGCCATCGACTTTCTTCGTCAACCCAATCTAACGCGATTGATAGTAGACGGTCCACGTTCTCGACCATAAAGCCCCTTGATAAATAAGTAGTTAGAATGGGATAGGTACCTGTTAGGTAGGTATATAAAATGACTACTTGGAACTTACGAGCGAACTTTCACGACATAGACGATGAAATGCAAGATCGAGCTCCATTGACCATTATACTTCTCAGTAGGAAGAGACCAAACTTTGTTCACGGGATCCCCTTCCATTAGGACTCTTTCGTTATTGAACGCAGCAACTTGGATAATTAACTCAGTACACCGTGGAAAGTTATTGTTTAAATAGTCTTGGACAGGCATGGTGAAGTACCAAAGATCAGGGTGGATAAAAAAGTACGAAGGTAGCCCAAGCTGGTTGATCTGAAGTTGGTCCATTATGAGGCGAATAACGAAAATTAAGATAGGATGATGGTCGATTCGCTAAAATGTATGCTTTCATTTCGTTATTTTGGTGAATTAACATAGGCTTGAGTCACCTTTCTAACCTCTACGCTTTCTAACTCTATGTTGAAGAACTCCTTCCTCTCCATCTACCTAGTAGTTATTTCCTCAAATATCTAAGGTAACCCATTTCCTAATTAACTTCGTCTATTATCTCATATGAACTAGCCGAAGGTGCAATTACCTCGACAAACCAGGCTTGGTGGGATGTGGCGTGTCGTCGACTTGCAAGCATGGATACGACACGATACGAAAAATATCCGAATTATACGAATAACTCAAGATACAACCTGGTTGACTACACCATACCCCACATTCGGCCTCTCCATAGTGCAACGATACACATTTATATTATGCGGTTGACTTCCAATGGGTTGACTTCCGAATGGTCGCAGCGCGGGGTCAAGGGTTGTATTGCCTATGCATTAGGTTATAGAAAGTATTCTTAGCTATAAGTCTCTTACTAGCCATTATATATGAATGTCTTAGGTACCCTGGGTATAAATATACTATGGTATAAGTATACTATGATTAATAGATTCCTTGAACTAAATCGTTGAGATTTGGTTGTGACAAGTTGAAACCATGTCCCGCTCATTTAGTCTAGTATTCTGGCTTTGGCCCTTTGTGGTCTACCTTTTCTCAGTCCAGGCTAGGTTTCTACAGTCCAAACCAGATTTATCTATCCGCGAAAGTAACACGACACTACAGACTCTTGTAACATGGGATTCACACTCGATCTTTGTCCGTGGGGAACGAGTAGTCTTTCTTTCGGGAGAGGTCCACCCATTCCGCTTGCCATCTCCGGGTTTATGGCTCGATGTTTTCCAGAAGATCCGTGCCATGGGATTCACAGGTGTCTCTTTTTATGTTATGTGGGGTCTCCTTGAAGGTGAGCCTGGCCAAGTTCGGGCTGATGGTGTGTTTGCGCTCCAAGAGTTTTTTAAGGCGGCATCTCAGGCAGGTATCTACCTGTTGGCGAGACCTGGCCCGTACATCAATGCTGAAGTATCCGGGGGTGGCATTCCGGGCTGGATCGCGCGGCTTCAGGGGTTGATTCGGTCGAGTGCGCCGGACTTTGAAAACGCAGCAAAAATTTACCTCTCTACTATTGGCAGCATTATTAGTGAAGCTCAAATAACTAACGGTGGGCCTGTCATACTGGTCCAACCGGAAAATGAATATTCTTACTGTGCTCATTATACCTTGCCGACCGATATTACTGCCTGCCTAGATAAACAGTATATGGCCTGGGTCGAGACAGAACTTCGAGATGCCGGTATTGTCGTCCCATTCCTTAGCAACGATGCTATACCTTTTGGGAACTTTGCGCCTGGGTCAGGTGTCGGCGCCGTCGATATATACGGCATGGATGGTTACCCTTTCCAGTGGGGCAGCAGCTGTGAGTCGAACGGTCTCAGGAGTTAATATTCTCATTAATAATATGGTTAGGTTCGAACCCTTCAAACTGGGACCGTGATGAGAATTCCCTATTCCTTTTTAATTATACTACGCATCTACAATTCAGCAAGAAAACGCCGTTCGCGGTAACTGAGTTTCAAGGAGGCGCACCCGATCCATGGTAGGAATTAACTGTCACTTTAGTTGAACTCGACCTAACAAAATATAGGGGCGGTGCCGGCATTGAAAAATGTGCTTCGATGGTGAATAATGAATTTTCGCGAGTCTTTAATAAAGCACTTTATAGCATGGGTGTTACTATGCTGAATATCTACATGGTAAGTCAAGGATCCGAAGTTAACTGAGAACTCACGATTCTCATATAAGTATACTAGGTCTTTGGCGGAACTAACTGGGGAAACCTCGGTCATCCAGGCGGATATACTTCATATGATGTTGGCGCAGCCATAAAGGAGGATCGCCAAATCACACGTGAGAAATACAGCGAATTGAAACTTCAAGGTCACTTTCTACAAGCCTCCCCGTCTTATTTAACGTCGACTCCGGAGGGTGGGAGCATCGAAGTTTACATTAACACAAGCAGCCTAGCACTTACCAGGCTTCAAGGGTCACTTACGAGATACTACATTGTTCGTCATGCTGATTATGCATCGCTCGAATCCGTAAAATATACCATGAAGATAACAACCAGCCTCGGAAATATAACCATTCCCCAGCTTGGAGGCGCCTTAAGTCTTCACGGAAGAGACTCGAAGATCATGGTATCTGATTATCCTGTTGGAGCTTTCAACCTTGTGTATTCCTCAGCAGAAATACTCGGATGGAGAAGGTACAAATCAAGAACAGTCTTGCTTTTGTATGGAGGCGTTGGTGAGACCCACGAATTCTCCATTCCACGTAGCTACGGCTGCCCAACGGAAAGTGAGGTAGAAGCTGGTAACTTCACTTGTCAGCTTATCGATGACCTTGCTATTGTACAATGGGATGTGCAAGTGGCCCGTCAAATATTGTTCTTCGGTTTAGGTTTAGAAGTTGAGCTCCTTTGGAGAAACGAAGCATACAACTACTGGATACTAGACCTCCCGACGTCGGATCTAGCAGGCAACTATGTCTCTGCTGCCAGAATAAACGAAACGGATTCTTCGGTCATTATTAGAGGCGGTTACCTGATGCGTACTGCTTCAATCGATGGTGACTCATTATATCTAGTAGGAGACGTAAATGCAACCACAGATATCGAGGTTGTAGCCGCTCCCATCACCCCAAAGAAACTCTTCTTCAACAGTAAAGAAGTTATAATCACTAAGTCAACCGATATCCGAGTAGCAGGGACTATCATCTACGAGCCACCTAACATCGACATCGCGGATTTATCGCGCTTAAAGTGGAGTTACATTGACTCCTTACCAGAGATTTTAACAACCTACGACGACAGTAACTGGACTCAATGTACGCTTACATCCACAAATAACACGCGTAACCTTACAACTCCCATTTCTCTATATGCGAGTGATTATGGCTACCACAGCGGGTCTCTTCTATATCGCGGCCATTTCACTGCGACAAGTCAAGAGTCAGCGTTCTTCCTCGAGGCACAAGGCGGCGACGGGTTCGGCTATTCGGTCTGGCTCGACTCAACGTATCTGGGATCCTGGTCGGGAAGCACCCCTTCTGTATCCCACAATCAAACTCTCCCGTTTCCTTCTCGCTTACAAACTGGAACCCCCCACGTCCTCACCGTTTTGATTGATCACATGGGACTACATATGAATTTTGAAGCAGATAGCCAAAACATGCGCGAACCCAGGGGAATACTTAGCTATAAGATAACCGGACAGTCAAACTCGTCAGCTATTTCCTGGAAAATGACCGGCAACTTTGGTGGCGAACACTACGTTGACTATAGTCGAGGACCGCTAAACGAAGGCGGAATTTGGGCTGAGAGAAAAGGGTACCACCTTCCTGGGGCGCCAACAGACACTTGGGTAAAGCGCACTCCTAGCCAAGGCCTAACATCTCCCGGTGTCGGTTTCTTTTCCACCAAATTCAATCTTTCTATTCCGAAAGGGTTTGATGTCCCCATTAGCTTGACATTTGGAAACAGCAGTACCCCTGAAGGTGCTCCTCAGAACTTCCGAGTACAGATCTTTATTAATGGCTGGCAGTTCGGGAAATATGGTAAGTGCATATCAATAACATCTGTATAGACACATTCTATAATATGAAGTACTAATTCTTGGGTATTTCCTGTAGTTAACAACCTTGGCCCTCAAGCCCGATTTATACTTCCAGAGGGTATACTCAACTACGATGGGCCAAACTACTTGGCGCTAACACTCTGGTCTCAAGATATTTCCGGTGCCACAATCAAAGACTTAGCGCTTGAAGTAGATGCAGTCATTCAGAGTGGCTATAGTAGGCCGAGTTTGGTGAATGGGACATCCTACTCTCCCAGGGATGCTGTTTGATAATATCAAATAACGAACGAACTAAAAAATAGTAACTTGAGTTATTGGAAAAGGTGAAATCTTATAACAAATGGAATAAGACACTCCTTCTCGTAGGTCTGATCCTATAAATTACAATACAAACGTGTCCCATAATTTGTAACGAATCTAATTTACAGCATTAAAATAAAGTCCTGTCCTCTTTCTTATATTAAGCGGCTCCTTTATCCCTGACAGAAGCCACGTTATTTAGGTAAATAGAAAGAACTACCTAACATAGATACCCAATATACTTACATGCTTGTCTCGATGTTGAACTGTTGTATTTACTCTTATAATCTTCAATCCGCAGTCATTCCAGCTTGTCTTTCTGTCCACCCCTAGTGACATTTATTCAAATTTCAACCAAATTTGCACGCAATTGATTGTGCTCAGCTCTCTATTAACATGGACAGTCCGACCCCTACCTTTTCCCGCACAGCTTTCTGGCCGGTTTTTGTTCTTCTAGACAGTCATATAGCAGAGCCACGTCGCTTTGCGTCCTTGCTACTTGTCCAAATCGCGGGAGCTATTACTTTAGCCATACCGGGCTCAATTCTTAGTATCCTAATAGATGAGGATAACAAGCCTCAATCAGAGGCCGCAAAGCTATTATTCGGGTTTTCCATTCTGCTAGGTGCGATATGCCTCGCTCTAGGGATGAGACTCATCTTCACACGGCCAACCAATTCGCATATACTCTTCGATAGTAATGTGGCCAAGGCAATGACAATACTTTTTAGCCTGCAAGTATTATCCTTGTTGATCGGCGTGGCTGTTTGTCCACCCGTACCGACAGATATAAGGATTTGGAAATATGCTATCGGAATAGTTGGCATGCTCTGTGTCTATTTACGTCTGGGTTGGAGTGTGTATAGAACACACTATTACAGATGAACTGGCCGAACCAAAGGCAGAGCCAGACCTGTTTAAAGATAATAAGGTTCCAGAACTCATTATGCCCGTCTCTACGCCATCTTCTATATCAGCTACCCCCTTACCTGATCAAAAGCCTCTTCGTCTCCACCTAAAGAACCAGTAGTAGAAGATCTCTTCTTTAACTATTGGCAATGCATGACTCCGGATGGGTGCTTGCTCAGCATAACCGATGATACCTCGACAGAGTTTTGTGGGTCACTAGAGACGTCATAGTTATGGGTGTGTGATTATTATGAGTTCTTGATGGAAGAAGGCTGAAGCTGCTCATAAAGATATATAGGAGAGCATCATAAGCGTCTGCTTTCCCAGCACATGGAAATTCCAAATTATTCTCGCCGTCGATCATCTCTTCCTATTCTCCGAGAGCAAGACGGACAGGGGTATCACTATGCTATACTAAGTTAACTTTGGACACTCTATGTATCTTAATATAGAATATCTGGAGTAGCACGCCGCACAACCCACGCCCAATGTAATATATTTTTATACCTAGCCAATAACAAAACTATCTTGGGAGCTTTACGACCACTCGGAGTTAATTGATCCCTCGGCCAAATTTTATTTTGACATTTTTCTTCGGCAGTTGTATGGAGGCCGGGGAAGAGCATTTTATCCAAAAAGCAAACAACTTTACCCGGTGGCCATGCCACGACAACATCAAAAATGAATGTATCCCAGCTTGGCCAGCAGGTTGCCAGATATATAATGTTTTTCTCGTTCCCTGTCCTATTCCATTCCCGATGTTCCTTCTGATCTACAGCCCAGCACAACCTTGCCTTGTGTAGATCATACCCAGCTGCTCAGGTACTGTTCTATCAACATGCAGTGGAAGACTCTCTTCTTAGCTGCTGCGGCAAGCCCGCTGCAGGTTTCTGCCCAGTATGCTCAAGCTGCTATGATGCGCTTCCAATGCTCTAGGTAAGTTCTTGCAGACATGAAACATGAGACCTGGAAAGCAATTCTAAGACTGAAGGCAGACTGGTCGTTGAGCGAGTTGACCCCCTTGTATCTCCGGGCCTTATTCAGTCGCCCCATATTCACCAGATCGTCGGTGGAGACTCGTTCAATGCTACAATGGCACCAAATGACTACGATCTCCCATCCGAATCGACCTGCACAACTTGCTCGTTCAGCGAAGACTTCTCCAACTACTGGACCGCGAACTTGTACTTCAAGGCCCGCAACGGCACTTACAAGCGAGTGAAGCAGATGGTCAACCTTGTAAGTATAAGGGTTGATTCGGTAGCGAACCTTATCTAACCTATACCATAGGGCCTGCAAGGTGAGGAGGGTATGACTGTCTACTACATTCCGCCATACGATGGCTATACCAAGGTCACGGCATTCAAGCCGGTATGTTAGCCAAAACATCATATTATTCGGGTATCGACTAACTAAAATACAGGGTTTCCGTATGCTCGTCGGTGAAGCTATGTTACGAACATCTCAAGGCCAGCAGAAGCAGCTATGTCACCGCTGCTATACCAACGTCGACCAGACTCCTTTCGGAGGTGCCCCTTGCGCTGACAGCCAGATGGATACCTCTCAACTCCCGGGCAAAGTATGTGGCACTTGAGGCTTTCTCGGTTTTGAATCGTGCTTGGAAATCATAACTTCATAAAACCAATTACGGGGATTTTGCTAACATATAATAGAAATGCGATGGGGGTATTCGTGCGACCATTACTTTCCCAACGTAAGTATCAACTCATCATAAACTCTCTCATTACACACGCACCCATATCCCTTCCTCCAGCCCATGAATAAGTTATAAAATCAACGACTGATGCAATATCTCTAGTTGCTGGGACGGCAAGAATCTCGACAGCCCAGACCACAAGAGCCACGTAGCCTACCCATCGAGCGGCAGTTTCGAGATGTCCAGCGCGTGCCCGTCCACACACCCCGTAAAAATCCCCCAGGTCATGTACGAGGTGATGTGGGACACGCGGGAATTCAACGACCCCTCGATCTGGCCCGAGGACGGTTCTCAGCCCTTCGTCTACAGCATGAACGACTCGACCGGCTACGGCTGGCACGGCGATTACATGTTCGGCTGGAAGGGAGACGCCCTGCAGCGCGCCCTCGACGCCCGCTGCTCCAACGACAAGTGCTCACAGCTCAAGACCCAGACCCCAGCCGAGGCTACGGCCTGCAAGAAGCCGCAGACCATCAACGAAGATGTCGATGGATGTAAGCGCCAGAATACCCCTATCCATATATTCCAAATTCTAGTAATTACTAACCTCATGTTCTTCCTTTACAGGGCTCACCGAGCTCCCGAGCGCGACGATGTAAGATACTTCTTTCTAGCTATGATCATTATAGATACCCCCTGGTTCCGAAGTTGGATACATCGGTCAGGGTTTAAGACGGCTTGGATACCCCATTAGACGCCTATCTTAGCTAGTAAATAGTTCTTTCCTCTAAATAGACTATTGTTTTTGAACCCTCGAGCAATCCCTTTCGAAACTAATAGGAATATGAAAAGTAAAGACGAGATAAATATTACGTGATTCATACATAAAGTTTCGTTTCCATAATCGTCATTCCCCACCCTGATTTACACAGCTTATGATATTTCATCATAATCGCTATCGACCTGAACCTAGCCATCCGTCATATTTACCGATTAATACCAGATCTGACCCCTGCGAACAGATGACTGTCGTTATAATAACCGCCGTATACTCTAATTTGTAACAAAGGGAATCTGATAGAACAATCATTCCGGCATAACATCCACGAAGCTCTCCTCAACGTCAATCTCATCCTGGCTACCAGGAATCTGGGAGGATTCTTCTCCTCCCCAGTCAAGAAGTCTCCCGCAAACGATGCGTAAATTACGTCCCACGCGGACTTCAGCTAGGACGTTCCTCTCGGCGGTTTTGAAATCTGTAATGTTGAGGACCTGTGGCTTTGGTATCTTGAGACGGAGGCGGAGTTTATCTACGGCTTGCATAAGCCATAGTAGAGTAGGGTCAGTCTTGTCCGGGAGAATCGCATATCCGGCACCAAGGTGGGAGTTGACAGCCAGAACGCTATTCATTTCGATTACAGGAAGAACAGACTGGTTGACCATGTGCTTCGTCTCTATAATGAGAATATCTGGTTGTCGCTGCCAGTGGCTTTGAGACCACTTCGGGGCCCAAAACATGCCCTCCAAGCTACCGCTTCTTTCGAGGGGGAAACTCCAGATATCTTCCCTTTCTTGAAGACTAATCAGAAGAGCTTGTACGCCGGTAGCGTTCTCTTTTGCCTTCTTCTTCCAGGCTTGAACGTGATTTCCGATATCTTCGAGCTTAGCAAGGCATTCGGGAAAGGCTCTAAGAAGTTCCTCATGAATAGCTCTGACGGTCTTCTTCTCAATAGCACCAGCTTCTATAAAGCGGCGTTGATCTTCAGTGAGTTTCCGGTGTTGGACATGCTCACTCGGATCGCTAGATGGAGGATGATTATGTTCAGGGACACTAACAGCGAAGTAGCAGCCATCTTCGCGAACATTAATATGACAAGAGAAAGGGCAGTTGGTTTTCTTGGTTGTGGTTTTTTTAAGTCCGATAGTGGCCTTAGATTGGAAGCTTCCTGACTTATCACATCGGATCAAGTATCTGATATACTTGCCAGTACGCTTAGACTTGGCCTTTGCATGCATAACGATAGCGTAGCCTTCTTTCGCAGCATGATTTTGCACTACCCTTTCGCAGTCTTCTATGGTTGGGAAGATGCCCTCTGCAGGAGGAGCTAGAGGCATCTTCGTTATTATTAGTTGAAGCTATTATGAATTAATTGAAAGAGGTCATTAGTGAGAAGAAAATCAGGCTGGTAAAAGCATAGGATAATGGTTGATAACAAGGAACAGGGGCAGCTGTAGAGAGAAGTTAAGGAAGATCTAATTGGGCTGGGATTCAGGAGATTTCACGATCAAAGCCCCACCATCGGACCTTCAATGATCCGGTAGCATACCCGCCAGAGTGGGGCTCCGTTCTTATAGGTACAAAGTACTTACTTAGAAGCGACTCCAATCGGTCTTCCGTTCTTCCCCACATTCATTTACCCCTGAATTATACCCCCTTTCTAGCAATGTGTGCTCGGGTTGCTAGAAATACGAGTTATTATAGATGATAACTATTACGATACATGCATATATCAGAGAGAGTTACCAATTAAACTATGACGGCCTAGAATAAATAAATACAGAAGTAACTACCTACCAGCGCTACCTACACACAATTTTTCATCTATCGACTTCCAAAATCCTCATCTATCAAGGGTGCTCCCTCAGAATCCTTACGCAGCGACGATAGAGGTTGCTCGGCCTTCTTAGACCACTCCGCATCCGTTTGTATATGACGTTTCAATAAATCAGCAGCACGCCTACCCATCTCAAAAACAGCCCGTCGGCTCACTGTAAAATCGGTCCAGAACAGATACTCGTCGGGTGAACCACACACACTCCCTCCGTCATTAGTACTATCCTCGGCATTTTCTTTGATATCCTCAGAGAGATTGTCTCTCTTAATGCATGGCTCCCATATCTCAGAATACCCATTAGCCACGGCCGCTGAGCCAAGCCCATTATGATCCATGATTCCAGCGCTCCGTAGTTGGCGCTCGACAATGAGTTCTCGGAGGTAGCCGAATATGTCGTAAGTAATAGCTTCGCGGCGTGCGGATGGTACAGGAGGGTTTTTTGTCTTTGAAGCTCTCCTACTAAGTAGAAGGTCGGCATCCTTGATCTCGGACAAGTCATCCTCGTCCCCAATTTCCTCCTTGTCTGGAAGACCCTCCCATTCGTGTAACATATCCTGGAATACCTTGTCCCAGTGGCCCGCCAAGAACGCTGCATTCCGCATCTGCTCAGCCCTGGTATGAGGTGGCGGAGGTGTAGGGCGGGCACTGACAAATCCCGGCGTTAAGGAGATGTCGAACAGTCTCGGTATAAATACGCGGAACGGGGGTCGAGTCGGAGTGTTTTTGGCAGTATCTATGTAAGTATTTGAGAAGGCAACTGAGTCGTTCTTGTGCGCTTCCTCGTAGAGCAGCTCCATGTACGAGAAAACATGTTGTGCCTGGGTCTCGATAATATGCGTAGCAAGTTTACGCGGCAATGCTGCCAAGTACCATATGTCCCAAAATCCGATATTGAAGATCCATAATGTGTCTCGAGGTGGGTACCGAGGTCGAGGACCAGCGAGGAAATTCTCTACTTGACTGAATAAGTCTTGATGGTATGGGACCGGATAATTATGGGATAACCAGGAGTAGTCAAGTCCAGAGAGTGTGTTGTTATCCGCTGATAATGTGCGAGCGAGCGCAGCTTCGAGCAATGAATTTGATACGATAGATCCGCCATCGTCGTCAGTGAGTGGCATAAAAGAGAGGTAGGCGTTGCAATTTAGCTAAAAAGTGAAGAGTTAGCACAATTGTTATCAAAGTGAACTAATTTATTAATCATAAACTTGCCTGGAGGCAGAGAATATCCGTCCACGCTACATTTGGACCGCCTAGTTGCCATGATGCTCGACTTGGAGTAGCAATATCACCTCCTCCAAAAACAACTATCCTTAGTCCTCCACCGAAATTTGTTTCTTCAGGCTCATCTCCCTTCCATTTTAGAATCCTAGTGTAGTCGGAGTTTAAGGCATGGCTAGCAAAATGCGATGACCACAAATACGATCCAAAGAGTAGTAGAGTAACCCCAACGGCCATCTGTGGGAGAAGTCTCGAGCCGCCGCGGAGCATCTTTGTCGTCCCTATAGTTACTATGGCCTTCAATTTTAACAATTCAAATATGTTATCCGTAACATATGGCTTTTCTAGTATGTACTTCATCGCCGCGTCCGCGTATCAACTGGCTTTGATTAGGTGGTATATAACTAGTTATTCCCTAGTAGCTAGTGTCAATCGATCGATCGTTTTCGGAGAGGGTTCGAAACTTATCAAAGTAAGCAGTGCTTAGTATGTGTAGTATAATACAGATAAAACTATGTATACAAATTGGATTATAATACAAGGAAGGTATCGTTGGATAATGCTAGAAATATGATAGCTATTATGGAGAATGTTTGTATAGGTAGGAAGGTTAGATTTACCTCTAGAAAGACGAAAATAATTTTCGCTACACTCACGGGCCTAAGCATATTATAATCAACTATGCTTAAACCCAATATTAATATCTATGTGGTATGGTGTACTACGTGTCGTTTACCCCCTTCTCCTCCCCCCCCCCCCCGGTAGTTTCAAAATCGGTACACAGCCCAAGCTAAGAAGGGGGATAAGTCTTTTCAAGTTACGGTGTCGGGTATTAACTTTGTATTAAGGCATTAGTAAAACCTTGAAAGAGTTAAATCTATTAGTTGCCTGATTAAATTATTTACGAGGGGTGATTCTTAGAGGAGTCTAGGAGAATGAATAAGGAAAATTGACCCGCGACAAGGTACTAAGTATTTAAGCCTCATATCCTTCCTAGGAGACCTTTAGATGTTGTAGCTTTGGTTGCAAGAGCTATAACACCGCCCATCAAGACCGTCGCGCCACTAAATATAGATACTTCAGAGTATCCTCCATATTTACTAACGAATACTCCATTTACCGGGGGGCCTATCAAGGCCGCGATAGAGCTGAGGCTCATCCCCATACCTAGGTATGTGCCTATGTCTCGGGGGTCTTTGGGGACTTCCGTAAACGCTGCCGATGCCCCTGAAATGACGGTTCCGGTGCTAAATCCGATAGCGATAGAGTATACCACTAACGCTGCGGTTGATTCCGTTTTGTTCCAGCAGAATATAACAATACTGGTTATAATTCCACCGATTGCGAACATATTTAGTCGTCCGAATTTGTCGGCCAGTACACCCGGAATGACACGACCAAATGTGGATGCCGCATTTATGATCGCTAGAAGGTAAGAGGCGAGTGTTGGGTCCATACCTCTCGAGACCGCGTACGTTGGGATGTAGAATAGCGGTACAAATGTTCCAAGAAGCATGAAGAATAGCGCAATTGTTAAGAGAATAAATCTCGTTTCTTTAAATGCCTGCCAGACAAAGAAGGTGGTTGTTCTAGGCGGCAGACGAGATGTGATGGCCACACATGCAAACCCAAGGAGAGGAATAGTGACGAATCCAATAATTCGTACTGACCAACCAAATCCGAGAGAAGTATCGTTCAGCATCTTAGACAAGGCAATAGGAAAGATGACTCCGCCGAGAGACGATCCAGAAATTGCTATTCCTAAGGCTGCTGCTCGTTTCTTATTAAAGAATTGAGACAGTGCTGCCATAGCCGGGAATTGAAGGAATCCCATAACAGTACCCATTAAAACACCCTGAGCAAGCATGAACTGCCAATATTCTTTGCACAAGCTTGTCATCATAATAGAAAAGACATATAGTACCATAGCTGGTCGGAGCACCTGGGTAAGATGTCAATAGGCTAGTTTGTATCTCTGGGGGTTAAGGAGATACGAACCCATGTGCCAAACCGATCAAACAACGGCCCACCAATGTTTCCCGATAGGAACTGGAGAGCTACAGCCAGAGATCCAATCCACGCCACTTTATCAGGCGATTGCCCATTGAGCTGATGTGACAAATAGTACTCCTCAAAGACCCCAAAGGCATTAGAGAAGCCCATAGCCGAGAAGAAAACGCAAGCAGCTCCGGCTGTGACGAGCCATGCTCGAAGCCCTCCGTCAGGGGCTTCGGGAAGATTGGTGGCTTCATTCTCTTGCCCGAGCTCTATGGAAATGATCGAATCCTTTTCCCGGCTTTCTGTCTCTGAAGTAGACATTTTCGTAATAGTTCGTGTCGATGTATAGTAATATGTCTCGGATTGAACGATAAGGGGTTCGTGAGACTTTGTTGGCTTCAATCAAGCTGCTGTGGAAAACCAAATATCATATTCACGAGCTAGAAATGCAGCGAGATTTATCATATATAAATATTATTTACTAATCTGGGACTTCTGAATTTTCTATTCTAATTCTACCTGATGGTGAGCAATTGTATACTCCAGACTATCAATAGACCGTTTATGCTTTCATCGGGGATAAAATAAAGACGGCGTAAAATCGGAGTCGGAGATCGGAGTCGGCAAATTCGTAGACCGAAAAAAGTTGAAGATGTACGATACGCTTGAGTTAATGGACTAAACTAAGATCACCTTATTCATAATAAACTTATCCACCTTCATATTTTCTATATTGGTCGAGAGAAATACCCCGGGACTCTATAAGTGGTTATTATGGCCGAGACCGAACGCCGGCGGAGACGGCCACCAATGTATGTTCACTTAGAAGCTTCTAAGCAAGGACTTGGCGCTAACAATAACGCGACGCTTCATCGCGTACAGATCGTGTGTTCTCTGTAGAAGACGCAAGATACGGTGTAATCGAGAGAGCCCATGCAGTAATTGTGTACGCTCTAAAAATGCAAGTTGCATCTATGAGAATCATTTTTTGCAACCTCAACAGGCGACTGAGCTTCATAGCTCAATCTCACCCATCGCAGAGGTAGCAGTTCCGAGTCTCACATCTAAATCATCTCCTAGGGCAGCTAGCACAACAACTGCATCAACTGCCGCCACTTACCAATCCTCCCAAGATATTGAATTTTTAAAAAACAAGATTAAACAGCTTGAAGAACGATTATCGCAATCAAATGAGACTTCCCAGTCCCCTATCCAGACCCCGGGTTCTAATATAGAAGCTATCTCATCGCGTATTGGCGGTACATTCTATGTTCATCATGAAGACCCCTTGGCTGGCCAGCCCCAGAACATTTCTCGCAGTGTTACGCATAAGAGCCGAATGTTTGGCCAGAGTCATTGGATTACGGGAATGGCCTTGGTACGTTTTCATGTTATTCACACTGTTTGATCAATGAAGGGTTTGACAATAGTTAGGTGCGAGACATATTAAACTTGATCGAACCTCATGTGCATGAAGACACATGTAAGATCCTTACACTTATGGTGAAGTCTAAGTCTCTAGCAAGGACTATTAAATCACAGCGGACCCCACGTTGGCCTTCGCTATTAAAAACAGATTTACCCTCGAAGGATATTGCCGACGAGCTTGTCGACCGTTATCTTCAGACAACTGAGACTATATATCGAATAATTCATATCCCGAGTTTTAAAAAAGACTACGAAGCTCATTGGACATCACAAGCGGAACCTAATACGGCATTCCTAGTTCAATTGAAGTTAGTACTAGCAATCGGAGCTACCACTTACGATGATAAATTCACTTTGCGATCATCCGCTATGCAATGGGTTTATGAAGCCCAAACTTGGATTTCCGAGCCCGGATTCAAGCATAGACTGAATCTTCAGTTTCTGCAGAATAACATTCTTCTTTTGATAGCTCGAGAATTTGTCGACGTTGGTCCGGATTTAGTATGGATCTCGGCTGGTACGCTCGTCAGGATCGCAGTGTACATGGGGTTGCATAAAGACCCTACACGCCTCCCCAAGGTATCAACTTTCACTGCAGAGATGCGCAGGAGGTTATGGAATACGATACTAGAAATATCTCTGCAGTTAAGTTTGATTTCAGGGGGTCCGCCATTTATCTCCGTGGACATGTTTAACACCGAGCCCCCCGGAAACTTCGACGACGAGCAACTCGCACTCGAGGATCCTCCACCAAAACCAGAGAGCTATTTCACTCAAACATCTATAGCTATAATCCTTCGGAAGATATTTCCAGCTCGCCTCAGTATCGTGAAGTTCTTAAACAATCACGGCTCTTCCGGTACATTCAAGGAGACACTGCAATTAGATGCAGAATTAAGGGCATCCTACAAGGCCGTACTTCGAACTCTTCAAGGATATAAGTCAACCACAGGATCGCAGCCCTCGAAATTCGCGATGGATGTAGTGAGCCTCCTAATGAACCGCTACTGCTTATCCCTCCATATTCCGTTCTTCGCCCCCGCAATGGATGAGGCTGCCTACGCGTTTTCTAGAAAAGTAGTGGTCGAAACTTCGCTCAAAATTTGGCGTGGAATATTTCCTTCGCCACTCACCCCAGTCTCTCAATCATATCCCGATACGGTTCTACCAAGTCAGCACTACTTAGCTCGACTCGTAGTCTGTGCTTCGGGATTTTTCCGGATCAGCCCCCTACAGGCGAGCGTTCTCATAGCGTCAGAGCTTATGGGTCAATTACGAGAAGAAGAAACTTTTGGACCCGGACTGGTACGTCAAGACCTCCTATCTATTGTTAGCGAGGCAAAAACCTGGGCTTGGAAGTGCATTGAGGCTGGCGAGACTAGCATCAAAGGCTACTTTCTCGCAAGCCTTCACGCAGCACAGATTGAGGGTCTCATGCAAGGCCTCGAAAAAGAAGAGCTTTCGAGATTTGTAGTTAAGGAAGGGGAGGAAGCTGAAGAAAAGTGCTTCCCATTGCTAGAAGAAATGCTTTCTAGGATAAATCCTGAGGGTTCCACTGGAGCACCTGAGCAAACTACGCCGTCTCAAATGGTAGAAGATTGGGATTTGACTGTAAGTAAAGAACCGCTACCATATCTACTTTTGCCACTAAACGCCCCTATTAGATGTCAGACGCCCTCTTCGATTTTGGGGAGACGGAACTCGTAAATTGGGGCTTCGATGAAAACTACCAGGGATTGTCATTTAATTGAAAGGTAATCCACGGCCGCAAGCGAAACTTTGGCTTGATAAAGTTATCAAATAAGAGACGACAGCCTTTTGCCCACAAATTCCATTCGCATACGCAATGTTGCAGTGTCGATTTATAGACCCTGGAATTCACAGTACGTTTGACTCATCGACTCTAGAGATTTGTTCGACACTATCGGTGCTAACGCATCTTTTAGAATACTTAAGAGTTCGAGTACGCCTGCCACCGCCATGGCCTGTTACTAAGTCTACGAGCCGTAGAGTATTACAAGCCAAAATAACCGCATACATAAGGGAAATAGGTCAGAGTTATACCCTAGTTAAACTTTAACCGATATTTATTAGATCAAAGCACTTGAAGATCGAACGGATTGCAGCCACCGAAGATATTTATATCGTAGCAGTATTAGCCCCATCCCAGACTTTTCTTGATGCAAGACGAGTTGTTGGAGATATCGAAGCGATAATAAGTTCGGCTTTGATTAGGCAGAGAACCAAGTGACAGTACAGGCGATCTCTCAGTGTACTATCGAACTATAGAATCAATAGCTCGGACTGTCAACCTCAATGCACAAGCCATCACACGTACTTTGGGCAGACTTTAGTACTATGCGGTTGGGCGTCTTCGATACATAACTTTAATAAAATGTTGGGGCTCTACGGCGCTTATATAAATAGTCTGTAAGGGGGAAGGAGAAAGTCCCTTCGACTATAAGATCTTGGTTTCATTCACCACACCACGTCGCCTCATCACATATATCTACCTACCTTAGTAGCTACAATTACTCTATATCCTAAGAGCAAAGACGAACCGGTATTTTATTCCTCCAACCATCTCAAACACCATGCGCATCTCAACAACGCTCGCGACAGCCCTATTGTTCGCTGTCGGCGGCCTCTCAACCCCGGTACAACCCCTAGGCGACATCCTAGACATAAGCGACCTGACAGACAGCGCGTACGCAGACGCAATCTCAGACGTCATTCCCTACGGTCCTGCTCCCTATAATTCTCTCTCAGTCGATCCAAGCCACTGGCCGCCGAACGATCCCGTCGACCACAACAGCTACTGCAGAAGAGACACCGCGCCCGGGACCAACTTGACAAAGGAGGAGAAGAAGCCCCTGATGGAATGCTTCGATAAGATGGTCCGCAGCGGCGACTGGGTGCCAGACTGGGTCCACTGCAATCATACCCAGCGCTACTTTACGGCTTGGGGTCTCTGGTGGAAAGAACCGGGTGATTGCTACAGCGCTGTAAGTGACATTAGGGGTTTAATTCTTCCCCTTCCTCTCTCCCCCCCTTCTTCCCCTTTTGTCATGTCTCTGAAATATTTCCTATTCGTGATCACGAAAGTTATTCCGAGACATATCTACACCCCAACAGAAGAAGTGATTACTGACTCCATGTCACAGTGCAAGAGGTGCTTCATGGGCGCCGTCATCGGCAACGCCGCCAACTGGTACTGCTTCCAGACAGCTGGGTTCATGGCTCAGTGCAATATCAGGTACATGCAGTGAAGGAGTCGTTATGATTATAAAGAAGACATCTAGAGTGAAGGATGATCTCGGTACCTTGCGTATAGTTGCTAGTGCCTACCATCTAAGTTTTAGACCTACCTCATGATGACTTCTGCGTATGGATTGGAGCAAAGGCACTGGGACTAGGTTAGGATAGGTAGTTTCGCATCTTTTTGACCTTCGAGCACCGCGTTTTAGTATAGGGGTAAATTTAAATATATTTATCCCTACCGATATGTAGTGTAGAAAACAGTAAACGCACTATATGATAATATACGTATCGCATTTTGATGACTATTTGCAACTGAAAGGTTACTACACTAACCCAGAAATTAGCCTTTTCTGAGGGGGTTTTTATTATTAAAGTGTAATATCAAAACAGCGAGTACTTCGATTGATTCCCTAGAAGACATCTCTCCCAGTCGTTCATCTAGCATAGGCGAGGCTTGTGTGCATTCAAAAAAAGAAAATCGGACACACCAACCTAGCATTGTATTTATACAGAAAGGGTAGGCTTCTTATTCACTCGATCTACCTATTATCTATCCTTATACGCAGGATCAATATTAATAATTACATACACTGTGGTTATTCATGGGGCAAGGATTAATATAAACCATTACAAAACCTTAGATAAACCTGGGTAGGCTTACGGAAAGGTTGAAAATCACAGCAATTTAGCATTACTAGGTTTGGCTGTGCCCTCAATTTATTGAGTTCTGATTCTCTTAGCATAGTGCAACGGCAATGGTTACAGTAGCTTGTAGCTAACCGACTTCCTCAGTGCATAGGTCTTCTTCCACCTCAACTCAACGTCAACTCAACGTTAACTCAACTACGGTCAACCCAGCCAGCCTGGCAATAATGCTCAAATCCGGCGGCAGAACCTCCAAAATGGGTTAGGGTTCAGAGGGAATTATAATCTTACATTACAAATTTTCTCTCTTAAAAACTCTGCTACTATCGGGTATACCCCCTTAGTAACAGGCTCAGAGTCACCGAGCATAGCAAGCAAGCCAAGCCACTCAAGGATCACAGGATGTTAGTCATACTCCCGAGAATATGCGGAGGCTAACGTGTCTTGGATAGTTGGAGTATTCATCCTTCTATTCCTCTTCCGAGTCGCTTTCCTCCTCACTTGACTCCATGGGTCTACTGTCATCAACTTCACCAGGAAGAGGTTCTTGACTTCCACTACCGTGGCGCTGAAGTTGAGCTTTAAGCTCACGGAGTTGCTCAATCTTACGTTCCTGCTCATGTTTGTTCATCGGCTTATTCTTCTTGGCTTTAGGAGGCGGCGCACTGGACTTCGATTTGGGTTCTACCTCGATCGGGCGGCTGAACTCTGGCTTCTTCTCAAGTGCAGTGCGAATGTTTGAATTGGTCCTGTTGATCAGGTCGTAGAGTCTTCGGAGGGCTTCATCAGACAAGGCATCTATGTCTAGTTCCATCTCACCATCATCATTCTCCTATAATAATTGTCAGTGCTGATATCAGACAAAGCAAAACAGCCGCCAACACAATATGGCAAAGACGAGTAGAGATTTAGACGCTTACATTCTGACCAGTATCCTTCTTGATTATGTCAACGGCTTTTGTCAAGGTTGTGCCGTCGAGCTCATTAATCCCCTCTGCAATAACAGCCTTCTCTAGCGCGCCAACGGGTCGGCTCTTGGGGGCCGCCTTTTTATGGCTAGTATGATTGCTAGGCGTCTTTTTAGTGGTGTGGACATTTCCAGACGCTGCCTTTTTGTGACCTGTAGTTGCCAAACCACTACCCGAAGACTTTGGCTTGCTCTTAGTATTCTTCTTCTTGGGCTTCGGTTTCTTTTCCTCGCTATGGAATTTGGTTCTCTCCTCTACTAATTTTCGTTGGAGCATCGAGACCATCGACTGCTGAATCTCAATCATAGTAAGGTCCGGTTTCTTCGACCCAAGAAGAGTGTTCAACTTGTCTTGCTCCTCATCTAAGCGAGCCTGGAGGTTACGAACCGCTTCGCTGTTTTGCTCATCCTCGCCGTCTGCTTCGCTCTCGTCTTCAGAGTCGTGAGCGCTTCTCTCTGGGCTACGAGCAGATACGTTTGTTGCAGACGGCAACTCCGGAGGATAATGACGCTTCATCCACTGATCTCGTTTTGAGATTTCGGACTTGAACAACTCCTCCAAGCGTCTTGCAAGCATAGTAACATCGTGGTGCTGACCATTGAAGAGCTCAGAATTGTGAACGATGAGCTTCATGTCCTTCTCTAAATCCTTCACACTCTTGTAGTCGCCATCGTAGTTTTTCTGTGTCATGGTGGTAAGATCCATTGGCTTCTTAACAATACTAAAGTATGTCGGGATATTCAAAGCTACAGGGTCCACTGGTGTGAGAAACCACTGATTCAGCGAGTAATGCTTCCCTTTCTTGATCTCGTCCAAAACAACTTCGAAGAAACGCTGCTCGGGTTCCAATTTCTTGCGGCTGGCTGAACCATAGTCAAGATCGCGGTTCTTTGGAGGATGTATCGGACGCTTGGGTCTGTCACTATCTTCGCGTGTAGAATCGCGACGTATTTGGGGGATACCATTCGGGGGAATCGCAAAGGCTGGAGCTGAAGACGATGCAGATGCTGGTTGCGCAGTTTGTACGACCTGTGTAGGGGTCGATTTCGGCTTGGGACTCGCAGTAGATGGGTGTGATGACTGCGATTGTGATTGTCGCCGAGGCTGGGTCGCTGCACGAGGTTCTGGATGACGGGTCGCATGATTCTTGCCCTTCTCAAGTTTGGTAGGTTCTTCCAATTTGGAAATCTCTGGCAGGCGTCCAAGTATCTGATCTCTTACTGAACCTGCGGCTAGGGTAATGGGATTATTTTCGCCATTGAATGTGAGAGAATTCTCATACAATAGTTGGATATCGGCCTTCAATGCGCCATAATTAGCGTACTTGTCTTCGCGGAGCTTTGCCTCAAACAGAGAAATATCCACTGGATTCTCTATCTTGGACTTGTAGTCATCCCATAAAACTGGCCACAGTCGTTCTACGGGCTGTCTAAAATTAAGGCCGTTTTTGGTCTTCTTGACACCGGCCAAGACTTGCCTTATCTGCCTATTCTGGAAAGGAGTGATGACTTGGCCATCTTGGTCCCGATCAACACTCTTTTTCGGCTGTGACGTGGGAGGGGGGCCACTTGCGACGACTAACGAGTCAGCCGCAGGATCACTCGGATCTTCTTCTGTTCTCGCACGCTTTGCCGCTCGCTCGTCATCGGCATCTTCGTCACGCTCTCGGGAAACTTTAATTGCGGACGTAGGCTGATCGGTCATAGGCGTGTCGGGCTGAGAGGCAGTAGTGTCAGGTTGAGTACCCTTGATGTCTAATTTGGCAAGACTTGCCGATGGCTGACTTAAATCCTGAGATGACACAGGCGCCGGCGTATTATTAGAAGACTTGTCTTCTGTGCCAGTTGCGAGCTTGGCGTTCGATTCTTCGTCGACATTCTGCTGTTCCGAGGTATCTACATCCATTGAATCTGCAGGTTTCTCGGATACTTCTTCTTTCGGCACCGAATCTCGAGTCGCAGAATTCTGCTCCGCCTTGTCAATATTTTCAGATGTTGAATTGGGGACGGCTTCTGCATTGGCTTCTGCTGTTAAAGACGAGTCCTCCGCAGCCGGCGCACCATTGGCATCGGGCATCTCGGTGTCATCGGTGGGCGGAGGGTCGGGGTGTGATTCAATCGGCGTTTGTTGAGAAAGACTGCTGTTTGCAGCAAAAGCCTTTTCATTTAGCGACTTATCTTCGCTAGTAGTTGCCGAGTCTGCCGACTCGGTATTGCCATTAACAGCAGGTTTGTCATCAGACTTAGGCTCGTCTTGACCAGATTGAGAATGCCTATTTGAAGCACTATTTAGCATCTTGATATAATAAGCGCGTAATTTTACTCACCCATTAACTACTCCCGCATCCGACTCGTTGGTCGCGATCTCTTCATCTGGTGCAGAACTAGTGACTTTCTTATCCACCGGTAAGGTTTGAGGTTGCTCGGTCGCCATAATTGCCATCCAGCTACTCAGTGAGTGGAAATGCAACTGGTTTAAGGTGATGTCGATATTATGAAGCTAGAAACCTGAATGTCTCGCATGAACCTAAGGATTGGGTCTAATAAAAACGCATGGTTAGATATAAATATTTAGACACGGCTTATGATGCGACTTGAGAAATGGTAAACAAAGACGCAACATCGTGAGTCTCTCATAAAAAAAGGGTATCAACCGGAAGGTCAAAGTGATGCGATCGCGACTACCCAGGTAGTGTAAAACCCGTAATGGACTTGCCTTTTAGTTTTGCGGACGAAAAGGTTTCTAGGTAATTACGACTGCGGCTTCTAGTCAGTAACGAAGGTGATTAAAAACAACAATTGAGCGCAATAACAGGCAAGTACAAAGCTGCAATTTCAAATGCAAGGGACAAGAAAAAAAGAGAGTAACAGAAAATAATAATAGCGATATTAATTTTGGTCGCCGGCGAAGATTGGCGATATCGTGATGAATGTTTGCTTTGCGCCGCGATGCGCTACGCGGCCTTGCGACATGCGACAGTTGTGTATGTGAAAGGGCCAGTCGCAAGGTGGCTGGCCAATGAAAACGGGGCTGGGAAAGATTGGGGGATTTTTAAGGTGCAAGGGTGAGGTGTAAGTGTTATCGGGACGATACGCCTTATATCGAGACTGATCCAAATCTTCGCATCTTCTCATCGGTGTTAGGCTGTGAAACCAACTAAAAATTATGGACGCGCAAGTGATCAGTGTGGTCAGAGCGCGTCAGCAGCCAATGATATTGGCAGCGACTCTTTCCTAAGCACTGAAAAGATTTCTATTAAAGGTCTAGGAGCGCGCTTTTCGACTCCTCTGGATCCAAGATTGGTAGAGTAGTTGGCAAACGTTGACTTGTGGCGCCGAGGTAAACGACATGAGGTTGTTGTGTACAGTTCAAATGCAAGGTGGTGTTGCAACCTTGGCGACGACCAGGCAAATGATAGTAGGGATAAGGAAAGTGGTGCAGCGTAAAACGCAACATAAGGGATAGGCAGAACAAGGAATCTTTGATAAACTTACCTTCAACTTTGAAATAATCAAAGACGCGCCAGCTTGCGTCGAGTCCCAGATCCAGATTTTAAAAGAATGGCGATGGGCAAGACAAGAGAAAAACGAGTAACTCACGTAGTGATTACGACCAGACGATAGAGTAGTAAAGCGACGATAAATAAGAGTCACTCTTGCACTACTAGACGAATATTTGGCAAGATGAGCGCAATGCGCGTTGGTCGCGGAAATAAAATAGTAGAGATTTGTTTGGTACGTTGAACTGAATCAGACCAAACAAATAATAGTAATATGGCGATAACCTAGTATCGTTGATAATTAACGACGACGAGGTTCACGAAGAGCCGATAAAAAACGGAATTCGCGACGGCAGTAGGTGCGCAGGTGGTCAAAGCGGTAGTGGTCGCGATAGTGGCCGCGATAGTTACTCGATACTACCGTTTTGGGGGAAGGATTGGGAATGAATAAAAACTTAAAATATTAAACAACGAATCGACGAGCAGAGCGCACGGGGGAAAAATAAGGAAAGACAGAATGGGAGGGAAAAGGTACCTCGGTACTTTCTGTCGCGTGGTGCGCGTGCAGTGGTGAGGAGGTATGAGATCAGTTTCTCAAGATGCGAGGCGGTGTCGGTGCTCGGAATATTAGAGAGGGGGGGTTGGGGTTGGGCAGAAATGGAAAAATAGGAGGAAGGGTTGTAAAAAAATCTCAGGAATCAGAGGTCTCTTTTTTTCTTCGTCGCGAAAATTTCTGGTTTGGGGCCACTTTCCTATTTGTAGAACGCGCTTTCCCGGGCTGCGAAATCACGGTTCGCCATTACTAGGGAATTACGACAAGGGTTATATCGAGGACAACGCCTGCCGTGCTTGTATCAAAGCATTAAATGGCAAATCATGTTGCCTAGATATCTAAATGTGGGGCTCTTTGATACAGTGAACAAGGGTGCACACTCCCAAGATTGATCAAGTACCCATCTTGATACTGCATTGTGTATATGTACGCAGGTACACGTAGGTACTGTGGATGAATGGTGGAAAGCGGTTACCTGGCATTTCTGGATTGACGGAGAAACTCGGGTCTAGACCTTGATTGTCCAGCACCGACTTGTACTTACTTCTTGTTTCCTGGGAAGCCGGAAGGAAAGCGTTGAGTTGCGACTTATTATGGTCATGTTGGAGGATGTGATAAATTTTTGCTGAGTGAACGGACAGGCAAGACCCGGGTGCTCGAAGATTTGACGAGAGAAGTATTGTTTGGCGGGCTACCTAGGTACCTGATAGGAGAGCCAATCAGATTTGGAGCGCAATGATGACCTTCTGGTCACTGCCCAATCATGACGCGTAGGGCTCAGAAATCCTTGCTCGTCCGAAATGATAGAAGACACCAGTGCTCTTTATTTCGTTCCTAGATCAACCCCGGGTGTGTAACTGTAAATACTGTTCATTGTTGACTCATCAAGAACGACATTTTGCTTTAGCTAGGTATCCGATGTATCATCCATCATCACATGATCCGGGAGAACTGATGTGAGAATGTCGTTGCCAAAGCTTTTCTTTGTCAGACTCGAAGAGACACATTTTGTCTTCAACAGATGCTTTGAAGCTCTGTGCCGCATCATAGACTCGATCAAGGTAGCTGCTTAATCTGTAGAGATTTGGGCTCTCGAAAATTGTGTCATTTCGAAGTTGCGTAAGTTAGCTTGAGTAGAAAATTTGCGTAGTGAAGGAGAAATTATGTAGCTTTTCAAGCTCCATTCAGTCGGAAAAGTTGGTAGGGTATAACAGAGTTTTGAATTGAAGCACGCAGCCACAGTAAGAAATGTCTACCGAGTTTCCTGCCAGCTGGTAAATTGTCTATCACTTGGCGGTAAAGCACCTAAATCTGGGTAGTGGGTCTGGGTGATCCGTGCATGTCTCGGTCTCGGAAATACCAAATACCTATCATACTAAGCCAATTCCTTATCAAAGAAAAAAAACTGACGTGAAGTACCTTTCACCTCACTACCTAAATAATGCATGTATTCGCGTGCAAAGTACCAGAAATTTTTAATACTTTTGCGCTCACCCTCTCCGACCTCAAGAGGGTATCATTAAGTCCTAATTTGAATGAATCCTAGTTTCTCAATCTCTTTCTTCACATTACCTCCATAATCACCTATTTATTTCCAGGGCAAAAATGTCAACCAAACGAAAAGCACCGAGCAAGATTGCTCACCCCGTCGTTAAGCAAAGCGCAAAGAAGCCCCTCAAAACTATAATTAATGAATCCGAGACAGCTGTCTCAGTTCCCGATATTTCAAAAGAGGATGGGATTACAGGCGAAAAAGTAATTGAGATTTCAAGTGACTCGGGCAGCAGCGAATACGAATTTACAGATGAGGAAGACAACGAAACTAAACTGGGGACCAAGCTATCTCAAGATCAATCTGTACCAAAGAAGGCGCAAAATACTGAGGAAATTGATATCGACATGCCCTCCCCAAACTTGCCAACAGATGGCGAGTCTGATCAGGAACCTGCTCAACCCACGTTTGGCGAACTTGCTCGCGCACATGATACTATTGAAGTTACGAACGCGATCTCTACCCAATCCAGCGCTGTCGCTGCTCCAGGGCGGTCTCTAGCTCCTCCTAGCCTCTCATCTTTAGGAACCGTCTTATCACAAGCACTCCGCACTGATGATGCAGATCTCCTAGAGTCTTGTCTTCACGTCAACGATCTCAACACAGTCCGACAAACCATTCAAAGATTAGACTCCACCCTCGCAGGAACATTGCTTACGAAGCTTGCAACTCGAATGCATAGACGTCCAGGACGAGCTGGTAGCCTAATGACCTGGGTTCAATGGACGCTAATCGTACATGGAGGCGCGTTGGCAACTCAGCCGGGGTTAGCCAAGAAGTTAAGCGAGTTACACCGAGTATTGGAGGAGCGATCAAGGGGCCTTAATTCTCTTTTAGTTTTAAAGGGTAAACTTGATCTACTAGAGGCGCAAATGGAGTTCCGTCGGATCGCGCAACAAAACAGAGAAGTCGACGAAAGTGATGAAGAAGAGGCCGTCGTTTATGTGGAAGGGGAAGAAAGTGACGCAGATATGGTTAATGGGGTCATGGACTTAGATGACGACGATGGGTTGCCTGTCACAAACGGAGTGGTTGACGGCGACTCAGAAGACGATGAAGAATCGAGTGAAGGTGAAGAGGATGAAGAAAACTTGGACGGTCAGGAAGATTTGGATGAGAACGATGTCAACCACGAAGATGTCGAATCGGATGAGGAGGATAGCGAAGCTGAAGTAGCTGAACCTCAACGACCGGCAAAACGTTCGAGGACGAGAAGAAGATGAAAAGATCTCTCCAGAAAATGTTAAACAGACGCTTTCGATTCAGTCTAAACGATACCCGTTACTCTCTAAACCACCTATCATATCCGGTATTTACGATAGTATGGTGTATCCCGTAAGAGACATTGAACTTCCGTGGTATGATTAAGCCTAGCCAAGCCTGACCAACTTCAAGGTTAGGTACTCGGCTTCTCTTTAGGAATTTAAGCACGTGCGATAATATCGTCTGTATAATGTAAAAATATGATTTTATTAACAGGTTGGTTATTGCCTAGGTACTCTTTAAACCCCCATGGCCGATACCTATGTTGGATAGGTAGCTTTTACAGTTGCTTATATCCAATTTCCGAGTTTCTACATCGATACGTATAGATACATATCAAAGTACATAAAGCTACCTCTTGCAGGGTCAGTGACTCAGTGGTCTACTAAAGGTTTTCTTAAATACATATATGTATCTATCATGTAATATGTATGTAGATATCCCGTAAGCTTAAAAAGTTGTTAGCTAATTGGATGATGGACCCCTATCGATAAATTATTCGTAGGTCTATCTAATCTACCAGCTTTCAGGTCACATTCATCTAATCGCGTCGTCTCCAAACCCCGAATTATTTCGCGTCAAGCTTCGTACCGAAAGTGAACAAAGGTTTGGATTGACCTTCTTGGATTATAATAGCTTTGGTTTTCAAATCATTAATGCATTTCTTGAATCATCTCGCTTCTTTCTCGTACAACACTCGACGCCATAATGGTAGAATGCCCAATTTGTAGCAAGCAAGTCCAATCCGTCAAAATCAACGATCATATCGATTCAGGATGCCAGACTTTCCTAATTGACGCCCCGACGTCCTCGTCCTCGTCTTCATCTCAGATACCTTCGGCTACCCAAACAAATGGCTCTATGTCGTCCTCGCAGAAACGACCGGCATCCAGCTTCTTTCATACCCCTTCCGCCAAACGGCAGTTAACACCCGTCAAAGCGACTACACTCTCGGCTAACGGTGTAAGCGGAACGCTCGGCGGAGCGAAACCGAACGGTGGTATTAAGCGTTCCTTCGATGAAGGTCCCGGAGAAGATTCGCCTATGCAAGATGCAGGCGCCAGAACGGATAATGTAGCACCCATCGAGACCGGTCGAGTGCTGAAAAGGACCAAGACGAACAGAGCAGCCCCCCTCGCTGAGCGCATGCGGCCACAGAACCTCGATGAAGTATTTGGACAAGATCTTGTCGGCCCACACGGTGTTTTACGATCATTAATAGAATATGACCGGGTACCATCCATGATATTATGGGGCGCATCTGGCACAGGCAAAACTACGATTGCGCGCTGCATAGCAAACATGGTTGGCTCACGTTTTGTTGAGATGAACGCCACAAGCTCTGGCGTAGCGGAATGCAAGAAGATATTTAACGATGCGGCGAACGAGTTGGGGTTGACCGGAAGAAAGACAATAATATTCTGCGACGAGATACACCGCTTTTCTAAATCGCAGCAGGACGTATTTCTTAAGCCTGTCGAAGCGGGAACGATAACACTCATCGGTGCAACAACGGAGAATCCAAGCTTTAAAGTCGTCAACGCACTACTTTCGAGATGTCGAACTTTCACATTACAGAAGCTAACGACAACAGACATCCAACTCGTCCTATCGCGAGCATTACAGGCTGAGGTTTCGGCTACTTCATCGCCGCCCTCTCCTCTTCTTGACGAGGAACTTATGAGCTACCTTGCCAACTTTGCCGATGGTGACGCGCGGACAGCACTCAATTTACTTGAATTAGCCATGTCTTTAGTAAATAGGGACGGCATGACCAAGGAACTAATTAAAGAGTCACTTACCAAGACACTAGTATATGATCGAGCTGGCGATCAACATTACGATACAATCTCTGCGTTTCACAAATCTGTCCGCGGTTCCGACCCAGATGCCGCATTGTACTATCTGGCCCGCATGCTTCAGTCGGGGGAGGATCCATTATTCATCGCGCGGCGAATGGTCGTGATCGCATCTGAGGACGTTGGGCTAGCAGATAACTCATTCCTTAGTCTAGCAACCTCGACATACACTGCAACACAGCAGATCGGCATGCCGGAAGCTCGCATACCTCTAGCACATTGTGCCGTAGCGCTCTCGCTCGCGCCTAAGAGTACACGCGCTTACAGAGGATTGAATAATGCCTTTGCGGCCCTCAAAGAACCCGGAGTAGCATCTTTACCAGTGCCGATTCATCTACGAAATGCGCCGACGAGGCTGATGCGGGAGCTCGGATACGGAAGGGAATATAAATACAACCCCAACTATAAAGACGGCAGAGTGAAGCAAGACTATCTTCCTGATACACTCCTTGGGCGTACGTTCTTAGAAGACCGAGATTTGGGTACTGAGATCGATCCAGACCTAATTATGGAAGATTCTTGATTTCCAGAGTATAAATGAATTATACAAGTCCTACTCTTGCACTTCAAGACCAGGCGCCGTCGACTTGTTTATAAAAGGTTATATAAGGTACCCAGATATCAAAATTGGGGGGACAAGGCCAAGCAAAATGCTATAAAGGACAATACGAGAAATGGCGGCGATAGGATATCCACCCTTGTAACTACAGCGTCGTCAAACCAGGATGTATTTAGGCATTTGCAAATACCCATTAAATAAATAAATGAAAGCAAACAATTCCACACTGCGCAGCTTCTGCCTTTATTTCTCTTTTTCTATAGGCCTAAATCGCTATAGTAGGTGCCGGTCAGGATATGTCTCGCGTCAAAACTACCTGCCAAGGAAAAGCTTGGCTCTGATTGGCCAGAATGCCATGGAGATGTCCAGATTCGGCAATTCCATATATAGGTAAGTTCTGGAGCTCTACGAAGTTTGATCTGACTCTCTAGAGGTAGACAATAGAGTCCCAGTTGCTTAGTGTCTCCAGGGCTTATTTTGGGAAGTCTTTATAGTTATGGTAGTTATAGCTATGATTCAAGTTAAAAACAAGGAGATAGAAAATATCTGGTTAAACCATTCTAGAACTAATATACCTGTTAACTTAGTAGTCTAGGAACTAATTTCATCTCTTCTCCTTGTTTTTGCAGAAGTCATTACGCTTGTTTCGCGAGGTACCCGAACATTCACTTTTGTTTATACTTTCTTATGGACGTCGTAAATCATGAAATAAGCCCCGTACTCTCCTGTCCCGCCATATTTCGTAGCATCCTGGATCACCCTTTCGACTTCTTTGAACCCAAGTCTCGCATAGATGCCCCTAGCAGCTTTGTAGGACATGGTAAATAAGGGGACGCCGATTTTCTCAGCATGTCTGATCCCGCTCTCGACGAGTGCGCTGGCTATTCCTTTGCCTTTGTTATCAGGGTGGACAGCCAAATATTCAAGCTCTAAGCAAGGGTTAGAGAGATACAATCTGGCATAGTAGATTAGCCCGATAATTTTGACTTACGGATATACGTTCCCTCCGCTAGGAGACGATCCATCGCTTCGTCGTTCTTGTCGTCCATACCATCTACTTCTTTTCTTGCCTTCCACCACGCCGACTTAGCCAACTCTTCGAACCGGGTCTTTTCCTCGTCGCTGACATCCGGGACCTGCGCCTCGGCCCACTCCGGGCTACCGTCTTTTGTTGCGAGATGGCCAGATGGCAGGATCCAGCGCGCGTATCCAACGAGCTCCCCAGTGGCTGGGTCCACGGCTTTCTCGTGGCGCATTTTCTCGCGGTTGGTTACGAGGGTGCGCGGGTACCGTTTTATAGCATTTTCAATCAGAAACTCGCGTGTGGTTTCCTTCGGCCATATCAAGTTCCAATTTGGGTCCTCCCAGAAGGCGCTCATGTTATTGCGAGCCAATGTTGCGGCGTCAGCCACTGTGCAGCGCTCAATCTTCCAGGTCGTCATTGTTGCGTGATGTTATAAGGGTCAAATTGAGATTCTTGTAGTCGAAATATAATGATAGGATTGTTACGCAGACACCAGTTCCCAAACGTTGGTTTCCCCTGAATTACATACGATAGGTCCAATCGAGTTTAGGCAGCGAAATAAATAGAAAGGAGAAATAGTTTCCAGTCAGCATTTCCTGTTTTACGTAGGAGCGTGCCGTTTATGTATTAGCAAGGGCTACTGGGCTACCTCATTAGGAAGATGATACGTAGTATCACTCATTCAATTGGACACATCTACGGAACTATGGTGGAAGTACCTATTCAAGGCCCCCTGTGGTGCCGGAAAATACTTCTTCCCTTCTATAGAACATAAATTAGACGCAGATATAAGATATTATAAACCCATCTCAATTAGATCGACACAGTACTTGATTCGTATTTACAAGAGAGTATCTACTTAGCAAATACTATTGAAATGAGCGTCCCTAGGAAACATAAAGCTTATACAACATTTCCCCTATTGGCCCATTCCATCTAACATCCCCTCCAACACCTTCGCTCGTAACCAGGGCCAACCCCTCAACTCATAGTTACTATGCCAACTCCTCTAGAAGCGAATCGTGTGAGGGACGATCTGAGTAGCAGTGAATTGTCCAAGGGTCTTATATACACGATGCTTTAGATACATACACGCATTGCTTACTCTTGCTGAGCAGCATCATAAGTGTCGTACTTCTGCTTCCCGCGCTTCTCATGCTCATGCTCCATAGTAGCATCGTAGGTGTCATACTTCTGCTTCCCGCGTTTCTCATTCTCATGCTCGACAGCAACATCATAGGTATCGTACTTCTGCTTCCCGCGTTTCTCATTCTCGTGCTCGACAGCAACATCATAGGTGTCGTACTTCTGTTTCCCACGTTTTTCGTGCTCATGCTCAACAGCAGCGTCGTAAGTGTCATACTTCTGCTTTCCGCGTTTCTCGTGCTCATGCTCGACAGCAGCATCGTAGGTGTCGTACTTTTGCTTAGAGGGTTGGCGCTTCTCTACCTCTTGAGCAGCATCATACGTATCATATTTCTGCTTGGAAGGCTCGCGACTGTCTATAATGTCAGTGTCCTATTCGTCGAAGTAGATTGGAAGACAGATAAGAAGGACTTACGCCACGATAGAGTTCTCTTGAACGGGGAGGGCTGCCGCGGTGGAGGCAAGAGCTCCGAGGAGGGCAATGGAAGTCTTAATGAAGTGCATCTTGGTATTTGTTGATGGTGTATGAGAAGTTGGGGACTATCTGATCGAAGGAATTGCTTTGTATTCTTGTGGATGATGGGTGATGAGTAGTCAATACACGGTAGGAATACACCTCCTTAAGTAGTTTTCTTTCCAACAAGTTAGATAGGTAGGTTGTGTGATTATCTACGAGAGTGACGACAGCATATCCATCTCCTCGGTGGATTCTTTCCAAGATCCTATGCCTCCCGTGATGCTAGGATTTACATGACAAATAGTTTTAAGAAATTCAAATGTGCTGTCATATCCACAGCTAGTCAGAAGGTCTCGGTCCTATGCAGAGCTTGTAGAATAGCATACTTGCTAGCCAGGATAGAAGCGTGTAGGATTTCATCCCCTGAGTTATGACATCGTATCAACATCTCGGCAGTTATCAAGTCTCCACTAGAGTTACGTTGGTGACAGCCATGGCCACGAGTGAACCAGGAACCACTAGCGAGGAAATCAGGCAATATCTTGGGACGAGGTTCATGTTGTGCCATGCAGGGTCCACATGTTCATATGTTCTACAGATAGACTTGGTTTAAGGGTACAAGTTGTCAGAATTCTAGATGAGACATTTAGAACAAAGAACATGTTCAGTATGAATAGACACGTAAATCTTCATATGTAGGTAGTTTAGAGTTCCTTGCGGAAGATTGCGGAAGAATGAAGTTGTTTCTATGCTGTTTAGTTCCATCTCGTGACACAAACGGAGTAAACTATTAAGTCGATCTTCACAGACGATAACATAAGTTACCTAGCTTCTATCCAATTCAGAAAATAGCCTCATAGTATCTTAATACAGTAATAAAGTTATAGAGCTACAAGGTTAAAATATGAGTTACATTATAGTAGTAGTTATAACATATCTTAACTCAATATAGAAGTTAGAAATTACCCCTACCGTTTGCTATTCGATCCGTTTAAAAAGGTGAACACCGTTTTAGTGTTACGTAATTACTTGTACTACCTCTGAATTACTCACTGATTTACAGACTGCGCTTATAGTTATCAGTGCGGTTAGGCGGCGCGAAAAAAGAGGTTTCCTGCAGATCCTGCGTCTCCAGCTTTTAGTTCAAGTATCTAACTGAGTCTAAAAAGCTTAATCCTGATATCCCCGCGTCCGCATCCTTACGACCCCCACTGTCCGGCATATTTAGCGCCGCATATACGCATGCCCAGCAAATCAAGCTTCGACATTGCGATTTTAGCTACGGCCCGTAATATCTGGCCCTGGCTTGTGACGAACTAGGTAGTATACAATCCACGAACTTCAACCCTAAAATCCTACTACTCGACCTATGTAACTATAACTATAGGTCTGGCCTTTGGCTATAGGTCTAGCCTTCCCCACAAGAGAAGCGATCCAACATCACGACACGGAGAATTCCATCTTCAAACTTGAATACCTTCAATAAACATGCATTCATACCATGCATGGGACGATGTTAGTGAAATAGACATGTGGATACAAACTTGATCAGAGCTTTATGATCAGCGTGATTATCGGCATATTTGTAAGAGAGGGAGAGGTGTCCTAGTTGGCGTTACCCCGATGAGGACGAGACTCAAGATAAGGACCTCCCGGTTAACGTTCGCCATTGACGGACAAATGGGCCCATGATCCTACGGTCTATCATCATATATTCTTTTTGGGCTTGGGCTCCTAAAAAAACCAAAACTTAAGACTTTATACCCAGCTCATCCTCTTTTTTTAACTTTGTCTTATACAATTCTTCATGTCCTAGAATCTATTAGTCCTAAAACTTATCCATATCAAAGATGGATTTCAAGTCAAAGGAAGCAACATATGAGCCACTGGTCTCAGATGAGGCGCGGTTCTCACAGAGTTCCGATAGTCTTGAGAGCCAAGAGGGCAAGCCTATGTTAAGACGAAGCTTCCAGAGATCTTCTCGCCTCACCTCCTGGGCCAAGGCAAGCGGTACTGTTCTAGCAGTTCTCAATACTATTCTTTTACTAAGTATTATTGCCGTACTATCGCTTTCTAAACACGAAAAGGAATGCTCGGAAGTCCAGTGTGCTGCTAAGACCTCATACTATTGTGAGCGATGATAATCTCCAGATCATAGTTATCAAGAACTGACAATAGTAGCCCCTCTTCTAGAAGAAGACGCTGGTGCTATCGAATATGAATTTCGCAGGTTTCAAGGTGCTCTTGAACACCGCAGCATCTATAAGGGGACACCTAACAAGGAGCTTGATGCAGCATGGGAAGAGATTACGCACAGTAAGTTACTTCCGTCTAACCTCTTAATATCCATCAAGTTAGGCTTACAAAACTAGTGAACAATTCCGGTGTAAATGGCGAGGTCATAGACCGCATCGGAAAGTCGCGTATTTCAGTGAAGTATCCCGAGTCTCAGGGCGGGCAATATGATGTCGGTATCGAGGTCTTCCACCATTTGCACTGCCTGGTATGTTTAATTCGCGACACAACGATTTTATATCAATGACTAATAAAAACAGAACATCCTCCGCCAGTATACCTATAAAGAATACTATTTTCGCCCCGAGAATCGGCCAAAAAGTTTCACTGATAGTGAGCCTGTTATGCGCTTGCATCTCGACCACTGCATCGAAATGCTACGTGAAGTTCTGATATGCCACGGTGATGTTGGTATCATTACTTACAACTGGGTCCAACCATGGGGACTTTACCCCGACTTTAGCACGTACCACAAGTGCCGCAGGCTCGACAAGATTGTTGATTGGGCTGATAAGCATGCATTGCCAGCAGAGGACCCTGAGCCTGATGAGAACACGGTATGGCTCAAAGGACCACCGCAGTAACAGGCCATTCTAAATTCTACCTACCTACACAAACTGCAGAGGGGACATTACAAGATACAATGGACTTGACTTGTTAAGTATGAACTATCTAAGTTTAGATTGTGGATGTTTGAGACGATAGGGCTATGAGATAGGATTTATTGCTTTAGAGAATAACATCAATTTCATAAACTTGGTGTAGAAAGAACTTAAACTCTTAGCCACTCGTTAGAGGATCGTGTAAATAGAACAATCGTAGGCTTGGTAACTTTGTAGGGTAATGAGCAATTGTATGACATTGCCTAGGTAATTTTCAATTCATTATCATTATTTTACGCTACAATACAGCTTTGTTACCTGATAACATCGTGCCTCTTGTGCGCTAATAACTGTCACCAAGATAACAACTTGGATGAATAATATTAACTATACGAGGTGAACTAAGAGTACTACAATGTGGAATATTGACCTCCGAATAAGCTTTATTAGGTGCTGACGAAGTTTTTTTCCCCTGCATGACTTCATTGCCTATTAGACGTGCTGTATACTATAATTGGAGGCGGTCAAGATATCTAAAGAACCACGCGATACTTAAGACAGACAGGCTATAGGTAACATTGAAAAGCCTAGACTCTTCCTAACCGTATAAAACGTAGTTGCGGCCAGTGGCACTAATCAGAATGTATAGACCGAGGGGTAGGGTTTCCATTCTCGATTATAGCGTTGTATTGGAATTAAAGCTAGGATTAAGGCTAAGCTTTCTGTGATCTGCATTAATGCTTGTGCCTTACCACTAGCTGCAGAAATTTGTTCTCCACGCGGATTTTAGTCATCCTATTAGCCATGACGCTATAGCTACTTCACATATAAGTCCTCTACATATGAGCTATTAAACAAATATTAGGTATTATTCCGTGCCTCACAAGTGTCCACATGACCACTTATGCTCTTGACCATCGCCGGTAAGTGCCGTTAAGAACAGGTAGTTAGTAAATGAATGATTTATTATAAGATCAACATTTTTAGCGTAATGGTACAGTTGGCAATAGATATGGGGTCATAGGATTCATTAAACATGCGGTAAATCAGGGAAGCTGGTATACTGTGATACGACCATGATTCCGTGATGCATGTTGGCGGAGTGGAAAGTCGCCCTCGACCGACATCACGGAAGATCCCTCCCCTCTCCTTTCATGAGGACTACGGAGAATGGAGGATAAGACTATGCCCAACTCAGAATCCAAAGCACTTGACAAAGTAGCGGCCTTTTTGATTCATTCAGATACCTTATGCGCTAACTATGTTAGCTTTACCGAGCTGCATCTCCTTTTCTCAATAGTCTTCATTCTACTAGGAAATAGTCGTGCGGTAAAAGGCTCATCTCCTCCCAAATGGCAAGCATAGCCAATATGCCGAGCGGTATGTTAGTTAGAAACGATACCACGTCGCAAATACAAGACGAGGAGCAATATGAAGGTCTCTTAAGCGAGAGTGATACACAATCGCTAGATCGTGAAGACCTCCGCGCCCACTCTGGAGGTGACGGCCTTGGAGTTCACCCTTCTTCTATATTCCTACACTATGATAGGTCTTCCTCAGGATGGTCCTAGTCGCTGTATGTTCCACCAACGCAGCGCGACTGGGCTCTATCCTCAACGGAATACAAGAAAAAGTCTCAAACCTCGAGACTGCTTCAGCATCGGTTCCCGCGGCGCAAGTGAAACCCTCCAAGCCGCCAGGTGAAGAGTTCGGCCACTCCATCAAAGAAGCCGAGTCACTCGGCTGCATTTTCGACCCTATGTTATGGGCGTGACAAAGACCTGAATGCTACAACGCCGAATTCATAACTTCTTGGGCATCTTCGAATGGCACTTCTTCCCTAATAACGAGACTCGGCCTGAAGAGGAGCTATTGTGGGACACTTGGGTCCGCGGCTAATATAACGGTGCTTGGGGCTCTTGGGCATGACATATGTACCATTTTTCGTACTCGTGGCGCAAATTTGATGCTGCCTTCCATGCCTAGAAGCTGCTGGATGACGATATCCTCGATTCTGAACACACTAAGCACTGTTCAGTCGAGATTATTTTACGGGATACAGACCCGGGGCTTCATGCACCTTGTCTTTCGAACCCTGAGGCTTGCGAAATTACGCAGATGTGGATGAAGCTTGATAAATGTGGCTATTACTGAAGGTTATCGCTGGTGGTTGATATTTATTTAACTGGGGCATTAGATTTGGTGATGTTAGATTACTGAATTAACAGCTTCTTATGAAGATACTACGTAGCCTTGCTATGTTGAATGCCAAATACGTATTACAAATAATAAATCGACTCTTGTTAAAAACTAAGTTATGCTACTGCGACTCTATAGTAGTTTAGAAACTATAAGTTGATTATTCGTTAAGTACCTAGGTAAATATTACGTGAACTTCACGAGGGGGTGTTATGATCTGGCTAAAGAGTATTGCCGTAAAATTATAATAGTATGTATAGCCAGTAAGAAGCATTATAATTAAGTCCCAAAAGTACCTAGTGTACCAAGGTAAGAAATATCATGTTGTTGATATCTAACATAAACTTAATACTATAACAATAACTAATTCTCTAACTTAATGACCAAAATCATGGAGGCTAAGGTCAAGAAAAATAGAGTATTAGGTATCGTAGTTAGCTTAACTTAATCAAATACTTCAAAGACGTAGACTAATGAATCACAAGCAATATATATCATATTTTTAAAAGAATGACAAGTTTTATTCGGATTATAAGAAGCTAAACTAACGAGCGACATTGAGTAGTAATAGAAGAGAAATCATAATTTGCGTACATGAGAAGACCGCTCGGTATACATGAAAGATAATGAATTTATCACACATGAGGCGTAATTGCTAGTTAGTAATTACAGCGTCGTTTTTGCGATAGAATCTTTTATGCGCGAAGGGGGAAAAGAAAGAACAATCCAACATAGGAAATTGACATCCAAATATTGCTATAATGCTCCACCAAAAGCGAATTTCCATATTGAAAAATGTGACTCAAGATTGTGAAACCAAACATTTGATATAGGTATAGGGGTGTTGATAATATCGTCGTAATCCAGAAACAATTGATGATGTGAAGGTGGAGATCAATTGGGGAATGGACAATTTTCGAGATCATTCGGAAGTTAACATGTCCTCCGTTCGCAAAGTACACGAATCTCGACCATGTGAGAGTTCGGTCAAGCCAGGTAAATCGCTTAGTTCTCCTTGGGTTCCTTCTCGGGCTTTTCCCTTGACATTGGGGATGCAAATGTGAAACCTAAGTACAATTTCACTTGAACAATATTGTCCGCAATCATTGCAACATGAATCAGTCCTCTTTCTCGGGGCTGGCAAATACTCGGCAGCATCTGGGTGTTGACTGGTTAAATGTTTCATGAGGTCCTTCTCACGACTATAGCCTCTGCGGCCAACTCGGTCGCATCCAGCCACATGACAAGGGAACAGGGTAATTTCATGGACGTCTTTCAGGTGCTTTTTATAGTCGGAATGGCCCTTGAAAGGAAAGTCGGCGGTACTCCAGAACAATTCATTGAATTTCTCGCCTCGATAATGTTCACATCCAGCATAAGGACACGCTAGAAGGTACGCATGGTATGACCCCCTGGAACGGTGGTCTTTAGGATAAGTTTTTTCAATTTCCTCCTTTTCGAATTTGTGATAGCCGCGAAGGTGTTGGACAAGATGATCTCGTCGGCCGAATGCCTTCTTATCGCGATGGCGTTTGCAAAATTTGCAGGGATAAGAACGGTTGTCTTTGCGAAAGGAATCACAATGTCGGTTTAGAGCATCGGGACGCGAAAATATTTGGCCGCATGAACATTCAAAAGGATTATGCTGTGAGGTGAACGCATGTTTATTGAGCGCAGCCTGGCGTGGGAACGATGCGTTGCATTCGATGCATGAGAACTTAGAAGGACGAGGAACTGGATAATGATCAGGTGCGACTGGATCAGCTTCGCCGCTAACGGAACATGCGCTTTGCTCTAGCTGAGTAGCTGGTTCTCTTGACGCTTCAAAGGCTCCGTGTTCTTCCGGATTCGTGATCTGGCGTCCGATGTACGCTTCGCTAATCATAGGTATCGAGAACGTCGTAGACAAAGCCAATTGGAATTGCTGGTTTCCAGTGGAACTGGTGAATATCCTACACCCTTTTTGTTAGCGAGTGCTAAAAAAAAAAAGCCTCACTGTTCCATGGGAGCTGCAGTAGCGTCAGGCAGCAGAGAGAAGTCGAGAGCTGGTTCCTGCTCTTCTTGTCCAATGAGACGAGGCATGTTGTCCAAGTCATCGAGGTAGGTAGTAAATTCGTCAGGGCTCAACATGCCGGGGTCAAAGTCTCCGAGGTCAAAGCCTTCTTCGATGTAGTCTGACATCCTGGCGATGTACCTTTGTTAAAGGGGCAAGAAATCTGAAAGAGTAACAAGAGGGCTTGATAGGAGGATGGCGTATTTGCCAGAGGCAGATGGGGAACGGGGAAAGCGAGGTATATCTCTTCAGCAGTACAGAGGCATTGCGCTGTTTTAAGACGCAATGCAGGAGGTACATGAAGATAGGGTGTAAATCATTCTGAAAAGCAAATGCCAGCGGGTCAAGATGTGAGGTGATATGTCGGTCTGCGGCCCCCAAGTCGCCCAACTTATACCCAACTTATAAGACATACGCAAAATAGGGTGGAAAGATGAGCTGCATCTAGGGTTACACGACATGAAATCTATAAGCAGCGGGCCGCTAGTAATGGGACGAGTAACTGGGAGGGAAGCTATGCTAAATGCTTTTAGATCTCATGAGGAGGTTAGCAGAAACAATATGAACTAAGGCAGAGGGGGGGGAGAGGACCGGAACTTTGGAATTACAAAATGGGGAATAATAGGGGTAGAAGACACAAAGTCAGGCTTTCAGCAATCCAATATACACACTGGGTCAGATGCATCGTAAGGCCAGTATATCACCTAATATACAGACATCCAGCCTCACCCCCAGCCACAACCCAGCACAGCCTATACACAACTCGTAGTAATCAATCAACCGACTCACCTCCCACTCCTAACCCTAGCCTCCAACGCATCCACCGTCTCCGGCCCCACCCCAAACCCCATACCCTTACGCCTGCGACGCTTCGCGGCCCCGCCATCCCCGTACTTCTCGTCGAACTTGCGGATCGCCGTCAGCGTCGCCATGTCCTCGGACACGCTGGCCCCGATCTCCTGGAGCGCCTTGTCGAAGTGCCGGGCCGCGAGCACGCGTCTCTTCATGCTGTCGCTACTCTCCTCGGGCTTATCTTCTTGCTGCTGCTGCTGTTGCTGTTCTAGCTCAAGCTCCTCTTTAACAGCCGCCATAGCTGCTGCCACGCACACGTTCTTGAGGTCCGAGCCTGAGTACAGAGGCGTGCGCTTGGCGATGTTTTCGATTGAGACGGATTCCTCGTCTAGGGCTTCGTCTTTGAGGTGGATTCGGAGGATTGCTGCACGGTCGGCCTCGAGCGGGAGATCGATTAGTAATTTACGGGGTAGTCGTCGAAGCACAGCCTCATCTAGATCAAATGGCCGGTTCGTTGCTACCATGATGAACGCCTTTGTTTTGTCCATTCCATCCCATTCGCGTAGAAATTGGTTGATTGTCTCACGGCGGGAGCCTAAGTCACGTCTGCCTCGAGCGCCGAGAAGCGCATCCGCTTCATCGATGAAGATTACTAGCGGCTCTTTCTTCTTGGCTAACCGGAATAGGGCCCGCACGTTCTTCTCGCTCTCACCAACGAATTTGTTGTTGATAGACGCACCCGAAATCTCGATCATATTAGCCCCGCTCTCCTTAGCCACAGCCTTTGCTAATAGAGTTTTGCCCGTGCCGGGAGGTCCGTATAAAAGGCACCCCGGGATTCTATCCGTAGCAAGGACACCATAAGAGAAAGCTTCAGGTCGGATCAGAGAAAGCGTAGTTAGCATCTTAACCGACTCGATCGTCTCCTTCGGTGCATGGACATCCTGAAACGTAGTGCGAATATCCTGTGCATTCACAAGACCTGATTCAAGCCTCTCTTCGTGGTCCTCTTCTGAGGAGAGGAGCTTGCGTGCGTCGATAAACTCTTTCGATTCTCTTCGCTGATTCTTTTCCCCTGCCGCTGTAATCTTGGCATATCTGTCTCTTAACCTCTCATGTCTTTCGACTATGTCGACAACTCGTTCTAAGGATTCAATGTTAAATACATCGCTCGGATCCTTAGAGTAACCAATCATCATGGTTGCGATGCGATACACCTCGTTAAGAGGCAAAATACTCTTCGTCCATGACTCTGGTAGTTTTCTGTAGTCAATTTGACTTAACTTAATTTCCCCAGTTGTCGCTACTGGGGATTCGGAGGGAGGCTCAATCATGGATGATAATATTCTCACAAGATTTTCCTCGTTTTCTTTTATAAAATCCCTTGCTTCCAAATACTGGCGCTTGCTCTCAAACATGATTCGTCTTGCCATTGCACTGCTAACCCCGGATATGATTTTATTTACCCTTACACTTGTAGTATCGGACATAATTCCGCTTGTCAATGCGCTTCGCGCTATATACTCTTCCGTAGCTGGACGGAGAGTAATCACGCGTTCCGATGCTTCGAGTTCTCTCAGGTTGCTGATATAAGGCTTTGGTGCGCCCTTAGTTGAACAAGACCCGACCAACACGATTTTTCGACCATCTGCCCAGAGTGCATCGATGGTTTTTCGAAGCTTGGCTATGATCATGGCACCACATGCTGTGTCCATATTGATGGCGTTATAGTCATTAATGTGAACGATGAGCGGCCTCTGCTCGGTGAGTTCGGAATCGGCGCAGTGGACAAGCTCTTCCAGCACCGCGTTCAATTTGAGGTCCTTCCAGAGATCGTCGTCTTTTCTTCGGGTTGACCCGTTTAGATATTCGTCCATTAGTACTAAGTAATTCTTACTCTCTTTCCTACGTCCGTCATCACGCACGATGAAAGGCAACCTAGCATCCTCGAATTCGTCCGCTTCCTCAGCGGAACGATTTTGTTTTAATTTTCCGCTATTCTCCGCAGCTTTATATCCTAGTTGTGATATCGCGCCGGGCGCTCTTACAGCGTCTTGGCCAAGGTAGCTACCAACGATGTACGCAATATCAGAAGCCTTTAGATGTAGGACATCAGCTTCCAACTTAGTAGCAACGTGGCATAAGATGTCGTGGGGTACGAAATACCCCGAGCTTTCCGGTGTATTAATGATTGTAATAGGCCGTCGTAAATCTGCGAGCTTGACATTTTCTGGGGCTTTTATTAACAAATCCGCATTGACGGAGGCTACAATGTCCTCGATCAGTTCCTCCTCAAACCAGCTAACCGTAGACGCTTCCAGAGGAGAGTCGTTTAACGCATTGTCAATTATTTGTTTAGCATGGCTTAGTTGTGGCAGATCCTCTCCCGCGGCAAATAGCCTTCCGTACGTGAGAGCTGTGAGTAGATCCCCCGAGTTTGAAACCGGACTCTGCTCATGTAACTGATCGACCGCCTTCTTTCCGTGAGTTGTCCGAGCCGACATGACTGCGGCCCAGAAAGCTGCAGCAACCAGGACATTCCCCTTTCTTTCTATCAAATCCGCATCTATGTCAGAATCTAGGATTTGTCGAACTTCAGCTAGCGTCTCATCGGTCCATGCCGTAGCTTCGACTAGATAAGCGAGATGCGCATCCAACATTCGCTCCTTTGGCGAATGGAATAATGCATCCTCCAACATAATACGCGCATCCTTCTCACTAATCTTGCTAAGTCCAGAATGCATCTTCGCATCTCCAGAACGACTAATAGCCTTGGAAAGAAACGACTTGGGCACATGAACAGGGGGTAGCTCTTCAGGTCTCCGATTGCGCACGATGCGAGACTTCAAGGAACCATTTCCGGGCCTCTTCCGACCTTGATTCTTCCCATCTGTTGTCGAAGTATTCTCCCCGAATAAGTTTTCGTCCCCATTGTCGTTCTCTCCAGCTCCGTTCTCTTTCTCGGGCTTACTTCCGTCATCGCGGGGCCCTGTATTGCCATCATCGGCAGCTCTAACAGGGATAGAGGCGTGAAAAAGTCGACCAGGATGTGTCGCTAATGGAGGTTTCTGTAAGCTAAGTGCCGCTGAGCGAAAGGCACGTAGCGACCGAGTATGCATTCGGAGAATTGGCGCTCAGCGTGAGCAGGCGAATGCATAGCTTTCGATATTGTAAGAAGGGAAATAGGAAATTCCATGTTGGCTGACGTCGAAAACTTCGGAATTTGCCGTGGCCCAAGCGTTGCACCCCATAAAAGTACGTACTGTGTACTAAGTACTTCGTACCTTGTACATTATAATTCAGACATGTGCCATTACCTAACTCCTATTGATATATATTAATCCCCCTTTTACGACATATTTTACTAAAAATCATGTAGGTAATAATCCAAATAATTTATTTTTTAACGTCCGAGGTTATTCTCCCCTAACGCCATGCTAGATTCATTTATGCTAGAATATATATTCGTCAAGTGGCAACCCGGCGAGTCTTGAAGTCGCCGACGCCAAATCATTAGCATAATTCCACTCCCGAAGCTCTCTATTAAGAGCTTGTATCAACCCCCTCGAATCCCACCTCGGTACCAGAGTCCCCTGTCCAGACTGCGTCGATGTATGCCCCTGCGCTCTGGATGGCCCCCTTACACTAATAGTCGAACCGTTCGACACCCAATTCTCGTTGATATCTCGTACCATGTGATTTGCGAACCTCGTAATGTGTTCATCAGGTTCTATTGAAAAGCCGGCCCCCTGTCCTTGGAGACCCTGAAAAAATCTATTTGAATCCATAGTAACTGGACCCTGTATCTCTAAAGATGTCCCGTAACTCTTGTTATTGAGAATATCGGAAACGTGTTTTCCAGCTTCTCGTGTAAAATTTGTAAAAGTCTCAACTGCTCCTGTAATATCGACTGCTACCTCGGAAGCTGGCTCGTTGATCAGATATGCCGTCAATGACGGCGAGAGCAAATTGAGAAGATGTATGGTTTGAATAAGTGTATAAATATACTCATCGTGTAATGCGGTAGCATCGAGGGTCCGGAGTTGTCCAATGCCGGCTAAGACGATCTTCAAGACAACTAGAAGCCCATTCATGTCCTCCCTACCCATTTCTTTACAGATGCAGGGTGCTGTAAGTAGTGCTTCGAATGCACTAACATAAGTATCTAGTATTATCCACCCTGTAGGGACTTGGAATGCGGTTTTAGTGATTGCTGGGAGCATCTTGCTCAGTATGAAGGAAGAAACGTGAGTATTCCCCATCCCCTGTTGAAGGATAGCTCTTTCATTTCCTAGTTTACCATTGGCGAGTGCCAGCTTAAAGTTGGGGAACAGGAGATAGAATAGCCCAGGTATTGCCTTGTTATCTCCTTCTTCTAGCTTGAGACCCCACGACAGTATGCCTGCTATTTGTAGGCGGGGGTCTTGGCTAGAGGGAGAATATTCCCGGCTGATCTGGTAGAAATATGAGTCTACAGGGCAGAGGTCCTGTGATCTAATCACGGTGACGATTGACCGAACAAACTCGATATAATCCGCGTGCTCGGGGGAGTCCAATGTGATCGACTTTAGATCAAGCTTCATTTGATCCATTGTATTCTTCAGAGCCTTCGAGAACTGCGATTGCAGTTGCTGTTTTCGGCTTAGCTGCGTAAACCGTAGCGTCTTACGCATCATGGCAACGGCATCTAGCTAGGCATCAGCAGTAGATTTCATAACTTGCTAGGAGGATACTTACAGCTGAATAATGCCCTATTTGAATTGTAGTCAGGGTTGTTTCCACTTTCTATAACCGCATCCTTCAAATATGGATCTCCATGACGTTTAATTGCAAGAGCAAGACGGTTCTCATAGGCCAGAAATTTCCAAGGTTTCACAAGTTCCCTTAGGAAGAGTTCTAGAATCGAGCCACTCAGATCCTTAAATATAGTTAGCGAAGCCTAATTATGATGTACAGGGGAAACCCTACCTTAAAATCATCCACGTCCTGCTCAATTAGCATGGCCAGGAAGAGGGCGTGATATTTCCTTGAAGGGGAATTAATAGCCTTTGGCATAGTCTGGAATAAACTATACTTTCCGGATGTAAAAAATTGGGAAACATGCTATATATATGTTAGCTTGTGACACATACATTGTATTAAATATACCTACTAAAAGTCGGGCGTGAAATAGTCGGGCTGCCAGCCGCCCAGAAAGTAATACGGCCTGTTCCATGCATATAGATCGATCACTCGTAGGACCAAGCCCGACGTCTTTAAACTCCATACCAACAATAGTACGAGTCATCGAGACGAAAGGGATGGTCATTTTACGTTCAAGAAGCTAAACAGGTGTTAATAAGTAAAAATCAATCTTTCAAAGGAGAAGAATTTACCATAATAGCATCTTCTCCATGCCATGAGTGATCGGCTGGGACCGGACCTTGGCTGAAAAATTCTTCGATTCGAGTAACGTAGTATTCGACAATATCTAGGGCAACCCGCAAGCTACCCCAGTCGAAGTCTGCTGACGAGAATGGGAAACGAGTAAAAACTTGGTCTAGTTGATCTTGAGAAAGTTAGCAAAAGTTATTCAAGTATACGAGGTGCTGACATACAATGATTCAACGCAAAAGAAATGGCACCAAGCGTCGGGGCGAGTCGAATGACACTCAAGAATCCCTTCATTGAGAAGTGTATTACATCCATTGCGCCTTTCCTGTTCAGCCTCACAACTGCGTTGACCATATCTCGACTTATATTTCTCGAAGCATCTTTAGACATATTTAAGAGTTGCTGTTGAATATCCGATTCGGCTGACAAGTACTGTTCTATTGCCTGTTGAAAAATGTTTTTCTGCCAATCAGCAAACGGTTTGTATCCGTTAGTGTCCTCTTCCGAAGAGATCACGAATCGTGATAGTTGGCTCCAGGCTCGTAAACCGATTAAGCACGCTTCTTTGTGAGAACTACCTGGTGTTATCAGTTTTTCAATCGTCTGTACAGAAGGCCGTAAACTTGGCGGTGCGGCCCAGTAAAGTGTGCAGAGAAGATCATGATGATTTCTCAGTGCAGCCAATTCACTCTCATGGATATCTTTCTCCTTCTCATATTGTCGATTGTGATTTGGTAGAACCCTTGCCAGCATGTTCCTAGCATCTTTTATCAGGCCGTGATTTTCAAGCCGCTTGATAGACAGTGCAAGAAGCTTCAGAAAAATATGAAAACATCGATCTTCCGGTACGATAGCAAGCGACGGAGATCCTGCTAGATGCTCTAGGAATTCCGGTGATTTGTACACTTCCTCATTCCTCAGATGAGAGAGACCTCGAGCAGCAAAGAAATCAAAGATTGTCCCTATTATGCCATTGGACTTTCGCCAACCCCATTGTTCCACAAGATAATGGCAACGACCGACCACACCTCGACAATAATCATTGAAACTGGGTGCTTGCCGGGAATTACACTCATATAGTTGGAAGACCCGTCTGAGTAGTTTTTGCGGCAAGACCCAACCCTCTGAGGGGATAGTATGCCTGATACCCGGAACAACGACCCCAGAACTGTCAAATTCACCGAGGGGGAGCAACGTAAACAGATCGTACCAGATACGCTCGAAAGTATGCGCATCGTTAACAGAGTTAAGATCCGTACTTGAGATGACAGAAGAGACAATATCCCAGAATCCGGACCTCGGAATACGAGACTCTTCGAGCACTCGGATGAGTATGACCCAGCAGACCACCGAATAATGCTCGTTCCGAATACCTCTTTCACGGAAGGGTATACGTTGTAAATCATAGTACAAGTTCCGTATATCTGCTAGATCTCTCGCAAGTAATTCACGAGCTGCCCTTTTGCCCATTTTACCCAGTACATCTTCAAGTTGAAATGTCTCTGAGAGTTGGCTGAGACTATGGCATATCCGCAAGGTTTGAAATGAAATAATCAGACCACGACTCATTACATCTATCAGCAACCGAGCCCGATCTTGAGATTGGAGCGACAGAATCTCTAAGCGTTGCACGAACGTTTGTAGTACTTCCAAAGCCCGGCCCGCAAAATGTTTCTCGCTCTCCTCATCTGAGAAGCTTATGTGATCCTGAAGATATTCCAGTACAAAGTCTGCAGCTTGTACCGGAGTTATACCCCAACTAAGGTCAGGAGACTCCGAGTAGAGATATTCCACTATCCAGTCCAAGACAATGCCTAATTCTGATGAGGTTTGAGCATCCCACTGGCCCCACCGCAGTGTCTTCTCGCCGAGAACGAATATAGCACGGCCCCTTGGATGATGAAAGCTATCACGGGACTTTTCGTCCAGCGCCTTGACTAGTCGGCCGTTCCCGAGAACTGTACTCTCATGGAAGAAAACACCAAGCTCGAGCGGGAATATCTCAAAGTGCTGGGTATAATGTGTACCGAATGGACCAAGTCCTAATAATTTACCAGCGGATTCTGAGGCATGCGCCACTTCGACAATAGGACTTATCGGACTCACTTCGCGAGGTAGAGGATCATTAGCATGTGCATATTGGGGTGCAGTAGTATCCACGTGTTGAGGCTGGAAATGCTTCCGGAATTTTAAACGCTTTCGTCCTGCTACGGGTTGAAGTCTTTCGGGACCATCACCAGATGACGAATCCCCAGTATGCTTATTAGAGCTTTCAGAAGATAAATTGTGGCCTATAAGTCGTTCGAGTCCAATTCGCGCTGGCGTAGGTAATTCCCTACGTGACTTTCTATACAGTGCGTCGAGAGCTCTCTTCCGTGCATGAAAAGCGTGCCGCCCGATCTGTTCGCCAACTGCTTCAAGTTGCGCAGGCCTTGAAGCCGCGTTGAGGGAGTTGATTCGGCCAAGTTGAGAACGCTTCGGTAAAGAGGCTCCAGGGTCAAATTGAGTATGTGTAGATGATGTTCCCGTTTCGATGGTCATAAAGTTGTCAATGCTCGCCTGTTTAACCATTCGCCGCGGCTGTGAAAAGCGGCCTGAGGGTACAACACGACTTCGTGGTTTGGATATCACCTTTGGGGGTTGGGTAACAGAATTATGAGAAAGAGAACGAAGGGGCTTCGGTAACTCGATTTGAGACCTAGTCGAAGCGTTGGTGGTAATCTTTGGCTTGATACGACCCCTTTTCCAGTCTCTCAGGATGCTAGCAGCATCAATATTATCCTCGCGCGTCCCCAGTGCAATACGTTTCTTCGATGGGCTTGATCTACCCTTGTCGGATCTTCTGTTCGCTGTTCGAGCAGCTATGCGAATAAAAGGGGGCGCATTCGGTTCGACAACATCCAGGATACTGAGCTGGGGCGGCGGCGTATATTTAGTTACTACTCTACTAAGCCCTTTTGTGTGACGTCTTCCACCTAAATTATTCTCCGTATCACGTTTCTTAGCATTCGGTCGAGTCGTCGTACTTTTTGTCCTACTCAGCAGCCCAGTGATCCTCTGTTGCCGTTTTTTCTGGCCTAGATGCCCTTTAAATGTTGGTTGCTGATTTTTTCTCCGTTTTTTAGGTCGTTCTAATTCATCGGTATCCATGTGGGCTCTTTTATTCCTAGAGAGCATATAGTCGATCGAGTCATCTTCGATAACAGAACCAGCATCGTCTTCGAAGATAGGGATATTATTATTGTTATTAAACTCGGGAAGATCATCAGCTCGTAAAGTTACATCGTCATCATCATCCGAATCAAGGAACAGTGCCGCATCTGCACCAGGTCGAGGTGAGACCTGTCGGCGTTGAGCTACACCTTTCCTCTGAGTCCGTTCCGGTGAGTGATCGGGGCTCCGTTGCGGAATATCCTGGGGATTTTTCCGGCGCGTACCTGGCTGATCAAGTCGGAGCCAAGAAGCAGGTAAGACGCCACGCATCTTTCGCCTCATTGCGACTCGTACCATTTCAGTATCGCTCTCGGGATCACTAGATTCCGCGTCTTGCCCGCTACCAAGCTCGTCGCCGTCTTCTATCATGATGAGGTCAATCAAGCCATTACTCTCGTCTACTGGTGCAGGGCTTTGATTCCTCGATGATATCGTACTGCTTTGGTTTGGTGTAAGTGTTGTGACAGGTCGAGAGCGTTCTGTGCTAGTGGCTGGCGTGCAGGCCATGAAATTTGGACTCGTTTGCGGCGGTGATGGTGGAACATTAAACACACTATCAGCTCGCGCTCGTGGCGAAACGGCCCTCGCAAACCTGACAGGCTGGTGCACCTTCGGCAGCTTTCGTTTCCCAGAGGCCTTAGGTGAAGCTTGTCTCTTAGCGGCCATAGTTGATCTCTTTCCTAGCTTCCATTTGGCCGTGTCAGCCGGATCCGGAAGTTCATCATCTTGTGAACTCGCAAGAAAAACGTTGGGTTCGGCACCTCTGCGTTCAGAGAGTGGAGATGGACTTCTGATTACTGGCAACCCTTCCATATCAGTATCCTCAGGTAGATCAGGTATACCAAGTAGATCGGGATGTTGGATTATTTGACTGTCCCCCGAATCCTCCTGAGCTAGCTCTCTGGCAGTAGATTGGCTTTCATCCTCATAATCTTGTTCTTGAGAATCCTCCTCTTCCCTTCTTCTTCTCGCCGCCTCCTCGATTTGCATACGCAAGGGTCGCACGCCATGTGATTTGAGTGTCTTGCTATATTGTGCACTCTCTAGCAAGTAAGGATGCTCTTGGATTGGTTTCCGCGGCCTCAAAGATCGCCCGGACCGAATTGCTTCCTGTATCGAATCCTCTTCGCCCTCGTCCGGGACATCTAACTCGAAGATTGCATTGATGAATTGCTTAGGCGAACTAGGAGAAACTATTTCCGATACTTGAGGCTCATTTAATTCGACTTTGCTGGTATCGACGGTTTTGGTTGAGTCCTTGGGATCGCCCCTAGGCTCAAGGGGTGGCAGCGACGAAAGAGGGGATGAATCGGGATAATGAATCGTTGCTAGCTCGGAGGGCGCTTGTGGTAATTGCGGTCGAAGTGGACTGCGATTTACGTTATGCTCATTTTTAGAGACTTGAGATGATAAGGGTATATCCCAAACAATCTCATCCTCAAGGGCTGGGCCCTCCACAACAGGTTCATCTAGGATACCAACGCCACTTTGCTGCAGTGGAAGGTCATGTTCAGATTCATGTTCAGATTCTTGACTACTATCGAAGCCACTTTCGTCGTCCGAATCTGGCACCTCTCCAAGCTCCTTCCATTTCGCCATTGAGTTCGAGATGCATTTCCCTACATTTAAACGAAGGGATGTTCAATTATGTTACGTAGATATATAAATTAGGCAGACCTTACTAATAACGAAGACCTCAACGCGTCAAATACACTTAAACGCGTAAAGCGTAAAAAGCACCTACATGCATTTGGCGATTGGTGGGGCAGACTAAGGTATGTATCTAAGTACCTTAAGTACCTACCTAAAAGTGACCTGTAACTCTTCGGATTGGTCGACCACCACTTGACTCTTTAATGCATATCCCAATACCTAAATGTGTAACCATTGAAGATATGCTGTAATCAAATATAATCGATTTTCTTTTGATAATATTTCCTCAACACTAAACCGATTAAGTATTTATTACACCAAACACTACCTATATCACTTCGAAACACACCTCCAACCCTTATATCCCTTAGAATATATACATGCTCATGCTAAGGGGAATATGAGTTCATTCACTCGCGCCGCTCTTCCCATAGGTCTTGCTGTAGCCTTTGGAGTTTGGAACGGTATGAATTAGCTATAGCTCCTTTACAGTGTATATATGATGATACTAAACCTCTTATTTAGCTTATTATGCATTAGATCCTGCCTTTAAGGCACAACAAGAGAAAACACAGCAGCGCCTGGAAAAGGATAGCCAGCAGTTAGATAAAGTGCCTGAAGTCAAAGACCTCACACAACAAAAAACACCCAAGACAGACCCTTCACACAGCCGCTAGCTATATTCAGTCACCAGATGCCCAGTATATCGAATAATCTTCATAGCCTCTTGTGAGGTATAGACGGTTCCAACTTCATGAATCCTACTTGGACATTATATGAATTACACTGCCAGAGGTAGAGGTTACTATGAAACCTGATAGATATCCCCGGTGCTTAATAGCAACGCTCTCAAGCTCATGGTCTATTTTTCTTGTTTGATGTATCAAATGAACATCATAATTACCTTTAAATGAGCTAAATGGTACCGGTACCATGGATAACTCAAAGGTGGCGTTGTCTTTTGAACTAAGTCGAACCGCTCACTATAACCCAACGATGTGAGAATATCTTGATTCTTTTTTGTCAAGTCACTGGGTTCGATGGTTAATCATAGAGATAGTGGTTAAATCTATGAAAACTAGCAATTAATAAATACTCCGGATATTATGTATACCTCTCCTTTATCTGTGACTCGAATATACTTGTTAGTGATAACCTACAATATCCAGTCTTACGAATATATAAGCCTTTCAAAAAGATATTGCTCGTCTTCGTAGCTACATATCTTCTTATTAGAGACAATTCTAATACATGGAGAACTAATCTGAATAAATATTTAATAGTTGCAGTCTAGTAATACATCATATAAAATTTAGGAAAACGCATGCACTCGCAAGCTCGCGCAAGCGTTTTCACGTGCTTGCAGCACGGTAGAATCCGTCGGAGACATCTAAATGTCTTGCTAAATATCTTGATGAATCTCAGCCAATCATTTTCTTTATCAGCTTATCAATTTCTTATCATTTATTGAAAAATTACTTATCAATTATTTATCAATTACTTATCAATTACGTATCAATTACTTATCAATTACTTATCAGTTTCCCATAATAATTTCCAAAAGTTTGAGCGTAAAAAATGTCTCCGACGGATAAAAAATGTCTCCGACGGATAAATCTTTTACACGCATACATAACAGTCCTGACAGTGTGGATAAGGTACATAGTAAGGAATGTTCCCCGGATCCTTGTGTGACGTCGTACCTTATTTTCCACTCTTGTTTACCTTGGTCCGAATTTTAGCCGTGAGGACTCTAGCAGCTTTTAGGCTAGAGCTTTGGAATTTCCAAGTGTAAAAGCTTGCCTAAGGCCGCTGAGGCACAAAAACAGCTCCTCTATTGGCTCCACCACATCATACGACTACTGAATCTCAATCGAAAAAAAGACTCTCAATTGAATCCGGCCCCAAAAACGAAAGCTCCAACAACATCCGTCGTTCAAAACCCTCCCGCGATCCCACTCATCTTCTAGTAGGCCTCGCGACCGCCTCAATTGGCCCACATCTCCGCTCTCCCGACCGACTCAAACGGCATCATTTTATTTTTTTGTCTTTAGTTTTTCTTCTTCTATAAGACATAAGTCACAATGATGCGCACACCCACAACCTCGCTCCTGCGTGGCGCCCTCCGGGCCAGCAGAACGACGACTATGGTCCCCCGCGCTGCTGCTTCCACGCACGCCATCTCGAACCCGACCCTAGCCAACATCGAGAAGCGATGGGAAGGTTTGCCCCAGACTGAGCAGGCCGAGCTGTGGATGGCCCTACGAGACCGCATGAAGGAGAACTGGGCCGAACTCACCCTTCAAGAGAAGAAGGCCGGTACGTAGCATTTGCGATTCTTCGATATAGCACTATTGAGTCTCGAGTTGGGCTTCAAAACATCTTGCTTTACGGTTGGGCTATTGGGATTGGGGTGCATTTCCGTATACAACATTCCGGAATGAAGAGTGGATCCGCACGGCTTGATCTAGCCATTCACGATTCACGTATTTGAAGATATCACGGACTGACACCCCTCAACAGCCTACTGGATCGCCTTCGGTGCCCACGGTCCTCGTGCTGCACCCCCCGCCGATGAGGGACGCAAGGTCGCTCTATACACCGCACTCGGTCTCTTCACGAGCTTCGTCCTTTTCGCCGGAATGCGCGCGTTCGGCAGTGCCCCTCCCAGCACCATGACCAAGGAATGGCAGGAGGCTTCCAACGAGTACCTCAAGGTGAGACGGACTCGGCCCCAAATTTCAGTGTTTATTCCGCGAAAGTCTAAGCTAACATGTAACAGAACCAACGTGCCGAGCCTCTTACTGGTGTCTCGTCCGAAAACTACAACGGCACAGGCATGGTCCAGTCGCCGCCCAAGAACTAGACGCACTAGACTTAGCCTCTTTAATACCTACCAAACTTACTCTGGTCTCCAAAAATCTTTCCGTTTGTCCGTATAGAACCGCAGTGCAAGGCATTAACTTCCATGTACAAAATAAAAAGCCACTAGAGTGGGATGGAGTAGTAGGCGGCGGGGGCGCATTGACTATTCGAAGCAAAAGCCGTTTGGCAATCGCAAACTCGAGCAGCACATCAGAGATACTGATTTCATTTCCAGCTGAGATTCGGTCCCCGTGCCTAGGAGAAGCAGGTTAGTCGACTAGATTACGCCTAGCGTTGTAAATATGTACAAGTGGAAACAACCCTTCTATGCCGTTCTATAAATCCTCTGTCGCGTTACGTGCTATTCCATGCTTCTACATTCATCAACGTATATAATTCACTATTGAAACTAAAACTTGAGGTAAGCTCTTCAGTAGAAAGATTGGGACGGGTGTGAATACATAGGCACAATACAAATCCATGATAATGAGCCGACTGACCGTTTAAAGAAGCAAACCATAAGTGGCTATTTAATTACCTAGATATTTACCTCACGCAGAGTATAAGTTTAGATGGTCAGACATATAAACACGCGTACAATAGGACACAACTGTTACTCAAATCAAATTCGACAGTTATATAGGTAGGTAGCTTAGTATAATCCTATACATTATCCATGCAAATTCGGAATCGAGGTATACACAAAGCTGCTTGAGCAACTCTTAAGTCATATATACCTTTTTCCATAGTATACCCTATTGCCTCCCTAACACCAAACCGCCCAATGTAAGACGGCTATGCTGAATATGCCCGAAGTCATAACCCATTCCCTTATCAACACCGCGCCAAGTATCCCAAACAAAACCCTTTGCGATGAGACAAATACTTAACAATTTCAATTACTATGTCCTTCAAGCGCCGCTCTGACCAGCTTCCCGATAGTCGCCGAGACTGCTTACGATCTCCCTACCGTGAGCTTCTTGCCCCGGGACACCGGCCAAGCCATCTTCTTCACGTATCAGCCTCTCAACTTCAAGCCGACCGTCTTTACCCCAGTAGCCGACTTTCTCTTCGCCGCGAACGGCTTTCTCAGTGACTAGTACGTAGTGCGTAGGCGCGTCGAACATAGCCTCAGCCAACACGCGCTCCATCTCCATCTTGAGACCTCGCGCACCCGTTTGCGCTTTTTCTGCGCGTTCCGCGATGGCTTGCAATGCTTTCTGGGTAAAGAAGAGGTTCGAAGGGTATGTTTCAAATAGTGCTGTGTACTGCGCGACTAGCGAGTTGCGCGGTTCTGTTAGAATTCTGAGAAGATCTGATCGCGACAGCGGGGATAATGCCACAATGTTGTGCACACGTCCGATTAGTTCGGGGATGAACCCGAAACCTTGTAGGTCCTCAGACGTCGCGAGGTCTAACGCTGTTAGGGTCGCGGTATCCTCACCGTTCGGAAGGCGGTGGGGAAGATGATTGAATAATGCCGGTGGTAGGTCCGCTTTGCTTCCGGAGGTAGGCCGACTACGGAGCTCGGAACCGAAGCCCATACTGGACTTGGATACTCGGTTCAGTATCACCTTATCGAGACCGACGAAAGCTCCGCACATGACGAACAATATGTTGCTCGTGTCGATGGTATATTGATCCACCTTTCCAGCAGCAGGTAGCGTCGGTTGAGGTCCCGAAGTAGAATTTGAGGATCCCGGGCCGGTATAATTAGTAGTGATTGGGCTTGCCGAACGCGATGAAGATGACGAGCGATTGTCCTTGACATTGATAGTAACCTTGGTTCCTTCAACTAGCTTTAACAACGCCTGCTGTACACCCTCGCCACCTACATCTCTCCCATTTATTGTCTCGCGTTTAGCAATTTTGTCAAATTCGTCGAGGACTACTATCCCTTGCTCCGTAGCTCTCACGTCGTAGTTGGACTCTATTAACAATCTTTCAATACATGTCTCAACATCTTGGCCTATGTAACCGGCTTGGGTGAAGGAGTTGCAGTCGCAGATCGTAAAGGGGACGCTAATCTTCTTGCTTAATGTTCTACTAAGGGTCAACTAAGGGGTATACGTATACCGGTAGCAAATGGACACTTACTCAAGTATGTAGGTTTTCCCAACACCAGTTGGGCCTAATAATAGCAAATTACTTTTATCAATCTTTACAGCCGGTGTTCGACTAGCATCTTCGGGTATATAGAAATCAACTTTCTGCTCAACATGTTGCCATTCCTGATGTATGTTCTGCATAGCATCATATTGGCCCGGATACTCATCTTCGGATATATCGTCAGCGCGATACCGTCGAGTCATTGAATCTAGATTATGCCAACCTTCAACAGAATTCGGTTCCCTCTCCCTCGCATTACGATCGCGAGCAATAGCCTGCCGCATGAGCTTCTCGTCTCTCTTTCTCTCCTGTTCCTCTTGATGTTGCCGCCTCCGTACATTCTGGTAATGGTTAAAGATGACGGAAGATATGGTCTTCTTTGCCCGATCTTGCCCGACTACATATTCGTCGACTCGTTTCTTAAGGTCTCGGGGGTAGAATTGAGGTACTCCGAAGGTATTCTTCGAAAACATAGGGCCACGCCCTTCTTCGCTTGGATCATAGCTACTCGTAAAGCCCGAATTAAATTCCGAGCTGCGTCTCGTTATACGAAAGGTGGTGGTAGTCGATAGGGCTCGATAATGGGTTTTTGGAAAGACTGAAAGTGGCAAAATACGACGCCTTGCGAGGACCGACCTCATATTGGCGATTTTAGAGGTGGTCCTCCAATAGATAGTAGTTATTTCTAGAATTTTAACGTTATAGTCGGCATGGGGGCGTACATGTGTCTTGAAAGGATAGGCACGCTTATTTGGAGCCAATAAAATTAAAGTAGAATGCGACTATAATATGTATTCTGTATCGTACCTAAGGTACAGGTATTCGCCTTTAAAACCGATAAAGACTAATTTTGATTTAATGCTTAGATGGTGTTGAGTTGCACCTATGGTAGAAGACTAGATGAGGTTTAATGCTCCTGTATCGGACGCGTTATTGAAGCGAGATCCAGCAGCGATGATCCAACATATGAACTTGAAAGGAACCTAACGCAATTATGTAATGCGGGGCTCCATTTTGGCGGGGGATGCCTGTACATCAGTACATCATCTTAGGCCTAAGCGGGTTCAATGTTCCAACTATGCTAATAGCTTAGAGATTTTGGGTACCTCTATGCGAGTAATGCCCCGCAACAACTTTCAATTTTAAGCTCTGTATTTCTTAAAAGTCGTTCGAACACCTATAAAAACACCTATAAAAACACCTATAAAAACACCTATAAAGAACTTAGACTTTATTTGACAGATGTGATGACATGGCATTTACGCTTCATTTACGATATCCATTTTTTCAGCCCAACATACTACTTCATTGTTAGAAAATACCAATCGTCTGTTACCTTGTAAACTGGGCAGAGGGAAAAGCGGAGAGCTAGAAGTTCTAGACATCGATTGATGGATCCATATAGCAAATATAGATCCACAACCACTGTACTACAGGTTATCTACTGGTGTAATAATTGCCCCTCGACGTCATTCGACATGATTATTGGGCTGGAGTGTTTTTTTTTCTTCTCCTCATCTACCTAGGTAGGGAAGCAATTTTGCGATAACAATTATATACCTAATGGAATGATATGAATATGTTGGGAATTTAAGTAGCGCGATTAATTCCTTAAATTAGGTTCTTTCCTCTGGGTTCTTTAGGTCCAGAGAGAAATAGTTAGAGCAACAATCGTAAAAAGAAACAGGCACAACTTCCTATACTTGTTCTTATCGAGCATAGTTAGCTCCCTTTCATCATAGCTTGTTTTCATCATAGGAGGTACATAGCTTGTTTAGTGGGGTAGCTTGGTCTCAAGCTAACCTTAACTAACGGGCCTTTCTAATTCAATTCCATGCCTTCTTGCGCTTTACAACTCTTCAACTTCAAACGTCTTCTTCCTTTCCGTTTCTCAAAATCAAGAGTAACGGTTAACAAGATGACTGCCGTAGCCGACAATTCAGCAAATAGCCTTGCTTCTGGAGCTGCCCCAGGAATACCCAATGACGGCACAGGTGCGACTTCTTTTTAATCATACTATTATGTCACTTTTAGAGTTGTCAGTTAACAGTATAGTTTATAGGTGTCGTTCAGTTGGATCCTTGGTTATCACCTTTCCAGGACACTCTAAAGCGAAGATATACCAAAGCTCAAGATTGGATCAAAAAGATTGACGACACAGAGGGTGGGCTTAAGAAGTTCTCCCAAGTTAGTTTTTACTATTATCATATTGGGCACCAACCCGCTTTCAAGATTCGAGACTAACACATACATCTCTCTCAAACTTAGGGTACCGAGATCTTCGGCCTCAATGTTGATAAGGATAACAATGTTATATATCGAGAGTGGGCACCGAACGCTATTGAAGCTTTCTTGATTGGAGACTTTAGTGAGCGCCAGTCCTACTAGGCTATATCCTAAACTGTCGCACTGACTTGATACAATTAGATGGATGGAACAGAGGCTCTCACCCTATGAAGAAGAATGACTTTGGAGTATGGGAAATTATTGTACCGGCAGTAAACGGACAACCAGCTATCCCTCACAAGTCTAAGATAAAGGTATACAGCTTTATTCAGACTGTTAAGCTCTACATTTACTAAAGCTAGACGATAGATTTCCATGACGACACCATCCCACGAGCGAATTGACCGACTACCAGCTTGGATTAAATATGTTACCCAGGATCTCTCCGTCTCACCTGCCTACGATGCCCGCTTCTGGAATCCTCCCGAGTCTGAGAAGTACGTATTTAAAAATACGAGGCCGAAGAAGCCAGCAAGTGCTCGTGTCTATGAAGCGCACGTGGGTATCTCCTCGCCCGAGCAGCGAGTCACAACATACAAGGAATTTACCAAAAGTATGTTGCCAAGAATAAAAGGCCTAGGGTACAACGTCATCCAACTCATGGCTATCATGGAACATGCCTATTATGCTAGCTTTGGATATCAGGTAAACAACTTCTTCGCTGCGAGCAGCCGGTATGGCACGCCCGAGGATCTCAAAGAACTAATCGATACCGCCCACGGTCTGGGTTTGGTGGTCCTCCTCGACGTTGTGCACAGCCACGCCTCGAAGAATGTACTTGATGGCCTGAACGAATTTGATGGTTCAGATCACCTATACTTCCACGAGGGTGGAAGGGGTAGACATGAGCTGTGGGATTCGAGGCTTTTCAATTATGGTAGCCATGAGGTCTTGAGATTTCTGCTCAGTAATCTGAGATTTTGGATGGACGAGTACCAGTTCGACGGCTTCCGCTTTGATGGTGTCACCAGCATGTTATATCATCATCACGGTATTGGAACGTAAGATTGCACTTGATGTGATTATACGAGCGACTTTGTGCTGATAGTTGATTTATAGTGGGTTCTCCGGCGGGTATCATGAGTATTTTGGGCCAGACGTTGACGAAGAAGCTGTCGTCTATCTAATGATCGCTAATGAGATGCTTCACGACCTCTACCCCGAGACTATTTCTGTTGCAGAAGATGTCTCCGGTATGCCAGCTCTCTGCTTACCGTTGTCACTCGGCGGCGTTGGATTCGACTATCGATTAGCGATGGCTATTCCAGATATGTGGATTAAGATTCTAAAGGAGAAGAAAGACGAAGACTGGGACATATCCGGCATCTGCTGGACTCTCACTAACAGGCGGCACGGCGAGAAGACCATTGCTTATTGTGAGAGCCATGATCAAGCGTACGTATTACTGGTAATATATATCCCTTAACAAGAAATGATAAACTGACCCCTATCGATTCTAGTCTCGTGGGCGACAAGACCTTACTCATGCACCTGTGCGACGCAGAACTGTACACTAACATGTCAAAGCTTTCACCTCTAACCCCCGTCATATCTCGAGGTATGGCACTGCATAAGATGATCAGACTGCTGACACACGGGTTGGGTGGCGAGGGTTATCTTAATTTCGAGGGTAACGAATTCGGTCACCCAGAATGGCTTGACTTCCCACGTGAGGGCAATCAGAACTCGTTCTGGTATGCGAGGCGCCAGCTTAATCTGACCGAAGACAATCTCCTTCGTTATCAGGACTTGAACGAGTTTGACCGCCAGATGAACTTGACTGAAGCCCACTATGGCTGGCTACATGCACCGCAAGCGTACATCAGCCTTAAGAACGAGAGCGACAAGGTTATCGTATTTGAACGCGGCGGTTGCGTCTTTATCTTTAACTTCCACCCCACCCAGAGCTTTGCCGACTATAGAATCGGCATAGATGTTCCGGGCACGTACAAGATTGTGCTCGACACGGATACGAAGGAAGTCGGCGGTTTCGAGCGCAACGATCACAAGGCCCGGTTCTTCACTACTCCGATGGAGTGGAATGGCCGCGGAAACTGGACTCATATATATATTCCCAGCCGTACTGCCTTGGTAAGCCTTTTAACTAGATGAAAATCACCTGAATGAAGATATGATGGAAGCTAATTAATATAATAGGTCCTGGCCCTTGAAAGTTCTTGAACAAAAATGAATCTAACAGCTAGGATTCAGTATGTTTGATTGTGAAAAAGCGAAGCGAAGCAGCAATTTTAGCGGAAGTATAGGCTGATTACGAAGATATTGAGACGATATGTCGAGGACATTTTATATTCATGATTGATAGATCACAGCCATGTAGATCAAAACTACTATTGTTTTGGAATAGCTACAACGATGTATATAACAAAAGGGTATCGTAATGTGTGTAGTATCCCAACTTGGTTAAGCATTGGATCTCTCTCGTGCTTCATTTCTTTTTACTCGACAAGCCATTCCTCAACCTCAACCCCCATACTCCGCCCAACGCCTCGCACAACTTCCCACCCAACACCTACTCTCCATTTCCCTCCACGATCCATCGTATCCCCTGCGCCGCCCGCTCCTCCGACACGGATAAGCAGGCGCAAGCTAGCCAGTGTCGCAATCGCCATACCGACGTCCCCGTCAACAGTAGGTTGGTTTTCTGCCCCATCATCATTATCATTAACCCACTCCTGCCGTGTCGCAGCGTAGATAGCAACCATGCGCTCTAACACAAAAGCACTAGGACCTAATAGCTTGCGCGCGATCTTCCTGTGCTTGGCTTTCTTCGTAATGTGGTGCGCGATACCACCCCCGCCCCGACGCCGCCGTCCAGAGTGCCAAGTGCTGAAGATGGTCTGGTCGTGGCGGGGCGCGTTGTGCGAGGCGAGGTAGGCGGCAATTAGCAAGAGCCGGGCTGTGGGTGGGAGCAGAGCCGCTAGGTCTTTGCTACTACTTCTCGCTTCCTTCTCTCCGGTCTTCGTAGCGGTGGAAATTGGTCCCTTGGCAAGCGTGATGCCGGGCTCAAGGACAGCTTCGTCTTGGAAGTAGGCTCGCGCGGCGACGAGCAGCTTTGTGAATTCGCGGGCGCGGTGTGTGCCTGCGGCGACTGGGGCGGTAAATCGAGGCCATAACGCGGCGCAGGTGCGTGCGAGGCCGGGGAGAGAGCGCGATGCGGGTTTTGCTAGCGCGTCGTGGACGGCGGCTGTGAAGCGCGCCCAGAGGTCGGTTGTTTCTTGGGGCGTGGTGTTTGGAAGGGACGGGGGGAGGTATGGCGGGCGCGAGAGGATTGTTATGTATTCGGATTTCGTGTAGGGGGGGAAGTAGAGCTGCGGGACGGAGGAGACGCGGAGGAGGGATGGAGAGGGGGCGGTGAGGATGAATATGGTTGTTAAGTTGGGGATCTTGTGAGGGTGTCAGCTTGGAGTCTAGGTATATATATAGATGTGTACGTGAGTAGATATAAGGGGTGACGTACAATTTCGGAGAGTCTGGCTAGAGCTGGTAACAGGGTTGGCGGCGCCTCTCTCTGGCGATCGATGCCATCGAATACCAGCACGAACCTCGAGTCTCTCTCTTGGGGCTGGTCGTACTTCAGCATCTTGGTAAGCTCGACCGTCAACGCAGCAACAGTCTCACAGCGTCCAACCGTCGCCCTCCCCTCCCACTGCAGGGCATCACCCACCGCCCCGACAACCCGTTCGTATAGATGTCGCGCTGTGACGCATTCAACGGACTTCACGATAGCGTGGTTGAACAGAGGCGCGTCGTCATCGTCGTCGCGGGAAGATGCCGAAGATAACGCTTCGAGCAGATGCGAGGTGACGGCGCTCTTGCCTGTTGCTTCCGTGCCGTGGATGATAAGGTTACGGCATGGTGCGGCTCGGGGGTAGAGTAATGTTGCTAGAGCTCTGATCTGGGCGTCGCGGCAGGGGAAGCTCTCGATGAGGGAGGCAAGGAGGTCGTCTGGGAGCTCGAAGATGTTGGCCATAGTTTGGTTTAGGCTTCGTGGACGCGCAGGATGGGCTATCTCACGTCGGTGGAAGGCAATGCTTGCGGGTAGAGCTACATGAGGTAGGTAGTTTATTATCTTGAGAGGTGCGGTCTAGTATCTCGAATTATGTCCGTATGTTAAGTGATATATGCAAAAAGAAGAAATAAAAGATATACAATTATCGGGTATTTTGAGGTAGGGAATATTTGTTGAGTTTAGCGTGTCGGGATAGAATGTATAAGTCAGCATCCTTAATGGCCTGACAAAACGGGATTATATAACATAAAGTCTTACAAGTTTATCCCTTTGATCATTTCCGACGACTTTAGTTCCCTTCATTTTAAATATATATCTTAGGTGTGTACGTACAAGCTAGGTAAGCTTTAATAAGAATATATTGCCGTACGATACGTGCTTAATATAAGCCATACAAGATCCCGACAAGATACCAGCGAGATACCGGTAATCATGCATATATAGATGCGTACAAGATAACATGCACGCTGCATCTTCCCTTCTATCATAATTAAAACTTACTAAGACTGAAGATGCCGTGCATGTATATGGGTATATAGGTATGTGTAACTCAACTTCATCCGTGCGTTATCAAGGGCATTCCGTTTGGTTCAAACTTGATTCATCATTTCCTGTCAGCTCTGTTTGAAGAATCATAATGGGTATTAAAATACGAGGTAATACCTAGGTAAGAGTGCGGCTGACCTCCCACTTCATCGCATGGCTTAATATGCTAATACTCATAATTATTGGCGGGAATAGCAATACATCAAAGGCTATAGCACGAGCATGTTAGTGGGGCTCTGTCAGACCTGAGCATGTAGGTACCTACCTACCTCATAGAATATATGTATACGTCAGTGTCAGCAATAAGCAGCAGCCACTGCCACACCAAACTAGGTAACATCGGGAAACTAGAGCAACTAAAGTAAGGAAAGTGATAGGGGATAAGTTGCATTTAAAGACCATTTAATTACACGAGTTTTCTCCGTCAACCTTTGTAAGTCCTCCATACATATTTCATTGCTTTTTCCCGAGTACATCCCCCCCCTACATAATTCCTGCAAGCTTGAAGAATAAAGTGTTTCCACAATACAAATCCGGTTACACTTATAATAATAGAAAAAAAGAGGCGCTTATTAGCCATTTAACAATGATGCCAAGCTGATTTAGTGCAGCCCGATTGATTCGACGAAAATGGACGGAGCAGGAGCAGAAGTTGAATCTCCAGATATTGATGTCTGCCTAAACGCCGAGTTAGATATAAACTTCGCCGTCGACGATAGCAGCATTACGCATCTCGCCTCTCCGCCTGAGACCGATTCCTCTAATGGTAAGCCCTCAGGGGATAGTCCAGACTCTGATAGACCTTACCATTCAAAACGGCCTCACAAAAAATCTCGAGCCGGATGTCAACAATGCAAAAAGCGTAAAGTAAAGGTAACAGAGTACCGCATATAAAATAAAAGTTTTAAAACACTAATGCGTGGTCCAAGTGCGACGAGACGAGGCCAACATGTAAAGCATGTAGGCTTCGAAAGGAGAAATGCATATATCCAGCCACCTCGGCTTCGGCAGCTTTATCTACAACCCTAGTCTCTAGAACTACTCCCATCTCTAACTCTTCTTCTCCTATATCTTCACCTCAGCCATCTTTTAATACCGATCCCAGCACTATAGTTATTTCCGAGCCTCTATTTCGGCCACGCGAGATGACTGATGCCTTAGATATGAAAATGCTGTGGTTCTATACTAGCCGAGGGTATCAGTTCTTCTCAATCCAAACCGGTCGTTCTCCAGCAGTCGATCATGTGCTGCAGGTGAAAGTTGTCCAGCACGCTTTTCAGTCTCCTTTTCTCATGGACTGTTTGATGGCAGTTTCGTCACTACATCTCCAATCAATGAACCAACCTGTTCCGGCTCAACGCACAGCAGCTTATTGCTACAGAGCCTTCCAGGGTTACCGGAATGCTATCGAGGCAGCAAATCCACGTGACTTTCCTGCTCTAATAGCATGCTCGCTCCTGATGGTGGCTGTAAGTAGTCAGCCGTTCCGGGACCCGGATGCAAAGCCGCTGTACGTGGTGGATTGGATGCATGTCTGGCGAGGAATTAGCCTCATCTTTGAGATCGTCACGCCACGAGTCCTCCAAGAGTCAGGGATGGCAATGCTATTCTACCGACCACCGGTAGACCTGGAGAAGGCGGCCACGTACATACCGAACAACTTACTATTCATGGTAGCCTCTATTAAGCCTGGTGATACCGACGATGAGCATCAGCAAACATATTATGATATGCTCAAATGCCTTGGCTCGCTTTATCAAGAGGTCAAAGAGCATGGTTTCAGTCCTATCCTCGATCTTCGCATCGTCACCTTCCTCAGTACGTATCCAAGTTCAACATTGTTCAAGGAGTCAACTCTATCTCTATTATTTCGTAACAATCCCCGCCTTAGAATGGCTCAAGAACAGCTTAAATAAAACTCATAACCCTACAAGTTATTAAACCATTATATACTAACTTTGGATCTTAATAGCATTTGTCCCAAAGGCGTTTATTCCGCTTGCTAAGGAGCATCGACCTCGGGCCTTGGTCCTCTTGGCTCATTATCTGGCTTTCTCTAAATTAACTCAAGACGTGTGGTGGGTGGATGGTATTGCAAACAGAGAAATTGGGCATATATGCGAATCCGTTGGTGAAGAATGGGCGCATCTGCTATGTGTCCCTCAGATGGTTCTCAAGACAGAGGATAGAGTCGAAATCGCGCGGTTAATCATCAATACTCGAAATTGGACCCCCGCCGAGATGGATCGATATGAACAAGACCGAGATCCTAGGTTAATAACCGATCTCAGGCTATTCGATAACCAGGGCTCCGAAATCGACATTTCCCAGGGCGAGTGGATGATTAAAACGCCCACTCCAATGTCAAACAATTCCAACACTAATATACCCAAATATTTAGACCCGTACCCTGAACTATCTAGTTCGATTGCAGAAGTCTTGTCCAATCCATCATAGTTGGTCTCGATTCCTTTCATGCTACCGGAATAAAAGCATTAGTTTTAGTCCTATTTCTATAAGACACAGGATTTAACAATAGAGAGAAGATATCAAAGCTACAAACCCAGATTGGAAAAGATATTACAGTTCATTTCATAGGAGCTAAATGAAAAGGAGGAACTACGATATAGGCAAAACGACATATTATGTTGGAAGCGTATTAAAAACGCCCCCTTCAATTTTAATCGACAAACTTCATTTGTATGTATGTACAACCAAAGCACCGTCTCACTTCACATAGGTACATGCTAACATCGGCAGTCATAGCGCTTGGTATCCCGCCACATCACAACCCGAACCATATCTCACTAGCTGTCAGATTGGACGGCACGCTGTGGCCTACGCCTTGTGCGTAGATGCCCTGGACAGAGTCGCCGAAGTTGTTCGTCGTGTATCCCTGCTTAGGGGAGTTTTGCACGGATTCCGTAGGGTCCTGGCTCACGTTGAAGACAGCAGTCCACTGCTTGATCTCTTCCTGATAGTTCTGCGGCGCCAATGTGCCGTCGGCGCTACCGTGCCAGATCTGCATCTTGGGCCTCGGCCCTTCGTATCCGGGGTACATGTCTAGCACTACCTGCTTCCACTTCTCGGGAGTAGCTCGCGATTGTCCACCGCTGCAGCTGTTGTTCCATTGGTCGACACCGCCGGATGAGCTGACAAAGCATCCCGCAGCCACGCCACTGTACAGGGAAACAGCCTTGATCAGCTCCGGGTACGTGGCAGCAAGTACATTGGACATCATAGCACCGCTGCTGCCGCCGGTGACGTAGACCCGTTCGGGGTCAACCTTGTACTCGGAGATAGCGTACAAGATCATGTTCGCGATGGCTTGGGAGTCACCACCACCAAGATGGCTCAGGGACTGCTTAGACGATACATCCCAGCAAGTACCGCTGTTAGGAGAGGATGGCCATACGGTGATATATCCCTTCTTGTCGGAACCCTGGCGCCATGGAATTGCGCTGTTCTGGAAGTATGACTGCGCCGAGGACTGGCACGAGTGGATAACAACTACTAGCGGTGGGTTCTCGACTACATTGTCTGGCTTATAAACATACCTATATCGGTCAATTCCATAGCGAGGGGAGTGGAAAGGAAGATGCTTACATCTGCGCTTTGGATGTCGCGTTGTTGTTGTAGTTCGAGACCTGCGTAAGTGAGGCCGCCATGGCCGTGCTGGCCATAAGGCCCGTCGATACGAGTGCGGAAAATAACATGGTCTCTTATCAATCCAAGAGACAAGAGGCAGAAGCTTAAAACAAAAAGAAAGGCTGGTCTACCTAAAAACTAGCATGACCCCGTTCCTCCCCAAGACATATGGTGAATGGGCAATATATATAAGAGCCGGCATATCCCCCCATCGTGACGAATGCCACGAACAACAAGCTTTTCTCGGTTCGCTTCCCCGCATCCAATCAATTACCCCTTGATCTTCAATGCGCTACCGCCGTCATGATAGGGGGAAGATTTATCGTCAGATGGAAACGGGGTGAAACGGGGTAAAGTAACATAACAACTCCATTAAGTAGATAGAGGCAATTTCCCTAAGAGGAAAATAAATGCATGCATATAATACCGGGAGATCAAAAAACGTGGCAAGCGCCACGCAAAATTGCCGTTTATACAAGCTTTGCGATCGCCGCTCCTATTCCTCGGCTAAAGTGGCGGCTACGGTGCTACCCCCTTTTCTCCCGTGGAACTGGTAATTGGAGCGCAAGGAAGAAGAGCTTGTTGCTTCTCCACGTTTTCGCGTCGTTGGTGATGTAGTTGATATAGGCTCGGCATAGTCCTTGTATATTTATTTATTTCTGTTGTATAATTTTTGAGGAAGATGGGAATTATGGAGACGTTCATTATCCGCGACTTAGAAAGGATTATACGGCAGAGAATGGAAGAAAAAGAAAGCCAACTCGTCTTAGCCAAACCCACTAACCAGATAGACCAAGCAGGTTCTCTCGGTTAGGCACTTACAGAGATAACAAAATTGCACACTCATTAAGTAACTTAAATATTGGTGGCCATTAGCACATTTTATTTGTGGTTCGTATCTGACAAATTCTACATATTCCTAAACAAGTATGGATTCATGCTCGGCGATGACATCCAAATTGGCAGCATCCACGGGCCAACACTATCCGAAATAGTGTGTGCTGCCATGCGTATGCGCCGTAAACTAAACTCGTAACCAAGGCCACTATCATAAGAAACGGCATTACCAAATACCATCGATGCGTTTGTATGTGGTTGGCCTTCCGGTAGTGGTCTTGGGATGAAATCCGTTCTCCTTGCAAAATCAACTACACTGATGAAAGTGTTCTTAAACACATTCTCCCCGTGTAGTCCCTTTCCAATCCTTTTGAATGCTTCCGACCCCTGGAATCGAACTAACAGAATTCTTCTCTTTTTTTTCTTTTTTTTTTCTTCATAATATCAGTTTTGGGGGTATCAGCTCATAAACGAAAAAGCCTCCTACCAGAAGAGAACAGATGGAGAGAAAAGGCCTTGGGCCGTAAGATTACTAGTCATCTTCTTTATCATCGTCGTCGTCTTCGTCGTGACTGTAGCTCTCACTACGGGTCTCGATATCATTCTTCGGTCTGGGACCTCTGAAAATAGTTCCAGGGGGGTGCTCATCCAGACGGAACTTACATTTCGGGTGCAGGCATATGCCATTGCTAACGCAAGGACACTATAGGTATCTGTTAGCTACTATCCATGGCGTTTCTCAAACTATTAAACAGAAAGAAATCATAGAGTACATAAGATGGTAATTTAACCATCATAAAAGACTTACGTGATGACCGTAGATACAGTCGGCATTTCTGCATTCCTGTCCTGCAGTGCAGCGGTTTGAGCGGGCAAAGATGGCGATTGCTTTCTTCTCCTCATCCGTAGGGGAATAGTCATGCGTGAAATTACATTCGTTACCCCTAGTACAAGGACCTCGAAGGAAGTGGTTGTTACACAGCCTAGAACAGTCCTTTCTCTTTCTAAGACTCTCTATCACGGCTGGGTCAACATGGATAGGCGGGTCCAGTCCCCGGGGTCCCGGGTTCCACGGCACTATAGGTGGCCTACTCCTTCGTGTTAGAGTGGCTGTTGCCCTAGGGGCAATCGGCAGGTTGATCTGAGGGGGTGGGCTAGGCACTGTGCGAGCAATAGCTGCCCATGAGGCAGAGTTGGATACCTTAGGCAGTCCAGCCAGCTTAGAATGAGAGGGAAGGGGTGAGGGTGCTGGTGAGGCTTGCCGAGATGGTTCTTGCGGCCTTGCCGCCAGCTTCTCATGGCGGAAAAGCCTTGGGACATTGAAAATATGGAGACCCAGAGCAACAAGCTCCACAACAGTCTTCGTTCCCTCGAGAAGGGCCATACGTTCTTTAGTGTCATCTGTAACCATATTTGCTAAGAACGGAGCATAACCGGCATCATGAGAAATACCCAAAATTGCTTTCTTGCAATTGAAATTTTTCAAGTGAAACCTAAGAGAATCTGCTGATACGTTAGACAAAAGTTCTTGCTCTGCAAAAAACAAGTGTATAATTGAGGGTGAATACCTAGGATCTTTGCATCGGCTAACTCCTTACCAAACCCAACGTCCACGAAGGTGGAAGATACGTTGGCCTGGTTAAAGCCCATCACGAAATTGTGCAAGGCATTGCTGTCAGTAACACAGCCATCACGCTTCATAGCTTTAGCCAGGCCGGTAACGTTGGCAAAGATATTAACAATAACCGTGACTGTAGTAGCTCCAGCATTGTTAAACTGCTCATTTATAGCTTTGAGTAACTCGTTGGCTGCCATCTTTCCGCCTTCGATACCCTTCTTAACGATGTTCTCCTTGAACTGGAAGGGGAAAGGGTGTTAACTGGTGTATTGCTATGAGTTAGATGGGAGAAAATACTTACAATTAGTCCATCCCCATCAATAAGGACAACCATGTAAAGGTTGCGATCCTAAAAATGAGAGTTTAGTCGATTGTTGTTTAAGAAAGAAGTTAAGCTAAAAATAAGTATGTAAATACCGGAACATAACCCAATTTGGTTTCTATCTCATCCAGTCTCTGCTTGAGATCTCTTCGGGTCCTCTCTGAGCTATTGAGGTCCAGCTGCAGATCAGTAGCTTTCTTTTCCAAAGCGTTGAGTTCCTGATGGAAATACGTCTCGACGCTGTCATTATACTGAATGAGCTCCTAGATATTTGTAGTAAATAATTAGTAAACAGCAGCGCTCTATTTAGTTTTGCGATCGGCGATGCTAAAAACGTACCCTAATCAAGAGCTCATTACTTGCATTATGCTGGCATGCCTCATGATAGCGTGCCGCAAAAGCTCTGAGATTGCCCGGCTTTCCGGGGTCGTATTTGGGGGTATCAGGAGGATCCATTTTCCAAACCCTACGACAAGCTAGGTATACAGAGACTTAGAATGCTTAGTATAAGTTGTTGTGAAAGCTCTATGTTCACTGCGATAGTAGAAAAATGTTGAAGAGATTAGAAAACTACCGACGGAGGGCGAAAGGAAAAGAAGGAACAGTTATGTTTTTAAGTTGAAGGAATCGCCGTTTCGTAAAGGCAGTTGCGAGCCGGAAAAGTAATCGTGATTCGGAAGGCAGTCGCGATTTCCAACTAGTGCTTTGCGGATTTCGTACTGAGGCAACCACGACTAGTCATGTGTAGGTACCTAACCTACATACCTAATACAGTTACTACAGGATACACTAGAAAGCTTTCAAGATAACAACACTAAAACGATAAATACAATTTCTGTTAGGTAAAATCACTAGCTTTGTCTTATTCTATAACTAATAAAAAGCCATAACACAAAATTCCCTACAAGAAAATGAAGTGAAGATAGATGAGGCTGCAAACATGGACAAGCTCCGAGAGAGATAATGAAGCTCAAGATACCTAAACGTATAAGCCATCAAAAGTAAAGTGGATCTTTAGCTCGTGGTTTCCCTGTCTGCCGTCCTGCAGGGATCCGAACGGTCTGGGGTACATAGTGGGCTCTTCGGTTGCTATGATTGGCCTGACGTCTTTCATGTGCCTTAAGATCTCCGGCAGGCTAGCAGCCCTATGATCAGGTACCACTTACACTAAAGCTTCCGTCGGCACACCTAATTTAGTTTCATTAAGGTACCTTAAGTATATCCACCTTCCACTCTATGCACCTTATCCTTTTTGCTTATCGTTTTCTTAGTTGAAATCTTTATATCCATTATCCATTGCTGACTCTATCTATGAAGGAAAGCGAATTGACATAAGCAGCTCTTTTACTTCGTTTGGCACCTCTAGAGCCGGTTGCCGATTAACAGGATGGATATACCACTTTACTTATACGAAGTGATGACTTTACTACTATTCAAACGTCTAGAGTCACCGTCCTCACTGTAAAGATTAAGTCAGGTAAACAAACTTGGTACCCGAGGCGCACTTTGCAAACATTTACTTGTAATTCCTTCAAGGTAGATGTAACTTATAGGGCACTAACTTTCTATCTGCTACCACCTACATCATACGTAAATGTTACTAATATGGACTCTGCTTAAGGTAACCCTAATTGTTGGATGCTTTGTCATTTTGAACTGTTGTACAGAACGTTGACTGTGTAACTATTGAGTAATAATAGTAGTATAAATGCACGACCCATACTATTTATTACTTGAACTAACTATGTATATGTGGTTAGTTATTTCAAATAAGAGCAATAAAAATTAGCTACTTCCTAAGCATACCTAATCTCATAAGGCTCCTAACTATTGCCATAGTTTAACTTTTTCTTACCTATCCCTAACAGTATAGAAAATGTGCACTCAATATAGCTCCAAAGAGTAACTCATTATAGATCGTGAAGAGTAGAATAAAATATTGATAGTGAAAATAGAACGAAGAAAGAAAAGAAAACACAAAGTCAAGTGGCATTGGCAAAGGTACCACAGCCAACTCTCAGTGGAGAAGGCCACCACTATAAATAAGTAGACCAAACTATTAACTAACTAACTAGCCCGATATTAACACGTATAAACCGTGCTATTACTCCCTTGTTGGTAAAAGAAAAACAACAACCTGCCGATGGAGAAACCAAAAAGGATAATCATCATCACGAGAGGAGTAAGTTGGACGTTACGCAGAGCCAACGAGTTTCCACGCTCCGACTTCCGCGGGCTTTACATTTACCAGCACAGCATAAAAAGCAGAGCACTCCCCATCCCCATCTCCATCCCCTTCCCTTCCATTCCACTCCGCCCAAACACTCCCCCCCTCTCCTCTCTCCCCTAAGCTACCTAAGCTGATCCAGCCGATCTCAACACGTGCCCATCTTACACTCATTAGAAGATATCACCCATGGCGGAACACCCGCCTTCTCCCGCTGTACGTCCGCGGCTCAGCTGCCAACGCGTTATTCCCCGACGCAGATAGCGCCAGCCAGCCAGCCTTGTACAACACCAACCTCTAAACCCGCCTTCCCGCCCCCCGCCCATGATCCACTATGTATCTCCCTAGCTTAACCAGTGGGACCCCCCACCGCCCAAGCCCATCGAATAGGGGCGTCGCCATCGGTCCCGATACGCGTCTGTTCGCCCCTAGGTTCCGTATGCGGGTAATTGTCTTAGCGCGGCGGGTAGGGCAGCAAGGGGGGAGGAAGGGGAGGGGAGGGAGGTTGGCAGTCTGTGTGTTCGTATGTCTGTGTCTAGTAATAACTAACCAACTAACTAGGTATAACTATAGTAGCATGTACGTACCTATGTATGGCGGCGAGTTGGACCAAAGCCCGCAAGGAAAGTCGTAGCGACGCGACGAGACGAAACGAAGGATAAGACAAGACAAGATGACCATATCTCGTTCGGCATCATCTACATAGTGCTCACGACATACACAGCTACTTACTATACTACACCAAATCAAATCGACTCGACTCAACGAGCCCTCGGGGCACCATCATGACATGATCATGAGCACGTATACGTTTCACGAATTCCCCGTCGATACTACGTCCATCTACATCTACATCTACGCAGCATAACTCACCGTCCATCCGCTCCCAAAGCAAAGGCAAAAGGCATTACCCGGTCGTACCACGCAGCCAATCTATGTGATATATCACCTAGCCTAGCCCAGCCCGAGACGCTGACAACCAACTGACAGAGACATTCGGTGCGGTTACACCCTTACCGGCTGCAGAGCCTGTTGGACGAATTATTGTTATTGCCTGACGAGTTACCTATCTTGGTGGAGAGCACGCTCGTTTATGTATGGGACGCGCGACCCTTAAAGCCGCCATCGGCCTTAACAACCTACCCATCGGCCGGCACCAAATTTCGGACTTAAAGTTTCAACATTATAAAGGGATCGGCTTGAGCCTAGGCGACCCTTCTAGGATACTCTTAATGATCATTTGGCACACTCCAATTTTTTTTCTCTTATTCGAATCACCAAAGATTGGGGGGGATATCATAGCCCTGAACCATTTCGTCTGCATACAAAAAACGCCTAGCTTCGTTCTGGGTCTCCGTCATGTCGTATTATATCTTATCATCCCCAACGCCGCATATCAATCAGCTCGTTGTCAGTAAGTAGGAAATTGGTTTAGTATATTCCATAACGTGTCGTTACCAAATTCACCACCGAATTGCCATGCTGTTTGCTCCTCTCCCGTGGGCCCTTCCGCTAGGCTAGGTGCGATGTTACTACTGCTTGTCGTCCCTGGGAAACTTTCCGGCCAGGTCGTCGGCGGCCCATCGCCACCCCGCACGGCTTGCAAGTCATTATATGCGATGTCTCCCATGGGGTACATGGGCATGATCGCACTAAAGTCAAAATTAGTTGGTAACGTCCAATCCCCGCTTGCGAATATATTGTCGGACGTCCCGGAGGGGGGCGTTAAGCCAGTACCGGAGCTGATACTGCCGTCTCGCTCCCCTGCCGGCGGCAGTGCTGCAGAGACGCTGACATTCGACGCACTACTCGGGTTTTGAGACGAGGGCTCTGATAGAGAGTTAGGTGTATGCATGTCGGAAGAGCTACTGGAGGTCCCGCTGCTCGTAGAGCTGCCGCCCGATTCGCTAGTGGTCTTAACCGACAGGCCAAAGCCTACAGCCTTCTTGAAGCGGATGTATATAGCACGCAATACACTCAAGGCGGCCTGGGCAAGTCGATTTCGAGTAGCCATCTTCTCGAAGCGTTCGATTGCCCATTCAAAATGTTGCCGCGCCCCCGGCAACATCGCCTGGTGCTCCTTCGGAAATAAAATATAAATGGACGCTATCATGATAATGGCATCGAATGTACCAAAAAAGAGTGTGAAAGTCTTGTGTTGCTGCGGCTTCAGAAGAGCAAAGTAAATCTTCTGTGCTTCCAGCATGTCTAGACTTGCCTTAAGAGCCTCGTAACGGCTAGTTGGCCGTGTAAAAACATATGGACGATGTAGCGCCATAATGTTGAAAGATATGAGCTGGGGTAAAGTCGGCCGAACGAATGGTAACCACCAGCACTCTGGAAGGCTGTCGAATCGCGTATCCGGATTCTCCATGCGGAAGGGTGGTGGGGTACGGGTATAAAGCTCTAGCAACTCTCGGTGGATCTTTTCGACCCTGGAAAAATCCTTTGGAAATGGCCCTTCCTTCTCTAGGTCTAGAATATCCCGTAATGGCCGCATGACCTCCCATGACCATATCGCTCGCGTCAAAGGCGTAGGCGGATCATTCTCACCACGCAGTATTATAGGTGACTTTCTCGTATCCTTGGGAATAATCGAGTCGATAGGAAGACTCCGATTCATAAGGCGGTAATCCACGCTGGTAGGTCTACCAAGTACGGCACCAGTATGTAAATCCCAGCCGAGTAAAGTCATCCAGACCCTCCGGCGACTTTGTGCATCCCACATCTTTTCCAAAGCCTCTTCCGTGGTATCATCTGGCTTTGGTTGAGGATCCATCTGATCCCGATGCAGGCCAATTTCTTGCGCATCTCGAATACTGGTCCCCACTTGATGCCACTATTAAGACATTAGAATGGCAAGATGACTTGGTATGAAATTAAGAACTTACAGCTTCAGTGACCATGCCGGTATACTTGAGGAAAGCGGCCCTTACCCAGCCGGCTAATACCGTCATGATAGACATTTGACGCTTGCCTAAGAGTGCTAAGATAGATATACCCGACTCACTATAGTCAAATGCTAAATCGTCGAACGTCATGTTGCTGGTATATTTTAACGCCTCAAATGTTTCTTCCATACCCTCGGGAAGGTATAGGAGAGATGAGGCTAGCATTTGGAATACGAGAGCCGGAAAGGCTCTTAGGATTGGATCCAAAGCTTGCAGACCTGCCGTTGATAAGACGTTGAACGGTACACTATACCATCTCTCTATCAACTGGTGAAAGACGGGTTCATCAATACTAAAGTACTGCCAATTGATATCTCTGAAGTAGATGGCCGCCAACTTTTCGACGTAGGTCCTGGCCGGTAGTAGGCGAATCAACGTCTTATATCGTTCGCGCATGCCATAATTATCACCTTCAAATCTCTCAGATGGCATTCCTGCTAGTGGCTCCCCATTACTTTCGATCTTGCGCAATATCCCAAGGGTCGATACGCTATTAGAGGAGTAACCGAAGTCTGCGGTCTTGACGGGTACCGATATACTCTCGAGCGGATCGGATGGGCGGTCGTGGCCATTTTGAGACAGTCCTTTTCGATCGGACTTTGTATTTGGTGTCCCGGTCTCGTACCGACAGACAGTTGCCTTGTTCCGCGATACGCAATTCGTACATGGCATCTTCCGATCGCACTAAAAACGGCGTTAATAGGTAAGGGCGTGTTGTGTTGTTGGGCTGGCAGGGGGGGTGGTCGTTTATCACCTTCTGTTTCCTCCGATGACATTCGGTGCAGCTGATGACAATCCGCCTTCGTTTGCGAGGTGGCGCTTTGCCATGAAGTTCTTGATTTGATTTTGAGTCCATCTGGACGACGCTTTCAGCCACTTCAGCGGCAGACATGGCGATAAGAATATGGATAAATTCGAAGGGTTTGTTGTATGTAACGATGTGACCCGACACACGATTGTGGGTTGAGGGGAAATTGAATAGTATGTAGGTAGATGTGGACGGAAAGTTTGGTTCTGCTCCCAAGTGCCCACGGGGATTGCGCGGTGTGAATCGTATGTAGGTATGTAAGGTAGGTATGTATGTAGGTATTGTATGGACGGCTAAGTACCTAGAGGGCTAGGTTCATATGTAAAAGAGACAATAGAGCGGCACAGAGGATTTGCTCCTTACAATGCTTACTTGCCCATGTACCTGCCTACATTAAGCTATGTATAATCTTACGTTTATGGTACCTAGCCTACTAGCATAAAATCAATTGTAGCCCCCGCTCTTACAAGGTGTGCATGTCCATGTGTGTGTGTGTCCTGTGTGTGTGGTCTGCAATAAGAAACGTGGAAAACCCCGACCGACGTTCCTTCCTTGAAGAGGTAGCAACCTCTATACCGTGACATTGAAACAAACTCTATATACATCCGCATACTTACGTTATCTATTTCAGGTTAACTACCTAGGTACTTAGTACATTAGTTACCTACATCCTACATCAGCAACTCCCGGAAGTTGCCAACTAACAAAAAAAGTATCCCAGTTATTATCAGCAGATCAAAACTTAATAAACATCCAGTTTATACCAGTTTAGGAATGGTATAGCACTATAAACCAATCATATTCAAAAGAACAACGTTTCTCTGTCTTCCGGAGGTGGCTTTTCCCCGCTAAGGCCGTTGTTCCCGTGCTTATGTAACGAGGATGTTTAATCATCCGCGAGTACTAAAGAGTGCTAAGATCACCTGGGCAGGTTACTTTTATTACATTTTAGTACACTAACTTAGAAAAATTAAGGTAGGGTAGGCCTAATGTAGGGACCTATTACCAGACCTATATGATACACGCATGTACGGATTATATGTAGCCCCCAGCACCTGCGTCGCTAGTATCGCCAACAGGCTTCCACGGAAGTTTCTGACTTAGGACGAACTAGAGCTAATCAATTACCATGCGCATTAGAGCAACTTGGTTGGTCAAAGTCATATACGCTATAAGAAAGTTACGGCACATACCGCACCAGACCCGCCCCTTGCGCCTCTTCGCGACTTACAAGCATTATAGACAAATAACGCGAAGATGCGTATAAAGCGAGTGCTAGCATGGTAAAATTCATTGGCCAATATTTATGTTCATAGGTATGTATATATCATCATAAACTTAGGTATATCTACGGAATCACGATTATCTAGAATAATCTCATCTTGCAAAGTATATAACTAAGAGGAAATAGATCAGCGAGATGCATTTAATTCTAGTTCTTATCTCAAGAATCCTAAATATACTCATCTAACATAGGCAACTCACATGGCCACTCATAGAGAAAACCCCCACCGTGATATGCTAATTAATATGGAAAACAATTGAATATCATTTGGTATGACTTAACTCTCTCTCACATAGCCCTTTCCAATTTTTTCAGTTGACCGGGATCCCCGAATGACAATGATAACTATCTTGTATAAAGCCGAAAGAACTCCAGGCTCCGGGACGAATGTATCATCCATGCTTAATATAGAACCGCCTGATGCGAAATATCTCTTTACTTTCACGCCCGCTGTTCTATCCGGCCGAGATATGCTTTCCATGCCTTTCTTCGATACCGTTCAGCTTCCACTTGTGGAGATGCCGCCTTGAGAATACCTCGCCCCACGATAACAATATCGCTACCACACTGTCCTACAAGCTTCGTGGGTGTGTTATATTGTTGGCCAAGCCCATCGCCCGCAACGCCACCGTCTTCTTCGTTTTCTTCAGGAGGTAGTTGGCAGCCTGGGGTCATAGAGATGAAGGAATCCGTGTTTTCGCTGTTAAGGGTTTCCTGGGAAATGAAACCCATCACAAAGTCCTTATGTTCTCTCGCGGCTTCAACACAGGCCTGCGTGTACTCCTTAGTCATTAGATTTCCCTCGCTAGACATCTGTGCTAATATTAGGAGCCCTCGCTCCCAAGGGGGCTCCTCAATCCCTGCGTATACAAGCTCATCGCCTTCCGCGATAGAGTTACCAAAGCGCGGCGAGTCTACCGGTTCGAATGATTGCGTGAGGGTAGTAATGGACACGATACTCCCTTTTCTACCGTTATGATCAGTGCGGAAGTTTGACGACGGTGGGGGATCTTTTGACGGCGACAGTGCAGTTGTAGGTTGTCCATCCTCACTACCATTTTCGTCAAACTCGTCCGAGACTGGGGTTCCAACAGAGACCGATGTCCTCACTTCATAATTGACACGGGAACGCCACCGGGCGGCTGCTTGTTGAAGCGCAGTAACAGCGGCCTTGCCGGGAATCATGTTGACGTTTACGATATGTGCCCAATCGATGATCCGCGCGGTTCCAGCGGTGTACTGTAACTGGACCGTGCTGCCAATGTCCCCAAACTTCCTGTCCTCGAAGATAAGGAAACCATGCTTCCTCGCAAGAGCACCTAACTTAGGACCGGTGCCAGTTTGCGGATGATAATCCCATCCGGCGACGAGATCGTAATGCGTCTTGAGCACGACAATGGATGGTCCAATTCGATCAGCTAGGGTGAGAAGTTCGCGAGCGGAGGTAACATCGGCACTAAGACACAGATTCGACTTCTTCAATTCCATGAGCCGGAACAAGTAGTTGAGTAGCGGGTGGGAGGCATTGCTGGCTCTCTCGGCGAAGCTCGCCTTGAACGTGGGATGGCGGTCCGAAGCTGCACACATAGCAAATCAATTATCGATATCGTAATATCGTGTTAACTAATTTGTTTTCTTTCTCCCTTCTTTACAAAAGACGGAACTCGAAATAGTCGAAAGATGCGATCGCAAATAATTGTGGGCTAGTAGAGTTCCGGCGAACACGTTGACCCGGTCAGGCTCTGCCGAAAGGGTCTTTCGTCTATCGAGGGGCGATCGGCGGTTGGGTGAGAACCCTGGACTTAGTGGAGCTAAATGATGTCAATTTACTACGGGAGATGGGATAGATCTAAAAAAGAAAATAGACGAGATGGCCGCGAAATAGGCCCAAGCTGTACAAATACTGCGACCAGATGTCTTAATATAGAGAGTAGATGAATATCATGCCGTGATGTGTATGCATGTATAAGGGCAAGGTAAAGACGGGTACAGGGAAATTTCTCCCATTGAGGAGAAAGCGATCATACCTGAAAGCTGGAGACGCAGAAACGCAAAGGCCGTCTTCTACTCGGTAGACCGCCTTCGTGCTCTGGTGGCTGACCGACAAATCCCGTGCATATGCTGTTCTCCTCTCAGAATTTTTGACGGACCTGGGGTCTTCGGGCCTATTGGTTCCCTTTGGTACGCTTGTTTGCTAGAGAGGCTAGAGAGGCTAGAGAGACGGGCAAAAGATATGCGGGCTTGGGTCTGGAATCAGACCAAGATCGGAGACACCGTGCAGGCCTAAGAAGTTTTTACCAAAGACCAATTCCAAATTCGGCCACTACGAATAAACACGACTCGTTCCGAGATGAATTGGACGTGACAAGCGACGGTCGAGGAATTAATAAAAGAAAGCCCTAGGGAGAAGTAAATAATAAGAGGAAATGTTTAAGGGGAGATGTAGTAGAAGTTATGTGATGTCGTTCTCAACGCCAGCTTGTTAACATCTATGTCAGATGTCTACCAAATTAATAAACCAATTGGTGTCCTAGGATATATTCGACTAAGGATTGAGATTCAAGTTTCGACTCTTAAGCTCGTGCGGTTGGTTATCAATTAGAAACCTGCATGGAGGAACATCGATTTATTTTTACATGAAGAGGTAGTGGGTGAAGTAGTGGGGGAGCACGGCACAGGTATGTAGAGTGTAGAGTTAGGTAGTATGGAAGTGGGATCAGGTGTAAGTAGGTGGGTTTTGTACGACTTTCTTGTATAGGAATGGGTATAAAGGTATATGACATTACAAGAATTATTCAGGTTCAACTGGGTGTGACAAGAATTAGATGAATGACCAGCTATACATTTAAAGGTACGTCGGGAAGGTACATACCTAATAGGTACATATAAGTACATACATTATGTATCTTTCAAGATTTTCCGAGGATGAGACTTAGTGGCATCGAGTGGTTGCAATGCAGACCAGCAGCCACTAGTGTATCTTGAGACAGTGGACAGTGGAATAATCTGCAGTCTTTCTCAGCAGTTCCCAGAAGTGATTGTCGAATAGACCCCACGTACCAAAGTATTTAATACCACGTCAAGTAGGTACCTAATACGACAAGACGGGCTTCGATGCGCTGGCTACATAAGAAAAGGAGTAGTCCTCAAAAAAGTAATAAGGTTTACATACAGTAAAGACTACATACGCATGCATCAACTGATACTCACATGTATAATTGATTATGTATACATGACACCCTAGGCTAATAATAGGATGTAATAGGATGTGAGTGGGAAATACAGAGCTAAGCAGCTGAGTAGGCATCTAACCTGAGGTAGGCAACACGGGAAGCCCCTAAGAGAGATGTAAATCCTACCTGTTTAAGTCGATGGGGATGTAGTTTCTAGAGCCTTACCGAGTCCAGTTCTGATACAACAAAAAAAAAACAATAGCCATCTTTGTTATAGGGCGAAACAGTAGTGAATAGCCAATCAACTTAGATACTAATGTCTTCTATCCGCATCCTTCTTCCTCAAGAGGCGGACTCGATGAATCCTTTGCTATTTCCATGCCAGCTCTTCAAAGCAAGGAAACCCGATAAACTCGTACATACCCAGGTAGTAGCCAGACTTCCTAAAATATTGGAACCATCCACCCGAACACTACATAAATCCGTGAGGGGGATTGTTAAGGCTGCGTCAAAGGTCTCATCTGGAATAGCCTACTCCCTACTCTTGAGTGCTATGATATTCCTAGGTTAGTCTGATCTTTTAGTGGGGGATGGTCTAATATCCCCGTCTCAGTATTCTCCTATAAGTATAGCTTATGTATAGGTGATACTTAAAAAGCATATTTTCGACTAAGTTTTTGAATAAGAGCTCGGGTAGACTTATATCAAAGTCAAATGTTGTGCTCGCATGACATAGCATTGTCAAAGACATAACTACGTCACATCTGCATGCACTATATCTAGCGGATAACACATTCGGGTCGAACTAATATACTCTTAACAACAATTAGTTACCAAAATGAATATCTCGGATGAAACAAACTCGTTCTTGAACACAGGTGTATATATTTAACGTGGTATAGAGACCACATATCATGTGAGGACCAATTCATGTAAAGGAGAAAGATAGAGCAAGGCAATAAGCAAGGGTGTTTACTCGTGCCGTCCCGGTTGGAGATTCGCGATAACGAAGGCTACTAACGTTATCTATAATCGTATATACAAGCATTGATGTACTTGTCTAACGTAAGACCTAACTTTAGCCTTTAGAAACTTCCAATGCTTGAAATAGTTACACACTAGCAATGTACTTAATGTACTATGAGGAGGGCGCCTGCAGCCTTATCTCTTTTTAACATTTGATCTAATCATATTTTCATTAAAGAATTGCGGGTCTGACAGCCTTGACAGCCTTGACAACTTTTAACATTTTCATGAGGTATGAGCCCTGGGCAGACCTGACAGCCTTGACAACTGGCAAGGTTTCTCGAAGTCCTTCCCGACTCAGCCGAAAGGGTCAACCAACTTTAATGTCTTATCACATCATCTCCTCACTTTTTTTCCTTTGATATTATTTGCTTGATTAGTTCAACTCGACTTCTTTATTATTGGGATAACTATCTTCTATTTTGCGATCGCATCCCTTCCTTCACTTGATCAACTAATTCCGGCCTCTTCTACGCTCTGTCGCGGGAGAGTTATTATCGTATTCATATCACACCATCCGAGCGTTACCTTAGCACGTCAGTGCGATTCAGCTGAGCGCCAAAGCCGACCAACCTTTCAGCTCCTAAATAAATACCGCGTCATTTGCTTCCTTCTCTATATATTTTTATCTCACTTGGAGGGAAGCCACTATGTCCGAACGAAGAACCAGGCGGCAGGCCGCTTTGGCAGCAGCGGCAGCAGCAACAGGAACACCTACGGCTGATGAGGCTAACGACACTCTTACCAACATCAGTCAGCACGAAGCTACTATAAACGGCAACGACAATGCTAATAATATCAACAAAGTCGGTAGTAACGGCAATGTCATTGCATCATTAGATCCTAAGGTTGATAACTATCCGAAGGAAAATATCTTCTTATTTTGGCCTAATATTATAGGTATGCGCTTACTACATATGTTCATGCAACACTTGTGGTTCTGTTACACAGCTTCGTGGTGTTTTACATGATAGTTACCCTTGTTGTAGCTCGAACTGACCTAGAAGCTTGAAAAATTTAGGCTACTCTCGTATCGTTCTAGCTATCGCATCCCTCTACTATATGCCCCTTCACCCGCGGACATGTTCTATACTTTATAGTATCTCGTGCCTCCTCGACGCCCTCGATGGCTATGCGGCTCGTTATTTTGAGCAATCGACCAAATTCGGCGCTGTATTGGACATGGTAACAGATCGATGTACTACCTCATGCTTACTCGTCTTCCTATCCTCCGCCTTCCCGCGATGGGCGATCGTATTCCAAGGGTTGATTACGATAGATTTCGCAAGTCACTATATGCATATGTACGCTACATTGGCTATGGGTGGTTCGGAGACTAGCCACAAGAACGTAGACAAGTCACGCAGTTGGCTACTGAATCTTTACTATACCAATAAGGTCGGTTTCTTATCTTGTCTAAACCGCCACCTTGAGTTTTAGCTTACCAGATCTTAGGTCGTTCTCTTCGTTTGCTGCGCCCTTAACGAAATTTTCTTTATCGCATTGTATCTACTATCTTTCTCCTCGCCACTTTTGTCGCCACAGCTCCTCGAACCCCTCGGCGAGTCGAAAGCCGCTGCTATCCAGACTGGGGCACAAGTTAATAGTTCAGTCCTTCGACAGCTATTCACTAACCCTTATAGCGCCGGTGCCCTGGAGATGGCCCGCGCAAACAAGATGGATTCGACTTTCCCTTGGATCCTTGCTGGAGTCAGCGCCCCGATCATGGCATTGAAGCAATTCCTAAATATCCTCCAGCTCGTCAAAGCAAGCAGGTGGCTAGCCGAAGGTGACGTAAAGTCGAGAAGAGCGGCTGGTTTACCGAGGCAAAAGGGCGGGAAGCGTGCTTAAAGAAAGCAGATATATTTCCTAAGCAGAATGATGACAGATCCGCAATCAGATAGTTGTGTAGAATAGCACAAGCCTGAACGCAGTGAAGCCATGGTGATAGTGTGTACGAGGTGTCCTATTTCATTAAAGGAGCGTTAGGCATCAGGAAGCCGGTACGGTTCTTATTCAACGGTTGCATAGGATCGGACATGGAAAGCATGGAAAGGGATCTGACTTGATAACCGGTTATGTTCGTCGCAAGTCGATTAAGGGGGGGCTAAACAGGGTAAATTAAGGTGCATGTCCAGAGGACACCAAGGGGTTAGTCTTCGTTGTAAATATATAATCCTAATAATGAGTTTTCATTAAACTCACGTCTGGTATAGAGAGCAATCGATGGGTACGACGTTTTGAACTTATCGTTTTATGATTGGAAATAACTAAATAAAAGAGAGTTGATCTTACACGCCGAGTTATAATGACTGTTATGTTTCATAGTGACACCCATCGGTGATCTATCTATTCGCGACGGCTTGCATTAGTAGGAATAGGAGTATCCACCCATTTTCTTTATTACGATCTAGGAGAAGAGATTTATAGTATAGAATACTTATGATATAGAATCATATCCAAGGCTCAACCATGTCCTAAGGGTACATAATCACCATGTACCTACCTGGTACCTAAGGTCTACGAAATATCGTCAGTGCTATATCCTGTCCATAAGGATCAGTCAGGCCAACACAAGTACATGCATACCCGCTACCTATCCCGCTTCCCGCTCCCCGCACCAGGAACATGATTACTATTCATCGGAGTAATAAGCCGCATGCATAAGGCTGCGTACCTAAGACAGACAGACAGACAATACCTGGGTACCCCTAACGAACAAGTCCCGAATGTTTCTCCTATTAACTACGTTTCTCCGGGGCCGAATAGAAAGAAAGAGAAAAAAAAAGCATAGGTAACTATAATAAAGAATTCGGAATCTAGTAATAATAAGCGAATGGGCTGGATCTGGCTTACGCCATGTCGTCGTGTCTCGGTAAAAAATTAGGGCGGAAGCTGTCCGATTGGAATATGTATGTATGGATGCAGGTAGGTAGGTAGGTCTCAGCTGCAGGAGGCTGAAGAGTTTTAACTTGACCTCCGTGAAATTGCTTTATTAGGGAGCTGTGATTGGTGAATCGGTCGTGTCTTGAGGGCTTGTCTTCAGCCCTTATACACTAGCTGCAGATATCATTTAAGCTTCATAGGTATATGCTACGTCAGCCTGGGGGAGGGAATTGAGATACAAATCGGTGTCTATCTGGATACATGTGACCTTTAGAGATGTTTTTGGAATTTACTATAGGCAGATGTGTCTAGAATCTGGCAAGGAATGGCGTCTACATACATGTAGATGTGAATATAACATCACGAAGTAGGTATACTCCTTCCCCCACCTTACGCGGGATATCCCGTCGGTGGCGTAATGCTATACCTGCCCACATTGGTGCCGAGAAATAGCTCTCAAAGCCACACGGCTACTGATCGATTATATTGGGTAGCCATACATATATGTATCTGGCTTACATACCCCCCTTTTTTGCTACCGGTAAAGTATGATAGGCATAACGAGTCTCCATACCTAACTACAACCCGGAGATCCCTAGGAATACTATCAGGCGAGATGCATCTGGCACTATACTTATGCGGGCTTAACCTCGACCTAGAGCTAAAATACCAAGTGCTGCAGAGAAAGTGGTACGCGTCATACGTCAAATGACATTGCAAATGTCCGAATGGCAACGGAAATAGGACCGGTCCCGCGGGAGGATCTATGGAAAGGAAGTTTTTCTTAACTAGGTATCTCTAGCTAAGATTTTGTTAACCTCCTACGAACCATCATTGCTTGCTGTGGGAGACGCCAAGTTTAACTATGGGATTTATACATGTGACCAGGGCGCATTCTTTTTGAATACATCTAGACAGCGGAAAAAGAAAGAAAGCGGCGTCGAGATGATCGACGCTTCTGCATATGTATCCCGCTGAAGATAGTAAGTATACTACCCACAAGTACTCCATGCAATGATCCCAAACGCCGTCCTTACGATACTATCCTATAGTTGCTATACCGGGGTTAGCTTTACCATCAGGGGAGGCTTATGCCAGGCAATATAATTCTTCTGGTTTTCGAGCCAGTCTCTGCACTCGGCCATTAATTCGATGTCGAAGTTATAAATAAGCTTGGCTAGGATGACTCGAGTCTCCATACGTCCCATTGTGAGCCCGAGGCAGTTCAATGGCCCAGAGCTAAACGGCTATAGATATGTAGTTAGCATTTGCTTGACCTAATATTGTGTTGCGTATTTAGAATTCTAAATGCATATTATATCCGAGCGTATAGTATCCATGATTTCAAAGTTATGATGCCGTAGGAAAAGAGAAAAACCAAGTAGGATGTTCAGACATACCTGGAAGACCTCTCTTGAGTCATTGATATATCTCTCATCGCCTAGCCAACGTTCAGGGACGAATTTCTTCGCGTCTTTAAAATATCTCTCCAGCCGTCCGATAGCATGGTTATGGATGCCAATAATAGAGCCTTCGGGGATGAAATAGCCATCCACAGCGCAGCCTCCAGATGACATCAGTCGAGGGTTAAACGACGTTGCAACTGGAGCCCAGACACGCATAGACTCATCGATTGAAGCTAAGAGGTATGGGAGATTAATAACGGAAGCAGCTGTAATATCCTGCTCTGACCTGAACGTAGACCGAATCTCACGCTTAACTCGGTCCATAGCTTCTGGATGAGTGAGCAAGAGGAAAAGCGTAGTAGCGGATGCTGTTGCTACTGTCTCCGATCCGGCCGTTACCAGCATCTGGGCATTGGCATACATCTGCTCTTTCGTGAGAACCTCGCCGGCCTTGCTTTCGCTAGTAACGAATGACATATAATCTGGATGATCCGTCTTCTTAGAAGCCATCCTCTTGTCCACCAGATCTAGAGTAGTCCTAAGATGATAGTCCTGCGCATCGGCAAAACTCTTTGGAATAAGGAACTTTTGCCAAACCCACAGTGCCCAAGACGAAATGTCGTTTAGGGCGTGTGTATAAACCCCCGACGTGAAGTAGGCCATACTAATTTTAATCCAAGGATGGTATTGCTCTTTCTCAATGCATTCGAAAACATCTTCGCCAAATACTAAGTCGCCTTGGATGTCGAAAGTCGCCCACATAGTATACTTTTCAATGTCTACAACATCCCCCCTTGCCGAGGCATCGCGTAGTTTCCGGATCATAGAGTCGATGTATCCCATTACGAGGGGCTCCTGTTCGCGTGACGCCTTTTCGGAGAATGCAGGGTTAAGCTGGCGACGTATTCTAGCATGCTCCTGTACTTCAGCTTGAAACATGCCCACGGCACCGAACTTCTCCTTAAGCGGTGCGGCCCGCGAATCACGGGTTAAAGGCCCTCCTTTACCATAGCGAGGACCATATAGATCTTTGAAAGATGTGGGACCGGCACAAGAGACTTCATCGGGGCCGACGCGTACGATGGGGCCATATTTCTCATGTAGCTCGGCAAACTTATAAGGGGATCTGCCCTGTGCTCGAGACCAGCTTATAGGAAGAGGCGAGATGGCGTATAGCTTTGGGCCCGGTATAGGGGCTAATGAGTGGAAGAAGGCATTGTAAATAAGCTTAGTAATTCCTATTGCTAGAGACTTATACGAAGTTCAGCAAAGATAAACTTGGACAAAATGATTTAGTTATCCTTACCAATAGAATAGAAAATATTAGAAGCTCTAGAAAAGAGGCTCTCCGGAACGGTTCTACGAGTATAGTAAATCCTGCTGACATTTTAGCTTCGTGCTTGATATTGTTATCAAGGCTCAACAAAATACACGTACTTTTATTTCCCTAATACTCTAAAACACCAAGCTCATATATAACTACTCATCGTTATCTTTTAGTCTATCTATTCCCGCGGCTCGAGAAAAATCCGCGAGAGCGGGGAGTTATCTATGTCACGTCATACTTGATACTTGATATGTAAGTGAATGAGTGATGAGTTTATTTATAGTTCATATCCCATAGGCCACAGCATGCTGGTGATAACAACCGGCTATAATATAAACCATATAGTTATCTTGGTTGATGGGTTCCCGTAATATCGGCACTTGAAAGACATAAGCAAGCATTGACCATCGACATGTAAGGTGACGGCGTTACGACTTGGGTGATTAAACGAGAGCCGGCAAGATGTCTTCTTATCCACTCAATCGGAGCGGATACCTGTTCACGTGTATCGTTCTAGTATAGACTGCATAGCTGCTGAAGAAAATTACTAATGATGGATGTGTAGTCTCTATTTTGGGACTCTCTTATATGAGATTAGGGAGCCTAGGAGTTGCTCCAGCCGTTATCTCTTATGTATAAGAGGAGTCCAGACTCAAGCTGCATAGAAATGGCCAAGATAGTGTAGATCGGTAGTTCTTAACAGTGTATTTCCAAATAATCTTATTGGTTACATTCGAGATGACTCTGTACGAACAGTTGGAGTAGTATACCTAGAAGTACTATCAATAAATAAATGAAGGTTGTACAGAATAGAACCTGAGATCAATGCGGCTTACGGTGATGGAAGAGCATTTCTCCACTGGGCTGCAGGAGGGAATACCCTAACTGATAGAGGACTAGCGGCTTTACCCCACTACCTGGGAAGCTCACTGGCTTAACATCCATTCAATTCAAAGTTCCACCAAAAGGACACAGCTTACAAGGTACATAACCCCACATATCTACAAAATTCAAGGTTTACCTACGGATGTCCCTTTCAAAAGTTTTTACCATAGGGAACCCCTGTCAAGATTGTCACCAGCTGTCTAATACTTGGCCAGCAACTGTCGGGTGATTTAAGGATGTATACATTATTATTCCTAAGGTTTACTACTAGATTTTACAGCCAAATATAATTTTAAAATAAAAAAAAATTATTATATATAAAAGAAGTCTTTTATATTTATAATTTAAATTTTTGGGGAATTTTAGAATCCAGTTTAAGAAAGTTATATCTTATTGAAATAGTAAAGTAAAATAAGATACATATGTTAAAAAGATAAGTAGCTGTTGCCAAGCTTGGTCAAAGCTTGCCGGGGGTGACAAGGGTCTTCCTATGGTAAAAACTTTTGAAAGGGACATCCGTATATCAAAGTTCATTATCACGAGCTTAATCGATAGAACCTTCTTAAAAAAGTGTCTAGACCGACAGACCGATAAGAACGACACAATAACCAAATACTCCTCAGCAACACACCTAACATCGCAACATCCTCACAAACCATCAATCGATCATCTACTCACCCACCATGTCACATCCCCGAGTCGAAGAAGTATCCGACAGCGATCTCTCGGACCCTAGCGAGGGAGATATCGAAGACTTCGTCGAAACCGACATCCTACGACAAAAAGTCCCCGCGACCACCACCTCCACCACCACCTCTTCCTCCTCCCCATTCCCTTCCACCATCAACCCCACCCTCCAACACCCCTCCTCCGCCCCCCTCGCCCAACAAGTCCAAGCCAGCGACATAAAAGACTACCAAATGCTATACCCCGTCTACTTCGACCTAACACGGACCCGCGCCCAAGGCCGCCGCGTATCCAAATCCCTCGCCGTGAAGAACCCGCTCGCGCGCGAAATCGCCGCCGCCTGCGCCGCCCTACGCCTATCCCCCGTCTTCGAGGCGCACCGAGTCCACCCCAAGGACTGGGCGAACCCGGGCCGAGTGCGCGTGAAGCTATCCTCCGGAAGTAAGGGTGGAAGCAATGCCAACCCGTACGCCGCCGACGTCAAAAACAAACACCACCTGTACATCCTAGTAGCGCAGCACCTGCAAGCCCACCCCACGACCGACACGAGCGACGCCCTGCGCCGCGTGCGCGTCCCCGGCCTCGGCGCCCCCGACGACGACGAGCCCTGGCCGCGGCCTGCCGTCCCGCGCGGCTGGAAGATGGGCGAGCTGCTGCCGGCGTATAGCGCGGCGATGACCGGGGGCGGGGTCAGCGAGAACGCGTTTAAGGATATGATGCGGGAGATGCAGGGCGGAGCGGGCGGGGGGCCGGCTGATATGATGAGTATGCTTGGCCAGGGGCTTGGAGGAGCGGGGCCTGGTGGAAGTGAGGCTGGTGGAGGAGGGGGTGGAGGTGGGAAGAAGGGTAAGAAGGGAAAGGGGAAGGCGTGAGTGGAAATTCTAGCTAAGGCTCGAAAAGGGTAGCTTCTAGGATGACACGAGAAGAGATGAGATACGAGATGTAAAGCTCCTCGAGTGGGACAAAGGGGAAATCAGACTCCCAGTATCATGGCATATCCTCTCCGAACACGTCTCTACAACACAAAAGATAAATCAATGAATACATCATAATGGATATGTGACTTCAACATCTGCTATGCGCTGCTGGCTACGCTGCAAAGAAAAATTTGTGTGTGTAATGATACAAATACTTGTTAATCAAGGGTATCTCGACCTCTCCCCTTTCGTAAGCCCCCAATACTCATCATCCTAGGTATGTGATGTTACACTTTACATAGCCGCAGCAAGTCTTCCCTGTAGCCCTTCCCACTCCCTAGACCCAACGATCTGGACCTCTCTTGCGCCAACACCGGGAATCACCTTACCATCAGCATCAGGGAGTCGGATCTGCAGTCTCGCAGCGGCCTTACGCATCATCTTCGCGTGATCGGGCTCTTGATGTTTTTTCCTGCCTTGCTCGGCGGTAAGCACTACCCTCGTCTTCTGGATCACGGATCCTTGCCAGCTGTTCCACGTTGCGTAGTCTTCAGCTTGTTTCGCGGCGTGATACTGCGGCGTCGCCTTCGCGGGACGCCATGCCATCTTGTCTTTCGGCAGGGTGCTCAAGTCGTAGACCTTGGCGGATGTCGCGAGCTTCAGGAGTTCGCCTAGCGCATCCCTACCTTCAGCTGCCACGAGAGCCCTTCGCTGTTCTACAACGGGAACAGGTTTCTGCAGAGGCTCGGCAAGCCAATCATGTCGGGCTTGTTCCGTTGCACGCGCGCGCCGGTTATCCTCACGTAGGTACCGAATAGCAGCTTGTAAGCTAGCGATGTCGTTTTTAAGGGCATCCATCTCACGTGCTGTAGCCACCGCGCGCTCCTGGCCGGCTTTCGCCCTGCTACCGTTGGAGCCGGTCTCGTCGCCAAACGCCCTACTATCGCCGGCGATCTTCTTCCACTTGTCGCGGTCGACCTCGAGGGTCTTGGCCTCGCGGTCCTGCTGCTCGATGTCCTTCTTGAGACTTTCCACGAGCTTCTGTGCGTCCGCGAGCTGCGCTTCAAGGTCCGCCATGCGAGATGCCTTTGCATTTGCGTCCCGCATGCGTGCCTCAAGCGTTTCGATGCGGAGGGCAGCTGTGCTAAGGTTCTCATCGCGTAGAGCGATCGTACGACGAGCTTCGTTGTAATGCTCCTTAATTTGTCGCAGCTCTTCCTCGGCATCAATCGGGATCGTCTTGAGTGCCTTAAGCTCCTGCGCACGGAGGATCCATGGCGCCTGGCTGCGTTCGAACTCCTGCGTCTGCGATAGATCGGCGCAAACAGCAGCAAGGTCAGTAACTTGACCAGTGAGCGTGCGAAGTTTAGAGAGATAAGTCGAGAAGAGATCGGATTCGGCGGACGAGAATGCAGTCATGATAGTATTATGGACGGCGCTCTGAACCTCTGGGTATGTGAACGGCTCTGCGCGACCTTCCTCGCTGAGTAGCCTATGAAGGTCCACGCCAATCTTTCGAGACATTTCTGTAAGCTCTTGGCTTGCAGCCTCACATTCTTCAAATGCTTCCACAGTATCAGGAGTAAGAGCTAGTGACCTAGCTCTAAGATCCTCCAGAGATCGCACTGCCTTGCTAATAATCACCTTAGCGCTACGGGTCTGGGTAATGACGGCTTCAGATTTCTTCGCGAAATGTTGAGCAAGCTCGTCTTCATCACCGTTGGGAGGCACAACCCTTTGGACCATATCCTTTATTATGTTAAATGCTGTAGCAGCAGACTCTAGATGGCTCTGCATCAAGACTGTCTTCATCTGCATCTCATCTGCGAAGCTTTCTAGACCTTGTGAGATGTGGACCTCGCCCAGATGTGACATAAGAGCAATGGTGCGTTGTAGCTCGCTGGCACATTGCTTCTCTTTCAGCTCGTCGCGTCGAAGGCCATCGATCCAGGTATTTAGAGCTCGCTCGACGGGTTCTAGCTCGTACAAGGCGCCTTCGTATTTGGCAAATTCCTCTAGTGAACAGTGACTGATAGCGTTGACAAAACGATCACACATGGAAGATACCCAAGTAAGTTTATCCAATGCGTCGCAGCCAGCGAGTGCATCATCTTCAAGGCCGGGGTGCGGCTGTTTGTTGACACGTTCTTTAACAAAGCCATGTAGCAAATTCGCCTTGAAAGCCAACCGGCTAAATCGCAGCAACGCCAGGACAGAATCTCTGTCAGTGTTGTAGCTCTCGGGCAAGAACAATTTGACAATCTGGAGATGTTGTTGCGCTTCCTGGGCGTCCATGCGCTGCAGCTCTAGATCGATGGTCTTGATCTGTGTCTTCACGGCTGAGAGCTGGAGTTTCTGATTGAGATCCATCATCGCTCTCGATTTGCTGTTGAGTTGCTCAGACTCGGCCTCGTTAACGGCGTGAGATGCACGCATATCCTCTAGGTCGGTCTGGAGATTAGTGACGAGCTCTCTAAATCGAGATAGCGTGTATTCCAAATCTCCTATGGTATCGTCCTTCTCAGAAGCTCTTCGTGCCTGCTCGGAGATGATACTATCCTTGAAATCGAGTTCATCTTGCATTTCCTTCTCATTCTGAACATGGTTAACCTCAAGCTCATCATTGATCTCCTTGAGCGCTTCGAGATCATCTATCATGGCCTTCAATTCGTTGATATGTTCAGACTGCTGTAACTTCTCGTAGCTAAGTTGCTCGATCATGCTCTCCGCACCTACGTTGTCATCTAACTGCTGTCGGAGGTCCTCGGCACGGGTCTCGGACTCTAACAGTTTCTCCTTGGCGATCTGGTACTGCTCCTTTATGGCTTCGAAATCTTCCAAGTCCTTTTCAAGTGCTTTGATTTGCGATTTCGATTCCTCTTCTTGCTCTTGGGTGAGATCTCGTAATCTAATAAGAGCTTCACGTAGCCGCTCATTGTGTCGTTCCATTTGAAGCCATCCTGTACTTGCTCTTTCATCAGGAGACATACCCTGGGAGTACTCGGCATTCTCCTCGCGTAGAACCTCCACTTCGAGCTCGAGTTCCTCTGCTTTTTGCTTCAAGGCGTCAAGTTCGGCTTTATAGACCTCGGCAGTCTCCTCGGCCATCTCGCGGTCTAGTGTTGCCAGCTCCATGACGGTTTCATGCTCTGCTTGTAAGTTCTCGATCTGTACTAGTCGTTCTTCCGCTTCCTTTAATTGCTTCCGTAGGGCGGAGTTTTCCTGTGCCGTAGACTGGTATTTTCCCTCGATCTTTTTATTAATAGATTCGAACTTGTCCCGTTGCTCCTGAATTATCTCCAAATCTTTGATCTTTTCCCGATCCTCCAACCGTTTCCGCTCTAGGACCTTTAGTTTTGCTTTTAGGTCCTCATTCTCCCTAGCTGCACTAGTAGCTGATGTACGAGTAGATGTAGCCGCACTTGGAGGCGCTTTAGAGCTTGCTGTGCTCGCTGGTTGTTTAGAAGATGTCGTCGAAGACGGCCCCGCAGAAGTGAGCTTCTCTAGAGCCTTTGTTCTAGAGCGCACGGGACTTATCGTCTGTTCTCCATCGCTCTTAAAGGGAGAGCCCAGATCCGATCTGTTGCCACCCTCATTTCCCGATAAGGAATCCCCCGACCGTACTCTCCCAGCAGTAGGGCGAGATCCGCGAGCAGTCCCAGTAGAGACTCGTGCGCCAGGAGGCCTTGTGGTACCACTAACAGATCTTGTGGTACCAGATGACGTCGATACCTGTCTTCTATTGCCAGCAGAAGGTAGCGCTGGCGGCCCCATAGAGGTTCTAGTATTCACAGGTGGAGGACGAGGCCTCGCTCCAATGGAAGAAACGCGCGCATTTGATGGCGTACCGGTTCTCGAGTTCGAAACGCTAGGCGGGGCAGTCATTCCAAGTTGCTTCGTAGGAGACTTGGTGGGAGACTATTATGGCAAGGTTAGAACGAAAGAAATGCGGCGGTATATTAGTATAAGCTGTACTCACCCTCACCATACTGGACGGTCGAGAAGATGAAGACCTCCTAGGTACTGGACTCGGACTAGGCGCATTCAAGCTCATTCGTTTGCCCGTCGAAGGATCCGTTACAGAATTTGATCGTCCCGCTACGGAGCTTGGCCGTCCCGCCACAGAGCTTGGTCGTCTAGCAGTTGTGCCTGTTCGCGGCCCTCTTTGAGCAGGGGCAGCAGACCTAGTAGGCGGAGCAGACTGGATCACTGCCGCTACGGTAGCGGGCCGGACGAACATGCCTCTTCCCGGGGAGCAATCGAAATAGCGTTCGCCCTGGACGGAACCATCATTCTTTCCCCCATCATCCTCAAGCTCGATACCTATCCAGTCGCCCACAGCGAAATGGGTTTGTCCAACATATCGAACAATCGCATTGCGGCCGTCGGTAAGCCGAATCGTCTGCCCGACTTCGACATCCGACATTCTGGGCAGGAATTCCTCGAAATTAGTTCATAATGGACCAGGGCGTTTGGTATTGGCCCTGAAGCTTGACGTTTGAAGCTCTTTGTTCTTAGTTAAAAAGTAAAAAGTACAAAGTACGCGTTGCTTGTTTCGTCACGCGAATGATCATTACCTCCTTATCGGGGCTATTGCGGAAAATCACAGTGTGGTAGTACAGTGTTTTGTTTAGCTGCATATAGTAGAATTATCACTATATCAATAGCATCGAATAGGAGGCACCTTTACCCAGCCTGCCTTTACCTAAGGTACATCAACGTATCGTATCACATGCAGCTGTGATACACCAAATAACAACCTCCCTAACCTACAACTTTCTATAATTGAGACTTTTGATAAGTCAATATAGAAGAAAGTTTTAAGACCAAAACGCGAATAAGGGGTATCAAGATTTATGTTGCCTTATTCTACTCCCGAAATCATCACCATTAAGTCTCGATGCCACCACCCTCAACACAGCTTCGTCCTACCTAACTTAGGTCTCACCTTTATCACCAATACCCCGACCTGACACGACCTGAAGTGAGACTTTGTGGCATCGCGGAAAATAAAAATAATAAAAAGGTCAAGTGATCTTATAAACCGCCAAAAAAAAACGGCCATATGTAGAGGGTATGTATATGATGCCATTCGCACAACCCTTCCCCGTCTCGTTTCATTACCTACAATACATACATTCATACATACAACATACATACGTACATGATTTCCCCTTTTCCCACACATGTGTTTTTTACGTACGTACAAGTGTAATTTAACCCGCCACAGCTAGCTGAGCACAAATTCATAAACTATGCAACATAGGGTATTGTAAACCTCCTCTCTTGACGCTCTTTTTTTTCTCTCATCCGTGAATCAATAAATAGGTACGTGAAAAATAAAAATAAAAACCCCCATCGATAAAATTCATGAACGCGGCGGTGGCGACGGCAGCACAAAGCCCGCCTTGAAACTCCCGCTACGCACCCACTCCATGATCTCGAAGCCGAGCCGCCGCTCTAGCTTCTCGTCTACTACTGCTACCCCCTTGGCCCCCTCTGCCACGTGCAGCACCATGACAGCCGGGTTGACGAACTCCAAGAGACTGTTGCCTTGAGCTTCTGCCTCGGCCGTTCGCTTAACGTATATCGTCAGATCGGGGCCTACGATCCCTCGCCAGAGCGTCGCTAGCCACTGCCAATGGTCGTCCGCACGATAGGCGTCGTTTACGTGCAGCGAGCTAGCGTATCTATCTGAGACTGTCAGGCTATAGCCATCGGATACGACGGCAACCGGAAGTCGAGGCTTGGTCTTCGGCGATACTTGGACGTCCATGGAATTCTCTCCCGTCTCGCCGTGCGCCGTGCTTGTTGGCGGCGGGTGGCTGGTGATGTATCTTATAAGATCTTCGGATATCTTGTGCCATTTCAGCATCTTTGCAACATAAGTCGCTAGGGGACTCAAGAACCCCGACCCTCTAGGTGGGCTGTTCTCTCTTATGACTTGTTCGTTTTCACTGGTATTACTATTATTCCTTCCATCTGCTTCTACCGGTCTTAATTGTGTCTGGGTATCTTCTGTCCAAGTCTTCACGGCATATTCTCCCGAAACAGACAACGCTTTCTCTACTACAGCTGCAACCTCTTTCAGTATGGCCGGGACCGCACCTTCGATGGCAATAAGAGGGCCTCGTGTTTCGAACAACGGCCCTCCCGGGCCAGGGGGTTTCAGGGGCGCACTAATCGAGCGTAGCACCTCTAGCTTCAGTAGGAATGGCCATCTCGGTAGGGCATGTTGTGGTTGCGGTTGCTTTGGGAGGGCATTGGCGCCATTTGGAATGGCATGACCGTGACCAGATTGGACGCTAGGGGGCACGCGTCCCGGTCCTGGTCCCGAGCTTATGGCGGGCGAGCCTGGAACCTGTGTTTGTAGCGGCGGCAATCGGAGAGACTCATCGAATGCAGAGGTATGACGAGTTGGTGTCGGAGCAGCTTGATACGACATTGATGTACGCGGCGGGGGTGGTGGTGGTTGCATGTGAGGATAATTAGGTTGGCCGGTCATTTGCCATTGCCTGCCTAGTCTAGGGAGTGGCCCAGGGCCATATCCAGTTGCCGACACTGGTGGGCCGGCGAGTGGTTGACGGTGGTATCGCGGATCAGCAGACATATAGCCCATCGGTGGCGATCCCGGAGTAAATACGTTCGGCCCGTTGAAACGACGTCGTTTTGCATCCACCGGCGTTCCTATTGGCGACATCATCGGGTAATCCTCATCGATATTTTGCATGTGCGGTGGCATATATCGACGTTCTTGGCTGTCAAGAGACATGATGCTTGAACCTGATCCACGCCGTAAGTGGTCCGTCTCGATTACTCTTGGGTTTGGTATCGCATAGGACGGCATGTTAGGGCCCGGCCCCGCACCCTCCGGCGTTGCGGCACTGAAAGGAGTAGACGGCGTCCTTGGTGTCGCGATATAGCGTCCACCGCACTTAGGACAGTGACCAGGGTCTTCGCCAGTCGCCGGTATAGGCCTGCTGCCGGAAGCTTTGCCTCCTCGCCTAGGCTGATATCTGTAGTCAGGGTATTGACGCTGATGTCGGATTTTTTCCTCTTCTGCAAGCCGTTTCCAATTATTCTTTATCTCTTCGGGTTGCTCACGCCACTGTTCGCCAATGAGCTTTGATATCTCTGGGTTGGCTAGTCCCGGGTTCCGAGCGGCGACCTGGCCTTGGTAGTGCTGTCGATAAAGAATGAATGCTGTTGGAAGGGGTGAAAGCGAATGTCAGCTGTATGCTCCCAGATTCAAGTTTGCAACATGTTCAATTTGTTACCGGATGTAATAAGACAAGTCTCGACCCTTTCATTTCCGCCCCTTTGAATTCTAAATACAGAACACAGCACACGGACAAAGAGATAACCGTCCGAGTTACCCGTCTCGGGACTGGGATACATCTGAAACCTTGTCGTGTTTCTGGAGAAGCAAAGGGGAAATAGTAAAGGGTTGGAAAGAAGAGCGGTGGGGGATATTTTCGGCTCAGGTAGAGTCCCAAACTCGAGTTTGCTAAGGCAAATAGGATGACAGCAGAAAACATGAGTAAAACTTCTTTACGTACCGTTACGCGGCCTAGGAACCTTAGGTGCTTTTGTACAGAGACATATTAGGTCCCTAAGCCCTTCGGTTGTATTTGATGTTGCTGTACTAGGAGTATAAAGTCGAAGATCTTGGATTCGGGGTTGATTCGCCTCGTCCACGTCAATGGAGTATGCTCGTTTTCGACCCTGTCTTGTAGCGGCGGTTGCTAAGGAACTATCATCAGGTGGGTGTGCTTCTGGAGCTGCTATGAGGTTTGATCTTGCTGCTTCTACTTCCCTGTCGTCGTGGGAATTCGTTGCCATCGTAGACCGAGACTCAGCCTGTCTTGTAGGGCTAGTTGTCAGCGTAGCTGAAGAATCTGTAGTCTGGAGGGAAGACCGGTCATTTTGGGAGGTAGAAGGAGAAGGATAGCTGCTGCTAGGTTCGGTCATGTTCTTCGCAAACGGTGAATGGCCAAGCAGAGCGTGTCGGTGTGTGGGGAGGACGGACAGCTCAAAGAGCGGAGTCCCAGTTCGGGAGCATACACGAGCTCTCGCTACAACGACTACCAAGGCCTCAGGGGTCTGGCATCTGAAGAGAGAAGGATCCTTAGAAACGGTAACAGCGACGATGATGATGTGATAAGCTAACTAACTCGTAGTAGGGTGTGTATGTGGCTGTTGATCTGGGGCGAAGACATGAGACATGAATAAATGGTGGAGGTAACAACTAAGGGCTTGTTAGGATTGTTTTCTTTGTTGATATCCTTTCTATTCACAAGGCTTCAACTAAGTGACAATGACCAATAGCCAATAGCCAATGGCCCTAGGAAGAGAGGAGGTACACTTCAGGTGGTCAATGACCTTATGCCGTTGCCACTACTACTACTGCTTCTGCTGCTGACTCTCCTGCATACGCCCATACAAACCCAGCGTTGGCCATTAACAAAGTGTTTTTTCTTGCCAACGCAACTAATTAGTGGCTAGGGAAATAAGAACCAGCAGGTTAGGTCGAGAGAGGGAAAAAAGGAAGATATGTTTCTTTGGGACTATGTCTCGGGAATATACTGAGGTCCAGGCTGTTGCAGATTAGAGCCACTTCTCTCTACCTATCTTTTTTCTCCCCCTTCCTTTGTCCAGCGTTTGCAACAGCTAATATCTAACAATTACTCTGCCGTTCGCAGTAGTAGATAATAGGCCAGTCATTCTGATGATGACAAGAGTAAGTATAACAAATATATTAAACAACAAAGTCTATAAGGTCAATAGTCAATGCATACATATATAGTAGCCTTGTTCGACGCAGTCAAAAGAAATCAGGAAGTTTTCCTTCTTAACTGCTTGACACAACATGACAACCCCTTGGTTCAAAGCTACCTACATTAGGTACAATACACAGGTAGGAATGCTCTATGGTCTGCTGTCCCCCTGCTGGAACGGAGTGAATAACCTACCTAACACCACTGTCTCTTACGAGCTCTCATTCCCCCTCAATTGCTAGCAACAACAAAGACAATGTCAACCGAAATTAGTCTAGGTAGAAGTCACGTGGACCCATAACTTTTCATTGTCTCTAACCAAGTTTTTATGAAGAGTCGTCGTTTTGCAATGTCTCAGTATTATCTCTAGGGTTGGCGATCTGGAAAGCAACCAACCAGGTTGTCTCTCTATTTATATTGTGAACAACCAACACACACATACACATACACAGTACATTTAGGAACTCCGAAACCCCTCCGTAATGTAATTTTCCTATCCCGAATCCCTATTTCTCATAGTTTCGGGGCCGTAGCCTTGCGAAATTGGATTATTATGACAAGTCCCGTCCGTGGTCTAAGACCTCTCGTTTTCTTAAGACACAACGTGCTTATGAGATAAACCCTCGTCCTGTCTCACCGCTCAATAAGTCGGCACTCCGTCGCGCATCGAGGAAAAGCTCCTCGCACTCTGCAACATCTTTAATATCAATCTGACTACGACCATTGACTCGAGCGAGGATGCTATTTTTTGATAAATTAGTTACCAAACTACGTCGAGATGAGCAAGAAACATAGTAGACTATAGAATACATACCTTGCGGGAGTCAACAACTGAAGACAGTATCTAAGACTAATGCGCACACCGTGCTCCGCGATCTTGTCAATAGCAGCATCCGTGATCTGCACACCTTCTGTTGTTGCTCGGATGCGTACGATGCGTTTAATCTCGTCGGCTTCATACGGTGTGGTAGGGATTATGAGGAGTCGGGCTAGGAAGTCAGGGGGAATGCCGTGTGCGGCAACGACACCATCCGTACCGCGGATGGTGCACATACCACGGTTTGAGGCAAGCACAACAATCGGTGAGATTGAAGATTCTAACGCTCGGTTGAGATATGTAAAACACTCTATGTCAAGCATGTGCGCCTACTATAGATTAGCTTCCCGACTCGAAATCTAGTATGTTATGGTAGACGGGTATTACCTCATCAATGAATAAGACACCAGGGACAAGTTCAGCTACTCCCTGGTCGATGTATTTGCTGACAACTTTGTTGATCTCGTCTCGTAGCTTCTCTGTGATCTCCGTCATCTTGGGCTTCATAAGTTGACCCATCATGCTCATTATGTCTTGGCCGCCTTGGGGCCGGGCGTTGGCAACGTCCAAGTCATGAAGTGTAACATCTTGCACGATCTCTTTCTTCTTGTGCACCTCACCCTTTGGAATGGGGACATACTCCTCTGCTTCGAGATCGAATTCTGTGGCATATGCATCTGATCGTCCAACTCTTTTGCAGGCTCCTGTGTTCGCCTCAATGTAAATGACATCTCCAACAGTAACTCTCTCCTTCTGAATTGCTTCATAGATACTTGGATCTAATCTAAGCTTCTTCTGGCCCCTTGCACTCTTTAAACCTATCAGTAGCGTGCTGATAGTCTTTCCATAGCCACCTAGCGGGTTCTCAGCCTCTTCTGGGGTGAGCTCTGTGACTTCACCCTCGTAAACCTCTTTCGTCTCGCGCACTTTTAGCCCGATGGCTCTTCGGAAGTTTTCCATCAATACTTCGGTCTTCTTTACTTCGGTTGAGTAGATCTCGCTTCCGACAATTGGACAAAAGGGAATCTTGGTACCGAGTTCGTGGCTCAGCGCAAGCGCAAGTGCTGTCTTTCCGGTCCCGGGTCCGCCCGCGAGTAATACACCACGGCCGGCCATCTTCGAAGAGCGAATGAGGTCGACGATGACGCCAGCAGCCTATGTCGAGCAGAAAAATAAATTAGTAGCCAGCCTGATATAGGCGGACACTAAGAGGCAGGAACTTACCTCTCGAGCCTGCTGTTGGCCTACAAAGCCACCAGCCTGCTTCTCAGCTGTGCCATCGGACTTGAGGCCCAATCCTTTGATGTGAGTGTGAGCAGCAGTTCGATTTTCGCGATTGTTGCCTTTGACCTCGCTGATTTGCACCATCTTTGCGAAGGGATGAGTTTATCACTAGATGGTGGGAATAAATCGTGGTTCTAGGTAATGTAGATTCAATCAACGACCAATCTTGATTGCTTATTTGAAAAGATTTGTAGAGTTAGAAATCATATGTAAAACTAATAGCTTAGAAGTAGTGCTGAAAATCGGTGTCGCATTAGAAATTATGAACTTATCAGAGTTGGGAGCTTGGGTCAAGGAATTAATGTTAGTTAGAAGCTCTAAAGTCGCGAAACTTTTCTGGGTCGCGTCTGTGCGGTCCGTTTTTATACTGTGTTTGATTACTGTATATAAAGCTTCGATAGGTCCTTCTAAGCTCAAGGCAGATTACCTAAGTTAAAGATACCTACTTTAATACTTCATTTAATATACGCATCTTCTATCGCTTCTATACAATTCACCCTCAATCTATCTATAGAATCGTATCTTATATCTACTGTCGTTTAAGCATAACACCTTCTTCTTCATTCGCATCTCTATCCATATCCTCGCAAAGCATTGGTGCGTTTTCGTTATCCGTAGAGGTTGCAACAGCTATGTCTCCTCTCTCTATATCTTCATAATCGCCCTTCTTCGTTTCTTTCTTCGTAAGAACAACCCATAATGCACTACTAACAATGAGTCCGCATCCTGTGAGACTCATCCACCCCATACTATTGCCAAAGACCCAACGGTCGAAACCCGCCGCGAATAACATGTGTGTGTAGGTCATAGCAGTTGCACGGTTGCTCTTTTCGATAGATAGACCAGCTGTCATAAGTATCTGCATAATTACACCACATGCGGCGACCGCTATGAGCAGCGCACATTGGCGGATCGAATGTGGTAGTTCAAGACGTAGATCCGGTTGTCCATAGTCGAGCATCGGCGCAAGGGATAGAGTTGTGGTTGTGACGATCAAGGACCATGAGCTGAAGTAGTTGACTGATATCAAAGGGTGTGCCCGCTTTCCGATACATCTCAATGTCGTAAAAGCAACCGCTGCCCCAAGGACGCCCAAGAGCGCAACGCCAATAGCTTTCAAGCGCTCGGCACTTGTTGAGATATGCTCTCCACCAGGGTAAGAAGTTGCTTCTACCGTAGCATTTACGACGGCTTCCGTTACTATATTACTAGCTGCAGATGAAGAAGCTGCATCTGAGAAGAGAGATGCCGGCCTTGTGATGAGCACGACTCCTGCCAGTGCCACAAGCGACGAGAGCTGCTCAACTCGCGTAAAGGGTTCGTGCATGAATATATGACACAAATACCCAGTGATGTTAGGGGCGAGGAAAGTAATAACGGTTGCTTCAGCAAGCGGTATATACTTAACTGAGTACCACATACCGTATATACCAAAGAAACCAGAGAACCCTCTCAACACCAGGAGCCACCGAATATCCTTATGTCCTAATACGCCGTGCGGGATTCTCTTCCACCATATGTATGCGGAGGCACCGATAACTGTCATGCTCATCCTTGCAAAGAGAATTTGCATAGGATGCATGCCTCCTTCTTCTACCTCGAGTAGGCGAGCAATGAGATTCATCAGCGACCCGAAGAGCTGTGCTGCGAATACCAAAATTGGTGCTTTGTTTTTACGCCATATTGATCCAAACCACCCTCGAATTCCTAAGCCTGGGTGAGTCTTGCTAGGTTTTAAGGGTGGCCCGCCTTGTCCATCCAAAGAAAACCGATCTGGCTCAATGTCTACGACAGTTGGTAAGTCTGATTCGAATTCGCTGTTTTTCTCGGTTTTGTCGACTAAGACAGGGAGATAAGAGAGAACAATTTCATCACCATTGTCGAGCTGTTTAGTTTCGGGAATTAATATAGAGGACGGCATGATCACCAATATCTCCGAAGCGCTCTAACTAATCCTAAGGGCACCAATTCTGTACTCGTCCACACAGATTTAAGGACAACTATGAACGAGGTTTAGAATAGCTTTACAGCGAGTACTCTATCTTAGTTTCTCCCTAGTAAGTAATGCTGAAGAGACTGTTTAAGATAGGATTGGTTCTGGTAACTTATTTGGGCTGAAGATCGACCTGTCATAAGCGGGGGAAGACGAATTATTAGCAACCATAACGTGCTTCTCGTTAGAACGTACCCATCCCAAGATGCAACCACTACGAACCGAAGTGGCCGCATCCGCCGAAGTTTGTTGTGGGGTATGAGCACTCATATACTTGAACGGGATACGACAGTGTCGTTAAAGGTGGAAAAAGAGGTCTGCTCCACTAACAAGCGAGTGATAATACTTCGTACCTGGAACTTAGTTAATATAGGCTCAATGTTACTGGATCTTCTATCATAGCGAATATCTCGAGTTAAGTTTGAAAATAGTTTAACTAGTAGTTTAATTTAATTATCTGTAAACACTACTTTTATAAGTTTTTTATATTTCATCTTGGACTTCAAGGTAGGTTGTAGGTATCTACAGATTATTTTGTTACTTGCTTAACTAGGAACCTTGAAAATGTCATCTGTCACTGGAGCAAGACGATATAAGCTACTGACAGGATCGTCCTATCGACCCCGATGTCGCGATCTATCCAGCGAATCGGTAGTTACCCCGCGTGGGTCGCAACGCCGGACTAGCCGGCCTAGCAGGCGCATGATCCGGGGCTGAGGGTCGCAACGGGAACCTTTTTGGAAGTCTGTCTTTATGTGTAAGTTAGGTTGGTAAATCGCGAAGGAGGGTTGTAATACTTTCAACTCCCGATGCGACTAGGCGTAGCAGTTAGTACCTGATTACTACCCGGAACCGGCAAGTATGCCACACTAATATATAGAGTGTCGGGATGTAAGATTGAAGGTATAAAGATGGGATGGTTTCAATAGTGTGGAAAGCCTAAGTAAACATGGGCATTACTAGTACTGCGCTACTTGATCTAAACCTTAGATGACATGTAGCTACGCTGGACGCGCCTGGATCTAAGATTCGCTTTGAGGTTATACATACCAGGGTTTGACATGTAAACTTGAAAATGGAAATTTTACTAGGTTTCGGGATGATACTTTTTTATGGTGCCAAGGTACTATAAGATATGACATTCTAAAGCTCTTGGTAAATCATTGTACTAAGCATAGATTTAATGACGAGAGTTGATATTCGGTACTCCCAATGTAATACTTGCTTTAAAGAGACCAGAAACTATTCTCATTGCTGTTTCTATAGATGTAGGTAAAGAGTAACTTTATGAGTTGCCCTTAACATTTTAGATCATCAGTACGAAGACGTAAGTGATGAACCTCTTACTACAAGGGCTTTCCCTCGATCTCCTTCGATCCCATAACTAGCTACATACCTACACATAAGGTATTGTATTAGGGTCTAAAGAAGTTGGCAATACGGTAAAAAGATATTTATGTACTCGTTATGCAATAGCTACATGATTCGAAGCTATTAGCCATTTATCGACAAATGGTAGTGACTGGTCTTGTTATACACGATGCCTTATCCAAATATATAAGATCACAAGAAAGATTTCCATTGAGATGCCGTCAAAACATGCGTATAAATAAGCAGGTACGCCTAATATATCTCATTTTCCACGTCTACACGCTTATACTGCCCATATACACAACACCCATCATCTACAATATATATTCATTCCCCATCCCCATCACCTAACCCCTAATAAGACCAACTCGCAACCGCCGTCCCATTAAGCGCCACACACACGCCTACCGTTGGGCCTACCACCACCGAGTCGCCAGTACAACCAGGCCCAGTCCAGCCCGACAGAGAAAGCGTATCCGGCCGCTCGTTGTATCGCACGCGCGCGGACCCGATGCCTGGCGTGGCTGTGTTCTGGCACGCACCGCGGCTGTATAGAAACGCCTTGATGCCGGTGGTCCCGCTGCAGTCGGCCGTTGTGCTAAAGAGCTCCGCGTAGAAGACGGCGGAGGGGTCGGCGGCGGCGCGGGATGCGGTGGCTAGGGCTGCTAGGCTGGGGAGCAGGAGGGCGAGGGTGGGATGCATTTTGTTGGTAGGTAAGTAGGTAGGTAAGGATGATTTCTCGCTGGGTGAGTGGGTGTAGTGGTTTCGAGGGTTATGAGACTTGCTTCTTTGATACTGGTGCTCGTATCTGAGGTCGTAGGAGTGAGGTGAAGTGAGTCTACAATGTTAAGGGGAGCTATAGCCGTAGTTGGCTGTCTATTTATACTCTAGACAAGAGGCTCTCGCCGGCTGTCCAGGCTGTAATAATATTAAAGAGTTATTATTAGAGCTGAGTTAGTTGTAATATATAAGTAATCTATGAGTAAGTAATTCGATCATGAACTACAAGCAAACCTTAGAAATCCTCCCGTCTAATATCTTGGCTCGGGATCGGAAGCACTAATGGTAAAAGGTCCCTGTCTTATAAACCGGACACACATGTTCCCCATACTTCGGAAGTATGCGAAGCTTTTACCTTCTGGATGTGGTTTGGTTGTTGCGTCTGGACTGGCAGACACCATGGTTTACGATCCTTCGCCTTGATTGAAGTGGCCACTTGGGACTTTCTATGAGTCCCTACCTAGGCTATCCGTAGGCTCGGTTAGATCTTGACCTTGCGGAGGAAAACGACGTTTCCAGTTTTTAAGTACCAGTATAAGCAATTATTAGAATGTTTCATACAGAACGACTCGATAGAAATCATGTAAATTGGTAGTAAAGCATGCACGTATTAGTCCTGAGCAAAAGAACCCGGCCTAGACTATCCTGACTCTAAAATGCAATCTGGTATTTACCTACCTCCAACGCCATTGCTATGCCTATAAAGATGCAAATTCATCATAGTCGCCATTCATAATGACACCGCGTCATATCACAACCAATGTCTATACCCGTCTATTTCGGCGTTCTCTTCCTCTTCTTGCTCCCCGCACCCTTCGCAGACGCCGACGCCGCCATATTCATAAGCTCGAGATCTTCATCCTCGTCGTCCAGGCCAAGCAGGTCATCCTCCCCACCAGCCGCGGCATTAGCAGCAGCAGCGGCAGCACTCTCCTTACCATGCTCCTTAGCAAGCGCATCGTCCTCCTGATCGAAAGTACGGCGCATCTCTTTTATTTTCTGGCGCTTCTCGATCATGCTCTTGACGCGGCCGAGGTACTGCGGGTTGCGGCGCAGGCCGAACTCGAAGTCGTCGAACTTGAGCTTCTGGCGCCCGGCTACCTGCGCGTGGCGACTCGCTTCGAAGCAGACTCCCTCTAGGAACTCGGTCACGATCTCGTCTAGCACGCGTACTGTGTCCGGCAGCGGGTCCTGGACGTCGCCGAAGGCGTAGAGGAGGGCGCGGACTAGAGGGGTTCGGTCAGTTTATTGGGATTGGCTGTGGGGTGGATATATTGGCATTGCGTAGCCAGGAAGATGCAATATACGTACTCTCTTTCGCATTGAAAGTCTCCTTGCCCACATTCTTACCAGCACGGGCGCGAGGCTCCATGGTGAACGCGAATAGTGCTGTTGTAAATATAAAATGGCGAGGCTATTATCTCCTTAGACGAAGGATTTCTGGCCTTATAAATTGAGGCGGGTCATTAATCATAGATGCGCGTAAGAGACGTTAGTAATATCGGATATCGGATGTCGAAGCTGATGTTTGACGGATAGAGAGAGAGAGAAGAGCGTAAGGCTGAGGAAGTCGTACCTCCATGTTTAGTACCTACATCAATGTAGGTAGGTAGTGGGGTCTAATCAGATAAATGTTAGGTACACCCACCTACCCCTGACATGTTCTGTCTGTGTAACTTGGAGCTGAAATTTAAACATTGGTACGTACCATCTAGCTGACAGTTTCCTCCATTCAGAATGGATCCCTGTCATCCATGCTTTTTCACGCTACGGATTACGGATTACGGATTATGGCCGGATAAGCTTCTCCTTAGGTAAGCTCTCCAACTCTACCGACAGCTGGCTTCTAGAAAGGCTGAAACCGTGAATCGCCGCACGAGTAAATAGAAAACTAACCAGCATTCGAGAACAATAAACGACGCGCATAATATTATCGTTAACTAAGAGCTCGGATTGACAATATGGTAAGTTTAAATTTTGATATATTGACATAAAAATGCTAATTACTAAATGTCAAATCCAGTCTGCGCTCTTCAACTTCCAGTCCCTCCTCCTCGTCATCCTCCTCCTTATCTGCACATGCGCCTACGTACACCAAATATTCCCAACGATTCTCGACAGGAATAAGCAGGGGTAGGTTTGGTTTATTACTATCCGAGTTTGCGCGCATTGTCACCTTGCGAATGAGGCTAAGCTTTTGTATTACAGTTTCATGGGTATTTTCTGGAAGGCTGCGAGAATAGGAGAGAGGCTAAGTCCATATATGAGTCTATGCTGCGTATTCATGGCGGTAAGCTAAATATCACCCTACTATTGCAATCTTATGCGGCTCACTAATAACGAATAGTGCTCGATGGTTATTGGTAACTAGCGCATCGGACGCACCCTTAAGTGTATCGTAGAGGACGAATGGAGTCAGGTTTGTTTTCAGCAACGGAGTAAACGGCAACATGGGGGTGGTGGGACGGTAATGGCGATATCATCGTGAATGGTCGAGTTTTACCTATCATCATACAATAGAAAACCTAATTATGCACCCACCGAAATAGCCACTATCATTGATTCTGCTATAACAAGCGAGCAACAAGCCTCGTCACATTTCGCCTTCCCGTCATCCTATACCGGTTGTTTAGCTCGTCACCGTCTGTTAAACATCAGCTTGTTGCCTTGCTTGGTGATCAAACGATGCGTTATCGTCGGCGATTCAGGCGCGGTGTACAAACTTGGGTTGCCGCTTGGTGGAACTTGGCCTCTACGCTGGTTCTGTTTAACCAAGTTTGTGGCGAGTGAGCTACGAACATGATAAACCTCAATAGAGCTGGCGATAGTACTAGGGCTATTTCCTGGAACTAATTGGTGGCCTGTTGATAATGTCTAGGTACACTGTAGTTATAATAATATCGACGGTTAAACGGTAATGATGTCTTGTTATTCAAATGGCAACTTTGCTGACAGATGGCGAGTTCTTGATAGGTATTCCTAGATTCCATATCACAGAATATTATACTTTAATTTACCTAAGTAATTGGTTGTGATACTGTAATAATATTAGTCACAAATACCTGTATATATTGCCACTGGATCACAACCAATCCTATTCTAAACCTATGCTTTTCTCATACTTGAATAGGAGAATATTTAAATACCTACATCCCACGCTTCGACCGAGGCTGACCTAGGACTATGTTATGTATGTGAATGCGCTGACAATAGCACTCCTTACACCCTCAGCCTTACATTATCTGCATGTAAGATTATAGTTCTTTCATCTTATGGGGATCGACCTACTCCTTAACACGACTCCCCTATTCCCGAGAACCTGGCAGAGACTGATGCGTGATTAATAGATGCGAACACAGGTTCGTACTCGATCCTTCGGCCTCTCTCCGGCTTTGTTGGGGGATGACTTGCATGAGTATATTAGATCCAAGGTGTTGCACGGCCTTAATATATTGGTATGTAGGGACGTTACGTTGAGTCACGGTCAATTGCGAAAGAAATTGGTTTATCATGCGTATGAATATGATAAATCCAGAAACATTATTGTAGCCTCTCGATAGTTTGAAGTATTATGCAGTCAGTTCGGGTAGATATACAATCGTACTATCTGGGTGTAAGACAATACATTTAAAGAAGAGGGAAAAGCGCAATATTATTACTATACAAATAATTTGAAGTCTTTGACGTCATAATCAGGGCTAAGAAACCGCTACATTTAGAGGCATTGATAAATGGAGATCTTCATTGGGTTTGCAGATGGTCCGTCGATGATGCGGAGAGTCAATTCCCTAGTCAAACGAGCAAAATAAGCACATTCCCGAAGGTGTCGTCTTACGACAGCGCCTTATCGTTCTCGGGAGGCAGCAGGGCTCTGTGCCATATCACCCGCGCCCGTTCCGTTCGTTCGTTAGATTTACGATGTGTCGAATCGAACTTCATACTAAGGTTAGACATTCCGGATGTGCCCTACACGCTAGAAAGATGTGGTCGGCGAAGTCGGGAAAGCCGAGCATTAAAATAGGATCGTTCCGGTAATTATTAGTTGTGTTGTATGACTCGCGCAAAGCTGAACTATAGAAAGCTGAACTCTAGAACATTCGTCATCATTAATCGAATGGTAATAAAAGTGAAAAAAAAAAGTAAAGATAAAAATAAAAATAAATCAAGCACTAAGTTTTAGAGCGAGAATGGGTTAGGGTAGATTTTTAACGAAATTCTACGTGTACTATAGAAGTCTTCTGGCGAGCTGCAGTCCCGGCTGATACACTATCACCGGAGGGTAAACGTTTCAAGGCTCATTTTATCGTACAACTAACTGATGATGTTGCTGGTAACACGATGGGAGTAGCAAACATGTTACATTTGCCAGGAACGGAAACTTGACAGCCAAGGGTTCCAACGAATGAAACGGCGCAATACAACTGTTGACTTTCCTATGTTGGTAAATTGTTCGGTAACTGCGCTAATCTGTACGGCTAATCAACGAACGAACGAACGGGTGAGGCTAGATTACGTATGTGGTTAAATTGATTCGAGTCAGGGCAGTCCCGAGAAAAAAAAGAGATTCGAGGCGGACGCGGCGTTCGTTAGCCTTCCCGGATAGCGATGCCCGTCCGCGGTGGACACTAGCCGGACTAGTAAATAGTACCTAACACTTACACTAGATGAATGGATGGTGTGAATACGTTATATCGGCTATTTTCTCTTGGAACCATTTCTCTTAGTGATATTCTTGTTGTTGCTATTGTAGGGACGGTTTCTTACGAGCTATGTGTAAGTTTTACTTAACCAAAGCAGCCTAAGGTCCTAAAAGGTACCTAAAGGTAAACGGCATGGCACCGACGCTAGTAGGCTTGTTGCGTTCCAATGTGGCTCCCCAGCCCGTCATCCTCGGTACGGAGTAACAAATGCTACATAACCAAATAAAAACGGGCAGACGGGCTACATCTTACCTGACCCGGTGCTGAATTAGGTGAATACTTTATAATTGTGAAAAATGATGTATATAATTGTATATCCGCCGTAAATACTCCGAAGAGAAGAACGCACGGATACTTTTTCATCCCGTCTAGACGTGTACCATATGCAGTCTATCATCACTCACTTTTTTAGTGTAGACCGCCGAATTCCAGCCCCGTAGAAGCAGCTCGCCTCACTTTTTTAAAGCATCCGTATTGAAATTAATATCGAACGCATGGCCATCCACACGGCATGTTAAGTTCTACATATGCAAAAGGTAGAAAGGAATATGCCTATCAGCATGAACGGCGCATGATAAGTTCTAAGACGACGTTTCATACACCGCCAGGTCCGTCAAGTCCGTCAGGTACAGCTAAATCGGAAGTTAACACATTGAGGTCCTCTCCGGATTTTGAGGATTTCAGATCGTCGTTAGAATCGTGGCAATCTCACGGTCACTCTTTTGAGCTTTTCTCATCCAAAAAGCCCAAGGTTTCCGACTGCGCCGTAGCAGTAATATCCTCAATGTCTTGTTACATACATACCCCGAATCGTGCCCAGCATGTAATGTAATGTATATGCCCAAATGCCAGCAGACCATTTTATCACCAGTCGTCCTGCCTCTCTCCTTCGGTTCGATGTTGGAGTAAAACCATACTACTCACCGACAGGTGCATGCTGCAGCACACCACGACTAGTCATATAGGCCGCAGGCAATCAAGAGGCGGCGGTTGGAGACTCTTTCATGGTTACGAAGAGTGTACTGAACTGATCCTGCTCTGATCCTATCTACACGACACCTCATCCATATCCGAGAAATGACAGGGTGTGATTTGCAAATAGAATCGATGTTCGATGGCTGGGCAAAGTCCTTTTTACCATACCACCCGTCCATACACCATCATGATTTCTTCCAATGTTAAATGCATGTCGCCGTGTCGATTTGGCTGTCCGGCAAAATTAGTTGAGACAGTCGATGCGGTGATATGGAAATGGAAACTTGGAGTGACACCCTCATAAGACGACAGCAGAGGTAACTTGATGGTACATACTGATTGATACAATACAACAGGTACACGTAATGCCTAAAACCCACATTCGATGCCTCCAAGCTTGGAGCACTAATAAGGTATGCATATATTGGATTACGAGGTTATGCAATTGAACACGCAGGGATATTATTACGATTTATTACGATCCCTTGAAGAGTATTGGTCCATTAGTTCGATCTGAATCCAATTTAGGCCTGGACGGAGCTAGATTGGTCCCAGACCTGTCCCAAATCAATGGAACTTCCAAGCCTCAAAAAAAAAAAAAAAAAAAAAAGCCCTTAACTGCAGTTTTGCTGTCTGTAGAAAGGACTAAAAGGGCCATTAGGCTATGATGAGATAACTAAAAACTGCCTGGTATGTAGGTACATAGGTACTTATGTACTTACCTGGTAGGGTAACGGGCCAGCTTACCCATATCATAGGTAATACACGCGCTAGGTTAGGGCGACACCCCCCTGAGCCACTTTCCCACCAGCCCACCTTCCCTTGTCTTTAAGGGATTATGTACCCTGACGCCGAAACGAGTCGAAACGGGATTTTACTCGCTTGGAATTTTTTAAATTTTTTCTCTTTCCCTTCCATTTGCCTCTTCTACCACGGAATCCACTGCTTCCTTTTTGTTTTCCAAAATTCTTCGCCTGGGGACGCCCCTCCCATCCCTCCGAGCCTAGGGACCCACGCAAAAGCAGAGTCAGTGACCCCCGGACGCTAATTAAAGACCGTCATCGGAGTCTTTTCCAAAGTCGGTGTCAGCTGTGTGCGCACTACCGCCGATCTATCTGATGGGCTGGCTAGCGCTTTTTTTCAGGATGGGGGGATCTCGTTGTTACCATCCCTTCCCAGATCATTAAAAAAATTTCGAACCATCTCATCAATCTCATCAGTGGTATGGCATTCGGTTCTCAAAAGAATCCCACCTTCTGCAAGCCAAGAAAAATACCGGCCCCAACCTGACTTAAATGTACAAGGGCAAGCCTCGTGTGAATTGAATGGTGTGTGTTATATGCCTTCGTGCGTTGCGTCTGCGTGTTCAATATGCGAATTGTTTATCAAGTTTTTTTTTTTCGTCTTCACTTGCTCTGCTGGCGGTTAGTAGAGCGCCAAGTTATCGTTGCTATGGACCGGACGAGACAAAATACTCCTGAGTCGTGGATGAGTCCGTCTATCGTTGTCTATCGTTCTCTTGACGAAGCTAGCGTTTTCGTTATTTTTCTCCTTCGATTGTGGCGATCTACATACATACATACATACCTACATACACCAGTCTGTCTACCCATCCCTTGGACCCTTGAGGGGGGTTTCCTAGGAAATGGGTCCTCCTTAGACCCCCCTTGGATCCCTTTGGTGGTATGGGGCTCCATGCCGCCACCGCTGGATGAGGAATTTCTTATTGATGCTATCGTCTCAGCCAGCAGGAACGAGGCGTTCAAGGGTAACGGGTCTCGCAGCAGCGCGCGTTCCAGCTGTATGTTTAAGGTCCATTTTAGTTCCATTTATTAATTTTTTAAACTATACAACTATACAACAGGTATGTATACATCTACATACAAATGTATATACACCAATACTTTTACTACACTACACTACACCATTATCATTATCATACACCATAGCATAACACCATTGTGGTACCGGGACCTCGCGTTGGCACTGGCGTTGGTGTTGGCCCCATTATCTAAAACTTGAACGCCATTATCCATGAGCCATGTTCATGAGCAGTGAGCTATGAGCTATGATCAATGAGCCACGGAAGGATGTAATGTGGTGTGGATGCAATAGCGCATTGAAGTATTAATGCTTCATAACTCATTTCCCCCGGAACCCATGCCTGGTCATTGTCCACCCCTTACCCGCCTGGATGCTGCTACCACTCTACTACTCTGCCACTCTGCCACCTTTTTGCTACTTTACTACTTTCTCCCAAGTTAATAATAATAATAACAATAATCTACTTTCCCGTTATTACTGCATTTAGAGGTCAATGCTACCCTGGTAACTTTCTTAGCTCCCTTTCCTCCAACACTACTTATTATTGATCGCCTCGTTCCTGGCGATTCGTGATATCCTCCTTTCCTCCTTTCCTTCCCCTTTGTTTCGTCCATTCTTACTTGGGCTGCTATTTCGAAAAGGAAAAGAAGAAGAAAAAAAAATCAAAACAAAAAAGTATAGGAAACTAATAGGAACATACAAAACTAAAAAAAGGTACCTAACTCCCTTGTCCACTACCTATTCGTTCATCCAAGGAATTCCTACCTGCAAACATCCATATTTCCCCTGGCGGTAGCTGCTAGTCGCCAGTCCTTTTCAGGGTTGGCTTGCAGTATTTGCTCAAATCATAGGCGGCCATGTAAGACTCAAACCCACACGCTTTCCCACAGATGCAACAGATGCCATTACTTCACACCTTTCGATTCCCTTGTCTCGAAGTACACAACAGCCGAGCTAGGGGTACATCTGCAGCCATCCGTTTTCACGAGACCATTCCGTCCAACATCGGAGCTGTTTGCCTAATTCTCTTTCATATAGAACCCGCCTGCTGACCAACTTGCCCAAATAGTAGTCGTATAATACTTCGTCATCAACCAGATCCCTCTGGGTTCGTAACCTGAGCTCTTATACAGGAACAAAAGGAAAACAGAACACATACCGCTAGCCGGAAGATTACCTTGGACTTTAATTGACTCTTAACTACTGATAAGTCAGAAGTCGGTAGAGAATATGGGGGATCAAGGAACAGGTGGAATCGAGAGTCGGGGTGTCGAGAGCAATACTACGAGGCGCATGTCTGAACCACGACCAAATACTCACGATGATCAGATCCAGCAGCAATCTACTGAAACGAAAGCATCTAACGCAGAGACCGAAGAGCAAAAATACGCACAGACTGGTCCTAGGCATTTAATTCCTGTGCATCCAGGCAACCCTGCGTCAAATGGCGGTCTATCACGAACCCCATCCACGAGCTCCAATGCTTCCAGAGACTCCCGTGCTGTATTCGACTTTTCGCATCAACGGTCACGGGCTCCTAGGCCGTTGGAGCCGCCGGTAACGAAAGCTACTTTGAGCGAACTGGATGTAAATAAGATTATCCATAACCCAAAGCTAAGGCACGATATAAATTTCGACCCAGATCTTCATTTCAGGCCAAATGTCGACGGGGAGAAGGGGAGGAGAAAGCAAGAGAAGGCCAACCAATTCTGGAACTCACTCACGGAACAGTTGCAATTATTTATCATTAACCGGGATGAATTTATGAGCAGATTCGGGCAGGGTGAAGATTGGTGCCTCCCGCAACTTCTAAAGTCGGTCAAGGAGATCATTCAGACTTTAGTTCCTCAGCGGGATCGTATGTATCTTGATGAAGGGCTAAACGTCGAGCTTATCATGCAACAGTTTGGTAAAGGAATAGCAGACTTGGAAAAGTTGGCCTCGTGGTTGTCTGGAGTTCTGAAATCCCATTGTGCCCCTATGAGGGACGAATGGGTGGACGAAATGTACAACCAGCTGACAAATGGCAACAAAACCAATGATATGGAGGAGCTTGTGCAAGGAATGCGCAGCCTCTTAAGCGTTCTCGAAGCCATGAAGCTCGATGTTGCGAATCACCAAATCAGATGCCTTCGGCCGATCCTCATTGAAGACACGGTCCATTTCGAACAGCGATTCTTTCTTAAGAAGATACGGGATCGCAAGATGGACCCTGGCCCAGCTCAGGCGTGGTACCTGACAGTGAATCAGTTTTATTCTCAAGACCCGGCTTCGGTCCAGGCTTTCGGAGAAATGGGTTCCTTTTTTGAGGCTCTATGCAAAATGATACTCCCATCGTCAGATCCGTATTCGCATCCAGATACCTTTGTTTTTGATGAGGAGCGCATGGCCAAACTCCGATCTGACATGCTCGACGCGATCAACCTAGAAGTTTGCATGCGCTTATACGAAGGGTTGGACAGAAAATACAGATTCAACGATACGATGTCTAGTATTCCCACGCCTTTGCTAGCTACGCCCTTTTCAGATGCCTCTGGTTTCCTAAGCTCGAGAACTGAAGATGACGGGAGCGAAAGCTGCTTCAATTCTAGGCCGTCTAGTCTGGTTTTCAGTTCCGCTGGATCGGCCCATTCATCTCCTCGCAACTCTTTTGTCCTGCCCGTTCAACCAGCTACCAGTCGCCCTGAAGACCAGCAAGCCAAGTCGAGAAACCTCTACAACTCGCTTGTCGCATTACTTCAGACTTCCCCCGCCAGCTCCCGTTCAGTTTCACGATGGAAGGCGATGAAGGATTCATTGGCTCTACAGATCTTCCGATTTACCAATGCGCCTGCTCAGGATCTTCTACAATTTGAGGACGAGCTTGATAACCATATTTCCGAGCTCTCGTCTCCGCTCTTCCAACAGGTGGAACAGTACTACCACTACCACTTGCTTGTGGAACTTCGACAACGCGTCAAGGACTTTAAGGGACTCACAGGCGCAGCTCTATTCTCAGTCGCTACCGGCGGCCGTCTGCACAGCCCCAGTCGCGGTTGGGATGGCCCCCGCGAAAACGTAAGCCGAGAACGTACGTCTCTGGAAAATGCCATCCGGGAAGCGCGGGAAGAGGGAGGTGTCGAAGATATGGCCACGCGGCTAGCCCACATGGGTCTCCTCCATTGGAGAGTCTGGTCGCATTTGGTTTATACAGGCGATCTCGAGAATCTCGTTCCGGTGCCTGATATGCCCATGGCAATTTAATTACCGATAGAGTACGCGGCAAGGACCGTCAGCTCAGTATCAAGTCTTCCATTTCACACAGAAACACGCGCTTTACACCACTAGTCGTCTCGTCAGCCTCTTCTCCTTTACGATTACGTTTCGAGCGATATCTAAGACGAGCCGACACTTTAATACCCATTACACTCCGCTTAATCACCTCGCATTGGTCACTTATCACTTGGACGCTTTCTTCAATAATCCGGAACCGGCATTGTTTGGGTGTTTGTTTAGGAGTAACAGGTTTTTCTCATATGGTTCCCTGGGGTTTTGTGACAAGGCATGGAAGAGGCATAGTCAGTTTTTAGATTTGCGACCCCCTTTTCTCGCTTTACATTTTTATTTTGTCTGTTTTTTACTTGGTTGCACCGTCTCTTTGGCGAAAGGGCCCGCATTCAAAATAACATACCCGGTCTACATGTCACAGGCGTTTCGTGTGTTATTCCTCTTGTTGTTTTTTCTTGGCGGCGGCGGGAGGCGAGGCGAGAAATTGATTATTTTTTTTGCATCATAACTAAGAATACAGGATAGCTTCCTTAGGGGTTTGTGATTCTAAAGAGAGCAAGCAAGCTTGCTTCCTAGGTAGCTAGCTGAGGTGGTAGTTTAGTTTATCATGCAAAAGAGGAAGAATTATTTTACGCCTCGGGGCGTGCGGGCGGCGGATGACGATGGTTTTCGCGATGATAATGGGACGGCCATAGTCTTACTAGGGAAAGATACAACCTCGCCGCAAGGTTTGGTCGCACGCAGATAGCATTTTTCGCCTTCTCGGCGTAGCAGGTCGCAGGCGACGGGATTATACACGTCGGCAAGAGATCCAGCACGTCTAATAGATTTTGCGCTATGGAATACATACACACATACATTCATACATAATTGTTGGTGCTAATTTCTTTACCGCCTCTCCTAAGCCCAGGGGTCCACTCCTTATAGACGTGGCAGTGATGAATCCTTTTATGTATATGGTGCATGTACCTATATATGTAGGAGTCTTTTAGTGTAGGCGTTTTTAACGCATACGATACGTGGACAAGGGACTAAGGAAGCATAGCAAGCAAATTTTCAAAGAAGCAAAATACCTACCTAACATACCTTAGGTACCTAGGTTAGGTACATAAGTATGGAACTAAGGGATTATTTAGTCGTCTTCAGCCGACGTAGACGGCTGATTATATTACCCAGCATGGAGGCGGATACATGTGATTTGGGAATAATACCTTAGGTACCTAAGGTAGGTACCTACACTATCCCCCACCCCTTTTTTTTTTTACTATGTAAGCCCGCTAGGTTATATAGATAGCCCGGAAAACATACTTGCCAAATCGGGTCGACGGGCGCGCTTTTTAGCCAACCAAATCTCGCGCGTTCCTGAAGATCATTTGTTCGGCTTTTTTTCTTTTTCTTTCTTTCTTTTTTTTTAATAAAATTTCCTTTTTTTTTTTTCTTAAGCCACACTAGCCGACTAATCGTCCCTTTTAAGCCACCCCAACTTAATTACGGGCCCGGCCGCGGATGGGATTTATATACATACCTACATACTTACGTACGGTACCTAGGTAGGTATGGGTCGCGCAACTGAAGGGCTAAAAATACTTGCACAGCTAAGGAGCGCGAGGCGGATGGAGAGGCGGGCGACGGGCGAACGAGCGCGCTTTTGGCGGATTTTTCCCTTCGCCTCAGCTGAGAGGAGCGAGGAGCGGTTTGTTGGTTGGTTGTATCGGGGATTCCTTGGGTGTTCGACAAATTGTCTTATTATGTGTTTGCATTGAATCGGAAATTTTGAGTGATGGGTTGGGTTGGGTTGCATGGCTTCGTCTTATATGCATACATAGGTAGGTAGATATATACGTACGGTAGTTATATGTATGGATGGATGGATGAATGCGCGCTTGTGTGATACCTACGTATACGCCCTCGCGATGCTGGCAAATGGAAATGGGGAATGGAAGATGGAAGATGGAAGATGGAGGGAATATAATCCTGTGCCGCTTGGAAAGTCAGAGATTTAAGGTGCTTATGTTTATTTGACTGGCTTGCGTGATTGGAGATGATAGATCCGATCGTAATGACGGCTTATGTTAGATGGTATATATGTAGAGTCACTCTATATGTATAGTTATATTTTATAGTAAGGAATTAGTAAACCCTTATTCCTTTTCTTTTTTCATATAAGATATAGGATACATTTCTATGATATGTACTACTAAGCTTATAGCGGCCACGTTTGCCAGCACGTATATGTTTAGTTGGGTTTGTAAATATATAGCGTTGTATAGGTTAGACAAATTTGCAACGCATAAATGTGGCTTGCGTACTCGGCTCTTATGCACGACGGCGGTGAGGATGTAACATGCTTGCTTCATCATCTGTTTACTTCCGTGTCTTAGGTATCCTTATATGCACTCTGAACCGGCTTACCGCTTTTCCTATCGCATCCTTTTGCTTTTGTCTGGCATGTGGCGAGAGACTGCATGCATGTTCACCGAGTCATGGTATCTGAGGGTGTCGAAAATTAAGAAGAAGTCCTGACCGAGATACCAGGTCTGTTTAGGCCCGGTTGACCTAGGTAGTCGGCTAGATGACTGCTCATTTAAAGACCGAGCAGTCAGCTGGGATACTAAAAGAAGGACAATCCCTTATTCCGGGCTTGCTGAGGAAAAAGAATATGCTGTTCCCTTTCTTTCTTGCTATAAGTTACACCAAGGCCTAATAGCGTATATACCTAACTTATTCACTAAGAATAAGAACAGGCATAACCGCCGTCAGTGACGTTCTAATAACAGCCATAGAAGGCCCGAGCACAAAAGGTAAAGTGTTATGACATCGCTAATTTTTCCCTAATGTTTGTCTCAATATAACCCATACGCCAATCCCAATATACACCGCACGTTGTGCAACACCACCGCTATCATTTTCAGCGTGTCACGGAGGCCCATGTTATACTCGCGGAGATATATTGCTAAGCATGACTCACCCGTCACACGGGCTTAGATGCCATATATTATGTGTATGTACTTATTTATTTATTTGTTTATTACAACTATCTATTATATCTCTTACAGACCTCGGGTATACATCCCTGAACTATGCACATTACATAGGTAGGTAGGTAGGTAAGCACTTAGGTAGGTAACCCTCACCGGCAGATATCAAACCTCCCCACGCTCGGATCGTGATCCGACGTCCTCTCCGAGTACGGGACCCAAGTGTTCACGTGCACGTGCTCGAAGCGCGTGCTCTCCGCCGACGCTAGCGCCGGGCTGACGAAGACGTGGTCCAGCTCTTGCGAGTTCATGTCGTACAGGTACGTGTACCGCTCCGCGGGCGGGATACCCACCGCGACGTCCAAGTCTGCTAGCCCCGAGAGCGTCCCGAATGCAAGGACTGGGGCTGCGAAGGCGAATTCGTTGAAGTCGCCTAGTGTTACTATCGCTGCGGAGTGGTCTTGGGCGAGGATTTCTGCGATGAAGGACTGTTTAGGGGCTGGTGTTAGTGATTTCTTTCTTCCTTTTTTGATAGATACCTAGGTAGATAGGTAGATATTATAGAAAAGAGGGTTCGGAAAACACTTACAGCTGTAGTCTCGGCCTGCGCCAACCTGTCCTCTACGCCCCCGTTAACAGGTGGTCGGGCATCGCCGTGTAGCGAGGAGCTGCCGCCCTTGGAGCCCCAATGCACGTTCACCGTAAATAGCGTCTTGCTTGTATTGTTGTTGCCACCACCTACGAGCTCCCATGCTGCTGCTAGAGGCTTCCGGCTGTTGGTCCAGGCCGCGTTCGACGGGTCGATGTAACCCGGGTTGAACTTGAGTTCGGGACCGGGTAGCACCTCGTTGGCTGTGGTAGCATTACCTGGGCTTGGGTTCCGGAGCCGCAGGCGGTCTGCTCGGTATAGATATGCGACGCGGATGTTGCCGCCGGGAGCGCCGCCGGATTTGTCGTTTAGGGGGTTGATATAGGTGTATTTGTAAGTGACTTTAGTGGTGCTAAGGGCTTGGATAGCTGCTGCTAGTGCCGTGAGAGTCTTGTCAGAGCTCACGGTGCCGTCGTCTATCTCGCCGTTGTCATCTTGTATCTCCTGAACCGCTAGTAGATCCGGTGTGCGCATGGATTGAACAATATGCTTCGCAACAGCTTGTACGTGTGCGGTATCGCCGGCGTAGAAGTTCTCGATGTTGTAGCTGCCTACGGTGATGCCCTTGCATGTCCCTTCGCTCACTATTGAAGTTGGCGGAGCTACTTCAGGGCCGAGAGACTCGATGATACTTATGTTCGTTAGCGGTAGGATGCGGTAAAAACCGAAGGCCTGGTAGACGATGCCGGTAATAGTTTCGAGTTTGTCGCCTAGCTTTGTGTCCTTCGGGTTCTTAGATCCGTCGAGCGGACTGCCGATGATAATAGTCTCCGGATTACCATCCGCAGCAGAGACAGTAAGACCCGTACGGTCATTATCGCCCGTTGTATTCCAATTTCCAACAACCCATGTGTCGCCGTACTGATTAGGTCGTCCAACTGCACGTGGGCTGTCGATCGTAACCAGCTCACCCATCATGCTCTCCCAGAAGTCTAAGCCGTACGACTCTGGCTCTAAGAGGGGATTCTCGACGGAGATCAGGCTTTGGTTATTCGGCACGGCGAATACATCGCCTTTATCTAGGCCAGAATACTGTTTCGTCGGCGGACTAAGTACTCCCTTGCCAATTACGATCGGCTCGACTTTCCTGCCCCGTTCTAGGATAGATCTGACCTTTGGCGATGCAAGCTCCGTCATGTACAAGTAGTCCTTGTTAGAGCGGTACTCGCTGACCTTCCCATCGACGACCAGGACGTCACCAACACTAATGCTAGTATTCTTGGCTAGCGCCGAGCCGTATACGTATAAGCCATCTGAGACGCGCTTGTCGCAACTCGACTTGATGGATCGTAGCCAGATGCCTTCGGGACCCTTCGCCGTCACGATTCCCGTGACGTTAGTGACATTGTGGCCGTTGAACGGCGATAAGAAGCGATCACCGTTGATCTGAGCGATCGATTGCCCAGAAACGCTAGTGACAGCAAGTAAAGAGGCCGTAAGCCACCCCAGGAACGTAGTGGTGGTCTTCATTGTGATAGGAGCCCTCCTAGCGACTTCAATGTACTTGGGACCGAAATACACCACGGCTCTGGACCTTCATTAGAACAGAGAAGGGAGCATTATCATATTATATATGTACTCCCGTCTGTATAAGGGGACCGCGTGCATATCAACGCGCGGATATGAAAAGTGGACGCCTACCCCGAATCCAGCTATCACCGAGCTGCAGGAACACGGAATCTAGATCTAAACATCACAAGCATAAGAGGGACCCCATCGCAAGACCTTCCCATTGGCCTCGTGGGCGCCGAGCTGATATGGGGGAGATAACCAGTCGTATCGACCAATCCAGCCCACGTTGTACGCCTACGGTCTTGGCGATTTCCAGAAACCGAAGGTGGATGATACCTTGCGGTTCGGCCGTTGGCCTTGGCATCGGTGACCCAATCTATTGGTACCCTTCGTGATATAAGTCAAAGGGGTAGGTAATAGGAACGCCGCAATTTAAAAGACTTGGACTAACGGAAAAGTAAAGACAAAGATATCATGCAAGATTAGATAGATGTGCTTGCGATAGAAATCGTATTCTCATTCTCATCTTCGAACTCAAACGACTCAACTTGCTCGCTCAAGACGAACATCTAAAATCAAAGTAATCAGGTTGTGTAAGGTAGGTTACCCAAGCCAAGTAGTACACGGAATATAATCCAAGAATCCCCTGAACCGCCTTCCCAATGCATAATATCTAGATGAATAGCCAAACCGTCGGCCACTTTTATACAAGAACGGGAAACACAGAGTTATGCCCTTGATGGCTATAGGCGGCATCTACTAGCCAAAAAGGATACATGAGGGTATAATAATATTTGACAGCAGAAAATAAAAGGTTGGGCTATCGGTCTAATCGAGGACTTAGTGGACTCTTACCGGGCCCTTGTGCCCTTTTCATCGCTCTCAGTTCATCCTCAAGCTTCCTCCGTACCATTTGTTCCGACTGTGAAATGTTAGTTAAATAATACTATGGTAGAAATGATAGCTCTTGGGAGACATACCCTTAATTGCTCCTCGTACTTCTTCCTCTCGGCTCTCAGTCCCGACCTGTAGGAGTCGGTCAGGTATGAAGTCTTCATACCGCCAGGTGATAGTGGTCCTAGACGCGCTGATCCTAGTCGCTCTTTGTCGAGCTCTTCCTGTAGTTGTTCCTTCTCCTTGCGTAGTCTCGTAATCTCGCGATCTAGTCTCTCTTCGATATCACTCGTAGCTTCGTGGAGCCGCTTCTCGAGTTCGTCATTCATCATATCCTTCTCATCCTTGATCTTAGAACGTTCAGCTCTCACTCGGTCGAGCTCATCCTCTAGTTCCCCAATCTTCTTCTCGCTCTCGAGCGACTGCTTGACAACATCGGTCAAGTCTTGGGCGGTGGCTTTCAGCTCCTTCTCTAGCACTTCAACTCTATTTTGCATTTTAGTTGATTCGTTATTGTTATGCAGAGCCGCAACCTCTGCAGCCCTCTCTTTTCTAGAACCGTAGGCGCCGTCGAGTTCGGCCTTAGCGAGAGTAGCTTCCATCTTAAATTCGGCAACCATGCCTGTCATTTGTTGAAGCTCCTCGTCCTTAGTCTTGAGATCTCTCTCCTTCTCCCCAATAATCTTGTCGGTAGCCTCCTTAGCATCATTGGCCTCCTGTAATTGTGTCGTGATAGCTGCAACATTGGCCTCCGCTGTTGTTAGACGCGCTTGGACTTCTCTAACGCTTTCTTCTAGCGATGCAATCTTAGCATTCCGCTCCTTAAGCTGCTCTCGCGCCTCGTCAATGGCGGTAGATTCTTCTGTTCGGCCTTTCTGTGATTCTTCGAGATCCTGCAAGGCCCGTGAAAGTTGCGAGCGGGCATTGTCTGTTTCCTTCTCTGCTTGATGAAGTAATTCTTTGGCTTGCTCTACTTCATCGATTTTGTCCCTTAATGCTTGATCCTTCTCGGAGTCAGACCTGCTGTTGAGCTCGCGCTGCTGCTTGATTTGACGCTTCAGAACACCCTTTTGCTCATGTAATTTAGTAGCTTGTCTGTACAACCACTGAATCTTGACCGAGAAAGCTGACAACGAGTATTGCTCGTCAAAGTCGATAGATTCACCGTCAGACATATCATCCTCGTCTGGCTCCAATCCCTTATCTTGGCGAGCCTTTCGCCGTTCCTGTTTCCGTTTTCGTAAATCGGCGTATCCTGATTGGATGATGTCCCAGAGTCCCATGAGAACTGTTTCGTATTGCTCGCTCTCGCCTCTGGCGGCAGAGTTTGTATTGGTTGCGTCTGCAGCTCGCCGCAACTCATCCTCGATGGTTGGTAACGAGTCTCGCAAATACCTGAGCTGCTCATCAACGCCCAGTTCCGTGGTTGGTGGTGGCGGATGATTTGTATTAGCTCCTAAGAGTATGTTTTGGACCTCGGCGTTAAGCGTCCGTATTTTCTCTGTTAATTCAAGGCTATTACCCCGGTCTTGAGCAATAGCAATTAGTCCATTTTCAAGGTAATCCAAGTGGCTACCGATCATATCACCTGGCTCCAGTCGGCCTGATGGGATAGCACCGTAAGTATCGCTCTTGGCCGGATCCATGCTGATAACTATTTCACGCAGTCGGTAATTGAGCTGCTCTAGTGTACCTTCTGTGTCAGAAATCAAGCTCCACGGGTCTGAACCCTGACCTCTGAGCTCATTAATTTGTGCCTGTAGCTCACGATTTTCCTCGCGTAGTCTCTCGGTTTCCTCCGTTAGCTGCTTATTCTGTCCCCGAACAGGCGACTTTAAGGGGATTTCAATAGCGTTCTGCCGGCTTCGATCATCGGGTCGTTCGGATAAGTCAAAGGATCGATATAAGCTTGCTTCGTCAAAGGTAAACCCGTCTTCCAAGAAATCCATGCTAAGACTGTCACGACCATTCATCGTAGTATACATGCTCTCGGGACTAGCGGGAACACCGTTAAGAAGAGGGACTCTTGGGGATGGTGTTTTGCTGTTTGCTCTGTGCGTGAGCTGAAGGATACCAGCAGTATGCTCCAACAGTCGCCTCTGGGGTTCCATGGCGCGTTTCTCCAATGACCATAGTTCAGATGCTAGGTCTTCGCACTTCTTCTGGATCGTGCTGAGTTCGTGTTCAGCCTCCCGTGCGGCATCGGTCGATCCACTGTGTCGATGACCTAGAAGACTCCTTCTCTTGAAATCAACTTTGGTTGGGGAATATAGTTTAGACATTGATATAGCAGCATCGCGATATTTGGATTGGATGGCAAGGTTTGACCTCGTCTGCTCGATTCGCTGATTTAAAATCTGACATTGTTTCTTGAGATCATCGACTTCCTCTTGAGATAAAATCTCATACTCTTTGCTGTCGAGTAGGGCGGTTTCGGTGAGCAAATGTACTTGGACAGGATCTTTCAGGTCGACCAGCACCGAGCTTTGAACGCGCCCTGGATTCATCTAATTTGATTATGAGTATATAACTAGATGGATATGATGACCCTCAAGATAGGAGGGAATTAGAACAGTTGCTTACTGGATTAAATCGCGGCTTGTCTCTTTCGAAGTCGTTGAGGCTGTCTTGTCTATAGGAATCAACTAATGCTGGACCCCTCGGCGCAATCGTAGGGCGCAGTGGTGGCGGGCCTCCGTCAAAGCCATCATAGCCACGGTTCGCAAACCCGTTCATTCTAGTCACTTTCGAGCAGAAAGGTTGGTTGACAAATGCATTATACTACGGGAAGGGTCGCGTAAGAGTCGGTCACTCGTAAGTTTATTATGGTTGGATCGTTACAATCGGTTGTATTAGTAGTTGGCGCAAGTTTTAGTCGCCAGTTGAACAAGAAACCAAGAAACCAAGATGAATTAACAGAAATAAGAAGACCAATTCAAACAGAAGCCCTAGTGGAGAAACAATCTGCAAGAATGATTCACTGGAACAATGGCGCAAGATATATTGTAAGTAAGTCAGAGTCCAAAATGTGATGGTCGGGTCACCTGGTAATGAGATTGAAAAGGAGTTTTTGTCGATTTAGGATCTACGATGTATTGTACTATGTATGCACGTAGATTCTGTACAGGGCTACCTCTGTCTGCCCAATAACCTAAATTTGATTAGTGGCGCACTTTACACATTACGCGCTCCACGCTGGGGCGGCAACGCTAATCTGAGTCGAGTAATTAAGCGAAGAGCGCGTTGATGTGGCTGGGGCATAATATAAACGTATTCGGCATAAGTATGATTTAAATATTGCACAATTCTTCGGTTTTTATTTTATTTTTTACTCTACTATCCCTTCACTTGTTTATTTCCCTTTCTTTTCCTCGTCCGAATTTTAATCTTTGTGAGGTAACTAGATAGTAATTCAATGTTTGTTTGCTACTTATTATCTAGGTGTGTACTATGCGTGTACATACAGATCCGTAAATTCACTAACTAGCATTAGTTTGTCTAACATGATAGTTACTTAAAATAAATGATGTATCCAGCTACCCCTGCAATAACATATGCGCGCACTTATTAAACCTTACATATGAGAGACCCGATATGATTATATTAGGTACCTCAGGTGTCTTATTAGGGTCTGATACATCTACGGATCGCAACTATATCTATGCTTTACTCTAGCGTGTTAAAATGTATAGAAATGTGCTAAAATCGCAATTTCGCTTTGCGCAAATGGATGTTGATCGACCGTCATAATTATCCGGCTCAGACCGTTGATATGGGTGGATAGGTAGGTCCTTTACTTTTAAACCTCTTTATACTTCAGCGTGATACGGCTTTATTTTTTATTAATATCGTGTAAGATTAGATACATAATTATTTTTGTGCCACTTCTATCTCATAGATAGTTAGACCCTAACTGGGCTATGCTTGCCAACAATGTCCTTGCTGCACACGTGGATGGATGGCTGATGCAATGGCTGTAATTTTCTAAATACGGCGTCGGATGTTGGTTTGGTTCTTTATAGGAGCTTCTAAATCAACTACGGGTCCCGAAAATAGGGAGACGTCATGGCCGGTAGCGTGTAAGGGACGGTAGTTGATTTGATCGAACACTGGTGCATTTTATCTATAGGCCACACTCCAACTCTTCCTATACGCTGTACTTGTGTAAGTATGCTATTTTAGGTAGTTATTCAATGCTGCGAATGACCTCTGGGGGCCGAACACGTTGGACCTAAAGCCAACAATGGGGTAACAGTCGAAGTTTTTATTTATTTGCTTGCCAATGGGTCTAAAATGCGCCTTGGAATTGGTCTATAACTTGTTGACCCATGGTCCTGCGTCTTCCGCCTTCGGCATCCGCTTGGCCCTGTGCGCCGCTTGTCGCGGCTGTAGATCCGTTTTCACCCTCGAGTCTCCTACGCAACCCTTCGAACTCCTGACTCCTTCTCTGTGTTCGCATCCCTACGACCCAGCCAGGTAATCGCCATCGTATTAGTGATCGTGGTAAAACTTCCATTCTCCACGTGAGGCCCAACATCCATCCAACCAACGCGCCGAGGAGAGATCCAGGCCACTGAAAGAGAGCTAGTTGAAATGCGAGGAGATATCGATATGATTTGTCAGAGAACGTAATGCCTTGTGCCTGATCGTCTGTTGAAGTGGATGCTGATGTTGCTATCTTATATTTATATATCGGCGGGATCATCGCATGGTACTGGGCTAAGACTGCAAATATTATAGGTGTAGGCCCGGCAGGGAGGTAGTTGAAAAGCCCTAGCGTAAGTGGTCTTAGAAAGAGAGCCAAAACTGCGGGGGCCAACCAGCTCGTGAATAATGATGTGACGAAAATGAATGTCTATAATATACCCGTCGTTAGCTAGATACCTAGGCAGATACACCAATACGGTAATAAGGAATTACTCTTACAGCAAATTTCCTAGATCCCCACATCCTCTCAACTGCTCTCATGTTGTATAGAGTCATGGCAGCAAATAGTACCTCGGTCGAATTGGTGTAGCAGAGCTGATAAATGAGAGCCCTCCATATCTGGTGAAACTGCCAAAGGTGTAAGTCGACTAGGATATAGAAGTAGTGCTTGATATCAAGTAGGCTGACGCCTATTGATATTCCAATAAGTCCGTAGACAAGACTACGCGTCACCGGCGCATTCGTAAAGGACATGATATCAACTCGAGGTCCCGCGACAGCTACCGGCGCATCGTATATCGTTCGTTAATAGGCTAAGGTAACATAGGTAGTTTAGATTGATGTTATTGATACTGTTGTACACGATCTTAATTAGGTATTGTCCAAGTATAAGCACGAAGATACAGAAAGCGATGTCATTTGAAGCATTAACTTCTTTCTCACACTAGGGATCGCTCGGCAAGAATTGGACATGTGTACTAATAGATGGTAGGTACCTGCGTATCTTAAATAATCCTAGTCGGGCATCTTTAACTCAAGTTTATGGGGCAATTGTTTTAACGGCTATTATGGTTTGTTACATATATCCGTCTACCCAACACTGTATACCGACACTATGAGGTAAATGACAGGGTCTAGGATGATAGGTAGCTGAAATTCAATTCCATCTAAACTTATCGATAGGCTTCGTAGCTCTTGCTAAGCCTCAAACGTTGTCAATCATATGAACATTCCACCTAGCATTTACGACTTCAATTCGTAACGACTAATAGCCACCATTGTCGTCATCATCCTATAATGCAAAATACGTAGCTTTCCTTGAATCATTTTCTACGTTTGTTTATTCACTATCAATTCAACCATGTCCGACCTCTACCTCTCGCATGTTAGGAACTGGATTCTGAAGTCTCCGCCGGCAGAATGGGTTATTAAAAGTGGCCGAGAGCTGCTTATAGGTACATTGAAACAAGGTCCGATACCACAGCATGTCGCTTTCGAGATGGACGGAAATAGGCGTTTCGCCAAGAATCACAAGATCGAAACTATAGAAGGCCATCACCTAGGATTTGAGGCCCTAGCGAGGGTGCTCGAGATTTGCTACAAGTGTGGCGTCAAGGTGGTTACCGTATATGCATTCAGTATCGAAAACTTCAATCGACCTAGGCACGAGGTTAGTGGTCTAATGGCAATGGCCAAAGTTAAGTTGGAACAGCTTGTTCAGCATGGCGAGCTTCTCGACCGGTATGGTGCTGGTATCCGGGTATTAGGAGAGCGTGATTTAATACCGGACGATGTGTTGCCCTACGTCGACCGAGCCATCGAGATGACAAAACATAATAAAGAGTGAGTAGCTTCCTACGGATATGCTCGGGGAGGTGGTTGCTAACGATATATCACAGTGCCGTACTCAATATATGTTTCCCTTACACCTCAAGGGCCGAAATGACCAGTGCTATAAAAGCTACGGTAGATGAATACACGACATCACCTCGATCAACGAACACACCATTCTCACAGTCGCGAATCACACAGAAGATAAGATCTAACAAGTCGAAAAGGTCGGACTCTTCTTCCCCTATGGACTCTTCCCCAGATGAAAATGGCGTATCGGACATTGACGATTCTATGTCTTCGACTACCGCATTAGATCCGGATTCGCCCCCTCTACAGTCAACACTAGTGAAGCCTACCAGGTTCAAGAACCCGGAAAGTATCACAACTGAGACTATCAATAGTCACACCTATACCGCCGAGTGCCCACCCTTGGACATGTTCATCCGTACTAGTGGTGTTACGAGATTGAGCGACTTCATGTTATGGCAATGTCATGAGAATACCCAGATATTCTTTATGAAGTGTCTGTGGCCCGAGTTCGATTTATGGCACTTTATTCCCATACTTTTAGAATGGCAATGGCGACAAAAGAAGCTAACGGAGAAAGAGGGTTCGCGGAAATGAGTAGACGAACGATGCAACATACCCCTTGTATTGGCGTTGAGGCGTACTCGTTCGAGATCATTTTGTTAGAGCCGGCGATGTGCACTTGCAAGCGGTTGAATTTTAGTGTAGGATAAGTAATATACTGTAGGAAATAGTTTTGCCGCGCAATGATCGCTTAAAGTATACTTAGGTAACTACTTCGTGTAGTTATATACTATTATAACATGTAGGCTGGTACCATATTTAACATTACCTACCTATACAATCGTAGGGACTAATTGAATCTATTTTTATTTTTGTTTTATACTAAGTTCTAGTTTGCAGATCCCATAAATATACTATTATACCAGTTCCGTCTAGCAAAAGCTTATATGAATGTGCATTATGTACATAGTATATTGCACGGTAAAACGCGGGTTAGGTAACATGCTCGTGAATGGATGTACCGAGGCTTGTATGAGGTAGGGACTGCAGACGAAGAGCGGAGCCAAAGTCTTGGCTGTTGAAGTCATTGTTTTTCTTATCTTATCAACCAGTGCACGGATTAATTATCGGATCAACGGTCGTTTGTTTTTCTGTGCTCTCTGGTTACAGCTACCCAATCAAGCCAATCGAAATGCCGCTTCCGTGTGTAGTACAGGCATGTACAAGCCCACATTACCAGAAGGTGGTTTCCCGCCGATAGAAACCCGCGCGCAAATGGGGACTTAGCAACTGGGCTCAGCGGTGCAGAGTGCTACTTTCTACTTTCTGGGCCGACTCAATTATTAAATCTCATCCATCCGGTTGTTCACCTCATCTTCGCAGTTTTGCGCCTCCCCCCTTCTATGAAGCTCTACTCGCATTATCCTTCATATTGCTTCTATTAGTATCCTTCTATTTTTATACTCAAAATGACATAAACTTCATTTATTGAAGCTTGTCAACTTAGTTCCTTCGCAAAGTCTCCGAACCTCTCCAACAAGAAATCTACTTCCCGTTTTCTCGCGTCTCCTATCTCGACTAGACCTACTATTTAAACCAGTCTGAGAAACCAAGATGAAGACTGCGAAGCTACCTCAAGCGGACGCTGGTCCCTCCTCAAATAGAAGAGCTCAACCTGTTCGCCAAACCCGAGCAAATCCCCCGCGAACGTCGTCTGGTATAGCCCGCACTTTCGCTGGCAGAGATTCGCTCGGAGGCGGCCATAGTCACGATCAACCTATCGAGGTTTTCCCCGCAATTACATACTTCACCGATTCTATAACGTCGCTCCCTAAAGATCTCGTCCGACATTTCACCCTTTTAAAAGAAGTCGACGCAAAGATATTTGCTCCCGAAGAAACCCTCTTCCAACTTGTCGACGCCGTTCTCAAGTCGAGCCCCTCCGAACCTAGGAACACTAATGATGCATCCGGTAGCATCGTCACCGCCTCGACGCCAATGAGCGCCCAGAATAGCTCAAGCGGGTTCGCTGCGAATGGCAATACTAGATCGATCGACGATAACTACAGCTCTACGGTATTTAACCCGAGTAATCTCCCGCGACGGCAGCTATTTCATCAAACCGCCCTCAAAGTTCAGGAAATGCTAGTGTCCTTAGAAGAGAAAAACCATGTCATATCGACTGCGAACGAGGCGCTATCTAAACAACTAGCTCGGATCAATGACGTCTGGCCGCACCTCGAGGGTGAGTTCAGCGACGAAGCTAAATGGGGCAGCACTACACACTGGGCCTATCCAGAGAACAGGATCAATCGAGCAAACCAAGCTGAGCGATCGCGCCGAGATGGGGCAGCTACTATTACAGCTGCGGCCCAGCAGCTTGCAGAAGAAGCTGCAGCACGAAGTGACGCGAGAAAACAAGCCATCATAGCCAAGAAAGGGCTTAAGAATCAACACCAAGACTCGGATGTAGATGACCATGAGAACAAACATAAGGGAGAACCGACAAAAAAGGCATCTAATAACCACGGCAGTAAGGCTCGAAAAGCCGCAGAAACGGCCGCGCCTGTTGGACTGGGTATTACTTCAGGCACTGTTGCGAACATTCCCAACGGCAATCCTCCATCTAAGAGACGAAAAGTGGAAGCAAATAAGCCAGCTAATGGGGGGCAGCCAATGGAACGCGCAATGAGCTCTGTCTTCGGCAATGGAACGAAGCCCAAAAACTCGAGCCCCAGGGCAACACCTGCACCTGAACCGCCTAAGAAGCGCAAAGCTCTTCCTACTGTAAACGGTACCTCGAAAAAGAGGTGAGCATACCTCCTCCTACCTACTTCTACTACCTATACTTGAAGTATTTCAGTTTATTAACTTGGAGATTCTCCCCTAGCAAAACGACTACCGCAGCCGCCGTGCTTTCTCCTTCCATCGCAGCATCTCCAATCCAACCAAATTTCGATCCCAAAGCCGCTTCCCGCGGTTCACCTGCGCCTTCCACAACCTCAGCACGCCCCGCATCGTCTCGAGCGAGACAAAACTCGATACAATCCACTGTAGAAAATGGTCGGCAGCGACCTACTTCATCTGCCTCAAACAGGCCAAACGGTGTCACGGCTACAACTCCAGAGCTTACGGTGGCGCATAACGGCATTCGTCCCCCAGCTGATACTAAGCAAAGCAAAGAAACCGTAGCAACTGTGAAGGTCGAGGCTACTAGGGAAGAAGCGGTCCTTACCATCGCCAGTACTAGTACCGCCACTACAAGTAACAAGGCCATACCCAAAGGTGACGATGCGGAACCTAAAGGGGATCCTACACAAACCCCATTAACGGTATCCACACCTGTTGTCACCACCAAGAGTGGACGAGCCAGTAAGCCGTCAACGCCAGCATTGGGATCATTTCCAGACCCTCCACCACGATCTCGGTCATCACGAAATGCGTCGACTACCAACGGGAAGAGGAGCCATAAGAAAGGCGCAGCCCAGCAACTCGCAGCTCGGCTCGCGAATGCAGATGCGAACGGTAGTATACAAGGCGACGACGACGCTGATGTTGATGCTGACGAGCCACTGTACTGTTATTGCAATGGTGTCAGTTATGGTGAGATGGTCGCATGCGATGCCGATGATTGTGAACGAGAGTGGTTCCATCTCGATTGTGTCGGCCTAAAAGCAGCCCCGCCGTCGAATAGTAAGTTTATCAAATGTTCCCAATATCAGGGGTATATCAGCTAACAGTTTTCTTAGTGAAATGGTATTGCGATAATTGCAAGGATCGCATGAGAGCCGGGAAGAAAGTAAATGGCAGATGATTTGCTCCTTTGCTGCGTGTTTGCTTCAATAGGTATACCAAGCGTCTACTTAGAAATCATGGAGTTCACGGTGTTCATTGAGCCACACGATAGTCGGCATTTAACAGGGCATTTTGGGGTTGAGGATACAACAAGACCTCATGTATATTGGCGTCTCGGGACTTGAAACCTCTGGGAGGGAGTACCTAAATCGCCTAGGTACCTAATCATTGCTTTGGGGGGGCTGCTTATTAGGTAAAGGCTTGATATGGTGCTGATGAGTTGCTCCTAGCCCGGAGTATGTTTTGGGGAAATTTATCATGCCAATGGAAACGTGGGTTAGATAGATATTGGCGTTTCTGTACATTGTTCAGACTCCTAGAGTTACTCGGCTGGGAACATACATTGACATTATTGTGAGCTCTACATATATGTAAATCATTAGTAAGACTCCCTGAGAAAACAAACCTACTCGAAAATATTTTACCACTTCCGAATTATATCATGTTAATATTCTTCTATTTTTTGTCTAACAACTCTGTGTCTAGGTCAAAGAGTTAGCACCGTCTATCTAATATTTTTACTTCTGCTACCTTGGGTACTTCTACACATGGTATATATCTACATATCTAATACTTGTTTCTTTATCCACTTTGATGTACCTTTTACCTAACTCTTACGCTTAGTTACAAGGAATAAGTTTAGGTAAGTTTAGGTAACATTTCGTGTCGGTAGGTTTCCCTTAGAAACCGGAATATGAGCCGCAATGTTAGACATGGAGTAAACTATATGCAAAGTGATTGGCCGTCCGAAATTTACCAACAAGACGTGAGGCTATTTCCCCGCAAACAAATATGCATACTATGCATCATCTAGCTAAGTGCTGCAGGTCCAGCACATATCAACGGCTTAGCTAGATCGGCACACCCGGTCTCTGCAGGCAAGGGGTAAGCATCAAACGTTGCATGGTAAAGGAGGCTAATACCTAATAATAACACCTACCGAGGACTTTTTAAAAATTGCATGTTTATTCCTAAAGCGTCTGATTTGTCCTGAATGACTCTTTTCATTTCTCTTCTTTGGCCACGTGAACTTGGTTGCACATGGCCCAACAGAACTAGTTGTGTTTAAGGAACTAAATCCACGATATATCATCGGGTTGAGCCGGCTAAGACTGAAACTAAAGGCGGTCAAAGACTCCGTAAAGGGGTGATATTCTAATACTATATCCTCTTCTCCTTATTTTCGACTGGAATGCTTAAAACAGATCGTCATGATTATTAAACAGCTTTGAATAATGGTTAAAGGAAGTAAGAAACGAAAGCATATGATTAGGAGGCACAAGACCCAAAGTCAGTAGTCACTCGCCATATCTTAAGATGACGACAAAGCACTTCGAATATGTGTGTAGTAAGACGATGCAATTTCAGGTCTGCGATATCGCAGCTATATGGAGCTCGGATCAAACATTGTAAATGAAATTTCCAAGTAGGAAACAAGCAGATCATACTCATAACTCATACGGTAGTATTTCATCAGCCGCCACCATTTTCAAATACTACCTACCTCAAAAATTGCTTTAGTATACGAGATGAATCCGTGTTCTATTAGAGGTCAAGTACAAGTAAGGCAAGTACATGCAGTACTACCTATGATATACGTACATTTAGCAGGTATAGGAAGTACCGCGTAAATTGTATAATTGAATCCGGGGAAAGGAGAAGGAACGGGAACGTCTTAACGCCAATTAGCCAAGAATATTAACGACAAACCACGCAGCGTCGTAGTAACGTACGCAGCCCACGGACGGGGCCACGGAACTAAACTTTCGCTAGACTCGGCTAGCTTTGATTTATTTTTTTTAACTAGTAACTACCTGTAGTCAGTCCCCATAACAAAACTGAGGAAAGCCAGCCTTTCGTTCCGGAAGCTCCAGAAAAAACTTGACCTTCCCTTCTGCTAGTTTCCCCAGAGTTTAAAAAAAAATTTCCACATCGCGATGACGATATTGCCCCGTAACAATAGGCCTAGGTCGTCTGACATTCTCATTACCAAATAAGTATCTAAGCGGAGCTCATGGCCAAGGCGCTTTCGGATTTCGCACCATTTGCCGCCAGTCTCGAAGGCAACAAGCGTTGGTGGGTTTGGCTCAGGTGACAAAGAAGAATCCATCTCTATGCCATTCTTTTATTTCCATTACCCAATTTATGGTCAATGGAATCATGGGAGGTTTTGCTCGTACCATTTCTAGCCACCTGCGGACCCTTCGTTCGCGAGTTGTTGCTACTAGGTACATCCCCTAATAAATTAGACGGTGAAGGACAAACAAGATCCAGACTCTTATTAGACGGTTCAGATTGGTTTTATTTTTTACTATTGATATTGGCAGACCAGGAAAGAAACAGACTGGAAGAATAATCTATACACGTGAAACCTGGTAGCTTCCTACTTGGTGTTTCTCATACTCTATACTTACGTATGAAGAACTGATAAACTCCCCCCCCCCCTTTAGCTTTTTTCTCCCGACCTCCAAACACCGACGACGACAACGCCCCGTTTCTTTACGTAGCCCGGTAAACGAGGGGGATCCAAAAGAAACAATTCGCGTACCACAGGTTCATTTAATAACTACCTAACCTACATATTTACTATACTTATAAGTGATTCCGGCGGCAAACCCATCTCATCAATCCTTCCCCGCATTGCGCCAACGAATCCTGTTACCTAAGAAATCGGCGTTTTGACTAACAGAAAAGCCCATCCGGGTTACCTGGACCTACTTTGCATCCTCTGGTGTCTTTGGTGAAACCTGGCGCCCTGGCCGGTTCCCTTGGAGGACGGTTAACAACCGTGCCGTGTCCTACCGGAGAAGGAAGAAAAGGAAAAAAAAGTGACATTGCGCTATTGATACCACATCTTGCATCGCTCGCCTGCGCGACTGCAACCCTAGCTCATCTTCCGATTATGGATCGAACAATCACCTCCTCTCCTGTTGGACGACACCCAAGCAAGAGGCATATTTCCAGTAAACTTAGTCAAAGCCCTACTCCTAGCCTGCGTGACACTATGGATCCTCTCGAAACCACAACTCCGCCGGACAAATCTCTTCGGTCCTCTTTCTCTTCCGTCCGGGAGGCCGACTCAGATTTAGCTCAGAACTTTACTTCTACTAAGATATCGTCTTATTCTAAGTTGGCAGAAGAAGCTGAAGAAGCCGTCGACGACTTGCCCTCGCCTCCGGAAATGGCCACGCAGACCCAGTTCATTCCTCCCGTGACTCAACCGAATAGTAGGCTGCACGGCTGTTGGTTCCCAGCTGTCGCCGCCGAGGGCTTCCAAGGCTGGAAGCAGATAGGTGTGAGGGGGAGACAAGCCAGCAAGAGTTATGGGGATTTGCAAGCTTTGAAAATCGTGTGGTCTCCGGCACCTCCAATCAAGAGGAAGGACCCCGAAAGGCCCTCTCCAGGACAGTCCACTATCGAGAAGTTGCCCGCGGAGATACTTGGTAAGTCGAAAGGAACGCTGTCATGATGACTGGAGTAAACATCTTACAAATTAATTTGGAAAATAGGTCAGATCATTGATCACCTTGTCCTCGATGTCCCACCTAATGGAGTTTCCGCTCGAAACGTGGATCTTATGTCCTTGTTGCTGACGTCGAAAACGTTGCACTCTGCAACGTTGAATGCGCTCTACAAGAACATCACCATTCCGCACTCGAGAATTTTCCGAAAGTTCTTGTCCCACATTGCACAGAACAAAGAACTGGGGACTATTGTGCGACGGCTGGACTTTAGCCACTTTAACCCCACCACGCTCTTTGCGACGGCAAGCGAGCGAGCTACTACCCGCAACTTGACACCCGAGACTCTGATGCAATGCTTAGAGCTGACTCCTTTCCTTCGTGAATTCTTAGCGCAGGAGTATATCGAAGACGAGATCGACGCCGACGTCTTGCGGAAGGTATTTTTCGGGCTCGAGAGGTTACAGGGTATCGACTTCTGCGGCTGTTCGTCGACTCACTTCAAGAACGCCTTCCAGTCGATCCTCCTGTCCGATTGGCCGGAAGCGCTTTCGATTTCTCGGCTGTCTCTTCACAAATGTATTACTTTGCCTTCGTCCGTGTATGAGACGTTGCTCCCTCGACTGGGGAACTTGACTCATCTGGACCTCGCAGGAACTCGAGTTACGAACGAGGCACTTCTGTCGATTCCTCACAATGCCAAGATCACGCACCTAAACTTGTCTAAATGCAAGCTCCTAACAGCTGACGTTGTCATCAACTTCATTGCAAACCACCCCGCAGTTAAAGAATTAGTGGTTTTGAGTCTTGGAGTAGACGCACGGAGCCACCAGCTTCTAGATGAGGATGATCTGAGCAAGCTGATACCAGTTCTTCCCCAGAGCTTACGTTCGCTAAGCTTGAAGGGTAGCAAAATGGCTGCGTCACACATTGACTTACTTCGTCCATTAACGAAGCACTTAGAAGAGCTTGCGTTGGGTCGGAGGTTGAAGATCACTGATATCGATCGTCTCTTTGTACCCGACGAGAGCAACGATGATAACATAGATGAGGAGTTGGAATGGATTCCACACTCGCTGAAATATTTGGATCTCTCCGACTACACGGCAACAGAACTCGACCTCATTACTATGTTCGGTCGAAATACGTCAATTATGAAGAAATTCTCAACGCCACTAGAGGTGATTGAGGTTACGGATGATTTATACGCCCGATTAGCAAAGTCACCGGTTGTAAAACAGCTTGGATGGACAGTTACGGAGAATGGTAGTCGGGCCTGGCTTGTACGCGTCCACAGCCCCGAGGATGGACCCAGGGACTCCGGACTTCGATCTTGGAAGATGGGCGCCTCATTTTGGGGTATGCGCAAAATACCTATCGCCTGCGCCGAGGTTGGTGGCATGTACGGTTCATACATGTTCAAGCGAAAGCTATAACGGGATAAGCGGGCGCGCGACGACCTCAACTCTTGCCTCTACTCTCATCTCTTCTTACCAATATTGCCTGGGTTTATACTTATTGGATGGGCGGAGCTTAGACTTGTTGAGTATTTGATTAGATTATTAGCATAGCGACATGGTGCATCGGTTGGATTGACGATTCACGAACGAGCTATGATACGAAAAGTTGGTCGTTATCACATATGCTTTCTATAGGACAAGGATGGCGGAAAGGCGATTATTGCATAATAATTCTAGCGTGTAGCGTTTTGTATGTTAGATTCTTTACTGCTACTACTGTTATTATTTTAATATATTATAATTGCATTTTTAATAAGAGTATTGGTCTGTTGAGGTGGTTGGAAGTGAAGAGATAACAGATCTGAATTAGTTATGTAGTTATGTACTTAAACTATGGAGGTTTGCTGACTAACATTGTATAGGTTGTGGACTCCACCTATAAAAATTATCAAGTAGGTACCTAGCTGCTGCTTAATAGTGAAGTTGCCTCTTAAATGCATACGTCAAGGTCATCCCCTGATTAAAACGATACTTCACATCACTTCTGAAATATTAGACCAGTGAGGCTCAACCGCTCAAATCGACCCTCATCTAATACGCGCAATACAAGACCTGAAAATAAGGAAAGGAAAATCAAATCACGATGTATGCGCTCACTTTAACAGCGGAATTAAACGGGTATGCAGTTTTGGAAACGAACTTTTACTGTTTTCCATTTCGGCTGATAAGGAGGACTATGTTAATACAGGGTTACCAACCTCCGACCCAAGGACACTGCTGAAAGTCCGTTTTGGTATACCTTCACGGTCCAGTGTACCTCGTGTCGGGAGACCCACGGGAAGCCAGTCGCTGTTAGCAGATTTGTGAGAACATTCCATCATCATCATTAAACTTACACCCTAACTAGTTATATGAGGGAAACTAATTTTGGTTTATTTTATTTTATTCATAGGAGACCAACGAGTTAAGCGGAAGTAGGGGAGAGGCGAACTTCGTATGGAAGTGCAAGAATTGCAAGGTTGGTTCCCGTCGGAACGAATAATTACTCGCTTCGTTACTTTTATGACGGAGGCACATTGTTCTCTAACTAGTTATACGACGTCTAGCGAGAATCCTCTTGCTCGATCAAGACGGCGCCTAAGCCCTACGCGCAAGGCGAGCCGCCTAAGCAGCAGTCCGTCATCGAGTTCGACTGCCGCGGGTTGGAGTTTACGGATTTCAGTCCCGAGGTAAGCGGAATGAATATATATTTATCTTTCCGAGTGGGCTTACTTTGGCTAACTTTTCTAAACCTGATGCAGGGGGAATGGCTGGCGGATGGCATCGAGTCGAATACAAAGTTCGAGGGAGTTGAGCTGCAGGATGGTGAGTGGTACGAGTATGATGAGAAGGCCGGAGATGAAGTTAGTATTAAGGATTTGAAGTGGGAGATTAAGAGAGCTTGAAAGGGGTTGTTTTAGATGTGTAGGTTGTTGAGTCTTAAGAAACCTATATGAATTAACTCTGGTGAAGACATGCCCAACTCCTTAATATGAAATTGCAGTCAAATTCACAAGGAAGATATATACAATTCCGACTCTTATGTTTGTAAGTCGTTCAAAAATCCATCTATCTTCCAGTTCTTTATCTTATCATCTTCAAGATTGAGTGCGGGGCAGAAATACTGCGTACCCCGATATATATATACACATATCTTTAACTGCAAACACCCCCATTTAATCAATTAAACTGGGGTTTAAGCATTAAACAAAGCTCAAAAATTCCATGTACATTAATTTAGGTACATTTTCATTACAAGCCTTCACTCAAAGCTTCCCGCGAGTTTGGACGCGCCCCAAACATACATTTATCTATCTACAACCACCACCCACGAACCTCACAAAATTCTTTTTACCATGAGTGTAAGCTGCCTACCTTCAAGCTCCCCCATATTCCCCTTATCCTCCTACATATAATAACTAACACAAAAACCTACGCATAGTTCGTACCCATTAACCCGCGGCCCATGCTGCAAGACCTGTACGTTTTTCCCAACCAACCAATCCACCTTTTCCCCTTCGGAACTTCAGAGATTAATGGATGGATGAGGTTGAACTGAACTGGACTGGACTAACACCGCAAACAGCGTCAACAAGGACATCGTCGTGCGCCTAAAGTGGGGCGAAACCGAGTACCACGGCCGCCTCGTCAGCTCCGACAGCTACATGAACATCCAACTGACCAACGCGCAAGAGTTCATCGACCAGAAGTTCACCAGCGACCTGGGGCAAATCTTGATCCGGTGCGTGCCCCCTTTCTTTTCTTTTCTTTTTTTTCCCCCACTCTCTCCCTCTCTCTTCTCCCCTCTTCAAAACCAGCCGGGGAAAACAGACTGCGGACTGGGCTGACATGTACCAGATGTAATAACGTGCTATGGATCAAGGCCGCCGACAGCGGCGATAGCGGCGACGTCAAGATGGGCGGATAGACGGGCGTTGGGGGCAACGGTCGGATGAAAGGCGGCAGATATATACCCCGGTTGAAGTACAGTACGGTACGGTACCGGTACCTTGGGAGAAGCAGGTCAAGTAAAGATGCACCAGGCAGATCTCGACAGCAGGAGATGTTGCCTATATACGGGCAGTCTGGCTGCTTGGCCAGGAGTACAAAACAATCATAAAGGAAAGGGTTTTACGTCTTGGGTTATGCTGGTCCTTTTTTTTTTCATTCGTCGCGAAGGCGTAGAGCCTACTCGACTCGCTAACTTAGTGATCCTAATCCTTTATAGAGCTTCGTGAGAAGAGAAGTACCACAAAATACAACAGCTTTCCCCCGATGTGTTTCCTATCGCTTTGGCTGTCGCTTTGTAGAGCAATTATTTCCCTAGTGTCTTATCCTGTAACCAGTTGACGTCCTTACCGCCCTTTCTATGTATAGGAGAATCACAAGAGACAGGCCACTTTGCGGCTGCTGCACATATCCGAACCCCCAACCTTGACCCTCTGGGTCGGGCCAACCCACATGAACGCCTCGACTATCCATTCGTACCATACCTTTGCGTCGTCAGTCTGTCGCCACATGCTGACTTCCAACTCAGTGTCCGGCGGGAAATAGAGTGGTTGCTAAGAACGATTAGTCAGTATATCCGTAACTATAAGAGGTTGATAGATAAATGTACCTTGAGCGGGAAGAAGATCGGAAACCAAGATATCATATCCTTGCTCTTCCGATCGATCATATCCGGCAGCGTACTCAGCTCGATCTTTTCCGGAATCACCTCTCCGTGCTCCCGCTCTTCTCCTGTCCCATCCGCAGCTCCACTAGGCGCGTACAGCACTGACTCGAAGTAACCCGCGAGTCCATGTATGACGCCGCGGGTACGGCACACGAAGGTGAGGTGGCAATGTCGCGTGTTGTGGTCGTTGGCGCCGACCGCGCCGGCCATGCTACCCCCACCACCTCCTGCCACGCCACCCGCACGCCGGGCCTCCATTGCGTCCATCGTTGCCTGCGGCAGTGGGTGCGCGAACTCCCACGCCTGCTGGAATCGCGGTCTATCAGGTACTCGCTCCGCGACAAAGTCCAGCGCGAACAGTCGTACCACCCACGGCGTGTCGAAAGCATCGCTCGATGGGGACGAGGCAGCCCGCTGCTTGATGTCTGCATGGATACGAGGCGTCGAGATAGGGCTTACATGCGCTGTGTACGATGCTGGGATTGAAATGCCGACTTGCGGTGCCAGCACGTGTTGAATGCCGTCCAGACACTCGGGGCTTAGCTCGTTGTCGCCGAACGAGCCTAGGAGCTCAGATACCAATATGTCGACTTTGCCGTAGACGGGGCCGGTGGAGGAAGATGAATCGGAGAGCAATGGTCCCTTCCACGCACGCATATCCGTCTTGACGACGGTGACACGACCATCCCATTCCCGCTGGTTTTGCCGTAGTAGGTATACGTAGGCGTTAGGGTTCTTCTCAACAGCCCAGACGCGCACAGGAACGCCAGTGGATTGACTAGCTCTCAGAGCACGGGTGACAAGCGGTCCACGACCAGACCCAGCAACCGCTATAACGACCTCACCGCCAGGAGAAGATGTGGGCTTGCCCTCCGCGGCCCAATCCCTGAGCGCGGCTGCGATTGCTATCTCATATTGGAAATACTTGACCGGGTCGCCCTCAAATACCTCGTACGTGACGGACTCGAGGTTGTCCGAGAGCGGTTGCAAGGGTGACTGCAGCCAATCCTGAAAGTTGGACAAGGTGTTTTGCTCCAGGTCACTAAGAGACTCCTGCTGCCTCTCGAGGTGTCGGAGATAGGCGGAGTAGGCGTTCTGCCCTTGGGACTTGATTTTTTCATTGGCACTTGCAGTTTGTTGTGCGGCGGCCTCGGTGAGAGTCGGGAATTCAGCCGACGTTATCTCTTTAGGATGAGGATCTGCTTGCAATTCTGGGCCGACGTCGCAGAGGAGAAAGTAGGGGGCATTTTTTAAGCGCATGTAAGTGAAGATCATGTCTTGGTGGTAGCGGCTTAGGGAAGGATGGCCGGCCTTGTTCGTCTGGAATGTCTGGGGGCTGAATGTCAAGTATTGAAGGGGTTCGGAGAACCACCTCGTCTGCAGCTGCTTCTCTGGAAGGACTCGCGGAATTTTGAGCGCTTCATATTCCTCCAGTCAGCACTATTATACTTATAATGATCCCGTGATAAAGGGTAGATGATATTATTTAATGTAGAAGGTAGCTTAAGCTGTACTTACCAACAAAGAGCCTAGTATCATACTCGCAAACAGAACGGATGATATGCCAAGAATCCCAAGAACTGAAGAGATCTATTTTCTGTCCAGCAACAGATGTTTGGTCTGGATTGCTATCTAGCACAGATAGAAGTGGCACTCGCTCTTCCAGACTTGGCTCGCGATACATAGGAATGTGGATGATGATGCTGACTCGAGTACCGATGGAAAATGCTTCTTGGATAGCTCGAGCATACTGTGCAATACCTTGGCCATTACCTGTATTGACCGAGTCTTCTCTGGGCCCAGGGATTATAATGCTCCTCGCCCCGCAGAAATTAGCATAAGAAACTTCGAGGTTTAGTACCTGCCTCGAAATGCTAGAGATAACATGGTTGGGAGAGCACAAATCTATCCAAGGACTAGAGTAGGCGACAAGCCCGCTCGTATAGGTGCCCGGAAAGAGGGTGGTATCCTCGGTGGTCAACGGAGGTACCACGGGATCGAGAATAGAGCCAGCTTTCTCATTGTATCTAGCATCTGATAGACTAGCTTTGACCAACTCCACGACACGCTGATGAAAATTCTCATTTGTAATCGGGGTTGTGACGAAGCTGAACTGTAAATATATAAGCCTTATTGTATATTCGCATAGTTATATTATAAATACTGGTTACTTACACCAGCATTCAAGACTTGGCCATATTGTAAATCGGTCAAGGTCTCCAATCTTGTCGAATCATGCTGGCCAATGTAAAATGTTGGGCGGATCTCGTTGTAGTCGTCGGACTCCTGATCCATCTGGTCCATATATTCTTGCGACATGCTGAAATAACTTTATTCGCCTATATCCTTTCGGCGTATTGAACCACTGAGAGACCCCTGTCAATACGCAGATACTTTGGAGAAGTACTAATCGTAGTCTGCTGGTAGCACCTTAAGGTAAAGCGAGAGGGTTTTAATGATGTATGAATATTTGATTTGTGTCAAGAATCCATCACGACATGAAGTAATAGAGCTTCAGGATGATTGGGAAATATAAACCTGTTGGGAAGGCTCAGTTTTACCTAAAGAAAATACCTAAAGGAAAAATGCATCCCAATATACATATTTCTAGTGTGTGGTATGATTGGTGTATCAAACGGTTTCGGTCTACTTAAATTATGTACAAGGAGAAAAAAAAAAGGTGATAATATTAAAGAAGGCCCAATGAATTCATTGGCCCGGTGGCAGTTAGCCCCGATATATAATAGTAATGCCTAAAACTACGTAGTAGATAGGGTAGCTTAAGTTTAACGATATTTCAAAATAACAGTGTTGTCAGGTTAGGTACTATATGCATGATATATAAGATGGTGTCTTAGATTAAGTGCGATGGAGTTTATGAAGTTTCTGTAAATAAATCTACTTGGGGTACCTATGGTGACTCCCGTCCTTCGCTGAGTTTTTTGATAAGATAATTAAAGACGGTTGGGTGCTGTAGGCAGATGCCCGCATATTGGAAGGTACATATTATGAGCGTGTAGAAGTTAAATATCTTATCGATCATGTGATTAAGCCCTCTAGATTCGATACATTAATAGTACATCTATCTATCGCAATGTACCCGCTACATACACGTCTAGGTACCTACTTCGCACTTAAGCATTTAGACGCGCCTAGAATTCACCCCACCTTCAAAGCTCTTAATAATTACATACGACAGCCCCTCTAGTAAGTTGCTCCTAGTTGAAGGAAGCAACTACTTCTAATTTCCTACAAAATGAATAGGCGCATGGTTCGTTTCTCTACATTCTTAAAACACAAGACTCTCAATATACTAACCGTCTGTTTTCCTACGTTAGCTTACCAAAGAGGATGAAGCGGCCGGCGATGAAGTCGAGGTGCGCCGCGAGGACCAGGACAAGATCAACAAGTTCAGTCGTCTACATCAACGTGAATTAAACCTAGAGGACGAGCTGAAGGCCAAGAATGTACGGGAAATGAACCATTTGACCGGATGAATGCGGCGCATGTACTGACGGAGAGCATTGCATCGTATAGAAGGAGAAGGAAGAACTCGACGATATCTCCACTGAACTCGAGCTTGCAGATGAAGACGACACTGTGCCGTAAGGATCCCCGGCCTAAGTGTCTAAACTCGAGGATGTTATATAAGAGTTTTGGTGCAATTTAGGTTAAGACGTAACTAACAGTTAACCTGACTATTAGTTATAAAATTGGCGATGCTTTTTTCCACCTACCGCTTCCACAGGCACAAGAATTGCTAGCCTCGTCAACTACAAGAGTGGAGGAAGAGGTATCGGTACTTGAAGACAAGATCGGTGGGCTAAAGGACGAGATGACGCAGCTGAAGGTTGAGCTTTACGCACGATTTGGGCGTAGTATCAACCTCGAGACCTAGGAGTACCGGCCAGCCGTTGCATGAACGAACTGGTACCAGGATTATATGGCATCTTAGAGGGTTCAGTTGGAAGTTGAATTATCTACCTGTTACTCAGGCAAGTCTCACGGTGGCCGCATTGTGCCGACTAAATTCTCGGTGCTGAGTCTCTGGCATGGACAGAGATATGAACTAACTGTCCTCAAGTAAACCTTCACGATACCTAAATGATAACGGAGGTCTAGACAGTAATTACCTGTTACGAGTCTACGTAGACTATACGGTCCTAGGTCCCACAAGCTCCTAGCTCCGCTACGTGAAGTGTAGCAAAATCCATAATCTTAACCTATTATCCTATTACTCCAGGTACTTAAGATATACAAGCCGCTCCAACTATGCTCAAGGATGGAGTTAATATTTAGTATTTATTAAAATTTGTATGATTTGGGTAAGTTGTGATTGGGTTATATATTTAACTGTATACAGCCACGATTCGAATTCAGCAGTAAGGAAAGTAATGTTATTATTATCACAAAGAACCATCAATCTATATTAAGGCACATAAAGGATCCCTTCTTTATATACGGAATTCAGGAGTACATCCAGTCCTTCGAGCGAAAATGTTTAAATTCTTAGGTATCTTACCAAGCTAAGCATATATCTTGTGTGAGACAGCCAGTCACTCAAGTCCTATTCAAAATCCGATGAAAAAACGTCCGATTCAGATTGACTCATATCAAGGCATCAGATGTAGGTAAGGTAGTTACTAACACGACATACTTCCACGTTACCCTATACACAAGGGCGTGTTCTTACACGGCAGTCACGATATGACTTGTTGAAGAACACTAACAGAATGAGTCTGTTGTTTTGTTCCTGTTTTAGCACATCCACATCTTCTCCGAGTAGTACTTATATGCCGCAAAGTCCGGCTTCTGGAGTATTGCTTGATCATACGAACTATACATAACACAAAACACACATCAGATACTACTTACACCACTTATCATAAGCATTTTCATATCATCAATAACAATGTCTTCCGCAGAAGCCACAGTCGGAGCATCTTCGCGAGGTCCTTCCTACCGAGAAAAGCTAAATAATGTAGGGAACATCACGCCTCTTAACGCACCTTTGATATCGTGGGGTGGGCAGCGCGGCAGATCACCCACAGAGTATCTAAAGAATTACAAGACATCCTACACGATCCCTTTCGGCTACGAAGTCGCAACATGGCGACAGAAATTCTTCGGCGGGGGGGATATGATGTTGCCGTTTTCTTTCCGGACAGAGCCCGAAATCAAGCCCTCTAAGCCTAATGAGGCAACTATAGTACTCCTATTCTACCCGCGCCCCGATGAAGACAACGCAAGACCGATTCATAGATCCAAATCGTACCTTCGACGGATAGACCGGATTGCCAGAATGGGAGAACAGACCATCATCTATGTACCACCGGAGTTGAAGTCCGCCGTCCAAGGCATGCGCGGTGATCATTACTGGCACGTTATCGATGATTACCCGACGATTTGGGACATGCCCAACAATGCGTATCAGAAGGAGAACTTTGCGACCAAGCAGCCGGAACTCTTCGAGCAGTTCGATGGGTACACGGAGGCGGACGGGGACTTGAGGCCCGAGCCGCGGTACAATCGTGCGCACCACAGCGCCGTGTGCAATGCGAAGGCATTCATCATGTATGATGCTATCATGCGCAACCCATTCGGCTCGGATGACTGGATGTACGTAGATGCCGGGTTCCTCTTTGACGATGGCCCCCAGGACGACGAGGGCACGCCCTGGGGCGATCTATTCCGCGCTGGCCTCGACGCAGACAAGTTCGAGCGCGCCATCAGCATGTCCCGCGACACGGGGGTAGTTATGGGCGAGTACTCGCATCGACACGGTCATCCCGACGCCGAGGACGAGTGCTTCACCAACCCCAAAAGATCATGGCGCGCACGACAATTCATCGCACAGGTGTACGTCGGCAACTCGCTCGGCATGCTAAACTACAGCGTCCGTTTCATGCAGACGGTCGACGATATGGACGCAAACGGCTTCTATACGGGGCGCGAGGAGCTCGTAGTCCCGTTCGTCGCGCTGCGGTACCCGAATACGGTCTTCTCGGTGCCGTACTTCCGACTTCCGCCGAACCTGGACTACCAGTGGCAGTTCCCGATGAAGTTCGTGTTCTCCAAGGTTGGAGGCCGGGAGTCTGTCCCGCCTATTGTTGATCCCATTTCGACTCTGTACTGCAAGGGGTATACCCCGAGACGGCCGAATATGCGGGCTGGGGGGATTTATGAGGACCCGAGGAAGGATGACGAGGAAGAGTAGACTTGAAGATGGTGATTTTGCGTTTTGAATGGCTAGCGTTGTAGGATAGATAGAACATTTATTAAATAAAACAATAAAAAAAATAAAAAAAAGGGGTTGCCCCCGATAATACTCTGTTTGCTAAAGTTTGATGTTACAAAGACTTAGATGTAAAGAGCATGGTAAGCTAAACTGGTATCTCTAGGTGTCGTGTATATCAGCTAGGCAGTACACTCTGGCAGTCACACGTGAAAACTCAAGTTGACAAAGAATTGATTTAACGTATATTGTCCTTGGCTACATTATACGATACCGTATTACTATATCCTCTCCTCCTTTCAGAATATCGTCTTCCCGCAAGAGGATCCGGCTGCGGTTCTAGGCCTCAGGATCTTGCGTCGCTTACTTGCCGCATTGTCCGGATACGAACTGGAAGGACAGCTCGTTAGGGGGGAGCTGTAGTCCGCAACGACCGTCGGCTCGGCAGAAACCATCAAATTGTCCGTCGGTACACGCTTGACCTTCGACTGAGGCCTGGTTACCGTTGTCTTCATCGTCGGTATCGCTGTCGAGGCCGTCATCGCTGTCACCCGCGACACTGTCGTCATCAATGCCGTCATCAGTACCGTCGTCGGTAGCAGCGTCATCGTCGACGCCATTGTTCTTACGGCCGAAAAAGTCATCAAACGCTCCCCCGGTGCTGTCGGCTACACCACATTGTCCAGAAACGAACTGGAAGGATAGCTCGTTCGGGGGAAGATTCAATCCGCAACGGCCATCGGCTCGGCATGTGCCGTCAAATCTACCGTCGGTGCATGCCTGACCCTCAACGGATGATGCTTGACGTGTTGTTAAGGGCACTGTCAGGGGTTAGCCGATGCGGTTCTTCCGTAAGGTGAGGTTATAGAAATTAGACTTACCTGCGGCAGCGTTGCTGGCGAGGAGGCTGGCAAGAAAAAGGGAGGCGGCGGTGAGCTGCATTTTGAAGAATTTGTAGGGTGATTTGGTGAAAGGTGGGGAATGGGTGAAGAGATTAAGAATATGAATAATACGGTATTGTGAAGATGTGACCGGCACAAAGAAGAACTGAAAGGCTGTTGAACTAGATATCGAAACGCAGCTGAGGAATTCCAACTCGAAAACTTGGAGAATTCATGGCTAGATATAGGCACCTTATTCACTGAGGCTGCCGGCCTGGCGGATATCGGCACTCATCAACGATACCGCTCTGGTGAGGCTAAAACGCAACCCCTTCCCCTTTCAGCCCCTCAGTAGCCGACGTTGAGAACAGTTGGGAGCGATGGTGTCGTGAGTTTCATCTCGCGTCAACACGGCCAAGACTACCTAAATGACTATGAAGACCAGGATGTCTACCTAACCTACGCATGACAACGTATCGTCCCATTAACTTGTAAATAGTAACCCTAGTTGACTATACCGCCGTCGCTATATTGAAAGATGATGTTTAGTTACTTCTCTAATTACACGTGTTCTAAGATCTAACCGTAGCCGTCGAGTATTTGATAAAAGTTCATCGAGAAGAAAACGTGAAGATCACCAGTAGATCTCAAGCTGAGCTAAACCAAACCCCCTGTTAGCTGAACCGTACCCCGTATTTATCCCCATGTTTGTGCCCATGTCGCCTGAGTGTTTCGGAAATCAAGCGCGCTGCCAAGCTGTTTGAGCAGGCAATTTACGAAGTATGTAACAACGGCATAGCAAAAGTTCCCATCTGTCAATATCGATCAATTTTATTGCAATAGGCTATACGAAAGACCTCGATCTTACTGTAGGTGCAACTATGCTCAAGTAATATAGTCATGGTAACGAATCAAAGCTGCATAAGCATTTGGTATAGTTAGATAAGACTCTTTGAAGAACGAAACAAGTTTTTATGTCTGACTTACATTTCAGGAATATTTGAGTCCCAATCTTGTTTCGTTAAAGCAGGCAGTGTACTATGTTACGAGTGTATAACCTGTTGGTACATTTTATGTAGGGATAGAATTATGCCTTTTGTTGAAATAACGTAATAGTATATCGTACTGTAATATAATAACCCGAGTTAAATTCGAGTAATAGTTGAGTAAATATTAAATATTTGCGTGTGACTATGCTAGACCTGGAGTATTGGATTTCTCTTTACGTAGAATTATGCTCTAATATTTCCTCATCAGTTACCGAAGCCACCACAAACTGAGCTTGGATCATTATAGGGCCTTTTGTTTCTCTTTCCACCTCTTGCGGTTTGAGGATATGATCCATAATCTTTCAGGCCTCTTGAGCGTACTTGCTACGATTGCGAAGCCATTTATCAAACAAATTGAATAAGAAGGGCATCGGGGCACAAGCGAGAGCTAAGAAGGCCGGTATCGACGAAGCCTATTGTACGCCAAGATTTTGGTACATAATAGGCGTGAATAATGGACTATGGCGTTGTTAGTAATTATGGTCACAACTATCTGTGGCTAACTCTTACAAAGCAGCGGCGAATAATGCTCGCAGAATAGCACTACTTGCTAAAGCAGAGGAAGACAATACAGTGTAACTAAGTATTAATCATACAGTTGATCAAACTAATGAAGAGTAGGACTAGGCCGAATCCAAAGAAGCCCGAACCGACAATACTCACAGCCCAATGGATATTCGGGAATGTAGTCCAAGCGAACCAGAAAAGGCCAATCGGGAGCAGCACTCCTCCGACCATAGCAGGTGTTAATCGAGCTTCGGGTGCTAATTTAATAGGATCCTTCGCGATCGCTTTTCGGTATTGGGTTTCAAGGAAGATATTGAAGAACATGGTAAGAAATTGGCCAATCATAATGCCTAGGTATGAGAGACCAGCAATTCCTTGGGACCATTGTCGCCCCTGTCCGAATACGATTAGAAAATGCTGTAAAAGTAAGATAAAGTATCCCATAAACTGAAATTAAAACTATTAGCCAGAAACATTTAATATAACTATAGAGGATAAACTAGATTTACTAATCGAAACATATATTGAAAGTACTAAGACTATGGGTTCGAAGAAAAGAAAGACCGATGGCCGAGCAATCGCATTCCGGAAGACACCACTGGCGGTCTTCTTGGGGTTCCCAGCCTCGAGTTTACTCACATATACCTTTCCAGTGATTTTCGACAACTTTTTAGCGCGGCGAATAAGAAGATAGGGGGTATATGTTTCGGGAAGAAATAGAACCCCTAAGATGAACATGGCACCGCTAAATATGACTATCAACCCATTTCCATCCACCGCTTTGCGCGAGAAACCCAGTGCAAATAGGACCTAGCGTCGGACCGAGAAAAGGGGCAATTATGTAGACCATCACAGCAAGACCACGTTTCCTAGCGACGAAGATATCGAAAACAACACCGCCCGAATTCACGATAGACGAGGAACCAAAAGCGTCGGCGAAGAAACGCAACACCAGCAACGTCTGGATGTTAGGGCTAGCTATCGATGCACCACCAAAGAGCGTGGTAAAATAGAACATAGCAGCATAGATAACCTACCGATCGTACAGCTCAGCCATCGGCCCAATAGCGAATCCGAGAACGAACAGCGAGACACTGAGGATGACAAGCTCTGATCCAACCCCGAAGTCGCTTTCGATCTGCGGTAAGCTCCCCGAGAAGACGCTGGAAGAGAGCGACACGGATAGCGTTCCCAAGGCCAAGATGATAATAATCCACCACTTCATACCAGTAGCGATCCCATACGGGTTCTTCGCGTCCTCAAGGATCTAATCTACAAGATACGGGTCTTCTTCCGTGCCGGCGCCGGGGTATGCGTAGGTAAGCAACGACCCCGGGCGTCATGTACGCCTGCGAAAAGACTAGTGTGAAGTGAGACGGCTTTCGGACGGCCGGGTTGAAGCCATCGTCTGTAGTCTTTATATCGACCATTCGGAGGTATAGTATATATAATTTTTGACCAATTTAGTCGGGAGGGGACTGTCGACTATGGGGTCTACTCACACTTGCAGAGCACGACGGCAACTTCGAGATAATCAATGCCATGATATATGTTGCCAAAGACGGCCAGGGAAAATAGCAGTGATAATATCAACGGCACTATTTCGTAGAATAACACTGGATCCAGAAAGCGGAAGAGGACTTTGGAGTTTCTACGTCTGTGAGATAGGTAGTTACCTCCGGCAACACATATGGGATAAGTTCTTCCTCGAAGTTGGTGAAACCACGATAAGCATCGGGCTAACATCGAGGATCGAAGCTCACATTGGAATAAGGGCTGGCTAGAGTAAAACCCTTCTGGATTTAATATAGTTGCAACATAGTTAGGTATTAGATAGGAGTCAGTTTATATTCTATTTACAGGCTAGATGGACCTTAATTGTGATATCGTGAGGGTATATCCTAGGGCGGATAGCGAACCGGATTTTGATCAATATGAAAAAAGGGCTAGTTTGGCCGAAACCCGTCTTGTACATTATCGTGGTTAGATACAGTAGCATTTATATGGCTTATTAAAACATTATCGAACCGTATTGACCATGAAGGCTGGATACCCCCTATTCTGTAAGATGACCGGATTTCCTTTTACGCCGAAGCTACCTGGTTGGTAGTTGTTGTAGCTGTTAATATGATACTATGTTAGTTGCTGAGAGTCTATATTATCGTTGAGTTAATAGTGTCACTTCTGTTTCCTCCTTTCCACGTAACTAGTGATTAATCCGCCTCAGTAACCCGCTGTTAGACCTTACTAGGATCCCTCAATTGTGACACTTATGTAACTTGTGTGCTTTTATTTGATTTGCGTGTTATATAACTGGTATGGGTTAAGCCTGTGGTTATCGCGAACTCTCAAGGGTTATAGGGCTTACGGGCTAAGGATAGTTACGAGCGTGATTCACCTTAACTCCGGGCTTAACCATCATAAGCTGAAATAAATAAATTAAATCCGGAGCTCAATGACCACGCTTTAGGATGGGCATTAACAAGTTCGAGAAGCTATCTTGGCTCATTTGAAGTCGTATCCTCATTCCTTCATCAATATAATAGTCTAAATGCATCAATCCTTGATCCCATCAAGTGCATCTGTATAATAGAAATGGGCGTCGCTAGAACGCGTATCACTGAAAACAAAACGCGCCACCAAAATACCATAACTAGCTCCTGTTAAACAGCCCAACGTTCGAGCCAAAGCAGAAACTAAACTCACGCAACGCTACTTAATACACAACCATAAATACAAGGCATTTGGGCTCTGATGAATACTAACTTATTGGCCACTGGTCACTGATTTAGTCCCTCCTACCTCACTAGCGTCCCCTACTCGGATTTGAATATCGGTACGGACGTAGATGTCGCTTGATGCTGATGAGTCTAGATTTACCGCCTGGCTAATCTGGCTGCGGTCGGGAAGGTGTGTTGATAAGTACGAATCTCTTGTCTGGCTCTCGATATTTACGATGTGGTTAGGTGGTTGGAGTTGTAGATGATTCGAAGCGCCACCATGTCTATTGTCCTTCGTAGTCGAGTTCCCCGTAATCTCAATAGTGGTTAGGGGGATACCGTCTTCATGGGAATTATCTACTTTAGAGGCGTCAATGGTTGTTGGCATAGTCCAAATATGGTTCAAACTAGCGACACGCTTGAAGCCGCGGGCGCTCCGTCTCTCGGAAGAGGCTTGGGCTGCGTTCTTGTCGTAGACATAGCTGCTACCTCTAACCTTGCCTTTGAACCTCCTGACTAGCTGGGGTACGATTACGGGTAGGCTGGCGCATACTACTGCGGTAGTCTCCTCGGCGGCAGTGAGTATCAAGAATACGGCAACTCCATCTATCGCTATGAGTAAATAAATGCACCTAATTTATTGAAATAGACTCGTAACTTACAGCTAGGATCGGTCTTGTCATCGGTATCGAGGAGGAGGACCAGTACGCGAGCTAGTTCAAGAAAACAGGCAATTAAACCGATGCCGAAGATGACCATGAGGCCACGTTTCTTGTTCTTGTTAAGTCGTAGCTGGGAGATAGCCCAAATAGGTAATAGCAGGAGGCCAATGTCTGACACAAGACTGAAAATGGCTGGTAGTGCTACATGAAGTACGCTTGTAGCATCACAATTTCCTGTTATGTTTCCAGGGACAGGTTTGTGATATCGAGAGAAATACTGTATGAAGTACCATTGCACAGGCTTACACTGGAATAGGTAGAAGCTCGTTGCGCCGAAGAACCAGAGGACAACGTAGACGAAGTTGACCCACCAAAAGATGTGGAGTTTCTTGTTGGCCACCAGGAATAGTCGTCTGTAGAAGAAAAGCAGCGTCATCTTTATACTGGTGAAGAAGCTTCCCATCAAAACCATGGTGATCCAGATATGCTTCCCTCGTGAGATAAAGTCAGCTGGCTAGGGTTACGACAGGGAATAGGGGTAGTTGTATGTTATATAGGTACCTACCCTAAAAGTCTTAGACAACTTTGTTGGATATTCGGCATCTAGGAAGTTTATAGCGAAAACGTGTAAGCCGAGTCCGTAATGGGTTGCTACCATGAGGTTTGCGATAATAGCATTCACAAAGATCTGATGAATCCTCCTAGGTGTTAGTAATCGCTACAGGTGGGCACTTCTCCTAGGTGTTAGTAATCGCTACAGGTGGGCACTTTTAAAGGGGTAGGTAGAAACTGACACCGCTCAGAATAATTAATACGTCCTCAGCCATGACTCGCGAACGGCTTGCTACCGAAGTCCATGTCCCCCATAGCCTGCCAGCGATAGCTAAATTGTTGATGACGAGGAAAACGATTAGACAGCCCCAGAGCGCAGGCTGTCTAGTATCGTCAAGGTGAGCCTCTTCCTCTTGGGTCAGTACGAGTCCAGACATTGTTCAACTAATGGGTCTTGTTAAGCTCCTCACACTCTATAATAGTAATAACAAGAAGCCGGCTAGGGGGTTTCTGGGGAAGCGGAGACCATGTTACTAATAAGCAACTCCCAATTTCCCCAGGCAAGCTTATTCACGCGATCCTGTACTCCCAGAGAAGCTTAAGGCTGAGTATTTCAAGTCACGTAGTTTTTACTAAACATCCTACGCCGTGCAATCTTGGGATACATTATTGACGCAGGTGTCACGAGTGGGAAGAGAGCTGATGGACGGTATTACTCCGTAGGTACTCCGCGTTCATAATGGGAGGCAATCGGGCAACAAGAAGCAAATAGCAACGGATAGTCACGGATAGCTGATGTTATCAAGCCACAGTTCTGTGTGCTGTGTAAGACATGTGTTGTACTATGTCAAATTTACTAGGAACAATCTCTAGAATGCAGAGATCCATTTGTAGTAAGACTGGAATCCAGTTAGTTCGGTGAAGCCACGAGGTATGAATGTTCAGCTAGTCATCTCATCTCGTTTACTTACTTTTAGATGTCTGAAGAGGGGAGAATGCGAATATAAATGGTAGTGAGCGGTAAGATTTCATGTATGTCTCGGGTCCGGGCGCATATACATGCAACAGAAAGTGTCTATGAAGAAGTTGATTGAATCGTCCTACCCCAGAAAGGCGACGAAAAGCAAGGATACCCCGTATACTTTATATTAGCACTCATTGATCAGTCACCACTTTCATCCTACATCGGACGACAATTGCTGCCTTGTATGGCGAACATAGTGGCTTGGAGCCATAAGTGCGAGCGTTTGTTTCGTGTTTGTGATGTAGTACTGATGTTAGAAACGTGTGTCCGTGTAGGACATAAATTTTGAAGATTGTACCTGTTGGTGATACCGTACAGATTCCAGAGCTTATATAACTAGGTGGACATGAGAGAAGAGGTGTAGAGAGTTGGGTTAGATGATAGCGAAAAAAGGAGACGAAAAAGGGAATAGACTCAATCCGAAGATGTGGTTGTACCATAGCTATAAAGAACTCGGGCTCGGAACTTGCTCGCAGCCGAGACGAAGAACAAGTTAGATTAAGCTTTTTTTAGCTAAAGGCGCAAGCTAGGGAACATTTATTGCCCAATCATCAATGTGATGGACCCGGAGATAAACGAGGCTCGCAATATGTTGCTACCGTGGTTAGTATTGTGTTTGACGTGGTGGGTAGGTAGGGATGGATGGGATGGACCACCACATTCGCTGTATCCGGGGACAATCTTTCCAGAAATAGATATTGGATGTTTTTAGAGTTAGGTTATTAAATATCTCTTTCCCTAAACTAAATACAAATAAAGGTAATTTCAAGTTTCCGTACCTTCCCCTTGCATCCTACCTAAAGTACCTAACCTACATAATGGTGACCTAACACAAACCGGATGATACCTTAGGGATAGAAAATGACTAAGTGCAAGTACCCTAAAGATGACAGCTGTTCATTGGTTACCGACAATCTGTAATGAGAATTCCCCTAAATTATTAATTGCCCGGTAGCGAGATCCGTGGTCTTCTACAGTTGCATGGCAGTAGCGATGGTCTAAAATCCGAGGAAGGTGCGAGACCGTAAGTACCTACACTAAAGGTCAGTCAGCACCTGTACTACACAACTTTCTTTTTAGACAGGTCGAGAACAAAGAATTATAGATTCTTTTTTTTTTTTTATCATTGCGAAGCCGGCGAGTTCATATTTTGAACTTTTAAGGTGTTATCATTAATGAACCAAGGGTCTTGGACCCTTAAATATTTCTTTCGTCTTTCGCAGCCAGGCTGTTTACGTTCATCTTCAATTTGTGTTACCCACTGGTCTTAGGAGGTTCACAAGGTTGCATTACCGCGCCAAGTCTCCCTTACCCATTTGTCCAATATCTTCACAACAACTTGACCGGTCATGTCCCAAGATAAGACAGCCTCCGCCCTCGAGGCAAACGAGACTGCAGTCTCCCAGCCTGCCGACTCTCAAGATGGCATCTCCCATGATGCCAACCTCGCGAACTACACCATTGAGCAGGAGGCCCGTGTGGTTCGCAAGTTGGACTGGAACTTGATGTCGCTCTTCTTCGTACTATGTGAGTTAATGACCCAATTTAGATATCTTCCGCAATATAATCAACATGCTAATATGAACCTTTGATGCCAAGACATGTTGGCCTACCTCGACCGTGGTAACATAGGCAATGCTCGAATTGCTGGCATGGCACAAGATCTCCATCTTGATGGCAATCGATACCAGTGGCTGCTCAACATCTTCTACATTGCCTACATCGTCTTCGAATTCGGTGTCCTAATGTGGAAGATCTTTCCTCCTCACCTTGTCGGCGCTATTGTCGTCTTTGGTTGGTAAGCTACTCTAAAATATCCGCGTCAATCTCTTATAGTCTTCCGTCTGACTAATCATGTAAAAGGGGTTTGATCGCTACGGTCCAAGCCGGTGTCTACAACTGGAGCGGTGAGATGGCTTTAAGATTCTTCCTCGGTGCCTTCGAAGCTTGCTACGGGTATGTTGTATACTGTATTCATAAAGCTAATCCTTCTCCAATACATGAACTATTACTGATACCAACCCCATCTAGACCAGGTATCATCTACCTCCTTTCGTTCTTCTATCTTCGACATGAGATTGGTTTCCGATGTGGTATCTTCGCCTCTGCAGCCCCGCTGGCCTCAACATTCGCAGGTGCTTTGGCCTATGGCATCACAAGCGGACATTCGCACCTTGCAAACTGGCGTCTGCTATTCCTTGTCGAAGGATTGCCAACTATTCTTATGACTATCTTTGCCTTCTTCTTTATCCCCGACTCTGCGGAGAAAGCCAGATTCTTGACGGCAGAAGAAAAGGATATTGTCAAATCCAGGGCCATGCGCCAAGTCGGCACCGACGCGAATGCCAGAATCGGAGGATTTAAGATCACGGACCTTTTGCCGGTACTCACTGACTTGAAGGCATGGTTGTGTGGGCTGATGTACTTCTGTGGCAATGTTACTTACTCCAGTCTGCCCGTTTTCCTCCCGACTATCCTCCAAGACATGGGTTACACTGCCATTAACGCGCAAGGTTTATCTGCTCCTCCGTCCTTTGCAGCCTTTTTGTTCGCCTTGATTACGACATGGGTCGCAGACAAAACTCAGCAGAGATGCATTGTCCTTATGGTTACTTCCATCGTGGGTGGGGTCGGCTACATTATCCTTGCCACCGTTGAGACTGTCGGCGTTCGTTACTTCGCGACCTTCCTGGCATCGGCTGGAGTCTTCTCTACCATTCCTAACATCCTCGGACTCACTTTAAGTAAGTACAACCTGTTTACCTTGTGTTTCCAGTAAAGTATCTGGAGGAGTATTTGGGTATTAACGAGTTTCATAGATAACCAAGGTAGCGATGCCCGACGTGGAATGTCCATCGTTCTCATCAACGTAGTCGGCCAGTGTGGACCTTTCCTAGGAACCAATGTTTTTCCTACCAGTGACGGCCCCAGATTCATCAAAGGTATGAGCATTTGCGCTGCCTTTATGTTCTTTTCAGCATTCCTGGCATTCTCCCAACGTCTACTTTTGATGTGGGAGAACGTCAAGCTCGACAAAAAGTACGGCACTATCACTAAGGACAAGACCACCGCAAAGTCGAAGGAGGTTGCTGCGGAAAACTACGGCCCCAACTTCCGATACGTGCTTTGAGATGATTCAGGATTATATGCCTGTCAAGCAGTCTGGGATCGTTGATTTAATACCCCCTTTTCTAGCATAGCCTTTCGATCAGATAGAGACTATTAAGACAGGGTTACTAGTCTTATTAGGAGAATAAATACGAACGCAATGATTGGCATGAACAAGAGTCTTATGTAAAGGAAACCGGTATTCGATGGTTAGGTAACTTAAGTTTATGGTGATTCTAACCGTGCCATGCCTGATTGCCGTGAGCAGCCACCAGTAAAATGGTAAATGCTCATATATAGGATAGGTGCATGGTAACAGATTACGTAGCTTAACCGCACAGATCTTATAAAGGTCTTATGGGATATGATAACTTCTGATCAGAAACTTGAACATCATTATCATCATCGATACACTCTTTCCTTATTTCTTTTTCCCTAAGATATTGTACAAGGTCTTTATTACATTCGTATGACTCGAATTTACTTGATTAGTTTTACTATTAGTCTTATTCCGACTATAGCGCCATTATATACTATCCAGGACCTATTTCTTGGTGCTTATATAGTTGAATTAACAGTTATGCTTTATAAGAGACCTCGGCTCCTGTTCATTAGTTTCTAGGAGGATTTTAAAATCGACTGATTAGTTTCAGTTTGAACTCTAAAGCGACCGAGGAACTCGACCAAATGGGTTCATAACTTTCCGTCTATAGCTGAGAGGCCAGGAAATGTTTACCTTGACAGTAAGCATTTCCTCATCCCATAGGCGGTGGGTCACGAGAAGCCCGGAATAGGGGTTCCGGCCGCGATACGATTCGGGACATGATTAATAGCCATCTAGAAATGCACTTTATACATATTATGGTTTGAATTTGCCTAACTAATAGAGCAGATGCCGTGTCTAAATCTAAGAGTTACGAGCGACGTAGTTTAGTTAGTTCTATTACTATTAGCACTACCTAGCCTCCAACCCGCTATATCACGGCCCGTCCCGGGGGTAAACTAATACTTAGCCCCAGTATTCAGCGGGCTCTTCGGATCGTACACATCGGTCGTAATCACATCAGGATACTTGACATCGCCCTGCTTAAGCGCCGTGTCCATAACCTCCATGATGACGATGCTCTCGGACCACGGCATAGTAGCGCTCTCCTTCTTGCCGTCGCGCAGGCATCGCGCGCACTCGTCCGCCTCCCAGAACATGCCGTGGCCCCAGCCTTCGCGCTCGGGATCCTTGGGGATCGGACAATCGACGACGTCGATCTTGCCGGCGCCGTCCTTGCGCACGATCTTGTACTGCAGGGGCGAGTAGGCGGGGCCCATGACGTGGATCTCGCCGAGGGCACCCTGGATCTTGATGGCGGGGCCGCCACTGTTCTGGCCGTCCGTGTTGGTGGCGATGCGCAGCGTCGTCATGGCGATTCCCATGCTCTTGTGCTTGGGGAACTGCAGGATGATGTTGGTCGATTCGTCGGCGCCGGTGGAGTACTTGTTGATAGCGGCGACGGTGTGGGGAGCTTCCTTTTCCGGCTCGGGCTGCAGGTGGTAGAGGATTTGGAAGAGCCATGTTAGAGAGTAGATTCCTAGGTCTAGGAGTGCGCCGCCTGCTAGGTCCGGGTTCACCATCCGGTGCTCATCGGGGAATGTTAGGGTGCCGTTTGGCCCGTCACAGCCAAATGAGTTGTCGGCTACGATTCGGTGTTAGTATGTGAAATTTGTAGCTCTGCTGTACTTTCCTAGTGTTTAATCTAGGGATTTGGAACTTACCAATAACTCGATATACGGGGCCAATGGCTCCAGATTGCACCAGCTCTCGAATCTTGATGCTAAGAGGGAAGTACCGTGTCCAGACGGCTTCCATCAGGAACAAGTTCTTAGCCTTGGCAACCTCAACCAGCTTTCGTGCCTGGGAAGCGGTAACTGTGAAAGCCTTTTCACACAGAACATGCTTGCCGGCTTCCAGAGCTAGCATAGTGTTCTGGAAATGATGGCTGTGGGGAGTTGCGACGTAGACGATCTCAACGTCTGGGTCGTTTACCAACTCAGCGTAAGAGCCATACGCTCTGGCGCCTTCTGGGGCCTTGACCTTTTCGAGAAAAGATGTGGCGCTCTCCTTAGAGGATGAGGATGCGACTGCGACCACCTTGTGAGCGACGTCGTGGACATCACGTATTGCGGGGTTAGCAAGCAGGTCCTTTGCGAAAGCTATAAGAATGAATTATTAGATAGGGGATTCTAATAAGTTATCGCTGAATACACTGAATATATAACTCACTCTGAGCAATGCCACCGGTGGCCATAATACCCCACTTGAGGGTAAAGGGTTGAGAGGCCATATTTGATGTTTTGTTATAGTCTATAACTTAATATATTGTTATCGACTATAAGATTACTATTCGAGAATTCTAGTAGGAATTAGTAACTTCTATAGGGAAGTTGAACTAAGTAAGTTAGATAGATGATAGAGTCGTGAGGCACCCCCGACGTTGGTCGGTTAAGCCGTGGACTCCGTGGAACGGTGGTGAAGATAATCAAGTGTGGGGTAGTCGGTACGTTACATATATCTTTTTTTGGCTACAAAGTCAGGTAGTCTGTATACCGAGGTAGCTTTTATTCTTAAAGTAGTTCGATAGGCTAATAGTAAACAATATGCGCTTTCTTATCGCAGCGTTAAGTTCTCCATTCTTCTCACGGGGAAAGTTTATACTAGTGAAAATAGGCGAAATAAACTTCATTACGTCAGTTCTTTTTTTTTTTGTTTTTGTTACCCCACGTATGAAGTTCGGGATGATATAAAACCGAATTTGGCTAATTAAGATGATATGATATCGTATAATTAGGTAATCTCGGAACTTTTAGATATAATAAATATTTACCTATGTACAACTTTATTATTGCCTCTTAAATATTATACATTAAACATTAACTACCTAAAATATTAAATATGAGGCTTAGCAATGCGATACTTTGAAATGGCCCAAGTCCAACCCCAAGGCTCTGATTACCAATATCATTATCAACCTGACTATTGCGTGTTGTATCATCATAGGTCAGATGGGATGCACAAGACTATGGGGAGATGCTACCTAAGAGCCAAGTATCGACACGGTCGAATGATAATAAAAAATATACAAATTTGACTAATTCTCGCAGGTTCGGAGAGATCCTTTCGCACAGATGAGACATAATGCCGTGCGTGAACCATGGTAATTCAAATCTACTTATGCTTAATAGCTGCTTCAAGTATAATAACTGGACAATGATATGGCCCACCATATAACCTCAAACCTCCACCTGACCAGTATGCGACGTGTATGTATGGATATCTTTAGATATACGTGGGTACCTACATTCTCTAACTTTCAATGACCAGCTCCAAATATTCAAAAGCCGCGTCTACCTACCTTATTCAAATATACTTTATCATTACATGGTAATGACCAGTTGATTGTGATGTAATTGTAACCATAAAACGGATCGGTGAAATCTCCTTGATAACTCTTCCTTTTTTTATTGTTGCTTCAGAAGTTATGTTACGAATAAGGAACTCTCGTGGATAGGGGAACCAAAGGAACCGCTTACAAGCATTCGACCTAGATAGTCCAATCATAACAGCCAACAGACTACCTACCTGTCTTCTAGCAAGAAGACTTCCTAGGTAGGTATGTATTGGAACAGTCGCAATGGTCAACTGCTAAGTGTAGCAACGTTCCCTCTCTTGTCTACCTGTAAGCCATGCAGTGTAAAGTATCGCAATCCAATCATAAAATGCTCGCATCACAGGCAAGTCAACCCAGCGTTGACCCAGCAAAATCTCAGACTGAGCTCCTCCATAATGGATTTGAAATCAGCACCAATGCCGAAGTTGTTATATGGAACAGCCTGGAAGAAAGACGCCACGGCTGACCTCGTGTTCTTAGCCTTGAAGACCGGATTCAGGGGTATCGATACAGCAGCTCAACCGCGACATTATAGAGAGGATCTCGTTGGGGTCGCTGTTAAACTAGCAATATCATTAAATATCGTAAAGCGGGATGATTTGTTTGTATGTTATTGACTGTCCGTTCTCTATTAGTTAAATAACATATTAACAAGTGCCAGGTTCAAACCAAATTCACTTCTGTAGACGGTCAAGATCCGAATAACTTACCTTACGATCTGAATGCGTCCCTAGAAGAGCAAGTCCACTCCTCCGTAGAATCATCACTTAACAATTTCCGTTATTCCGAGTTTGATGCGCCCTATATCGACAGCTTAGTCCTACACTCTCCTCTTCGTACGCTATCAGATACGATTAAGGCTTGGGAGACTCTAGAGACATATGTACCTCACAAAATCAGACAGCTGGGAATATCTAATACGCCACTGGAAGTTGTTGATTACCTAAACACCAGTCCTGATATTAATATTCGTCCAACATGTGTACAGAACCGCTTTTACCCAGCCACACGCTGGGAAGTGGATCTACGAGCTTATTGCCGAGAAAGGGGCATTACTTTCCAGACTTTCTGGACACTATCGGGGAATCCTCAACTTCTGATGAGTACAAATGTCCATAAGCTAGCCACGATGGCAAATGTTGAACTACCAGTTGCATTGTATGCGCTTGTACTTGGTCTCGAAGGTACATCGATTCTAGACGGGACAACTAACGAGATACATATGAAGGGTGACCTAGACGGTATTGACACTGTGAGTGCGTACGCACGGAGTGAAAACGGTCAGCACGTCTGGTCAAAGTGCCTACGCAATTTCAAGAAACAGATCGGAGAAAAATAGTAAAACGACTTGTATTATATCATATTGACGAGAACTCAACAGCGGCTGGGGAATGGGAGCGGACTCAAGGCACTAAAATGGCGAAGGCCGTTCAGATCGTCCTTCACCGATACGTGGCACGATCGTATCTGCGAAGCGGTTGAAAAATGAAAAATAAAACTAAATATAGACGTAAAACTGACGTAAATTCACCAATGGCAGAATACATCACCTATTACCTTGGATGTCTAAAATATATCAACTGGGAGTTTTCGTAAACCTAGGGAAAATCCAACGATCGTAGACCACCGGTGAGAGAAGTTAATGAGTAATGGATGAAGTAGCTGCTAAGAGAATCCATCATGTTAGGAACAGCTAATTCCCCTCACCGACTGGCTCAACTTCCACTTTCATCCCCAGCCACCCTAGATACCTCTTCGATCGACTATGCCTTAAACACCTAAGTATGTAATAATTACGACATCCGTCGCTGCTAAGCTCGAGATCCTGCTAGGATTCTAGATGAGACATTTAGAACGAAGGATATTGTTAGTAGGTATGTATAGCCGTAGACTCCCGTAGCTAGCTTAGAGTTCCTCACAGGATAATAAAGTTGTTTCCATGTTTCTTGCTCTACCTGGTGATAGATCTTACATATCAGGGCTTCTGTTTAGACCAGAAACATTAGTTCCTATGCAATCAAGTGAGATGAGAAAAAGGCCAAGTTTCCTATAAACACGGCCGCCATATGCCAACCCCTATAATATTGGTATGACGATAGGAGAAATATTCTAAGTGACTTTTAGACCAGCCCCTTGTTGAATTTTTCGTATTGTGATTGCCGTTGGATGTACCTCCTAAGGTAAAACCTCCGATATTATATTTTATAAAACTCAGCAGGTAGGTACAGCTTTTGCCTGGGAAAAGATATCGGTATCACGAACCAAAATTAGAAATATAAAGATAACTTTACCGTTCCGTAAGGAACTTTAAGCCCAATTATAGAAGCATGAGCTATATATGCCTCTGAATGTATCCTTTTTTCAAGATGTCTCATCCAGAATCCTAACAATCGACAGCCCCTTAACCGACATAAACAACACCTCCACTATTTTCTGTGCCGATACATGAAGATTGGCCAGAAAATACAGAAAGGCTCGTGCGGTGTGAACTCGACCAATTGTATTTGCTATTTTTGATTTTAAAGACTGATCGCAAAAGCATTAGTCGTGAACACGATGCATTTCCGGACGTTATTCGGCAGAATGACGTCAAAGTAACTTACACACCTACTGGCAGGCTGTGCCAGTTATTTTGACGCTATTCTTTGTTCGAGTTATGCGGCCGGTATAGGGATGATACCTAGCACTGCCGGTGAAAAGGGGAACAACCCCTAATCATTTTTAATTTTTACCTGTTCTACCTCCAGTCGATATTTTATTTAGTTTACTATGATCCTACGGAAATTCGGGCGATGGGGCTCTGTTGTAGACTACTGCGACCGGTAATCCGCGAAAATTCTTTACACCAGGTCGCTTAGTTTCAACTCCCTTCTTCGCCGTAATTCCTGGGTACCCCATATAAGGAGGTCTACTGGCTTACCTATCTATAAGCCGCCAAGGGACGATATCAGTTTATATAACGTGTGTTGGAAGGACTGTATAAAGTATAAAAAGGAGGATATAATAATGGGAGGGCTTATTAGGGATGGAAATAGACCGGGACGGGAACAGCGGCTATACATATGGAGCAGGATAAAGCATATAAATAAAATACTTCAAGCTCGATGATAGCACTAGCGTACAGCTCCCAAGTCAATATTGGGACGCGCAGGACTGCGCGTCCAAGGAGCTGAAATATCAACCAAGTAACTAGTCTACAATAAGCCAAGGAGCCCGCCAAGTGCATCTGCCTTCGATTTGTCCTATATTTCTTCCGCTGCGATGTTAGAATTCCGTGCATTTCTTTTCTACCGACTAGCTTAACAAGTTGGTGACGAACGGTGTATCGTTCTGGGACTGTCACGAGGTAGAACCCAACAACATGGAAACAACTCCATTATTCCGCAAGGAACTCTAACCTAACTATGAGAACCTACGTCTATACATTAGGTACTGAATATGTCCTCTATTCTAAATGTCTCATCTAGAATCCTGACACGGGCCGCATGAGTAGGCCGCTTATATCCACTGAAATGTCTTGTTTCAGGGACCAGTTCATGTGGCCGAAATGATAGGATTGTTGGGCCGATTCGTTGGCTAGATCGCATCGGCACATGGCCATGGCAAATACAAGTCCCGGGCATACGGCAGCTAAAACTATCCATTTCAGCTGCCGATCAAATTTTTCTTAAATCGCTCTCCTTAGGAGGTGGGACGTTCAAGTAGGTACATAGGAATATCGTAAATAATGATGATCAGAAAGTACTCGTTATGCCCCTTTAATTTAATGCTGGCCAGATCAACGGAGATATCGTTTTTAATGGTAAATCGTAATTGTAGATGTTACTTATTGATTAGGGAAATCTGTTGTCTGTTCCATACTGCGGACTTCACGTATGCCTTAGACAATAGCAATTACTCGACCGTAATAGCCTTTCGGAACGGTAATAAAGTTAACGATGGTTACTAAGTAAATTCACTATATATTTCTTAATTGTTCTTTCTATTATAATAAAATACTAGCTTTTAAAAATTTGGAACCGTTATTAGAATTATTATTGATTTTCTCACCGTTAACGGAGGTGAAAATTTGTATGTGCAAACACACATATATGGAGATTACTTCTGAATCATGAAACTTTAGTTCCTAATCTTTTTTTTTCTTCAACTTGATAGTAAACCCAGTATAGACTTATGCAAGAACGTTAATCTATGCTATTAGTTTATAGCAAAAATAAGATATGGCAAGTTGTTGCCCAACGGGTTTAGGGGAATTTTCTTTTTTAAGGCCATGGGGAGGCTATACAAAACACCTAATTTCAATGCATGCCTAATATCTAACCATCAGAACTTTAGGTACCTTTTAGACATTACACGATATCTAACTTTGGATAAACTGACCAAAATAGCAAACATTCATATCCGTTCGTTGACGTTAAAGAGAAAGAATATATAACCGCAAGTTACCATCGTAAAAGATTGGGGGTTTCTAGGGGTCAGAGATCGTGCGCTGCGTGACGTGTGTGAGCCAAGCGTAGAACATAGCTAATCACTGCGTTCCTAAGTTCCTGAAACTGCATGCAATTGACATTTCGTAGCTGATACTCACAGACCGTACGTGCGTTCACGATGAAGGCATCTACGTCAGCTGGTTGTTATTCATACGTAAAACATGTTGGCTTATTATATGCTTAGAAATCAGCCCCTAGAAGGGATGCGCAGCAACCCAACGATAGTGGAGGCCATACCCATCTAAGTAAAACTATACGAAAAGTGCAGTGACTTGATGTAACATCATAGTCTTGGTACACATTCAATAGTCTCTAAGTCGATCATTAGATCCCTGAGCATCTTGGGCGTGCATCTATGTAAGTCTTAGCATTTACTAAAATTCTTCTTTGGGTCAGAAATGATTCGATCATGCTGATTTGTTAACGCCGTTAAGGGGTTCGGCATTTGTATATACATGTTCGTGTAACAGAAAACAACGGATAATAATTTATACTAGCTGTATAGAGTTATTTCAAAACGTGTAATAACCTTTAATATTTGAATAGTATTATCGTTAGTAAGTTGCGTAAATTAGTTAAGATATGCGCATAGTTTAATTATTATAACTGTTGTAGTGAAAACTTTGCTGGTATAACTACTAAAAGTCTTTAGGCTCACTAATAAAAAGCTTGGCTTTAAAGTTGAGAAAATTTTATAATGATGTTTTCATTTAGAATATTACATAGAATTAAATATATGAGAATGAGAAATGAGAAGCATAACGTAGAAACACCAAACTAACATTGTCAAGCCTAATAATACACATGGTTGAAAATTTTCTTTTAACACTTAGACTTTAGAGTAGACAGTAAAACACTTCAAGGCCGGAGATAATCTTAGGTATTCTATACTAATGCTAAAATGCTAGCTATCATAGATAATAATACCAATTGTAAATTGATATACTAATATAATTACTTTAATCTTTTAGATCTTGTTGTCGCGTTGCCACTTCAATCATGATAGAATCTCGTGAATCTAACCCCTCCCGTTCGAGTGGCTAAATCCTCAAAACGGATAGTTCCGATCAGACGCTTGTGACAGGCATTCGATCCGGCACAATCATAACCGCTGATAGCAAAGAACCAATTGCAAGTACAGCAGTGGCTCGGCAGCCAAAAGCCCCAGCACCGGTGAGAAGGCAATAAGTTGACAAGCGTATTGGATTTGCTGCCAGGATGATAACATCTCAATTATACCGTAACTCGACGTATTTCCAAGCTTCTGTTATCGCTTTCTCTCGTCGTCGCCAACAATGGGGCCACGTCGAATGATATTGCGCCACCGGAAGGACTTATCGACTTTGGTAACAGAGTAGCATCCGGCAACTCACCGACCGCCTTGCCCTTGTTACTGTGATAGCGTCGCTCTAAAACCTTGGCTACTACTACATTTTCCCGTGGGCCAAGAGTTTGATAGATCCAGACAGCTTGGAAGATATGCCACTATTTCCAACTTTTAAGGTATTAAGATAGTTCGATTATATTAGTTATTAGTTATTACTTATAGGATGTTACCTGATGTTGTATAGGTAATGGGTACTCCCGGCATAATACTTCTTATAAGTGCGACTTGAATCCATATAGTAGCCGCAAGTATTTGTAAGACCCCCTTTTTTTTTTCCAACCCCATCTAAGAACTTATTCGTACAACCACAAACACTCAATCGCTAATTTGAAACTGACCAATAAGTTAACATGCGCTTAGTTTTATCGACCCCCTGTCCCGTTTACTGCCCAACTTCAAAAATATAACGGGAGCACTTCGGAACGGCTCATGACAAGACACATATGCCCGCCTTGGGACTAAGTAAACTCCTACTGCATCGGAAATGCACTCTGTCAAGTTGAACCCCTGCTTTTCAGGCAAGGTAATACACTTGCCCCTTGACTCTACCGAAATATTCAAACGGAACGTAGCCGTCAAAGGAACCATAATCCCGATGACTTGTAATATTGATATTCCAAGCATGCCGGCTCAGATTATACTTCCCCGGCCGATCTCGTTCCAATAACGAATAGTACTACTACAAGGTCTGTGTTATTCGCCCCGATCTCTATTTGCCTCTGGTACACCTATTATGATTTTGGAGCGTCGTGAGGTGATACCAACTAAGAGATTAGGGCAATGATTGCTTATAGGAGTTTGTAGATGGGGTACCTACATACGTACCTCCTAACCTTAGGTAACCTTATATACCTTAGTACCTAGGCATTGCAGATTGTATGCATATACCAACATAGCATAAGAGGTACCTAATGAATGTAGTACCTATGATTAATACTGTATAAATAATGCTGCCCTCGAAAATACTTACTTAAGGTAGAAATACCTGACTTATCTTTACAAAGTAATCCCAATCACAAACAAGAACCAAAATAGTCGACTTGCTATCAATTCTGCCATTGTCGCCAAGCATGATACTTACAGAATTCGTCAAGTTAGGTCCATGCAATAACGCAATCAATGCACTGTTGCAAGAGCCGAAATGAACCTGTCTTAATGCATGTCTCGGGATCCTACCGGTTCGGATTTGTCGGTCTTGCTTGCGGTGCAACGGAAATATCTTAGCACATGGCCAAATTTTTATTTCTCCTTGTGCGGGCCGCATCCATGTTCCATGCTCCATGCTCCATGTTTCCAGGATCCGGGGGTTTTAGGAGGGGAAACAAAAAGATAGGAGCCATGGAGCTGAGCTGCAAGATCTAGGTAAGACCTGCAGCAATAAACTCAGTAGGAACCAAACCGGTTCGAGCCGGGCCATCGGGGCACATCACAATCCTAGCGCTTGAACGCTTGATGCTTGACAAGTTTGACACTAACAGATGCTGCTGACAGTCTGACAAGACGAACCACGCCATTAAAAACGAATTTCCCCACTTTGGATCTTGAAAGGTTAGTTTAGCTTGGGGGTATCTTACGTTAGGTACCTAAAGTATACTACCTAACCTACTAGTACCTAAGTAAATAAGAAAAAAAAAGCCACATAATGGATATCACGATTAGGTACTTAATATCTAGTCTTATCCGATTTCTCCCCCCACTCTAATCTTGCTTTTTTTTTCTCCATTTTCCTTGCTGCTCTTACATATGATTATGTACTTGATCGTTATCGGGGATTGAAGTTGACGTAACACAAACTATACATTAGCTGCATACTTTAGGCACATATATTATAGGGCATTTTAAGTCACACAGCAACAAAAATTTATATACATACCTACATATGTATATAATAGAAGCGTTATATAAGTAGATATACATATATACATCCATAATAAGCGATCTAGCCTCGGGGCCATTGTCAAACACCCCCACTCACCTACCCGCCAAGTGGGCAACTTTACCGGGTTACTGGAACCTTCACCTCCTTACCTTATCCCAACGACAGCAAGCCTTGCTGTACTACCGCAAGCATATACTATACTTGGTTTAATCAGAAATATTTACCCTTGTCCTGCCTATACCGAGCGATATCTAGTTAATAGCTAATGTATATATGTACCTATCTACATATGTATATCTAACTTTGCCATTGTATCTCGGTCTCGATTTGATCATCATCCCTACACTGCACGCACGCACGTATATGCATGCATCATCTAGGTCGCTGCGTTTAATCTAAACGCACACCCCCCAAACCTATAACCTATCCTGTACCATCCTGTACATCCTGTACCATCCTTACTCAGCCTAGATCCAGTACCAGCATCAAAGCAACTTATACGCCAGCCAACCATAGCCTCGCGTGCGTACCATCATGCAGCAGCACCAGCATCAGCAAGACCAAACGCAGAAACCTGATCTAGACTATGCAGAAAGTGAAAGTGGGATGGAACGGCGGCTAGACCGCCGCGAAAGCTGCAACGATTCCGCGCATCTTAGCGCCAGCAGTAACTCATATTCTGCATCTGCCGTTGCCCACGGCACCACGCCCAGAGAAGCGGTCACTCTGACCGGTGGGAGAGATTCCCCCTGCCACCAACAAGAAGTCCGGCATCAACGCCAGCCGATGCACGAAGCTGCACCCTCCACCTCCACCGGTTCGCATGGCGCGGCTATACGAGACCAACAAACCCACGGTTCCTCATCGACTGGTACTCGAATTAACTATCCCAGTTCCAGCCCTAACGCTACCGCTACCGCTGCCGCTGCTACTATCACTGCCGTTGCTGCTAGCGCAATGGACGCGAATTCTGCCGAGTCCTACGAGCAGCAGCATGTGCATAGCGTATACGAGACTATCGCGTCGCACTTCTCTGCTACGCGGTACAAGCCCTGGCCCTTCGTCGCATTCTTCTTGTCGTCGCTGCCCCCCGGCTCCGTGGGTCTAGATGTCGGCTGCGGGAACGGCAAGTACCTTGATGTGAACCGGGACATCGTAATAATCGGCTCGGACCGCAGCGCTAACTTGGCACGGCTAGCTCAAGACCTAAAAGTCAAGGGAAGTAACGGTGCCGATGTAGTAGGCGTCGCAGACGGACTAGCGCTTCCGTTTGGAGGCGCGAGACGCGTCGACTTCGCCATTTGCATCGCGGTTATCCATCACTTGTCAACGCGGGAGCGTCGCGTTGAGGGCCTGCGGGCTCTACTCGACTGCGTCCGGCCGCGCAGCGGCAAGGTCCTGGTATACGTTTGGGCGCTGGAACAGGGAACCAGCCGCCGCGGGTGGGACGAAACTGCAGATCAGGACCAGCTAGTGCCGTGGGTTATGAAATCCAATAAACCAAAGAAGCAGAAGGCGGGAGAAGAGGCTAGTAATAAAAAGGAAAACAATAACACCAGCGCTGCGAGCGAGAGTACAGGGGTCGCAGATACTACGTATCAACGATATTACCATCTATACAGAAAAGGAGAGCTGGAAGAGGATGCTCAGGCAGCTGGAGGCGAGATTGTAGAGAGTGGCTACGAAAAGGATAATTGGTGGGTTATAGCGAGTCCCAAAGAAGAATCCTCGTCGCCGTCTATAGGATCCCGATAGCAAATAGCAATAGCAATATTACTACTATCAGTAATGATCACGCTGTCAAGTTACACAAGCAGGCAGCCATGGAACTAAATTTTGATTTTGAAAAAAATAAAATTTAAATAAACCCAAAAAGATGCTGTACATACTAAGAAAAGCCTAATCGCCAGTCATATCGCTACCCAACAACTCATGACATACCTGACCTAACCTAAGTAGCCAGCCAGCCTCGTCTGCCTATTTCCTCAACCCTCCCTGTCCTAGTAAATGCCCGCTCATCATTACAACAGCAACAACAACAAAAATCTGATACAAATTAAAACAAAAAGCTACACAAAACATAGCATAATCCGTAAAAGCCCCGTAAACTCGATACCCATACATTGATTTGATAATAACACCTCTGGCCGTTTGACTCCTGCCTGCTGCTGCTGCTTCCCCTATCTCCCCAGTCAGCTTTTCCCGCGTTTTGCGTTTCACAAAAAGCAGCCACCACCGCGATCGGGTAAGTTGGCGGTGGTGGTGGTGGTATGACTACAACGTGGATCGACTACCTATGGCTAGATAGAGATGGACAGAGTAGAGGGGAAAAAAGGCAGCAATGAGCAAACGACACACGGGAAGAAAAAAAACCCCCCCGGAAAAAAAAAGAAAAAAGAAAAAAAAAGAAGAAGATAACTAGGTCGTAAATAGTAGAACAATAAGTAAGTAAAAAACAAATAGTTAATAAATAATAAACAGCTAGGTTAAAGCACTTTATGTTTCGTCCCTTTCGCCGTCCCATGAATTGCGAGCAAGAGAGGAAAAAAAAGAATATGACAGTCGAGAGTAGTGAGAAGAAAATAAAAAAATAAAAAAAATAAATAAAAAGGAAGGTAAATCTGGTAGGCATATAGGTTATACCCAACGCGAGCAACATCCGGCTCTTTTTCCTTCCATTCATCCATTCACCCACCCGCCGCCGCCCCAGGTCCCAAACCGTTCCGCCCTTACCTACTACTACTTATTCTTCCACTTTTTGTGCGTGTGTGTGTATGTGTGGAAGTGAGTATCTGGTCCTCCTTTAAGCTTTTCCTTTGCTTTCCTACTGTTGTCGATACATGAGTGAAGTTTTCGTTCCTATTATCAAGTCCGATTCTTCCAATCCCAGTCCAGTCCAATACAATGCCTAAATCCAACCTTTAATACATATCTCTGTTGAAATTTTTTTTTCCTTTGTGCTTTCTTTTTTTTCGTATTTTGATTTCCTCAGCATTCGTAGCAATCATAAATACCTAGGTACCTAGATAAATGGGAACCTAATTCAAGATCCCAGCAGACATATCTACGTAAAATATCGTGATTTATCTTTCTTTCTTTGTTTTTTTTGTCTTCATTTTGATAGACGGGGGAGGGGCGGAGCTATTTCTAGTGCCCACGTTCGTGCCGTGGGATATTTGTAATGTCGTAGGGTTCCGGGCGCTGGTCTAAGTGGTGGTGGTGGTGCCTTCGCCTATTTAAGTCGGGAGAGAGGCTGTTGACCTCCGAACCCCTACGACGTTTCGGACCGGTTGACTCTAGGGGCGGATAGCCTAGAGGCGTCATATACAATCCGTTTGGACTTGACGCGGTGCTAAGGGCAGGACTTGTGTTCGGAGGGGGAAGAGAGTATGCCGGTGTACTATAAGGACTGATTCCCGTCGTAAGCTCAGCGACTCCGGGTAACATAGCTGGCCGCGGGGGCTGGTTTTGCGTTTGTATCGGGGCTAGTGGCACTCCATGATGCGGATATACAAAGTTGTCGGGTGGCTGTTCAGGATAAATAGGAACGCGAGGCGGTACGCTTTCTCTCCTCGATACGAGAGGCCGACCTGGTGGCGCCGTCCCCGCACGGCCGTAGCCTCGTCCAGGTCCCGCATCGCGAGAAAGATTACCTTGAGAATGTGAATGGTTGTGTCGTGAATGTGCCCTAGAGCCACCGCGGGGTCCTTCTGAAGTCGACGTTGCGAGGGAAAAAGGCACCGTCACTCCTGCACGACGTCGCATGTCCTGTTCTCCGAGTTGCCAGTGCATTGCCTCTGCTGCCCGCCACGGCATCGACATCTCCTCTGCAACTTTAGCCCACATCTCGGACTTGAACCTGTTTCCGCCTTTGTCAGCTACTTGGAACTCTTCGACCTGACGGATTAGGTGCCAGAAGCACTTGTTCCGAGCTAACTTTTTATCTTCAACTTCAACTAATACCGCAAATACTATGCTCACCTTTCATAAAGTCTTGCTAGCTTATTCTTACGCTCTTCATCCCACTCGCTCCGTTTTTCGAGGTAGTTCTGATAGTGTAACCGGCAGCTGATGGCGCTTCTTCCCGGTAGCTTCTTGGAGATATCATCCCACTTGAGCCCACTTCCCCGGAGTTCAATGATTAAGGCGTCTTCTTCAGTAGACCATTTACTTTGTCTCCTGGCAGGGGACTCCGAAGCGTGCGGTGACATGCTGCGCTTTTTAGACGAACTCCCTGTTGGGACTAGTCCTGGCCCTTGTGGTTCTGAATTGTAATAGAAGGGTAACCCGCCGACAGGCACCGAAGTTATGGTCGCCGTGGTTGCGATAGACGAAGCCCGCACTGATAATCGATTGTACTCGTTGTACTCGGGAGGAGAAGGGGAAGACTCATCCGAGTCGGGAGCCTTGAGGAGGAAAGTGAGATCCACGGTGACGGTAGGAGCCAAGAAAGCCTTAGGTAGGCAGATGTCTATAGAAGCGCTAGATCGCGCTTGTAATCCTCACGGGCTCTGAGGAGGTTGTAATGAGTTCGTTTTCCCCAACACAACTCGTGTTGCTTGGTGATCTGCCAAAACTACCCAAAAGAGTTTCGGCTCTGTTTGCTTGATTTTTAGGTGGGAAGGCAACAGTGAGTTCTCAGCTCGTCCAGATATGTGTATTGGAGTATAAGGGGAAACTATAGCGATCCGATGTCAACTCTTTACTGTTGGATAGGTGTAATTTAAAAAACTATCAGTATCAGATAGAGGACTGTATGATATTTGAGTTAAAAGGGGGGCCTTAGATACGACTTAGAAGTGAAGGGGAGGGGATATCCAGGAAGTCCAGAAGCTCTAGATCAGTAGAGTGTGATAATAAAGTGAGCTGTGGCATATGATTGGGTGTTTCCTCCCCAGCCAATAAACGAAGACACAATAACCTAAGAGGCTTTGAAATAATAATGCGCCGCCAGGCGGACAAGTACAGTACTTTAGTTAGGTATATGTCAAATATTTAGCTAGCACAAGGTACTTTCTCTTGTCATTCATGATCTTTGGCCTATGGAGTTATTACTATAGTGGCAATGGACGTACCATAGGTCCACGTTGGGGATGCGCAGTGAAATTTGATCTCGGACGGGGGAAAACAGGAAAAGTAACGCTAGGCGAGAGATGCCTAGAAGAGCTGGCAGAGTGAAGGCTTTTGGTTCATGGGCAACGCGTAGTGGTCAGTGAGCAGTGGGCGAGTAAGTAGCCAGGGTACAGAGCGTAGCCCAAAGCTCAATGGATCAGGGGTGTGGGGTGTAAGAGGGTGTGAAATAGAAAGGTGTGGGGACAATAGACACCGGGTTTTCTACGTTTACAGGTAATAAGGCAAGTTGTGTGAGGTATAATAAAGCCCAGCAGTTCGTGTGAGAGTTGGTTAATCTTCACCGACTAACTATGCCAGCGCAGAATACATACCGTCTGTTGCCCTCCTCCCGAGGGGATTAAGAAAGGAGAGGGGGGGAGGAGTTAAGTTAAAAAAAAAAGTGACAGCTTTCAGGTGATACACCCTCGAAGTCGAAAGACATCTAGGGACATAATGCGCAGTGGATATTCATCTGGCCGTGCCTGGGGAGATGACTTTCTCATTGTAAGTTTAACAAACGGCTCGTTGGCCATGCAAGCTGGACCGGGGGCTGATGGAATGGCCACGACATTATGCATGACCTCGCAGAGAACAATTCACCACTTTTCATGTAGTTTTGGTTAGTACACTAGGGGTAGCTGCTGAATCGGCGGATTAATGACGCAAATTGAGCAACGAACTGGACAGGCATACAAACGAACTGGGTGTTCGAGAGACCCAGGGCATGACCCAGGACATCTAGGGTTGAAGCATCCACACCCCTAGGAGCCGAGCCTAGAAGGGTAGGTAAGTTGTCGGCTTCGGTAAGGAAGAATGTCAAGGCGTTGCGGCGCCGGAGCTCTAATATGATGGACAGGTCCCAGGATGTATGTATACTGCAACATACGCTTTTAAGTCTTTGCGTTGTGTCAGAGTATCCGCATCCAGACACGACAGGCATCGTATCCTGCCATCCATAACCGTTCGGGGCTGTTTAACTGCCGTTCCCGGGGCTTGAGGACCTGAGGACCCTTTGGCGATCTGTTGCAGGGCATCCACAGGGCTTAGATCGATTCGGGGGATGTAATTCCCCTTGTCAAGCCAATGCTACCGACTGCACATTCCAGAAGCCGCAAAATGAAGAGAACGGGTGGCGGTGGCAACTACATACATGAAATGTAGGCCATGAAACTACATAGGTAGTCGAGTGGAGATCATGAAACCAGACTCTGCCATACCTACCAGAGTCTATGTTACTGCTACCCAGCTACCTAAGGGTAGTTTAGGTATGTATCCATTATATGGTATATGTATGATATATGGGATGTACGTATGTAGCTACCGTTGATGTGCATGTGCGGATACGACCTTGACCTACCTGGAAGGGTTTGTGAAGGCTAACGAGCTAAGAAAGAACGGTATACGTGTGGGATATACCAGTACCAGCCGGATGGGATAAGGACAAGCAAGGTAGGGCTTTCGTCCGGTTGAGTAGGGCACACTAGTATAGTATACCTAGTATAGTATAGTATAGTATACATAAAGTATAGCATATATGAGTGGCTTACATACTTAAGTATGTAGTTCTCTGCGTTGATGAACATGGGTGTCGATATGTGGCATGTTTGGAGAGGTAGTGGTGGGTGTTGTCAGTTGAGATCGGAGTTAGTTAACCGTAGAAAGGAGGAAAACGGTGTGTGGGTGGAAAAATTATGTAGTAGGCGAAGAAGGTAAGGATATGGTATTGTCTAAGTGATGCGTTCGAGGTTGCTAGGATGGGGTATTTTATGTACAATGGTATAGTAACTTTAGGTATGTATGTACCTTACTTATTATATTACATTACATGTTATACTAAAGCATTGTATACCTCTACCTACATACATAATGTATGTAAGTAGGCACATGTAGCACTATAGACAAGACCTCATGTACTGAGTTTGCAGGTACATATTAATGACCCACTAAATTTAAACAGCACTAAACTCTAGTGTTAGCATTAAAAAAAAAGAATTTTAGAAAAAAAAGACAAAGAACAAAGACCCTTGTTTTTTTTTTTGCTCTTGCGAGAAATGGGGCCAGGTCTCTCCCTCTCTCTCTTCAAGGCAGGGTACGTTGCAGAACAAGTTCTACGCCCAATGTCTGTGCGTTTTTTTCACGTTTTCATGAACGTCCAGGTCCCCCCCCCCATGACAATCCTACATGCTACATGCTACATGATACATACTAACTACATTGGCCCTGGTTCATCTCATACATACCATCACAGTACATCATACGTCTTCTGTAATGGGATACGGGCGCTTATGCTATGTACTTCTTGTTCAATAAGCTTCTCAGCTACTATTCACCTAAGTCGTCATAGGCGTCGAGAGAGCTGATCGATGAATAAAGGTTTCCGGGTCTGCGGGAATAGCGATCTGGGGCCCGATGAACTGGCGGTCAGCCGACTAGTATGCATGATAGACATTAGACATCAGACATCAGACATTAGACATATATACATAATACCTACCTTACCTTACATACCTAAGATTGTTACTACATGTAGGTATGTACCTATTCAGAACCTACCTATTATCTCGAATAGATGGACATATGTAGTAACAACTGTGCTGGCCTCCTAATACACATACCTACGTATAATATATAACTATAGTACGTATACTCCTCAACTTATTTTTATTATTCCTCTCTTTTCCATTATTTTCTCTTTCCCCCTTCAACTTTACCTTACACGTCAGTGCCAAGAAAGGTAGGGCGGTGCCGAACTTCTGTTTTAATGGCGTGCATGGGGGGGACAACTGCCATGAGCCATGAACCATGATCTGCTTTACCTGCACCGCATCACAATTAGAAAAAAGTTGGTTTGGGTCCCATTTTATCATACATGCAGACATGATGCTTATGCTTGTCAAAGCTCTTACCCATGCGCCACAACAGGAGAGCTCGCGTTGTTTGTTTGCCCTACCAACTTCTGATAGGATAATAACTCCCTGTCAGGCAATTCCGTCTTGGGCTGTCTTATATTTCGCACCTCTTCAAGTGGAGGGGGTTTGCTACGGTTGGACCGATGTATCGCGTGCGCTATGCTTGAATTCAGGGACTGGATTGTTAATAAATCGGGCAGAGAGAACAGGGGAGAATAAGAAGCCAAAAGAGGACAGCTACATGTTAACTACATGTCAACTACATGTACATACGACATACATAATGTACATAACATACCTATCTGCAGGATACAATTATATTGTATGTACCGCTCTTTTTGCGAATACATACATATGCGAGTGTAGCAGTTAGCGCAATCTGTTTTACTGCAGCTTTACTGTAACTGGTAACAAAATCGTGCTACGTATACTATTACATCCTTGCGGACGAGGTAACAGCTCATTACATACCTCCCCTTCACTTCCTTATTGCAAGTACATACTTTACTGCTTACTTACATGTAGGTACTTAGTTCTGTGCGCTCCCCGGATTGGTAGGAAAAGCGAAGCGTGGGGGCAGTAGTGGATGGGGTCGATGAGGAGAAGTAAATCGTTTACCGGCTCGTTTGAAATGTTGCTGCCCGAGCAAAGCGGAGCATATCTAGGCATGCCTAGGCATTATTATGCTTGTCCGTTTGTCAATCAATTAACGAGAAGCGCGCCACAGCCCTGTTCGAGTTTAAGGCACCTAGGCGTACATATGTCAATCTAAGCCATCCTACTAGCAGCTGTGAGAAAACGTTGGACGAAGCTGTAAACGAGTAACCTCCGGAAGAAAGGACACACGTAACGCTTAGAAAAATTGCTGCTGTTGGTCGTCCATCAACCAGTCGTAAGTCGAGGCAAGCTGTCCGTGAGTGTGGCCGTGCTAAAGCCTGATAGACTGGGGGGCGTGTAACGTTCGTGGTCAAGTGAGGCAAGACATATGTATGTACGTATTCTCTACCTTTTTCGGCCTAGACTTCGATCGAACCAGATTGTCAAAAATCAGATGGGCCAGTCAATCCCGGGACCATCTAGTTGGGCTCTAGCCCCCAACTTCTCAGCTACCAATATGTCTGACAAGTTCTTTGATACCCCATTGAAAATATCAGACTTCATCGTAACCTACGTAAGCAACCTTGATATTTTGGGTTTCGGTACCTGCAACCCGTTTTTGCCCGGCCTCTATATGGTTGCGTTGGCCTTACATTGATGGATGGTTCGGTTTGGTCGTCTCCTCCCGTTCACGCCACCGGTTGATACCCGTCTAGCCGCACTACCGTGGCTTCACCTAATATGTTCAGCTATTATTATACCCTGACTGAGGAGGCTCTTAGATAGAGGTGAAGCGACGGTCTGAGCGCGACAAGGCGCCCAGAAAATGCATATTTTGTAGCAGGCTCGATAGAAACCATTATGCTGCCCAATACTTGGGTAAGGCATTGTCATCAATGGCGATTTTGCTACTAAACCCATGCCAGGATATGTACCATACCACGTCGACCGAAGGACAACAACAATACCGTTATCCATTATTGCTAAGTCGGGCTCTGACAGCGGGAAGCTGACCGCCCTTAGGGTAGCGGTGAGCAATACCATAGATACCGGATGCTGCCGGCAGGAATAGCGCATATTTGCCTCTATGACGAGGTCCTGCTGCCCATATTAGATACACCCACCTTTGGGCTTTGTTGCGCTCATTCGACACTCAGAAATCAAAACACATCCTCGACATATTGGTAGAAGGACGGATACTAAATCCATTTAGGGCTGCGATATAAGCGAAAATGGAATGCAACAAGGGTGTATAATAAATTAGGGCGTCAATCCAGGCTCGGATGGCGCAGTAGGTAGAACGAGATATGACTTGTCAACTTTTATTCTATCACGTTCCAGATTTCGAGGGCAGCAGATGGGCATTGTTTGTTTCGGCGTTGTGGTTCTGGGGGGTGTATTAGAACCCAGCTCCCGTCTTCCCCGCGAAGCCCACAGCCCGTAGAGCGGCTGAACATCCGCGCCTCGTCCTAGAAGGATTGATAGATCTATTTGGAGATCGTCGGTAGGCTACCGTAACTATCAACACATCGTAAGCAGTGAATCATACGTGGGGGGCATGGTAATAATGATGCTGCAATGGCGTATCATTTCCATATTTTCCATTTTTCCGGGTATAGGATCTCATGCTAGGTCGTAAAAAGCTCGATGAGGCCAGATGCACCAGGTACGATAAGGCCATATATCGATATATCTCCTATCTTGCTATCTTGCTTCGATGTTGCTGGAGCCTGTCGTGGTACCCGATGAGTTGGATCTTCAGGTACAGAGACAATGATGCAAACGGCGCTATCCAAATCGTTGGTCCTTATTCAGATTTAGTACCCCTTGTTTGTCCTACGTGACAAGCGACTGGATCTCGGATACTAGCTGGCTAGTCGCAGGCATCAGTCGGTGGCCGAATGGAATCAATTGGCACTTTATGATGGGGGGTTTTTTTTCTTTCTTTCTTTCTTTCGTCTTTCCTTCCTTCCTCATCATGTACCAATTACCCGGTAATGATCTGAATTTGGAGTAAACGCTGAGTGGGTTAGGTAGGTGTGCACGCGGACGCAATTAGAAGGTTCTGATGCGGGAAGGAAAAAAAAAAGAAAAAATCGAGAAGTCAGAAAGAGGTCAGGAGAGTTTGGAAAAAGAGGATGTTGGGGGGTGCATAAACTTATGTTGTACGATGCCCAGATAGGTATCTCTAATGCAAGTGACAGTTGACAAGCATCATGACAGCATGGGAAACAGCATGAGAAGTCATATAAGTCAGCCCAGTTTACCTGCTGAGGTACCGTAACAGCGTAGTCAGCGTAGTATGTACTACATGTACATACCTCCTTCCAGGATAATCTATATGGATATATGTATGCTGCCTGCCCATGGAACTTCTTTGTGGCTTGCATGTTGCGGAGTTGTGGCGTGCTTTTTTAGTTGCCGCCTCCCCCCCTTGTTTACATGTTAACCCTTGCTAAGTTACTACCCAGCTACCCTAGCAGTGTAACCTATCGAGCTATCGCACAAGGGTTTCAACCCCATAATTTCTAGGTATGTAGGTATGTAGGTACTCTTTTTGAGATTCCATCTTGCTCCAACTACCTACATCCCCATTCTTGGATCTTGCGAATACATCGACGCACCCACAACGGAAATTTGCCTTCTTCCATGCAAATATTACCCAACAATCTCGTGTTCTCAACAGATTACCGAGTCTAGCGGCGATCTCATTTGTGCGGCCCGAGAAAAGCTTACCGAGTCGGTGTGGGGTTTGAGGCTTAAACGGCTCCAAAGATCGGAATCTGGAGCCTCACTCTCTCGCCTTCTAGCTGTACACGCCACCTCCTGCACCGTGTGTACGTGGAAAGGAGCCCTGCACGACCTTATCCAATCCCAGAGATCTTCAGCGTCGATACGCCTTTCAGGATCAGAATCATCTCGTCTAAGCAGTACTACGATTTAAGCGAGCAATGGCGGATGTTCCGTTGCAAGTCATCTCCGAGAATTCAACCTCTGAGCGACGAATCACTCCTTCGTGGTCGATCACTCAACTGAAAAGGAAACTTGAACCTATTACAGGCATTCCTCCTTCATCTCAACGCATTAGCTTGAAAACTGCCTCGAAGGAGTCTATTCCAATCGAGGGTGCAGATGAAGATGTTGTGCTTTTGTCGAATTTCCCTCTTTCTGCTTATGCAGAGCTTCATGTAAGTAAGCTGGTTCCCATAGATGCTTTAGGGTGGGCAGTTATCGAGCTAGTCATTGCCGTGGCGGCATTTTATTTTGTCGATACGTGTCATCTCGCTAGTCGGCTGAATATGCTTGCATGCACTCTGTCCACCATCATGCACAGCTGCAAATGACTAACTTTGTCGTCAAGATCATTGACACTCGGCCAGCTAGTGCCAAGATGAACTTCAATGACACGTCGGGCATTGAGAAATACATCATGCCCCCAGAGGAATACGAGAAGAAATCTGACTCGGTCTTGGCATGGAAAAAGGCCGAAAAACTAGGCCGCTTCAATCCGGATGCTCCCAGTCTAGAGAAGGCTAAGATTGACGCTTTTGAGTTTGAAGTCAGGAATAGGGGCATAGAGGTAGGTAAAAGGTGCAGAGTTAGTGGCGACGACACTCGTAGAGGAGAAGTCAAATACGTCGGCGAGGTAAAAGAAATTCCCGGTTCTATAGGTGCTTGGGTTGGAGTTCAACTCGACGAACCCGTAGGGAAGAATGATGGTAGCATTGGAGGTACTAGATACTGGGGCACTGAATCTACGCTTAAGCATGGCGTCTTTGTGAGACCAGAACGAGTAGAAGTGGGCGAATGGCCTGTGCTCAATGATTTGGAGGATATGGAAGAGATATAATCGAGTATTCCATTGCTCATCCATAGGTACATAGTCCGTGAAATCTTTTTTAAAAGATGTCATAGAACTGATAGAGCTATCCCCACCAGTATGTTCATAAGGGATAATTAAGTAGCTAGTCGGAAAAGAGAAATATCGTTTAGGGGACACCCAGTCTTTGATCATTCCTAGTACATCTTGACAGGCCTAGCTTTAACCCGAAATTTGTAGTGTAGTTATACAGGTACGTGATGTCTCAAAACAAATAATTAAATGCGCAACATGTCGTCCATTTATCTCGTATGCTTTGAATATACTTAACCATCACGTTAATCAATTACACACCTCCACGCCGAATTGGAGCATAACCTAATAGTAGCAAGGGGCCGACAAATTTTATTAAATCATGACCAAGTATATAAAGTAAGATTGAAGGTCAATGTTCTGTTATCAAATATAATGGCTGTTTGAAACTAGTGGTAAATTGGGTTAACAAAAATCGTATGAACTAGGTTGACGTTATAGTGAACAGTGCTGGCCGTATGTCCCGTAGTTTATGAAAATTACACGTAATCCCTCATATATGGTAGCTGTTTTATTAGATACCGTAAAAACGCTGCAGGATGTTTAGTATTTAGAACACAAATCAGCATTGCGTCAAAGAACTCGACCCGACATCTCCTTTAGAGTATTGTACGATAAGAACATCAAATTGTGTAGTAGTTACATTCGATGTAGGTTTGGTATCTAAGACAAGGCAAGCCCTTAAGTAGACAAGAGACATGGGCAGATCGTACAGATGCATTTTAGGAAGTAACATTGTGTTTGGTATCACAGCAGTGCCGAAGATACCGAGAAACCATAGTACTACCTACTTGATGTTGTACTCAGGAGGAAATATGAGTTCATCGTGGAACAATGTTTATAAAGAGGCAATATTTTTCAGCTGACTCGTGAGAAGAACGGTGTAGTAGGAGGATGCTCGCTATGGGATTACTAAATAGCGCCTATAGGTAATACTTGCCCCGCCCAGTATTAATTCAACTTGGAAATCTTACATGTAGGCATTGAGTTGCAAAATAAGTATTTATGCACCCGTGAACTGAACGAACTATACATTCACCACTTGTTATACTCAATTGTCTAACCAATCAAAAAAGTGTATCGGTTTCACAATGGGCTATATACTCGATTTAATTTTATTGTTCCAATTTAGAAGAAAGTCACTACCAGAATTGAGGGTTTGATATAGATAGCTGAATCCATACTGCTACTTGAGGATCAGCAAAGTACCAGCAAAGTTCCACGGTGAGATAATACGTAGTAGCTATATACTTACAAAAATTAAGTACAATAGTCAATATTATATGGAAACATCAAGAACTCTATTGAGTCGATATAAATTTGTCTCATTATAAGAACAATAAAGACTTTGGACTAGTAATTTTTTCTACTTTGTAAGACTTAGTTTCATTGAGTTATATTGGAGTATTAAGGTTTTGAACATGGGGACCGTGCACTTTTCGGTAAAGTTATTATGAATCAGATCTGAATCTGACATAGACCAGGGTCTTAACGTGTTTGAGGTTTATCTGCAACGCCTGCCAATTTCAGCCAACAATACATACTAGTAGCTTCGAAGTTGTACACAATGGACCGAGCCGAGTCCCGAGACAATTATGGACATTTCCTTACTTGGGTAACTGAGCGCGTGATTTTGAGTTTAAAGTAATAATAACAATTTATAATATTACCTAGTTATTTATAAGAATAAGTTGAATGATTATGGATGTAACTATTATAGAAATTAACTAGCCTATCTAGTTCTACAAATTTACCCCAGAATATGAATCATGTATGAAATATCAAGTAACCTGGTTAGCATAGCGGGGGCGTAACAGATAGCCGAATTTCCGCATTTAGATATATGCATATTCCAGATGAGGCTTGATATCTCATGCAAGACAGCCAATTCAGTAGCAAGACATCTATGATACAATAGTTATATTAGATTGTAAGCTTAATATTAGCCTTAATCTATAGGGTGATAATAAATACCAAAGCTCTCATCACGTTGTGATTGCGCGTAAGTATAGTAATCATAGTAATCTATTATGTCCGTTTACGTATTCAAATGGCTGTGCACCGGAGAATCCTACTGTTGTTAACCGTGCCAAGCCAGCTTTGCTTTAAAATAACGAATATGTCAAAACAATGCTCGTCTCGAAATGTTCATATACGTATGATAAACTACATGGCAATAGTAGCGGTACATATCTTTTAGTTAGATAATACTGTAGGTAGTAAACTTAAGAGACTTGAGTATTATTAGGACTAAGGTACCTAATGAAATCCTTTTATAGACATTGAACAGGTAATTACTAATTACGTTAAGAACGACTTAAGGGAAAGGATGAGTTATAGGTAATAGTATGTTTTATATAAGACAAAGCCGGACTAGTGTCGTTGCGGCTTAACGTAGGGAGTTGCGACTAGCCGTCAATTCGATCTTGGCATTCCAATGCCGTCGAATCCGTTAGGTGCAATGCATTACGCTGCACACGTCGGAAACCGCCTTTTCCCCACATCCCACCCGCTCGCTATTCTCCAAGTCAAACCATCAACCCATCAACACGTACTCATACAACTTGAACATTATCCCTCGACTTCCCATGTGTGCCAGTCCGACAAACGATCCAAAACAAAGCGCATTGCCGCTAACAGTGTCGATTATACCCGATCTTTCCACGATACCCGTAGTGCCGAGCGCTTATTATCAATCGAGAAAATAAAGAAGCATCGCCGAGCTCGAAAAAGATTCGTACAGTCTTATGCTTGACTCTAATGAGCATAAACGGTACTGAGATGCGACACCAGCTCTGCATGTGTGGCGCTAAATAGGCCTGTACTCATACAAGACCCAACACACTTGTTGGATTTCTTCCTGCTTCTTACCGGCCTGGTTCCGTCTATTCCTTTCCCTTCCGCTTTATTCCGCAACGGCTGGCCGATCGTGCGAAAGCCAACAAGAGACTCAACATGGCGACGTCGACCGTCGCCAGTTCCGCCAGCGCGGTATACCTTCTCCTGTATCTCACTTGCATCATTTCCATCGTATCCGCTGAGGCAGCTACTACGACTCCGATGCAAACCCTGCCCGATTATTACGAACCATACACTATGGCCCTTACTCTTAACTCCGCGTCTGGTCCCGTTCAAGTTGATTACAAGGTTGCGCCTTTAACGGCAGAGGCAGGTTTGAACCAAACAAACGAGAATACTCTAGAGGTATAGCATTATTCACTCCCACTCCATTGTTGCACTAGAGCTGAATGTATAGCAGGCATTCAATGTCCAAGGCCGAATGGTGATCGTAGACCAAAGCAATTATAATAAACTTGATGACAGTATCAAAGACGCCATGACCTATATATCATGCGATGCGACTACCAACGACTCTTACCTCACTCCTAACGATGTCTTGAATTCGGTTATGACTAAGCAGCCAAAAGCTATATTGCTGTTTAGCACTTCCGAGGGAACATATTGCTCTCTGGAGGGATCCGATCTTTCATTCAAATCTGTCTGGACTATGACCGATCAGTCGGATGCTTGGGAAATCAAGAATCAGACTGTCGAGTCTACCGTAGTTCGTGGGACAATATCGGGGACTAATGCCGATGGAGATTCTGATATCGGTCAATCACAGGGTGGGAACAACTCGGCAGTTGCAATGAGCATTCTATATAGTATCACTGGTTTGATTACTCTGCTATTTCTCATTATTATTGCCACCGGAGCGATCCGAGCACACCGTCATCCCGAAAGATACGGTCCGAGAGCCAGCTATGGCGGAAGGCCAAGACAGAGCCGAGCGAAGGGTTTAGCACGAGCTGTTCTGGAAACGCTCCCTATCGTGAAGTTTGGAGATCCTCAGCCTGCAAAACCGGATCCAGAGAACGAACTTGAGAGTATTTCGGGAGACCAGCAGCAACATTCATCGTCTCCAACGCAGCGTGAGTTATCATCGAATAACGCAGAGCAAGGCGGGTCATCCCCAGATGCAGCAGCAACAGCTATTTCCAATCCTACTACTGAAACTCCAGGCGCTGGCTTGTCGGAAGATAACAGGACCAATAATGGGCTAACTGAAAACGATCACCTTGGCTGTTCTATCTGCACAGAAGATTTTACGGTTGGACAAGATGTGAGAGTGCTTCCTTGCGACCATAAATTTCATCCTCAGTGTATCGACCCGTGGTTGGTTAACGTGTCTGGTACCTGTCCTTTATGGTAAGTAATCCAAGTTAACGTATTCTAATATTTTGGAAACTAATAAGCATCCAACTAGTCGACTCGACCTCCGCCCACACGAGGAGGAGGAAGAAGACGGCGAAGGTGTTTGGGCATCAGCTCATCCAGATACGGTGAATAATGGTCCCGTTGACAATCACTTAGCTCCTCCACCTGAGGATGAGGTAGACGCAACGCAAAGACGACGGAGGTCACGACTTCTAGACTGGAATGGGCTGCGCCATGCTACTGTCGACGAGCGTATTCAGGCTCTTAGACAGTATCGGCAGACACAGGGAGCAACTTCTGGCAATGGTTCGGCCGAGGACCAAAATCGACATGCGAAATTGTCAGACCGTCTACGAGAGAAGTTTCATATTCGTACGAGAGCTCACCCTCCAAGTGACCTACCATCCACAAGCCAATAAACTGCTTGAGTTCACACTAGCACTTATTAGGCATACCCAGCCCTTTTATTGTTGGGTTGATAGATTAGTGTACAGTTACAGCTGTATAAGTGTGACAAATAATGCAATACGCGGTTTCGATGTGGTTATGAGGTGATGATATGAGAAGGGGAGATATTATACCTCGGATAGAGCGGCGTTAAATCTTATGTTGGAAGTTTGGGTATTGGGATACGAGGATTGCATTGATCGGCGTTGGCGGCTATCGAGTTGCCGGGTAGTTTTTCAACTAGATGAACCTAGTATTGTGCAGGCGTTGGGCGCGAAGGACACGATGGGTTTGAAGCAGGACGGCTACGAGATAATGCCGTGAGAGTACAAATATACAAGTCTGTTACTCTTCAAACTGGGCTTTACGTGCAAATGATAGTAAAGAGCGAATAGGGTATACTTCACTTAGTATTCCTATCTACCTGATCCGAGGGTTAATTTCTGAATTAATTATCGAGGTAGTGGATATTATTAATCTTGGTCTAATACTAATACTCTAACCATACTCATACTCATTACGTCTCTCGTTTTAAGTAGGGCGTAGCTTGCGTAGCTTGGATAGCTTACAATGGCTCTAACGTCCTTTGGGGAGCAACATGTATTCAGCTATAGATGATATCCGATCAAATATGACCCCCTTTACTCCCCTATTATGTACACGGACAACCAGTGGATTCCAGGAATATCATTTCCCTTTTTAATCGAGGGTAGGTTCAGACTTTATGTACCCTATGTGAAAGTAGTGGGATTAAAAAAGGAGTGGGAGGGGGGAAAAGGCTCAGCTTTGAAAACCTAGAACTCTGCTAATCGGCATGCTTAGTAAAAGTCTATCTCGTCTCAAGCTTTAGGGATACGTCTACTTCTCTGTTCTATTAAGCCTAGGTATAGTAGTAGGGTAATGGTACCTAGGTAGTATATAAACGCTGCCACCGGGGGGGGGGGGAGGACGTGAGAAAAGGTGGCTGAAAATGCTTCTGTTCGTTCGTGTTACGCACACTCGGGATTTGATACTTGTGCAGTTCACGCTGCTTACTTACATGTGGCGTTCACGTAAGTAAACAGGGCCGTATCATTTGTTCTTCTAAGATCGAGATATATCAATTAATCGATCTTAGTAGACAGATCAATCTATGTTATGTATGCTGGATAGGAAGGAATGTTCCTCTTTCAGACGGTGTGTTAGATGTTGTATTGTTCTAGGTTTCAATAGGGCCTCCTCTCTCTCCCCCCCCCCCCCCCCCCCCCGGTGGCAGCGTTTATATACTACCTATTATGTTCCTCGCGCTTTCCTTCCAGGTAGTTTATCTTGAGCTGTTAAGTACCTAAGTTTTAGGTTCGACTCATATTAGCGCCACTGGTATCTCGCTTGGTAGATCAACTTTTTCCATCTAACTCAGGTATCTACCTACATAATATTTGGCCCGTGAAAGTTCATCCAAATGGGGCACAACACCAACTATAACAGGCTTGGCCTCTTGCGTTGAGATAGGCCGATAACCTTATTAACGGTGTTGTAGCGGCCCTGGGGTCAACAGATTAAACTTTATACGAGCTCAGTTGGATCGGATTATGTCCTGCCTCTTTCATTTTGCGACTGACTGGCTCCGGTAGGTCCAGTCATTCCTTTGCTCGCTTTTCTCTCGTTTCCTTTCCTAGTCATCCATTTTCGTTCGCTCCAGCTTTGAGATTCTCGATATAGTCTTCTAGGTCGTGCTGCTGAGATTAAAATATTCGATATGGCTTCGCTTCTGCTATTTAGGGATGGCACGCCTTCGCTACCGGTTCCATCCCCTAGACCGCTCGCTGGCACAGTTATTGCCGTTATCATATCATTCGCTACTATTACTATTCTCTCATGCTTCACTAGTATGTGTTCTATGTTATTCTTTCTCGTAAGGGAGTATGTTAGTGTATTAATAATAAATATAGCACAACGGGCGCTTGCCGTAAAGGCATGGTCGCGTCTATCGCTTGTCACGATATGTAGGTCCAATTGCTCAGACCATCCTTCTACAACCGGACGTTATACATGAATAGCTAATCCGAGATACTCTTACTCTTTCTTAGTGGTCTTCGCAATCTATGTTGATTCCTGGGCTTTCGTGTTCGGGTCGAGTATTGCCGACTACGGCATAGGCATCGACTCGAACTTAGGCGTCTGCTCGGCGGCCATTTTGCTATGCTTATTCTTCTATGTAACGACTAAAGTCTGTCCAATTTCTTTCTTTTCCTCTACTTGTGTATTGAGCTAACAGGAAACCAGATTGTGAGAATAGAACCCGTTCCAATTTGGAAAATTCACTGTGCTCACATTTCTACTTGGGCAGTTAATCTATATTTTCCAGGTCGAAAAAGCTGTATGTGCATAAATTCTGCTTCCCCTGAATTAAATCTGGCATCTCGCTAAAATGAATCAGTTTCTACTTCAGGGCGGCCCAAAACGACGACGAGTCGAGTCTAAGCTTTACATCTTCAATTTGTTTGGTGTGCTCAGTAGGTTTATACTAATTACCAGTTGACTAAAAACAAGGCTCGCTTACTCGTCAATAGCTATATTTGCGGTTATATGTATTTTAACTTTCGTCTAGTAAGTGTAGAAAAGGAGCCTTGCAATGCATAAAGAATGCATGAAGAGTTCGTTACTCAACTGACCACCACTCAACAGTCGTACAGCGCAAATGAACAAGGGAAGATGTATCATTGGGATAGAGAAACAGGCCCTGATACCTCTCATAGTACTCGAGATTGTGGCAAATGTAGGTTACACCAGTGTCATTTTCATTCATAAAGGATCAAGGCTAAAGGAGGAAATAGGTCTACATTATGGCTCTATTCTTGAACCCACTATGGAGTAAGACGTCTACAAGATCCATATTCCATATTCATATTTTGTGTTTTCTCTGCGTATAAGCTATCTTGACTGACTCTCTTATCATCACTTACTAGATGTCTACTCGCTCAAGGGTGCTTCTAACGCACCGGCCAACCCTCCTGGTCTACGCCCGGCAGCAATACGGACCTTCGTTGGCGCTCTATTTACTACTACCTCAAGCATAGTGTAAGTGTTCCCATCTATAGAATCATAACTATTATGTAAGTCCTAGAAACGAAAGCTAAGGGGAGTACCGCTTGAAGAAACCTTATAGTTCTTATGGTGCTCAACGGCGAGCCTGGTTGGATTTTCTTCGCGTGTTGTAATGCGGATAGTAAGCCAGCCCCCTTTCTCGCGATTATTACTTTCTGTCCAAGTATGGTTCGATCTGTACAGCGTAGAGCGGGCTGCGTGTATCTCCTGGTCTACTTGCTTTTATCCGCGAGAAATATAGATGACAAACCTTGAGTAGTCGGCCGGCTAACTAGTTACCAGTCCTATTCTCTACGTTAATTATCCAATGGGTCGCATCAGGCGACGATGATAATACCATCGCCTCCTCTTCCCCTTCCAACCCCCCCGGCAGCCAAGCCACATATCGTCCGTCCCCGCGCGCACCATCGCTTCCCAGTCGACGCAGTCAGAAACTCGCCATCTCGCTACCGTTGAAAACGACTAGTACCTCGCAGTACGAGCATATCTTCGGGGAAATCGAGCCCGGGACCGAGACCGACGTCGTGAGTACGAGCAGCGTGTCTAAGCACAAGGCCGGGTCCTTGCGCTTCGATGAGGATAATGACGGTTTCCACACCCCTATCATCTACGACGGCCCAGAAGGCGATATCAGCGATGGAGCTAGAAACGAGAGAGCAACCAGCAGCATCTGGACGAGCCCACCACCACCATCATCTGCACGAGCGGACGCAGGGGCGGACGACCGAGCTTCAGGCAAATCGCATACTTCTACCCAACCCCCCACGCACGAAAGCCTCTCTGTCTCGGCAGCGGTGGCCGCGGACCTGGAGCGGATACGCCGGTATCGGGGTCGGCGGACGAATTGGTCCTCCACTACAGCCACGACCTCGACGCCACCGCCGCCGCCGACGTCTACATCGATAACGTCAAGGTCGCACAGCCCCGCACCAGTACCACGAACATCACGATCACGAACAGCGGCGCGCGGGCGCGGGAGCGTGCGCGAGTACTACATCAGCCGGCTAGACTTCGAAGAAGAGGGAGGGGGCGCGGGGGCGCGATGGGACGAGCTCATCCAAGCTGAAGAAGAGGGGCGCGGGGAGAACGGCGAGATGGTGGGTTGGATCTAATTAATTAATTTGGAAACGCGAAAGAAGAGGGAAAAAAAAAACCTAAACAATCAATCAATCAGTCAGAGTGAAAGGAAGAAAGAAAAAAGAGGGTAGGCAAAAGCATGTGATCTATGTATGTGATGACCCGCGGTACGCCCGCATAATTCGGAACAAAAGCATGTGCGGCATAATTGACAGAACAGAAAGGGGGGAAAGTCGGTGTTTTAGATCGTGGTTGGCAAACCTGCACCTATCTATAAGAATTCATGTCAGGTAGCTAAGATGGTTATAGTAATTAATGTTTAATTGTTCGCATCGCATATAAATCGCGCGGGTGAAGGGAACCCAACAGTAGAGGTCCTCGAGGTCCTCCTCTATACCTATCTCGTTCACTTATGAGTTTGGAATTACGTCACAATGCCCCAACATTCTACTTAAGCGTCTCAATTGAAGAGATGCTTTTAAGTAAAGGCGTTAAAAACAATTTACTCAAGTTGAGGAATTGATTCGTTAGCAAAATATTAGCTTAATTATGTAACCTAGACCATGTAGCTAAAGTTGCTTACAGCCATAAAACAACACATTACATCTGCGAGACGACAATACAAATATGCTACTGCAATACAATACTTGAATGAATTTCAATTCGTTGCTATTCGTATCTTCATGAATCTGCCTTGATCCTAAGATATCCTTTCGCGCATCTCTACAACCTAGTAAAGCAAAGCAGATCCAGATGGATATCCAGCGGCTCAACCGGTAAAAACCAGTCGAATTATGTACAAAGAAGTGAAATGCCGACGTTTTGTGTTCCCTCGCAATGCAAAATCCCTTACCCCTAAAACCTAAACCTAAACCTCACCTAAAACAAAAGTGATAAAAGAATAGAAACGGTATTCCTTGGCGGAATTCTCTTAGATACCTGCGAAGATCCTGCCAAATGAGCTCAAGTCTGTTGGAGAAGACATGAGGCTGCCTTGGTTCACCATGAAATAAGAGTACTTCTCGACGAAACCAAACTCGTCGCTGTCCAGTCCCTGGGTGACGGATCTCATGAATTGGTCGATGTCGCCATCCGTTGCCGCAAACTCGGTAACCCAGACGGGTTTGCCCTGGCAAGCATCGTGAACCTTCTTGATGTGGTCGAGGAAGAGGTTTGCACCGTCGTCACCTCCAGGTCCATACCAATGGGCAGCGCAGAAGTCAACTTGGCATTGGCCGCCGCACGCATTAAAGAACTGGTTAAGCCAGTCGATACCCATGCCCGGATTCTCGCTGCTGGAAATGGCCGGCGAGCTTATCTTGACCCTGCCAGCATACTTGTTCATGAATTGCTTGTGACCGTTCGCAGCATCCTGGGGAGACATGTTAGCCTGACTAGGGATATCAGGCTCGTTGAAGCTGAGGAAACTGTCGGATCCTGAGGCAATAGCAGCTTCGGCCTTCTCATCCCAGTTGTTAGAGTGGTCCGGTGCGGGAGACCAGAGCATAGGGTAATAAGCAATCTTGGCTTGTAATCCACCAGAGTCAGATCCCCAGTTGTACGCCCATGAGATCTTGTCGGTCTGGCCCACCATAGCGCTAACAAGGTTCGGGTCGTTGTACGCGGCACCTCGCTTGCTAGCTGCGGGAGCAGGAGCAGGCGGCGGGGGAGCAGGTGCTTCTGTTGACGCGGGTGGTGCGGGCTCAGCTGGGGGCGATGTCGAAGCCGGGGGAGGTGGAGGGGCCTGAGTCTCAGGGGGAGGAGGCGGGGGAGCCTCCGAAGAAGTGGGAGGAGGAGGAGCCTCAGACGAACTCGGAGGAGGGGGAGGGTTCTCAGAAGAAGGGCTTGGAGCAGGAGGACTCTCCGCTGGAGGAGACTCAGGTGCAGGGCTCTCAACAGGGGAACTCTCCGGAGGTGGGTTCTCTGGAGCGGGTGTCTCAGGCGCGGGAGCCTCGGCAGACGTGCTCGACGGCGGTGGAGGGTTCTCAGAGGTAGGGACTGCCGGAGCAGGGCTCTCGACCGAGGGAGCCTCAGCAGGAGCCTCGACGATTGGGGGAGACTCAAAGTCTGGGGCTTCAGTGGGTTTATGTCCAGCAACGACAGTGTGGGTCACCCATTCAGTAACAACGACGACGTCAGTGTATGCGTATACGATCTCCTTCTTGGGGTGCTTGTGGCGATGAATAGGACCAGCGCAGACCTCCTGAACTGAGGCTGCAGCGGCAAGTGCCAAAATGCTAAGCTTGGCATGCATCTTGGGCGATCTTTGTAGTCGAAATGATTGTTGATGTGCTAGATAGTATTTTTGGTGTAGTCAATTTGACTATGTGAGTTATGCTCTGTATTCTTCTTTCGAGAATTGTTACTACGATTTCCGTTGAAAGAATGTTAAGGTGCCAGCAGTCCAGTCAAAGGAGGGAAGAGACGTATCAGATGATACTATCAGAAATGAATGAAATTGTCGAAGGGGGTTTGTACGCGCTGCGTATTGGAGTGTACCGGCGACGAGACGGGAAGCAGGTCGTGCAGTCTATCAAAGACGCAGAAGGAATGATGCGAGTTTGATGAGATATCAGTTGCACCCTTGGACAATAAATATTGGATGTAGTTGCGGCCGTGAGTGTGCGACGTTTGACGGATAACACACAGAGGGTAACTATGTTGGTAGGCAACTATCAACTCAAGGCCAGTCACAGCTAGGTGAGGCAAGTAGGTCGAGCTGGCGACCTTATAGAGGAAATGTACACGAAGGGAGAAATGAATGTACGGTGGTAAAGAAAAAGAGCGGTGATTCTCGATGGAGATAACCGAGATGGAAAAAAACGGTGCTGAGTGAGAAAAGAATGGATAAAGGGTCCGTGGATGGAGTTTTATGTTGCTGACTGTGAGGGAAGTAACTACCTAAGTGAGTGTGTAAGTGTGTACCTGCAGGTTCATCCAGCAATCGGGATGTCTGTGGGGCAAAGGGGGGGAAGACAAGGAGCTCCTTCCACATTTCTAGTGGCCAGACTCTCCTGGCCAGCCGCTAACTGGGGTAGTTAGCGTCTTTTTAGCTGCAGGAGATGCTATTTAGGGCCGGACTAAGCGCCAAGACTGGTAAGAATCGTACCAGGTATTGTCCTGTGCACTTAAAGATCTCTTGGAAAGTCAATCCGATTAGCGCAAATCGATTCGAAGTTGGCAGGTTTATATCCAAGTACTAAGATACGAAGCACCTGTCCGCCAGTTCAGACGGAAAGTCAGCCAAACCCGCTGCTTCCTATTGGCTCTTTTAGGACGATAGGTATTGAATTGATAACCACATACATGTACATAGGTACATACCTGACATACATCCAGTACCCACAATACCAAATGCAGGTACGTCTACTAGGCGGTTGGTTAGATACATGTCACTTATTGTTAAAGGCTATTATAATCGAACGGGTACAACTTAGCAGCTTCTGATATGATGCATCAAACAAAATTCAAACATATTTCTTCCTTATTCCCTTCCAAATTCACTTTATCGACAGCCTCATGCATCATGCTAAATATACTTTATCAGCCTTCTATGAAGGGAAGGTTTAGAGAAAAAAGTGTTTAATGTTCCCTATTGTACCATGTTTACGAGGGCTACCAAACAAATCTGCCAAGCACAGGAAATCCGCCAATCAAAAATTAGAGTCACCCGATTTTCGGTTATAATAACAGGTCAGACGTCTTCTTACGTAGCGCATGCAGGTACCACTGCTAGAGCTGCAGGAACAAGGCACGCATACCTAAACAGACCGCTTAACACGAGGAGCGATGGGCTCATGGTGGGAGGAATTCAGGGGTTGTTAGAGATCCGTGTGTTAGTATAATCTTGTATTTTTCTAGTAAATTCAGCCTTGAAAGTACTCCATAATACAATCCAGCATCCCAGCAATAATTATTCCTCCTCCAGGGCTGTCCAACTTCTTGATTCGTTCTAGAATTCGTCGCAAATACATACTTGTAGGAAGATGAGTATTGTTACAAATACATTATATCCCAGTTCACAACCTACTTCAAAATAATGTCAACTATCATGTTACCGGTACCGAGCTCCTCTTCTAAATTAATATATACCTTTTTAGTTAATCTACAGGACGGAAGGAAAAGAAGACAAACGGACGCGCCCACCAACCGTACTGCGCGCTCTTTTCAACAAATACAGTGGCGGTCTCGAGTACAGGAAATGTATATACAGGATTAGTACCTTTCAACCCTGATTTAATACGATTCGATCCACGTGTGAGCCGTGAGTGGTTGGTTATGGCAGCCCGACCGAGAGGCTGCTTTTGCGCTCTTCCGCTCTTCTCCTCACCTCGGCGCCACCGTTTCTGCTTATGCCTTGCTTCTCTTCGAGTTTAGCGTCTTACGTGGACACATGTTGTGTATCGGCCACCTGGTGATCTACGCAGGCCTTGTATATAATTGACGATAGAGAACCTTACGAAGAAATGTTGCCCTACATACAAATGACGTGGTTGTGAGACGGGAGCGAGATTACTCCCCAAGTAATATCGCTACGACTAATTGCACCACAGCGTTACAATGCGTTGCGGTACAACTCTGGCGGGAAACGGCATCAGAAGGTATTATTATGGGCTTCCACGCCCATATGTTCCGCTCCCCAAGATTCCATGCCCCTTGTCCATTGTAACGGCACATCAAAGCTTGGCTTTTTCTCCCTTCGGATAGTAATCGGGCGATCTTCAATATTAATAGCCACCACGAATTGAGTCAAGCAACAATAGGCTATTGAGACGTCGATATAGTCCACAGCTGGACGCTTTTCAACAAGGAAGTGCTTGTAGGTGGCTGGTTTCTGCCAGCGTCGAAACAAGCCTATCTACAAAGAAGAGAAGCTAAATTGCTTTACGAGAGACATGTGGCTCGGTCTGGTAACCTATCAGATTTCAGGGACGAGGACCAAATTTGGCTGTGCTGACTGGGTAATTTGTTGATGCATGGGAGTGCAAAATGATGAAATTTCACGGAAATAATCCTCATCGGGCGGCGCAAACAATGTGTAAGGCGTTATTTGGACACGTCACTTAATAATATAATAACTTAGTGACAGGCTATTTATTGAGCGGGGAGTCGAGAGCATATATATGTATCTACCTTACTACCTTCACACTACCACCCGTCGGAGATGTACATAGATGTTATTTGTCAGTGAGCTTGTTTCTAAACTGTCTGAATAGAGAGCAAATTGAATTAATGGAATCAGTTATAGCATCGGTTTATCTCGGTGAATAATTTGCGGGAGTATCCGAGTCACATTATGGGCCTCGGTACGTACCTACTCTGGAATAGTTATTGGTGGTTTTCTTACCACCATGATTCATATTGTCAGTTGTCATGACAGTTTTCATGATCATATATTCTAGATACATGTAATTCTTAGGATGGGGCAATACTTACACTGGAAGCTACATAGGTAGGTATGTACCTATGTACCTAAGATACCTTACCTTTTAGAGATAACTATGCCAAAAGCTACCTATGTACATATCGCATGATAACAAAGCTTTTCCATTTTGTGTAACCTTTCTTTGTAACCAAACGACCTCTTAGATGCATTGACTTTGATTAAAAACAGCTTCTTATTTCTACCATAAGACCAAAAACTAAACCTTTATCACCATCATACTAAAGGTCTAGAGCACATGCGTACCTAGGAAAGTACATAATAAGTGCAGTTTAGGTGCGTACGTGTTATTTCTCAGATGGTTTGTTACCCGATTAGGCAATATTTCACAAAGCTTCAAGTTCATAAAGTTGCTATTGTTTACAAACAAAAAAAAAAAAATAATAATCATTATAACAACACTCTAATACAAAGTTTTAGCGCAGAAAACTACAAATACCCCAATCTGCTGTTTCAAATCAGCAACCTAAACTTTCCCCCTTATTTTCAAACGTCTCCATCAACTTTCCGGGAGGGTTCCGTTCTCCTCCGTTCATCAATCTAACCAAGATCCGGCCCCACATTACTTGCAGGATCACCGCTCCGTCGGGTACTACCAACACTACACATCAATCCTGGTCACTCAAATTCCAATGTCTTCCGTTAGTTCATATTCGGGCTCGAGCTGCGACTCTGATGCCGAGTCGGTTTCTTCTTCACTTATCTATACCGATGAAGAATCATTCAGTACCTTTCAAATCCGTGTCCTCGACTTTGCTCTTCACGAGATCTGGCCTGATGCTACTGAGGAAGAGATCAACGTGGAACGGATGGCCGGAGGCGGAGAAAATCGCATAATCGGTATATCCCGACAGCCGACTGAACAACCTGACACTCATATCCGCTACATCATACGCATGCCTCGGTTTGATAATATGTACTTGAGTAGTCAAGTTGCTACTCTACAATTTCTCCACCAACATAGCAAGATTCCTGCTCCGGATGTCATCAAATTCGACGACACAGAGGACAATGAGCTCAATACTAGATACACCATTCAAACTCGCATTCCTGGGCAAGCTTTGCTATATTCATATCCCACCCTTTCTCACGAAGAGCGATGCAGACTCGCACGGGAACTCGGTCGTGTCTATTCCGAATTACTATCCATCCGCAGTGCCACGTCCGGTGTTTTAGTGCTACCTATAGATGGAACAGGACCGCTTGAGATTCTACCGTGGAAACGTCCTGAGGTTCCATGCGCCAGAGAGTATAGCAATTTACCCGTGGCCGAAGATATCAAAAAGGTCCTACAAGACATTTTCACAGCCCAGAAAGACTACGACTTAAGGATGTGGCCTAAAGATACTTCCGGGCCCTTACTCATGGATCAATTCTGCAAAATGGCTGCGGAATTAGAAGCAGATGGATGGTTTACGAATTGCTACACGTCGTTAGCACATCTAGATCTAGAGCCGCGCAATGTGCTAGTCAATCCTACGTCAGACACGAGCTCTCCCATCATTTCTGCTATCCTTGATTGGGACAGTGCCGTCTTTGGTCCCCAATTTATGTGCTGCAAACCGCCTCTTTGGTTATGGGCGTGGAAAGAAGACGAAGAAGAAGACGAACGTACGGCTAATGATGAGCCATCAACACCGGAAGGACGCCAGCTAAAGCAGCTCTTTGAGGAGGCAGCCGGTCCAGACTACATTCGGTTCGCGTATGAACCTGCTTATAGACTTGCGAGACGGCTTGTTCAATTCGCTATTGGAGGTGTAGGTTCAAATATGGCCTTCAAGGAAGCCGAGGAGATGCTTAAAGAATGGACGAAGATACATCATGAGGAGCCGAAAGTATCCTCCCCTACCAAGCAAATCGGTGATTGCCAAATAGGAGATGAAAGTTCTTCGGGGGAAGAAATTGAAATAGGTAAAGATATTTCCACTGAACAAACTAGCAATGGCATAGCTAATCAAGATGAAGATGCTGCTTCTAAAGAAGAAGAGTGTACTTCTGCACAGGAGGGTGATGATGCTACGAATTTGTATGAGGACGCTACTTCTGAGAAAGTGGAGGAGAGTACTGTCGAACAAGAAGAGAACATTGATATTAAGAAGGATGAGAGAATTGAACCTAGTCTAAAGGAAGGCGTATGTGTCATACTATAGAAATAGAAAATTTAATTGCAGCCAAGTCAAACCCTTAAATGATTTTATTCATTTCCTAAAGCCTATCTCGTTATTCGTAATATGACAATACCAGCTATTAAAAACTGCCGTATCTCAATAATACCAATTGAGTTCAATCAAAGTCTTATCCATTATTTTATCTGAAATACGTGACTAATGATGAAGAATGTATGTAGTTTGACTAAATAAAAGGGGCCTAGCCTACCTATGTACTATACATACGAGCCCCTCAGTAGATTTCAAGGTATACCGACTATACATAACTTCTTGGTGTCTCGTCATGCTGTAATGTAGAAGCTGTACGCACCTAGGGTTTAGTTGGATTATGGCAGAAGATGAACATTCTACCTAGGTAAGTTACGATCTGGGCACTGTTCAGGAGTCAAGGTTACAGCCCAAACCGGCGGTTTTACATTTATCACCAGGTGGGGAAAGAAATGACTACTTTGCCTTAACTGACGAGAGAAGTTCTGTTAGGTATCATACCACCTGTTGCCATACAGTTGCCGCTTCTGAAGCTGTACATTGGAGTTTCTCCGGGCTGTCATCACTTATTACCTCAAATTATGTGCAGACTTGAAGCAAACGATATTGTTCATGTACCTACAGCTGTGTACACTTTAGAAGATAAAAGCTCTGACCGTCAAGTAGTCAGGTATGTCCAGGGTTCTTGCAAATACAGTAAACAATTCCACAACTTGTCATGGCATTTATTGTTTTAATCAAAGAACTTGTAGGCATTGAGTCAGTAACAATGGACTCATTAAGAAAATATTTCAAACAAAACGTGTGTCAATATCATTATGATAACAGCGAACAAAAAGAAAGTACGTGGATAAATCCAGACTTCTCAAACATGTAGGAAACAGTCAAGTTGTTGACAGCTGATACTGGACTTTCAATGAGCTGGACATACTATTTGAACACGAGATTTCCATTATTTTTTCCAGTTAAACAATTACTTCAGACACCAGTCTTTACAATAAACAGACCTTCAATTATCTCTTCGACTACTCTTTCAACTAATACCCCTTAACCGACCCATATCCAGCCCCTAACCCAACCTCCCATTCAGCAACATCCACTTACAACTTCAAGATGCCTCATGTGAAGAAATCTACCACGAACCAGCACCACTGCCCCCTGAAGAGCAAGGGTAACTGCAGACTCGAGAAGCAATTCCAGCTGAAGTTCTGCACCAAGCACCTGACGTGCTGTTTTGACCACAAGGTCGTCCACATCAAGACCGAAGACTGCTGGAAGTGCGTGGTAAGTAATTGGAACCCAAGTTTTCACTGTATAGGTACCTGTTCAAAGCTAACTGATTGACTACAGAGACTTTCCTTCGATGCCGAAAACAAGACTGACGCGGGTACCGACGTAAACAAGAAGAAGGACGACAAGAAATCTTCTAAATAAGAGCTTCAAGATTATGGGTCCCCTATACACGCTCAAAACCCAGGTTGTCTATGGTACCTCTCATAGATATAGGTGGACGAGATTGGGGTAATGACCTGGTGGCGGATAGGTGCGGAGGCTTATGAGCTACGCTACCTCTTACTCATAAATACCCTCTTCTTTTATTAGTTTCTTTGCATTCAGAGATACCCCAATAGCGCGTTCGGCGTGGCAGTCTGGACGACATACAGAAGCGGATATTCCAGGATCAGATGTCCTAGCATAGAGCCTTTACATTAGTTATTTCCTTAATTGACATATTTCCTATTTGTACTTTGATACTCTCTAATCGATTATGAAATCTTTTATTCTCGGCTACCTTACTCTCTTGGCTGACAAGCCAGGTACTTGAGTATACTGAGATATAATAGTAATAATATTTCTAGGGAGATGTCGTGGGACGGCTAATGTTACACAGGGACGACTTTAGCATTAGCCATCGCTCACTATACTTCTAAAGGGGTTACACAGAACCGAAAAACACAATTCGTAGATGACTACATCGTTTAACTTAGAATGACTGTTCGGCTAACTGTTGGTGTTATACGGATTATAGGACAATATAATAACACCATTATTATTTCCTTGAGAAACTTTGAAGCAAACCTCCCCCTTTTCCCCCTTTCTATTTCCTTTCCTTTGCGTTCAGATTCATTAATCGTGAATTCCAATTGGATATAAAACAAGGCAATATCCTTGCAGCTAACATATATAGCAAAACATCGCTGGCCTAACTCATTGCGCAGTACACATGATGCTTTATTAACTGCTACTAGTTATCCAAGCTGATAAAACTAACACAGCTGAAAGCAACAAGATTCAGTTCATTAGTCAAAGTGACCAATCACATATCATTATCCCGGTCTTTAGCTTTGAGCATCGCCACGATTTCCGGCCACGTGATTGGTCCGACGAACGAGCTGAAGCCTTGTCCGCGTATGCTTGCCAAGCCAGCATTCCCGACTCACCTTAACAAATTCAAGATTATTTTTTGAAGTTTATCTCTATGATATATTGACACCCTTTCTTAGAAATAGTCATCTCATTTAAACTTTTTCCAAGTCTAGCCTATCCGATGGATAGGTATTCAATAGAGGCGAGATGGAACCGTCAAACACAACTCAGTCCAGGATCCTCCCTCGTGTGAGCTTGGATGGTGGAGATGGCTTTAATCATGCATACTTCTCTCCAGACGATGACATCAACTATCTCACTAGCGACGGTGCCCCTGGTTCTATCATGGCATTGGACGATATGTCAAGCGTTACGTCCCCGGGGACCGCGCTCACCAGGAGCAATTTGACTCAGAGACAAAGATATGAACGGCGAGGTCACACGAAGAGCCGGCGTGGGTGTTACAACTGCAAGAGACGGCGCATCAAGGTATTCGATATTCGGAAGTTATGGATAACCATTGTAGTTCAAAATACTAACATCAAGAAATAGTGTCAAGAAACGCGCCCGGCTTGCACGCATTGTACAAAGACGGGACTGAAGTGCGAATATCCAGCTGTTCAACAAGTCATACGCCAAGTATGAACCCCTTATAATTATTGTCTATTGTATAAGAGTCGTTACCAACAAGCAAAAAGCCACAGAATCAGGTCCCGCTGTTCAGTCTACAAGACATGCGATTCTTCCAGCATTTCTTGCAGACGTGCTTTCCCCATCAACCCATAGGGAACGAGACCATATGGACTCATGAGATTCCATGTTTATCACAGAATGTACGTACGCACCGTAACAAAGTCAACCTTAAAGCCAGGGTGCTAATCGACTGGAAATGGTAGTACGAGTATCTAATGCACGCGATATTAGGCCTCGCAGCGTCGGATCTCATGTCGCAAGATCCTAGTCTAGTCACCTTCGCCATGTTGCACCGACTGAAAGCGATTAGAGCGATTAAGAAGACGCTGAGCGAAGTCCCGAAGTCGAATACTTTTGAAGAAGGAAACGCTCTTAGTACGTAACGTCACTTACCCCCTTTTATCTCCGTCTCTTCTATTCTTTAGCTGGGGAATACTATCAACCCCTTAACCCCTTTTCATCAGACTCAACACCCAAAACCCCTTTACTATCCCACCTAAACCATTAATCCATCAACCATCCTTCAACTTCAACTAACCAACCTCACCCCCCTAACCAGTAGCAACCTGCTTCGCGCTAACCTTCCAATCCGTGGTCCTCGAGGACGGCATGGCCGAATTCATGACCTTCTGCCGCGGGATAATCCTAGTCTCGATGCAGATGTGGACGCGCAACACCAAGTTCCTCTTCCGCAACCTGCACGACAACGAGTCCGCCGCGCTCCTGCGCCCCTTCATGGAAGCGCTGCCCCCTATCCGCCGGGACTGGGTCGACATGGCCGTCTCCGGCATCCGGGGCTTGGAACCCTTGTGCGAGCAGCAGCGGCAACACGAGGTAGAACCCGAGTATTGCCGCCTGCTCCTGGACATGGCCTCGGCTCTAGGCGACTCCGCCTTCCGCGCCTACGAGCTCCTGTGCAAGCACTACGGGTGGTGGATCCAGCTGCCGCACGTGCAGTTCCAGCGGCTCGTCGACCCGGAGAACCAGACGTGCACGCTGCTGGCCGCGCACTGGATCGCGGTCAAGCAGATCATGGCCCCGATCACCGAGACTGAACACCGGCTACGCGCGCGCGAGCCGCGGTACCAAAATCACTACGACCAGGAAGGAGATGGCAACAGCAGCAACAAGAATAACGGCAGCATGAACCTAGGCATGGTCCGCTGGCTCAAGTATCTCAACCGCCAGGTCGACGCCGAACACCGGCGCTACAACGACTGGCCCGTGTGGGTTGAGGATCAGCTCGACAGGGACCCGACGTTCTTCGGAAGGACGCTGCCTTGATTTAGACGGCCTAGTCTATAATCCTCTACATAATCTACCTACCTACATACCTATAACAGACAAGCGGTGGGGCGTAAGGAGGAAGAGGAGGAGGAATTCATGGCATCGGCTTACTTGCTTACCCGACCCTATGAGACGAGGACGACAACATCACGACATCAACCACACCATATTTAGGCAAAAGCCAACCAACCAACCCACGCTTCTACGATAACACGGGCGATTAGCTCCTTGGCTTCGCCTGATAGCCACGGGCCGTCCCTTGATGATAGACCGAAGGAGCGGCTAGGATACGGCATTAGACCGGGAGTTGATTTCTAGGATATTAAGCCGCCAGCGCCGGTGGTGGTTATGGTGGTGGTAGTAGTAGTAGTATGCAAGGGCCTTACCTAACCTACAATTACCTTAGGTACATATGCATGAACGACAAGAATCAAGCTTATGTAGACCTAGACTCTTCTTCTTACCGGGGATGTATCTTCTCTACCTTACTATAGATTATGTACTCACTCACTCACTTACCTACCGACCTACCTATAATGTAAATAGCCTCATCCCACAAGCAAGCAAGCCAAGTGCAATCGGCATCCGATCAATTCCTAACCGGGTCTGCCAAACGAATTAACTGCCTACCTACCTACATGCCTAGGTAACTAATGCACCGGCAATCCTGCCCCAAATAATCCCCGAGTCAAGTAATCCCCGTCATCCTGATTTTATCCTATCCGGGAACACAACAAAATAATATTTTACTTTACTTACTCACACCTTGTCGGTTTCCGAGTGCTTATCTAATACCTACCTGCCCACCTACATGCCCAGACCAACCACCGGGACTATCCGTGCGGTATTACTTTACTTATACATATACTAATGTATCTCCCCTTCCTTCGTTCCCAATCCTTCGGAGTTTCACCTCTCTCTATGTACATAGCACATACATTAACATACCTAGGTACATTACGCACCATGCCGCTATGCGGCACAGCTAACCTACCCATGTCCACTTACACTACATACTTGCTTACCCGAATCACCGGCCGAACCCCAGTCCCAAGTCCCAGTTCCAGTTCCAGTTCGCGGCTTACGCCACGAGCCGTGTATCGCACATAGACACACGTGCGTACATACGCACGGAAGCCCTATCCTATCCTATCATCCCACAGTACCATAGTACATACATACATACATATTCCTTCCTTCCTTCGTTTGAAACCCGCAAAGCAAAGCAAGGCAAGGTATCTATCTCCCTCAGGGTATCAATGAATATCTTAGAACTCAAGAGAAGAAATCCCGATGACAAATATTACCTCTTAACCTAACCTAACCTAACCTGATAAACTAAGTCAACTACCTAAATAAGTGGATATTATATTATATTTATCTACCTACCTCCTTGCTTACGTCTTTATCTATCTATCCAACCCTTGACGATAGACTATACGCTAGGACGTTACATACATACATACATGCATGCATACCTACTAGGTTAAGGCACTTCAACTATGGAGCCCCGAATGTCGTCTAGATAAACTCATATTTCAAGACCGAGATGACTAAGACGTAAACGTATAGTCTAGCTTCGGTAGATACCTTAGGCCCCTAATCTGCAATGGACCTTTTTGCACGTCTGCGTCTGCGTCATGTATTTGCCCCTTTTGGATGACATACGATTTTGACCATGATAACAATAAACCATCACGAATAGCATAGTAAATATTAAAAAATTCCAACATTCAAGCCTACCTACCTAGGTACCTACCTACCTTACATGCATATTAGCTAGCCAGTAGACTCGTAGATTAATTCCAAGTGTAAACGCCACTAATGGATTCATACCGCTGAATTGATTATATTCAGCTAACCTAAACCATTCTTGCGCTCTAAATCATAGCACGGTGCCCGCCCAACCCAACCAAACCAACTCATGGTGTTCCCGAGTCTGACCGAAAATTCCAGGAGGGCCACCTCCATTCAAAACCGGGATGGCAAACACGAATCTAGGACGCCTTGCTCAAACAAAAAGACGGAGCCCACCGTTTTATCTCTCCTGTTCCACTTTCGTGCTCGATTGAGACACAGTGTAGACATCCAATTCTAAGTAACAAGGCTATACAGGGGTATTTACACATGGTGAAGAAGTGAAGCTTGAAACAAATATATCAAATCCTTAAAATAAATAAAATCAAGGCGTGCCGGCGATGTTTAGAGTAAGTCTTTGCGCAAACTCCCGTGGGTTTGCGACAAAGGCAGCCGAAGTGTTAACGAATGAGGTGCCGTAGAATACCAGCGAGGGTGCAACGCTCACTAGCATAGCACCAAGGATGAAGATTAGAATCGGAATCTGCCACTACCTGTTAGCACTAGTATTATAAAGAGAAGGGACGTATTTACCCAGACAAACCAGAGCATCTTATCACTGCTTCCGGTCTTGAGCCTCTGGGCGTGGGCTCGTTGTAGGTGTTCCTGTTGTTCCTTGGTGATGCTGTGCTTATGCCCTATCTCGAGAAGTGCGGGCACTTCTTGGCTCTGTGACGCCGCCTGGTCATAAAGAGCAGCACATTTCTCGTCAGCTACAGCCTCGGCTGCGGCGGCGGCGGCTGTGGCTTGCTTGACATCAATATCTCTTTGCGGGAAGATGCTGTTATATGCTGGCGGAGGGCTGTCCTTGACGCCGAATCTAGAAAGATCCCACCATTTACTATCGGCATCTCGTGGGGGTTCTTCGTCCCCAGGTTCAGGGCGCTGACCCCGGATGTTCGGGACGAGAGAGCTGATACGTTGCATGACGGGGGCTGCGTGCAGATAAGCGTGGTAATCCGGAAGCACGGGTATCGGTGGGAGGGCTGGCATCTGCGGCATCTGCGGCATTTGCATATGCGGTAGATTTTGGAAATGCATTGTCATGGAGTGCTGCAATTGCTGGAACTGTGCCGCAAATTGTTCCCGGAGAGCCGCCACTGCTGCGGTCGTTGTTGCGGGAGGAGCATCAACGCCGGTGGGTTCACGTGAAGGCGCATACTGCGGGAAGCTTGGTCGTCTTATGTTTAGCTCGCTTTGAACCGACGAATCATCATCGTCGTCACTGCTCTCTTCCGAAGAGCTTGGGCTCTCTAATATGAATTCCTCACGATGTGCTGGTGCCATTGAGGATGGATCCCATAGCGATCTTAGGGAGCTAGCACTATTAGCCCTACTATGAAGCGAACCGTTGCTTCGGGATCTGGAATGGTTCTCAATCTGTCGGAGAACTCTAAGCACGTCACTGGATCGAGCAACGTCAGCGGGCGTCAAACCAGAGAGACTTCGCATATTTGGATCTGCCCCTCTCATGATGAGACGCCGGACGATTTCTTGGTGATCATTCATCGCCGCCAAGTGCAACGGCGTGAAGCCTCCCTTATCTCGCACGCCCACATTAGCACCACGTGATAGTAGACCGGCGACAAAGCGCACGAGCCCGATAGAAGAAGCCAAGTGAAGCATAGTCTGCCCGCTTGCCCTTCTAAGGTTGATCTTCGCCTTGTTGGGGCTATCGTCTAGATCAATCAATTCCAGAATACGAAGAAGTCCCTTTTCTACGGATTCCGAGAGATCCTGTTCCAGATTGTTGAAGTTTGTATTGGGGGTTTGACTATTAGATCCGGGGGAATGACCCCAAGAACCGCCCGTTGCGGGCCCGTAAATGATATTTCTTGCGATATCCGCAACATCTGTCATTTTATTCCCAAGTTTGTTGCCCAGCACAGTGAGTGCTGTACGTATTAGGCGATGTTCATCATCGTCGACGTATCTAAACAGAGGCTGCTGCTGATTGCCATTAAATGAAAGCTGGGGAGCGACGCCTGGTTGTCTGATCGAAACCGGGACGACCCCGGCGGCATGAGATGGCGGCAGAAGGCAAACTAACGATGTCTCGCCCCAGAAGGTCGTAGTAGCCGCTCTTTGTTCCCCAAACATGACGTCTAGACCGCCATTTGTGAAATTGCTGCCAAGGATTGTGACCTCGACTCCTCCCGACTTTGGACCTTCGCCAGGGATGATCTTGTAGATCATCGGCTGTGCTCTACTAGAGTTCATGGCTGTGGGCGCATTGTATATATTCTGACTAAGCGAACTATGACATACATTTTGTATATCATTCCTCACTCGGCTTGGACTAGGCGCACGGCTAGGATGAGCAGAGGACGGTGTAGAAAACATTTGAGATACTGGCACATTGTCGATGCTCATGTTTCTACTTCCTTGTGGGACGCCGATTTCAGGGTTATTGCTGTTTGGTGTAGGCGGTCCTGCCGAAGCCGAATATTGTTTTCCAATGTTATTAATGCTCGCCTGCTGCCCGTGAAACATCATAGACTCCGTGGACACTGGGAAATTTCCCATGTTTGGCGAAAATGGCGATGCAGTTGCAGAGGTCACAGCTGATTCATTATGGGCTCCTGGGGGCATTACCAGGGGCGGTTGCCCTGTCTCGAGCCTAGTCATCGCTAGGCCAGTAGGGAGCTTTACCGATCCGCTTGCTTTCCTCTTTCTAGATATAAGGCCAGAAGGGCTAGTGGGCGAACCCTGCCTAGACATATTGCGGGATGTTGTTGTAGTAACCGGTACGGACTGGGAATTGTTACCCGGAAGAGAAAATGGAGTAGCCGCTGGTAATCCTTGGAGATCAGAGGTTGCTGGCGACATGCGAAAGGATTCAATATGGTGAACGTCCATTGCTACAGGAAGCGGAGGCGATAGAACAGAGTTCTGCGTGGCTGATGCTGCTGGAAGGTGTGTCTTGTGGTCATCTGTTATCATAATTGAGGATGAAATCTGTTGGGCGATAACATTGTCCTGGTAATCTTTGATGGTAAAGATAACTTGGAACCCCATTTTCTCTCCGTGATGGCGGCAGTAACAAGCAATGCGCATTGGGGCATCGACTTGAACGGTACCGTCAGGGACAGAGAGATCAGCTGGCCCAGCTCCCGTAGGATCAACCATATGAGGAGTGACTGCTTGCCAATCCTTGATTTCTTGGGTGTTGAAAACGATGACCCGTTGATGTTCATATCGATTCCATAACTCATCCTCCTCAGGCTTCTTGTGTTTCTTGCGGCTAGCACGCTTTCGTTCTCGAGTTATACAACCAGCACATATTCGTACTTCGCCACCATTCTGAGGCTTATGCTCATCGTCCTCACCTCCATCGTCCGACCTCTTTAAACTTGGGATGTCATGCCCGGCCACCGCAGCTCGACGGAAAGCACGCTGGAGCCTCATAGGGTCTTGCATGGCACTGGTGCAAACTAACATAGTATAGAGTTCGAGCATGTCAGGAGACCGCGCCGCTCCGGGCTTTGCTAATAACTTAGGCTTCGAAATCGTATGGGTTGGTAAGTGAAGCCTCTTGATACCGGGAGGGAGCGCGTGTATAGTAAGTTTGATTGGGATTTGGGTCTCAACTCGGGACTTGAGAGGCGTAGGTTGAATCACCAGTCTTGGCCTCTGAGCCGACGCCAAACTTATCTGATGTGAATAGGACGAAAGACTATTAGCTGGCATGCCTTTCAGATCTCGTCTAAAGGGAGGTTTAGAGGCTACTCTGTTAACCCATGGACCCGGATCAGGTGGCCATGACAGGGAGTTTTGCTGGTTTGACATTGTACCAAGACGGCTCGTGATATTATCGGGGGGGGGTGAGTTGTTAAGTATTGCCGATGGAGAGGTTTCTTGGCTAATCATTATATTCGACGCGGGCGATCCTTCTCTAGAACCACTCGTTTTTAGGCAGTTCATCGACTTTGTTATAGAATGTTGCTAAATACTAGTTAGTGTGAAGAGAGTTAACGCATGTGAGTAAGAACGGAACGGACCGATTGTGTCTTGTGATGACCCTTGATCCGCTTAGCGGCAGGGGCATTCGACATGGAATTCGCTACTACAGGCGACTCTTGCATGAGACCATTCATAGCGGGGCTAGGACTACTAGAAGCGCTATCAAAATCGAAAACACGGGACATTTCCATAGCAGTAGGGTCTATAGTGTCGAACACAAAATTCCCGTCCATATGTCTAGATTCATTTTCGAGGTTCCAGCCAGAAAAGTGCTCGTCAGTCACCATGGCCTCTGTCGAGCTCTGGCTCGTTTTCGCGGAGGTCGAATTGCCGCTTATCATGGAAGAAGAGGAAGACGCAGAGCCCCGGTGCGAAGGAAAATGTAGAGGCCTATTAGGGCTGACCTGTTCCGGCTGGCCAAGGCCGGGTGGAAAAGACTTTGGTTCATCATAGAGACTCGTGTCCAGCAGTTCGCCGCTGGTAAAATCGAATATATTCGTACCTGATGGGTGAATGTCCTCGAAGAAGTCGAACTCGTTGCTGGCAGAGAAAGAGGCAGGCAGCATCCCCGAATCAGAAGTAAACTGGTTCGTCCCACTGAACGGGGAGGAACCAGAAGTCGTCATGGCCCAGCTCAGGCAGTTCTTGGGTACACCAAGAATGGGATACTATATGCAGTTGTGTCAGCGTGTTAGGTAGAAGTCGTGATCCAACACAATACCAACCAATAAATTACCCTAGACTGTCCACACTGGTAACGTATATAACTTAATAGTAACCCCTAAAGATGAGATGGACGTCGAGGTAATCTTCCGAAGCGCTATCCTCCAGCAAGTCCAACAGTAAGAGAAGTAGCTATGCTTTAAAGTTACAGCAACATGCTTTCTCTTTTAGGTCGGCTCAATTGAAAATATGCTACGAGTATGAGAACTCCCAACGACCTCGATGGCAGATATTATAGGAAAAACTCGATATCCGAGCGATGGCTCGAGGGTGTTTAGTATTCGATGCTTGGGCTCGGAATAACGTGCCGACTCGGTGAAAAGTTGCGGTAAGTCGTAAGTATCCTAATACAAGTTTCTGCTTTGATAGAATTACAGACTATAATAATGTCTATCCGTCTCGTTATAGGAATTCCAATACGTCAAAAACTCGCAATCAATTGAATATGACTCAGTAAGAAAAGAGGCGATAGTAAAAAGAAACCCGGAATGAATGTATCGACCGTGATGGTGGTGTGGTCTGTTGACTTTAGATTTCACCAAAGGCCGGGATGGATGTGGGATGGATTGATTTAGGATGGGAGAGAAGGTAGGCGGCGTTTTGGATCAATCAATTTGCCCAGGTCCAAGATAGAAGAACCCTGACAGCGTGAGCATAGAACCCGACCGGGGGCACAAGCAGTCAGTGTATGGTACAAGCGCAAAGTTGGGGTGGAGAATTAAAAGACGGTCGAGGTTGTCTGGGTGCTGGGCTTGGTGCTAGGTGTTCGAGCGTAAAAGGGTAAGTTCGTTCGAGCACGCTAACTTAGACTAATTAGACCTAAGAGTTAGGTACTTAACACTTTCAAGGTTGTGCGTGGCAGCCTTCCCCCGGTGCCCGGAAAAACCGGGGTTTCCTATTTTGGAAAAGTGCGAAAAAGGGTATGTACCTAGGTACATAAGTTAGGTACTTTGAGTATACCAATAGTATCTCCGAAAATTGTTAGTGGCTTAGCAGGCGAACCATGTAGTAATCAAGTAATCTCGCTTAAACTACGTGTAAAACATTGCCGCTACTAGATTCTAATCGTGTTAGTGCGAAATCTTCGATATCAAACGAAGAGCAACCGCAACCGCAACCGCAACTATATACATATACCATATAACATAGGTCGTGTGCTCTATCTTACCACCATACCATAATAGGTCCCTTAAAGCTTAACCTTACGCAATCAAAGGCTACCTATATAACCAGACTAATAAATAAGCTCAATTAAACCATCGTGCTTTTAAACCTCCCGTGCTTACCTACGCGTTTTACTTAGTTCTGCCAAAAAAAAAGCGATTATTACGCAGTTAGCTTCATTTTCTCTTCTCAGCTTTGAACCCTTTAAGCAAACGCCGATCATCGGGCATGGTTTTTGTTTTGATGTGCTGACCACAACTCGCGGGGTTTCTTCGCTTACCTGATACCCTTAAGGAATACCTAATACCTAGGACTGGATTACGTACCTAATTTTTACCATCTAAAGGTCTAGTTAGAAATGACTATAACTAACTACATCCTAACTACCTACATAATTGACTAATTATTCCTATGGAGACTCTTACGTATGTACTACTCACGGTTGGCAAAATTTATAGGCAGTCTATACTATTTATTTTTTTTGTCCTATTTCTACTACATACTGTGCTTAGGGTTACAGACAACTTCTAAAACGCATTCCTGTTCCTGCGTCCAATCTGGTCTCTAACTGGTCCCCCAGACAAAACTTAACTTAATCAAGGGTCCCTCTCTTATCTGATAGGTAATCTGAACTGATAGGTATCTAATGGAGGGGCTGATGATTCTATCCTACATACACTACACTTAGTACGACTACATACATACAACCTCCTTCACGCTATCCACTGCGCATCTCCTTACCTCCCTCCGGAAGGTCGTTGCTCTCTCTTTCTGACGACATGCCAGTCTCGAACTCTTGTCCAAGTAAGCGGTGCCCGCTTCCATAGCCGCTTCTGCTTCTTACCTTTCTTTACTTCTCTTAACTACAACTACTACTATTACCACCACTACTACTACTACCACTACCATTACCATTATTACCACTACTACGTGTTCTCCGTGTCCGCCATTCGCGCTCAACCCACGCATCCACGGGGAAAACTCCCCGATGGCAAACCCCCGTTATCTCCCCGCCCTACTGAGATTATGGAGGGTCACACTAGGATAGAGTCGCACTGGAATAGACAAACCTTCTCCGTCGTCGCTACGATGCGGTTTTAGCCATACGCGGAATGGGCAGCTGCTTCGAAACTCTTCTCCTCCGCCTAGAAAACTTGGCGGAGTTCGAATATTGTCGTATCTCTTCGTCTGCAACTTCTTCTACATGTGTTTTTTTTTTCGGTTTTTTTTGTTTCATTCAAATCCCGTCCTCTCTCGTAGCCACCGGACAATTAGAGAGTCCAAGTCCAGCCCCGCTGACGTGCGAGATAGCCAGGAGAACGCACATATTGGCGTTAATTAAAAATGTATATCGGTACTTAGATTATGCGAGACTCCTCCGTCTGAGTCTTTGTACCTTAGGTAAAAACTACAACTGTCCCGCCATCTTACGATAGATCTACCAAGGTAAGGGTATGCGTCTCGGTGCAGTTGACATATGAAAAGAGGGGAATCGACATATCACTACTCGACCTTTTGGTGTGTATGGGTCTATTCAAAGACCTCGGACAGTATAGCACGGAAGGTTGTGGAGTTGCCATGTCTTCCCCTCTTGCAAGACCGACTGAAATCAACTTCGAAGGCTGAGGCAAGAAAAAAACAAAGGACCCTTGATCCCCCACGCAGATCCAGGGTCCATCACTCACAAGGCTAGGCCAAGCTATAGCCAAGGCGCCCAATTATACAAGAGAGAATGCCAACTTAGGAAAGATGGTGGTTTAATAGCTGATGACATATATGTATTTGAGCCGATTCGGGCAGTTTGGCTTGAGTAAGCCGGTGTATGATTGATTACTGTAACCGTCACTACCGGACATCCGTGTTATGTTGTAGTTGACATCACCGGACTCCGAAATACGAATGAAGTATAGGAATCCGGTATTTGCAAATAGATTATAAAATAAGAGGAGCGTGTTACTATTAAATTACAAGGCAATCAGATTGCCGAACGAATTTCAAAAGAAAAAAAAATATCTATCTACCACAAAGATGGAAGCTCCTAAGCGTCCTAGGTAAGGTGGTATTGAAATAACTTGATGAAGCCGCTCTCGTGACTCTAGCCCTTACTCTAGTTCTTTTGTCTAAATGCCACCCTGCTTATTGTTCCGCTAGCAGATAGTGAATGCGTAGTAAATGATCGATGTATTGGCTCTAAACTGTGTCTTGGTAGATGTCATGCTGGAAGGAAGAGTGACCAAGCATTGCTAATGGGAGGATGTCAAATAGTTCATGACACAGTTGTGAAATCCCTCTTAGGGTCTTGGAGTTCTTTACCAACTGACGATGCTTCATCAGGGAAGCGAATCGTGCGGCTAGGTAGGGTAGGTGACGGCGTGCTGTGGGGCGATCCCGCTTCAAGATTATCTCTGGGTTCGACAAGTTCAGTAGCGTCCGCCGTAGTCCCCGTGTGCTCCGTAATGATGGAACCACCAACCCTATAAACAGGTCGTACAGATACGGAGCGAGAATCGGCAGAGGTTTGAGTCGCTGTCCCGTCCCTAGAACGGCTCCGTGGAATTATTCGTGCACCTATTTGGAAAGGCAGGTCCTCAGGTGAGGACAAAGACCTTGAAATAGTTCGAGGGAGGTAAAATCCAAACTTTCCCAGGGGAATACTAAGCCCATGAACAACCTAACGAGTGATGAGTATGATATCGATATCCGCGGTAAGATAAGACAATACTTACAACGCTGCATATTACCATGAACCACACCAAGACCGACACACTCTCTTTGAGATGAGCCACATCCCACCTCGCCACGCTTCCCTGGTTAGGGTTCAATGTGTCTATGAATTCTAACGTCACGTATAGATAGAAGATAGCCGAGCACCCAATTGGCCCAAAGAAACCCATGAAGATTGCCTGTTGAAAGCCATATATCTGGGGGATTTTCTTATAGAATGCCAGGACAAGTGGTAGACGCCGAAATATCAGTATTAAAATCCCGAGTGGGATCAGACGGTAGATCGGAATGATGCTATTAGCCACGAAACTATGCCACTGCATAAGTATGCTCAGTCAGTGTTTGCTACTTATAGAAAACATTCGGTGTAACTAATTCAGGATACTCATTCTGACAAGCGTTACCTGTGCGATACTCCGAATCCTTGTATTATAACAGGGGTAAATAAAGAACACAAGCATATACATACCGGACATACCGCGCCATACCACATGAATATGGTCACATTAAGAAGCATGTCTATAGTAGGTTGCAGAGAACTAGAAACAGAGAAAATGGTTAGTAGAGATTCCGTTAAGACCAGGGGTTGTCCTAGGACACAAAAGAATGCATACTAATTTACAGTTAGCAAATATAATAACCGGCAGGCTATTCAATACGTATGGGTACGAACCTCATCAAGTGTTTCCAAGCGGAACCAGTCGTCCCAAGTAAAAACGTTCCCGGCAATAAAGCAGGCCAGAATATCATCGCTGCCGATCATACCGCAAGTACCAGTAATGAAGAGTGCGAGCGAGAATGCGAAGACGAGGAAGCTCTCGCGATCCACGAATTTGTGTTCTTCGCAGAAATGAAGCAACTCCTTAGCGATCCAACCAACGACCGCGCCGTATACTATGCTAAGAAGGATAGTATATCCCCAGGTCTCTCCAAACCATAGGCCTATGGCGAGGCCGGCACCCCCTTGCTCATTTACACCACCGTCGCCAATGTACTTGACGAGGTATAAGGCAAAGAATAAGAAGGGATATCCGAGGCCATCATTAGCTCCAGACTCCGCGATGATTATCTTCTGGAGGTCTTTGGGGACATTGTGGTCAGCGAACCTCCCCTTCACTATAACATTGGACAGAACGGGATCGGTTGGCGTCACACAAGCCCCAATTGCGAGAGCATGAAGGAAAGGCAAATTTGGAACCAGACCCCAGACGAGTAGGCTTGTTATTATCCACATCGCCGTCATGATCGGCCCCAGAAGTAAAGCCAGCGGTTTCCATTCTTTCTTCAAGTAGCGACTAGGTAGTTGAACGCCAGCTAGAACGAGCTGGACTCCAAGAACAAGGCGGGTGAAATATAACGTCTATGATAAAGTGTTAGTTGTGTCGACCTAAAATCACCGATCATTTATTCAGTAATAAGATTCATTATGTGCTACTTGTCGCAGACAAATCTAATAAATAAGGGGATCTGGTTTTATTTAGATGGATGAATCTTGAAGGATCGCTTACGATCGCATTTAAGTTTTCTTCCGAGCCTGCATATTCAAGCGGGCGGACAAAGTTGGCAGCGTGGGGAGAGAAGACGAGGCCAGCCAGGAGCGATATGACTAAGTAAGCCGTCAGCCCTCCATTTCGAGCATTGTGTAACTATTGAAATACTTACGGGCTTCGGAAAGATAGAAATTCTCCTTGAGAAGGTAAGATACCAGACCGAAGACTGATATCCATCCTCCCAACACACTAACAACAATGTTGAAGTTGGTAGGGGCGAGAGTGGGCATTGTTAGTTAGAGATCAAACTCGGACAGACTGTCAAGTAACTCCTGAATCGTCCTTGCAGCAGCGCAAGGCAAGGAAGCAGTGATATGCTGGTGAAGTGAGTGTTATTGAATCATTTGGTTCTGACGAAGTTGTAGTGGACGTCAAGTTAACCGCCACCTTGACTCTATATAACTATAACGAGATGGTTTGAGCGATTGGGTTATTAGTACTATAGTATCAAGTTGATTGCGACTTCTAAAGGGCGGTATTGGTCTAGGAGATATTGTTAGGTGCTTCTCTCCTTTTTCTGTCGCAACGAACAAGATAATCGATTTGGTGATTTACTTATAAAATTATCACTTAGGCTCTATAATTAGTAGAAAATAGATGAATCCTACTGGCGGATAGGTAGATATGTAAGTATGTACACCTACTTATCGGTCCATAGATCTGCGAGCGATGTATAAGGAAGAAGAGAAAGGATATGAAGAACGACGAATTAGAATACCTACATAAGGACTTGGCTGCTTCCGGACTCCACTTATAAGTTATCTAAGATCGGTAACTTCCATGCCTTGGCGAATGGGAACTTGGCTTTTGTTACACAACCATACAAAACCGGATATTTAAGTTTATGTAGTTACGAACTTATTACTAGAACACGGCGTTGCATTACGCAATTCATCTTTAACTAGAAACATTTACCTTCTACATACATATAAATAAATATACCTTAGGTACGCATACGCATTTCTAACGTGGCAGGTATATTTGATATCCTGCAAAACGGAAACGACTCCGGGTGGTTTCGCTTCGGTCCGAGTTCGCTGTGGCTTTAAGTTGCGTGTCATAAGATTAGGCATCAAACTTATACTATTTTTATTGGAGGATTAAATCATCGTCGCTTAGAAAAAAGTAATAATCAGGTAGCGATAGTGTATCATTGTTATATATCATTGTATGTCAAGGCGGCAGATTATATTATACTGCATCACTGGCCCGACCGGTCATATCTTGTTCGTAGGAACGTAATGTTTATATCAAAACTAATCAACATGAAATTTTCAAATGAGTAAAGAGAGACGGTACTCCCCTCTGGGTGGTATCATTGCGCGTTACCCGGCGTTAGCATCGTGAGCCTATCGAGGTACATCTCGTGAGCGATGTTCGGATCTTAATATGCAGGTCATCGTGATACACATGTTTATATCATCTGTCTTGCGCCGTTCACGGCGAGTTCGTCCGCCGCTACGTTCCCGGCATCAGCTGCGTGGCCCTTTACCCATTGGAAGAAAGTTTTCGTTCCAGCTTCGGTGCGCTCATCGATCTTAGCTCGGATAGCTTCGACGAGATCTTTGTTCTTCACCGGTCCGTCTTTAGTCCTCCAGCCATTCTTCTGCCAGTTCACGTACCATTCCGTCGCGCAACTAATCGAATATTTACTGTCCGAGAAGATGCGTATTTTTTGTTCAACCGGTACAGTTTCTAAGGCTCGAAGAATGGCCGTTAATTCAGCCCGTTGGTTTGTCTGTATTTCACCCTGAAGGCGCTCTGATATATTTCTATGCAAATACGTTAGTAAATAAACAAAACAGTCAAACCGGCTTCATAACAATTACCTTTCGTCACCGTGTCCAAAGAAGACGCCAACGCCGGCGGCAGCACCGACACGACCGTTGGCAAGACTACTACCATCCGTATAGACGCGTAAGACATCCTTCTCATCTTCAAGTTTATTGGCGTCGCTACCTGCGGACTTCTTGCGCTTTTTCGAAGAGGGCTCACCACCTTCGTCTTTTAAGAGAGCCTCCTGTGCCGCCTCATTCCCATGGGTCCGTATGTATTCTATCGCACCCTCGCGAGTATCGAATCTCTTGTATTTCGGGCCCTTCCATCCCTTGATCGCAAGCGACGCCGTGTCCCAATCGGTATAAACTCCAGGCTCTCTACCGACAGCCACCGCATAAAATCTCTCTTCGCCCGGGGCGGCTGCAGACGTCTTCTTACCGGCAACATATGCCTCGGCATCCTCCTTGCTAAGGAAGGACTTGTCTATAGAATTATTGTTAGCTCCTTAGTTAGCATCTGACGGGTATTCGGCTTACCTACAAGAAGCACCTCTGAATCCCGCGGTCTGCTCCTGGCATTCCGCCCACGTTAAATAGACACCTGGGTTTACTCCAGCTCTTACGGCATAGTATTTCTGAGAATCGGCATCCATCTTGCGTTTCCTGCTAGTCTTGGCCGGGGTTGTATTAGCGGGTTGCGAAGCGGATTTCGACGCTTGACCCTTCTTCGTTGAATTTATCGGCATGTTGAACAGCGGAAATGGTATATCTTTAAAACCTAACGCGATTACACTTGTCCATAACAGCCCAGATGATCCTGTAGATATAGTGAGTTGTCTCACTTGTTCGAAACACGCGGCTTTGTTGCGGAGAATAGGAGAGTAACAGGTTACGGGGGACGCAAAGGTGCGTATAAGGCGGTGTCGGAGAAGTCAAAGGAGTGTCATTTTCATTGAAGACGGGTAATTAAGACCCCCAAGAGAGGATCAAAGGTGGCGTCCGTTCTCGTCAGACCTCTCCCTGTCTATTCTTTCTACGATGCGAACAAGATGTAAGTATATGTAAGTCTTGGGGAAGAGGGGGGAATCCCATCAAAGCAGTTGGCCTCAGTCATTGCATACCCGTGGGCATACGAAGTACATCAGACGACCTCAGTAAATTCATTTTAGGTACCTACCTAACCTAACCTACCTAAACTTGAAGAGATAAGATAAGGCACTATAATCCTAGGTACCTAGCTTATAGGTCCCCACTTTGGCGGCTCATTGGAACCGCTCATTCGGAGCTACCAATACTTAACGACTTATCCCATTTAGTTATATATCCATGGGTAATGTTAATCACGGGAACCCTTCTATTAGGTTAGGTAGTTTAGGTAGTCAAGGTAATTTCATAATTTCTTGCGATTGGGTATAGCATACTTGACGATCTAGCGTCGGTCCAAAAACATACAACGAATATCCTTTGACTTTTGTCATCAAGGACTTGCCTATGCTGATCAGGTTCGCGGCCCAACTTATACATAAAATGCCTTGAATAAAACGGGATGCATATGATGCCCTAAGTGTAATTCCCTTCATAACCACCTAACCATGAGACGCCGCGCCTTTCAGTAATGCCAATTCCGGCAAGGGGACTACCTAATTCCTCTGCTTGCCTCAAAACCAAACTCCTTGGATGCGTAGAGGAATTAGTGAAAAATGATTATGCGTGTAGGTGCGCGTCGACTGGTAAGTTCTCAATCCTGTCTGATTCCCACTCCCAGCCTAGGAGAGTCCAGTTCAACTCCTTGCGCCAGTGGAGTCCAAGGCCTTGACCTCCACCACACGAGCCTTCCCCGCAAGTACCAGAGGCTCCGCACGCATCGTAGCCTCGATCCTCGGAGCTCATACCACCTGTTAGCGGCATACGGTGACGAAAGACGATCCTGCCCATTCGGGAGTGTAAAATTGCCATGGCACACATTGTGCATGGTTCATGAGTCATATACAGCTCAAGCTCATGACAGAGGTAACCATCAGGGCAAGGGTGATCTTCGTCGAATACTAGCTGCTCATCGTTAAGTAGAGGCTTGTCTTGGAACGCTTCAAATTCCACCATCTTTTGTTCAGACTTGGGTCGATTCTCAGCTCTCACTAGCTTCTGTGCTACCATGCTGATAGCCCTAACTGCTGCGTGAGCCATGGGGTTTCCGATCCTTCCCATCTTCTCTTGTTGGTGCCAGCGAGCATCGGCTGCGATGGCGACAATCTGAGTCGTCTCTTTTGCCTCGGGATCCGATTTGGTAGAGTCCTGGGCGTGGGCTTCTGAATTTGAGGCATCAGGCTGTTCGACGTCCTGTATGATACCATCAGGCACCTCAACAGCACCGTGTGTAATTCCATTCACACCTCCAGCAGCTTCGGGATGAGAATTGCAATTGTCACCGTCAGCCCCCGCACCCTCGCCGTTAGAATAGTCGGACTCTCTAGAGCCTTCTTTTGAGGCGTTTTGTTTTCCAGACTCATTCTTTCCGGGTATCGTACGCTTGACGATAACAGCGCCGATAGGCTCTCCATAGCCGGCTTCCTGTGAACTTTTGGCTATCTGATGCGCCAAGGTCATCCATACGGAGGCGTCACGGGAGACAACCGCCTCCGTTCGAGATATAGTACTTGGGTGAGGGCCAAGAGGATTGTTCTTCCTGTAGACAGTCTGCCAGAACTGTTGTGACCACATGTTGGCCTGGACCTGAGAGGTGGGTGCCAATAAAGGAACAGGAATGGTCCCTATAAAGATGTCATCCCTAATGTCATCAATGTTGGCGAGACCTTTCACTAGTTCGTCGTAGGACATCTCATCCTTAGGACCAAGCACGATGTAAAGCCAGTTGGATTTACCAAGATGAACCTGTCGTCCATTGCCTTCATTCATGAACTGGGTCTTGAGATGAGGTGGTATGTCGGCAGGCTTGACGCACCGACGCAGGTGAGGGAGGTTCTTAGCTGCATCATCACCAGCTAGAGCTCGGGCAATACTATAGTAGGTAGTGTTAGCTTGTGGTATAATTCCTAAGGGGAAGCATCCAGACTGACTTGACAACATCGTTAGTGACTTTATTGGGAGCTCGCGTGACATAGGCTAAGCCGAGAGAAAGATTGTCTCTTAGTTCGAGTATGGTCTTAAGAGGTACTAGAGTTCCTAAAGCAATATCGGGAGGGATAAGATGTCGGGAGACGGGGTCGAGCGCCTCGACAACTTCCTTCATGGAATCGCTCATAGCGGTAACCCCCGAGACAAGGCGTCAAGTTTGTTTAGGTGCCGAGTTGAGCTAGACCGTAGAAGGGTGATCACCTATTAGAAGTGCAAGTTTGAGGTAAAAAAAGGGTAGAGTGTAGGCGCAGGCAACAAGGTAATTTGTAGGAACTGCGACGTTGATGTAGTAGTAGTAGTAGTAGTAGTAGTAGTTAGAGCGATGGCCAGCCTAAATCCAAGAATCGATGGATCCAGCAGGATCAGATTAAACGAGAGAATTGATCAAAAATGAGGTTGATGTGATAGATCTCAGCATTGTGCTGGGAAGTCGGGAAATGCATAGACTGGTGGAGAGGCATAGGCCGAGCTCTATGTAGGAAGATACCAAATATTTATTTGTTTCTGGGTCGAGGAAGCCAAGAACCGCACGATTCTCAGGTCGATAGAAAAGCACTGTCCGATTTCGAACCGTCGCGGTTTCTGCCAGGCCTGTGTGGTATGTCAGTCTTTTACGTGCGGATGGTTGAGGAAGCTTGTAGTTGCTCTGTTGTTGTGTTTTGACTGTAGAAAGTAGGTGGTGAGTTAAAGTTGAACCCTTGCAGGTACGGACTGTTGATCCACTTCATGAATATACCTAGATGTGGGTCGTACCTGCCTACAGAGAAATTTCTTGGTGGGGTTTATCGATAGGGCCTCTATAAATCTCAAATCTCAGGGTCCTACCTTAGGTACTTTAGCCTTACGCACTGAATGCTTTACCACTAGGAGGTAGACTTCGCTGCCTTTGGTACATGTACAAACATAAAGGGTTGAGTCAAGAAGGTACCTCCATGTACGTACCTCAAAGAGTGTTAAATTTCCCATGTTTTGCACACATGTACATTATACATGGATATAAATATGTTTTTGCTGCATTATGACAACATCTGTAGCTGTATGATTGGTCAATCCTCTCTGTCACTCTTAACGTCTTTAGTACGACATAAAGACCAATCGGAATTCAATGCAAGTCTTATATTTATTATTGGTTTGCACTTATTGCCTGGTGCTTGTGTAAGTATATATGTCATAGGTACGCCTATGTACTGATATCCAGGAAGCCCAGCTCCAGAGCCTCAGATTTGCAGATATGTCTGATAACGTGAAGATCAGGGCCGACTCCAAAATCGGCAGACGATCATGGCATGCCAAAGATTTAAGATCTACCTACCTACGTACATAACATACATCATATCATATATGCGGTGTAGAGATATAAGTCTGGCAATTATAATGAGCCCAACCATAGTACGATAGTTCAGAGATGACATTATACGAGATATGGCGCTTTGCTCAGGTGAGTTTAATGGGTTGAGCATGGTTAGATTTCAAACCTATTAACAGAAGCTCTCAACTCTTAGTATTTATACTTTCTACCCTATCATCTCATCTCTATATAGTAACATTCATCGTATCTCTGCTGCGCTTACGCAAGCACTCTCTATCATTAAAGCAAAGCACACGGCCAGGGGGCTCCCATGCTAGGGATGCTAGGTTTAATGCTATAGCAAGGCTGATAGTTGGGACGATGATCTAGGTATACGTGAGTAGGTTACATCCCAACCAGCATCATCCTTATCTCCCCCTCCCCTTTATTTCCCCGCGAATACTGCGCTCCTGATCCAGCACGTGGGGTGGTTGTTCTCCATGGCGACGTTTGTGAGGTATTTATTGGAAGACGTCCGCACACTTACCCACCTTCTTAATAGCTCAGAAAATATATTGTTGACGAGTCCAGCCAGAATGCAGCCTGCGGAGCTACATAGTCAGCATTGCTTCCCCAGCTTTACGTTGCAGTATGTCGTCGGCCTGGCACCCTAGGTATGAGCACGATGAAGGCGATATATGGAATATGTAACCGTCGCGGCCATGTGACTAGGTTTAGAGGCGGGCTAAGGTAACAATTTCCGACCTTTAAGATATTGCATACACGCGAGCCTATACTAGAGTTGTATATTGCAATGCTGTTCAACAAAGTGCGACCCAGTTTTAGGAGGTCAACCCCACGACTATTGGATCTTAGGACTATGCTGATCTCAGATCGTGAGGGGTTTGCTGACAGGGTTTGATAGGCGTTCCTTGGGGAAATATTGGGGTATCTGTTTTCAGCCCTCCCGGGGGTTACTCGGGCGTGAAACATTGTCCGGTCAGTTTCTTATATCATTACTATGCGTTGAATCCAAAAAAAGCTACTCCCGCCAAGACGGATCTCCGGTAAATCTCTCATCCTACGTATGAGGATAAACTTGTGCTGTGGCATTGCGCTACCTATATGTCTAAGCCCGTCTCGGCGCCGAGGTGAATACAATAAAAAATTAACTTGGGAATTTGGGATAAGTTGAGAGATATCGCCAAGTTCGGAGTTATGTTGAGTGGGTGCGAAGTGGCTAAGTGTAAAGGGGGCCAGAACAAACAAAATCCGAGACTTGATGAGGAAATATGGCGATCGATTCGCCGGTTTTCGCTCTCTTACGCCTCCGCGCTCACGAAACAGCTTTGATATGTGTAATCCCCGTTGCGCGATAATTACGTTGCAGGTATCCAGACACCACCTGGGATTCGATGTCAACGAATCAGTTGCATTAGCACTTACATGGCACACATCCTAAAAGCCTCCTCCGGTCGCAATACTCACGGATCCAATAGCAAACGGTCTGAACGGATATGATTGCTCTTCATAGTAATAGAGATATTTATCTACTAATTTTAAAGGTTGAGATGGATGGTTATGGATGCGTGGTTTGTTGGAGAGATTGCATTACATGAACACTTGATTTGTACGAGTCACTTATACACTTAGGTACACATAATAATTTCCTATACAATGGTGCCCTCTTCCTCCCCCCACTGGCTTTGAAAGTTTAAATCTCCATAAGTTGACGACTACTACTTAAGTGCCTACCCTATTCAGTCTAAGCCTTAGTCCTTAGCCCAAGAACTACCAATTAAGCATCAGAAGACTAGGGCGTGGGTTTGACTGTAACTTATTGTTACACCCTACTGACCCTATTACTATTAGACTTTAGGTGGTCTTACGTCCGTCTCAGCCATCAAATCAAACAAGTAGGAACACAAATAAAAGGCCGCCGTCCCTGCTAAGAAAGCTAAGAAAACTAAGCCCCTGGACTTATTTATCTTTTAACGTGAAAAGCATTCGATTTACAGCCTCATCAGCATAGCTTGTCTTGGCCTCATATCGTAGAGGTCTGCCAAGATTATAATCGGGCCAACTGTTGAATGCAGCCCCGTGGTCGATAAACAAAGCCTTATCACATATTACGACGACTCGCAAAAAGACGTGTTAACGTCAGAACGTTAGGACGGCAGGACGTCAGGCAACGCCGCAACCGCTAGAAAAACAAGTCTTAGGACGACATCATAAAGTCCACAAGTCCACAAGTCCACAACAGCCCACTTACGCCCACCTCAATCGACCTAAGTTGACCTTGTCGGCCCACAGATAGAGGAGAGGGAGCCACTATTTCCATTCGTTTCTTTCTCTGACAGAAAAAAAAGGTGATATCAGAAGCTCAGAACGAGGCTTAAAGAAGACTGAAAATATTAACTTACATCGATTACCTCGGTCGCTTTATTCTCGGCTTTCACCTTTCACCCTTAAATTTTACCGTCATCAAGCATCGATCATCGATACCATTTCCTTCGTCGTATCTCTTCTCCTTGGCATATTCATACGTGTATTGGGTACGACCTGCAGTTTTCTCTATCGGACCTGTTTGGGGAATGACGTGAGGCGACTGATACGAATATTCTACACGTATAAAATTTTATTTTTCGCAGTACCGAAAATCATTAAGCGACCTGTTAGTGCAGTGCCAAAAAACCGACAATACGGGTAGGACGGTCAGAAGCTTCTGTCAATTGACAAGCCCAGCGTCCTATTTGGGGCATTTTTGGGGGGGTGTGCAGCAATCTACTGCATCATTACACTTTGTTCCAGCACTACCTTACTTTCTAGACTGATCCGATTCGCCGATCTCGCAGCCTCCCACCCTCCTTTCCCCTATATTGGACGGTACTGTATCTCTTGGTACTGTATTGTTCTGCGCTAGCAATCTACGCTAAAAAACCTTAAACCAGCTAAGGTTAAGACCCTGAAAAGTCCGGAAACAAGACACCTGGAAGATTGGAAACTATGACACCCCGTCTTCACGTAAAGGGAACTGGCCCTCTGGAAGTTGTTGTGCCGTTTGACTGCAGCAATTCTACGGCGCACCAATATTCTCTTGGCTCACAAGGTACGTTTTCAATACCTTTGAAAAGGCACATATGCTTTTTTCTTGATTACATTCAATATTTCCCAAACCTTTAGTGCAAGTACCCAATTCTTTTTTTTCTTCTTCTTTTTTCTTCTACATGGTCATCACCAGTCCTAACCTAAACAACACACGTAAAGCACCTGTCACATCATCCCACCTCAGATTCCTTTTTAATCCCTGTTACTGCAAGATTGCATAAATAGCACCGCTGCTGCATTTCCCTTGCCTAGACTTGGCGTTCCAAACTCGGCGCCCCGATAATCGGTTGCATTTGTTGCAATTACTAAATTAATAATCTTTTTTTCTTCTCCTTTAGATCGCAAACCTACACGCAGACCATCACAATCACAACAATCATCGCTTGCTCGAGCGGCGATGAACAATCAACACCAACGTCAATCTGCGATCCCTAGATCTATACCTACACCACCGGAGCAAAACATTGCGACCGAGTCCAATCCTCCCACCACAAGCTTTGACGCCGCCCTGGCTACTATTTCGAGAGATGGCGCGTCTGCATCACCACCAACTCCCACTTCCCTGAATGGTGACGGTGTCGTACCATCCCATAAGAGCACACCTATCTATCATGGACTCGCGCCACCTACGCTCCATAACCTTCCTCATGTTAGTCTCGGCCCAGTTGCGCATCCCTCTGCGCATCCCTCGTCCCTGGCTAGTGCGCTCAGAGCCCTGAATGAGGGGCCTTGCGGAGGCGGCTTTCGCGATTTCCCTGCGCCTTCGTCTAACGATTCTCCTTACACAAAGAGTATTTCGTCTACTGCTCCGGCATCGCCTCGAATGTAAGTTTCATGCTATTCTATTTTGAATGCTCTAATACTGACTACTTGGGATAGTCCACCCCTGCGACAGAACTCGGGTTCCCAAACACCTCGCGTACGACCCCATGCGACAACCCTCAGTATTCCTGGTATGACCCGATCTCTTGTATCGCCTGATGGAAAAATTGCCGATCGAGATGTCGCCGCGAAACTTGTCATCATTATGGTTGGTCTCCCGGCTAGGGGAAAATCGTACATCACGAAGAAGCTTCGGAGGTATCTCTCTTGGCAACAACACAACACTCGGATCTTCAATGTCGGAAACCGAAGACGTGTCGCCGCTGTAAGTTCGCCAACCATGCATCGTAAAGATAGTTCCATGGATATGCCAACTCCTACAACGACGATTTTGGTTAACGGTGCTCAGCCACCAACTGATTCCCCGGCTCGGAAAAGGTCGTCGCCTCAGGATCGGGATCAGGATGACCCCGCCCCAACGCCCATGGACCAATCCGCTAAATTTTTCGACCCCCACAACGAGCAAGCGTCGAAATTGAGGGAGGAAATCGCCATTGACACATTAAATGAGCTACTAGATTACTTGATCAGTGGCGGAGGCTCGGTTGGAATTCTCGATGCTACAAACAGCACGATTCACCGCAGACAGACACTTTTCGACCATGTCAAAGCCAGAGAACCTCAACTAGGTATTCTCTTTATTGAGAGCGTCTGCAAGAATCCTCAACTCCTGGAGGCCAACATGCGCCTAAAGCTCTCCGGCCCTGATTATAAGGACAAAGATCCTGTCAAGTCATTGGCAGATTTCAAGGAGCGCGTAAAGGCATACGAAAAAGCATATGTCCCCTTAGGAGATTATGAAGAAGAGCATGAGATGCAATACATCAAGGTAAGGAGAGAAAAAGCGTATCATATCATATCTAACGTATACTAATTCTGGGTGCAGATGACAGATGTTGGCAAGAAACTTACACACTTCGGATTGGGTGGGTTCCTCAGCAGTGGCATTGCTAATTATCTATCTTCCTTTAATTTGTCGCCGAGACAAATATGGATCACTCGCCATGGCCAATCTGCGGATAACAAACTGGGCAAGATTGGTGGCAATTCCGAACTGACTGACCGCGGACACTATTATAGCCAATGTCTGTATAGATTCGTCACAAAGAAGCGCAGTGAATGGTTGGTAGAGCAGAAGGACAAGGTTGCTCAAGCATCATTCCCTCCTCTACCTGGAGACCAGTCGCCGCCTTACCCCGACCTGAACCGCGAGCTCGAAGAGAAGAATTTCTGTGTGTGGACATCGATGTTGACACGTAGCATACAGACGGCTGAGTACTTCGAAGCAGACGAAGATTATGACGTCAAAAACTGGGAAATGCTCAACGAGCTCAATGCTGGAAAGTTTGAGGGCTTGACATACGAGGAAATCGCCCGCACTCACACGGATGAGTACAAGAAACGTAAAATGGACAAGCTCCAGTACGTCTACCCCGGTGTTGGCGGTGAAGGCTATCTCCAGGTCATCAGTCGTCTTCGGGATATGGTGCGAGAGATCGAGCGAATCAAGGACCACATCATGATCATCGGGCACCGTTCCGTCTGTCGTGTTCTAATGGCGTACTTCATGGACCTCACCAGAGACGACATCGCAGATCTGGATATGCCCCTGGGTATGCTCTACGCTATCGAGCCCAAGCCGTACGGCATCGAGTTCCACGCGTACAAGTACAACGAGGAACAGGGATGGTTCGACGAAGTTCCTAACTATAGACCCTCGAGAACGGTCGACCGCAGCGCCTAAGGGAACTACAAGCCTTTTTTTTTCATACATTTTTTCCACTCATCATCATTACTGTAACACTATTTTTATTACTACATCATTCAGGCAAAGACGGCAATGATACCAAGAGAACCGGCGGGGCATATTCTCAGAGCGCGCCCGCTTTTCAAATTTTTTGGTTGTCCTTTTTTTTTCCCTTTATTATTTTCGAGGCGAGTTTCCATACGAAACAGAATCCGGGTTGCATGCTTTAGGAGTTCGGACGGAGGGTTGCGGCAAAGCAAAGGAAGGGGAGAGGGTTAACGGACATGGATGGGACAGGATTCCTCGGCCGCGGCAAGAGGGGCGGGCTCGACGGCTTTTGTTTTAACTACTCCTCCCATCATTTCTCCGTCTCCATGCCGAGTCTATGATATATGCTCACGGCATGGCATGGCACGCACCTTCGTAATCTAGTTGGCGAGCATTAGCCCCGGATAGACCTACTATATACCTAGTTAGGTCGGGTACCTCGTTACTATATGTAGATTTTCGCTCGGAATAGAGCTTATCAACTACACATGCTTTGGCCATGTCTTGGTGATTTATGTATGTTTATAGAGTCGTGAGAAAATATCATGTATTATTACATATTAAGAAGCTATCATTTGATTAGGCAAACCTCGAACCAATACCAATACAAGAATATTACAATAGTTATCAATTACACAAACCACAATCGATACAAGGCACTGACTGACTGACATACAAATCCGCAACAGTATTAATACTATAGACACAATTCTTTATTCAAGTGGTCTCTTACAATACAAGTAAGTAAGTAGGCACACAAGGTATGCTAAACTAAAGTTTATCAACAACTCAACTCAACTCAACTCAACTCTCGTTCCTGAAGAGTAATTTATTTCATTCCGTAATCGTCATCACAGCCATAAGAGCTGGTTCCATTCCAAAAAAGAAAAGTATAGAAAAACCGCCCTAATATTATTACAAGTTTTTTTTTCTCTTCTTCTGCAATCCGTACCGTTGATTGATTGATTGATTGATTGATTGATCGCATCGTACTAAAAGCCAAAAACAGGTCGAAAGTCGGGGGAACACTAAACAAGGTAGTTGTTTGGTTAGATGCTCATATCCTAACGTTTTTTTACGCCCGTCGCCTGAAGTGAAGTTTTTTTTTTCTTTTTCTTTTCTGTTCTGTTCTGTTTCACACGAATTGCCGCGTTAATGCAATGCAGTGCCATGCCGAATAAATAGCAAGAGCAAGCCGATCTCGTTCGCAAAGTGGTATATCCATCGTCAATTTTTTCCATTCGAGTCCCGGTACGTTGGGGGTATGTTGGAAGAATCAGGAGGGGAAATCAAGAAGGAAAAGGTCGTAAATCTTCGTAACCAGGAGTATTTTTTTCGTCATCATGAGCAAGGAAAAAAGAACAAGGAAAAAAAAAAGAATCATATAATCCGCCCGGAATAGGAATTAAACGCCGCGATTTCCCAAAAATGGTTCTGTGATCGCTTTTGTTGCTCTTTCGTATCAGTCATAATAATCATCATACAACGGATCCAGAAAAGTCGTCAAATCGTCGTGGTGTCCGTTTCAACTCTGCCGCTTGGTCAGTTGTTATGAGAACGAACCCCTTATAGCGCCTCTCCATAAAAGCAGTTTGCTCCCATATTCTCGTCTTGGTGGTAGTAGATACGGGGCTTGTGGTAGCTGTACTGGTCTGGGATACGCGGGACCATAGGAATGCCACGATTTGCATCGGGTACGACGCTTAGAGGCGGCAGCTCTCGTGATCGTGGAGGGAATATATCCATCTCGTCTTGTCGGACGTCTATGTCCATAGACGAGCGGTCCCCAAGAACTTCCCAGTTTTCAGATTCTGTTGATGAAGTCCGCGATCGCAGAGACGACGACTTGCCACGCTTTCGCAGTCTACTGCCGTCTCGGCTGCTATTGGAGAGAGATCTACGCGGGTGCTGGTGCTCAATCCGCTCGATTCGCTCAACCCGCCTGCTAACCATATCTCGAGATACTGGTACTAGTACTGGTACTGGTACCGGTGCCGGTGCTGGAGACGACGATCGCATGCGCACGGTTATCTCCTTCAAGTATGACGTACCACGAGTAGAAATCGTAGGCGACGGCGGGAGCTGGAGAAAGCTATCTGACGACTGTAGATCCTTAATCGGGGACGGCATCTTGCGTAACTTCTTTGCTACCCTCTTAAGCGGTTCGACAAAAGATGACGACGTAGACGTTCCTGGTGCCTCGACGCTTGCTGGGTCTTCCGTATCTAATCTGCTGCGTTTGCGGCTACGGAGAGTAGGACGACGAATATCATAGGCACCTGGTATATGCATCGGCTCGTCCTCCGGCTCTGGTGTTTCCATTCTACGTCCTTGAAAGCTTGCCCTTAACGGCGAGCCAGGCAACCTAGCCGCCCTGAAAATATTGGTGGCGTCTATGGAAGAGGTACGCGGAGGAGGTTGCGGGGAGCAAGGTCCGGAGCCTGGTATCGAAGGCATCGGTGGCGTAGAATAGCGGTCACGACTACGGCTTCCTGGAGCAGCGTGGCGGGTGGAGTGTATGGCATGAGATTGAAAGAAGCCGCTCGCCATTAGTTGGTTGTATGATTCTAAGACATCTTCCCGTGATGGGCGGGTAGCACCGTTACCCAAGTTGGGCAGATGCGGGAGGTTGTACATCTCAGAGTGGGATTTAGCAGCTCGAAGATGTTCCGGTTGCGGTGCTGGAGGGGTTTGACGCTGAAGTGGTTCTTGAAGGCTTTTATGTTTCCTCACTTGTTCCATCTTGTGCGTACTACCACTGCTCCGAGAAGAAGAAGACGACGAAGAGGTCCATCCCAAGGCATCTCGAACTCGGCCAAAGAAGCCCGTCGATTTCCTATGAGTGATGATGTGGTCTTGTAGCTTGGCTCTCGGAGACATGCTACTCTCGGAGAACGGCCGGCGTGTCTTGCGTGCATCTCGTTGGAATATTGAAGACTCAGCGTAGAACTGCTTTTCGTACTCTTTGAGCTGACCAGGCTCGAGGAATTGTTTGGGTGGTGCAGCGCTGACTCGATCGTTCATAGAACCCTCGACGAAACGTGAAGTAGGTGGGCGAGAGCCGCCATTCTGTGTTGAGGGCCTAGAAGTATCGAAGGCCATAATGGCGACGACTATGATGAGTGCTTCGAGAAGGCAAGTCTGGCGGCTAAAGGAATCATTAGAAAAGAGTTATGAAAAAAAAAAAAAAAAGAATTGAACCCTAAGTTGGGATAGAGTGTATGTTTACATTGTAAGCTGCAGCCAATCCGTTGCTACCCCAGTTGGAATTACCGGTGGGTCGGGGGGCAACCGACTGCTCACATGCAAGCTAGGGCTAATTACCCGCCAACAAATCTTACCTATTTTATGTTAGTTAAATGAAGCTAGTAAAAACATTAACCTAACTGGGAATGTACATGAAACTACCCGTTACTATGAGGTGAACTAATACTCCTAATTGAGAATCAATTACCGTAACCGAATTGAAGGACCATCATGTGAAAAAAAACCCTTTCGAGCGAGGAAAAGATTTTGTAACCGCTTAGGGAAGAATCGTGAAGTTCAACAAAGTTTAATAGAAAGGCTGCAGTTTATGTACTCTGGCGGCTAGGTGCGATATGGGGAGGTTGGATCCCCCAGAGCTCCAGCAAACTCGAGGTTCCGTAAAATGAAATTCTTTGGTACGAATGCAATGGCCAGTTTGCTAGTTTGCCAGTTCACGCTAAATGCATATTTGGTCGTATTTGTTGATCATGACAACCGAACTCGAACTATGATGATGATTCATACATTTTATTTGTCCATATATGTACAAAAGCACCGCTGTACTCACTAGAATCCCTCGCACTAACACATGAAAAATTGGATGATGATTCCAGCCTAATAATAACGGTTATTGTGACATCGCCAACCGCCAACTGCCAACTCATCGGGGTATGCTCTACAGTCATTGCTGCGCCTTCGGTGAACCAACCCCAGCCGTTCAGCACCGCCTTGTAACCTTCTGCCTTTGTATATGCAGAAATATTGCAATCATAGTAATTTCTAAGCAGTCCGATGATATAAGTGTTTGTATGTGAAAAGAAAAAATGCGTCAACATCGCAAGACATCCCAGCAGATGAAAGCCTGATATGCTAAAATGATGTACGTAATGCAAATGAGTGGTAAGGTAAAAATGAACAATAAAAAATATGGTGGGAACATAAGAATAAAAAGTGCTGCCATCAATCAAGTACAGCCCCCTACAGTATATACAAAAAGCAAACTGCAAAAGTCATGGGCGCCGCTCAACACCCAACGCCAATGCAGACCGTTGATGTTGTCAGTAAAAAAAGGAACATCCGTAAATATGCTATAATCGTTACGCGATGGAATCGGGGAATGCGGCTGGCCGCTGCGAGCCATCAGCCCGTCTATAAAACGGAACTCCAGGATAGTCTATCGAAGGACGATCGCCGTTGACGTTACGACCCTGTTGGGAATTAGATGTGAGCTCATCGATTGAGCGCTTCACAGGTCGAGATTCGATCTGCGGGTACATCGGTCTAGGAAGTGCCGATATTGAGCCGGAACGATCGGGATAATAATTTGGAGACATTTTCGGGCTTGCGATTATAGCAGAAAGTGGAGGCATAGGCCCGACGGAAGAGGAGGTAGGCGGCCGAGCAGGTGCTCGGGATAGTGGATACGGAGCCGTTGGTTTGGCCGAGATTGTCGAGTAACTAGATGAAGATCTTCTCCTAAGATCTGGATCACTAACAGGGGATTCATAATGGGGATAGCCCGGAGGTGCATAACTAGGTGACGGCGGCGGCGGTGGGAAGTTATTGCTCTGAGGGAATATCGATGCCGCAGGAGACACAGGAGTCGATTGGCTAGAAGATGGTGCAGGTCCGTAAGGCTGAGCGAATCCTGTATTTCCACCATGTCCGAAATTGAGCATAGTCGAAGGAGCTTGGCTATTTTGATATAATGGTGGTGGAGGGCCATATTCTGCATTCGAAGGGCGCCGCGGGTGCTCCGGTGCATATGAGGCACGATCCATACTCGAGTTACTCATAGACCGAGCACGATAGGCTTCGGGAGTCTGTGTTCTATGTCTCTGACGTCGAGCGTACTCCTCTTCCGCATTATTGTCATATTCGCTAGCTGCAGATGCCTTGGTGTCGCGACGTCTCATGCGAACATCTCGACGGATACGGACTCGGCAACCTTGCTCGGCAACCGTACGGCTCAGTGAGGTACTCTCGGTTAATCCGGGAAACTTCTTCGCACTATAGACAATAAAGTCTGATGACCTGAGATCCATTCGGTGGTTGGCATTTCCTGCACTAAGATCTGACATCCCATCATCGTGATCTGGAAGGGGCGCATCTCGGTCCTGGTCTTGCTCCTCTTTAATCAACTCGTACAAACTAAACACCAAGCGATAACGTCCTTCGTGGCGAACTGAAAGATCCGGGAATAAAAAGTATCCAGCTGGGTCGGGTCGGTCGAGATAACAGCATCCTGATACTGGGAATCCGGTAAGTACGGGAGGCGATGTGGCTGCCGGGGTTTGCACCCTGCCGTGGGCCATGGGGCGGGCATGCTCAAGTGAGGCGTAACAGAAGAAATCGACATTGTAGTCGAACGTGATATCCCTGGCACCTTCGAAATGCTCTCCTTCAAAGACCCTCAGGGTCACAACAGGCGGCGGATCGACTGGCCGACGGTCGGCAGAAGCTGTTTCTTGGTTAGTCACATTTGAGACTCGGTATTGGTCAGAAACATTGTGAGTGGCTTTCCATACACTTGGGTCCGGAACCACATGCTCTCGCACGTTCGGGCTGCTGCAGAACGTCCAATTGGTACCATAAATGTCTACCACCCCTCGTAATGCGCTGTTCGCGAGCGAACATTTTCGGTTCTGCCTGGGGGATAATGACATTCACCAGATTTGACTCGGGCTATATCATGATTAAATTAGTATGCAATAATCACGATAATGCGCCGACGTCTGATAATCGTTCGAAAAGGTATTCAAAACGGGGACCAATCGCACGGCATCGCGACAAGACTGAGTTGTACTGCCAGAAAATGTTTTGGGGTTCGACTATGATTGCGACATACCTGAATGGGAAGCATTGTGGACATTCTACTTTAGAAAGAAAGAAAAATAACGTATGTAATGATATGGGGAATTTGATGTATTCCCAAAACTAAATCCTACCAGCAAATCCCACGGTCCCAGAAGCTCGGTCCTTCAGGTGAATCAGGATCAGAACCAGACGAGCGGAATTAGGTTTAACTTGGTCGCGGGCATAAATGAAAAAAACTGGCAGACGAAATAGATAAAAAAAGGAATCCGTCAAACTGGGTCGAGGGCGAAGTTTGTTTAGTAGGGAACCCAATACACTGGCTTCTAGCGCGAGGCAACTCGAGGACGGTGCGAACGGTCGGAACGATGACGGTAGAGATTTAAAGCAGATGTGACCTGGAGTCTTTAGCAGTTGCTCCCTGGAACTTTTCCTCGCTGCCTTGATTTCTTGATTCGTGAGTGGCCGGGATCGACTCAGTTCGACGGTCAGAAGTATCTTTGATTCTGGCCGACGACGAGGCCCACAAACAAGAAGCAGACCGTTGCTGGCGAGTTTGTCGTCCGAGTCGTCAGAATGATGGGATGGAAAGTTTGATGTGTGAGAAAAGAGAGGGAAGAGAAGAGCCGGCCCGGGCGCCCAGAGAAGGGGAGAAGCCAGTTGTGTGGATGCTGAGAGTGGGTTAGTTTGGGACGTGGGAGCCTATGGTAACGCTTGAGAGGGCATTTGGCAGATTGGGCGATAGCACGAGTGCAAGGGACATGGGATTGGCCCGAGCGAAATCAACCGGGGGGGTTAGTTAGTACGGGGAGGCACGGGGGGAAGCAGGTAGACTAGGGTGGAGATGATTGCATCGGGTTCCCTACCTGTGGGTCGAGTTTCACCAATGAGATATAGTATCCTCCCACCTCAAGTGGATTTTAAGCTCCACTACAATACCCACTATCCTTCTATCGCCTGTCCCTGTCTGAGAAGTCATGTCCACACTGTAACCGTTAAGCAGGTTAAGCAGCACCCGTCCCAGAACTCCCAAGGACAGGGGTGCCCTGGAACATTCTGACCAAGCGGCTTGTATAAGAATGGAAGGTCCTCCACTCAATTTCAACCCGGCAGCAAATCCCCGAATGGATTTATTCAACGAAGCCAAGAACCTCAGGTTAAGCCAGTTACCGTCTCCTTGGACCGGAGACGGTGTAAATATATGATTTCTCGTACTGTGTAAAATTTACATATTACTTATTACATACCTGTGTAGACGTGCAGGTTCCGCGGCGATGCAGTGTATAAACCGGTGGAGTCGCAGCGCCGCAGCAACGCAACCGGCCAACCAGCGGGTCTACCACGAGCCAGGATTTTCCATCGTCTGAAGTTTTTTAGAACGGTTCGCGTTTTAAAAGAGGCCATGTCTTGCAAAAATTTTCGGCCACTTCAGAAGAGGCGCCAAAATAACGGACCTACCTAGTTCCCCCATTCCCGTAACCGCGGGTAGAGCCGACATTTGCAGTACATGCGTGGAGCACTAAACAGCAGATCAGGCCCTTAGGCGATGCCAAATACCATGTTCCCGCCCGCTAGCGCATACATACCTAGGTATGTACTATGTATGAGGTAGGTTAGGTACAATACATAGACGCGTGCTTCGCATCTACTCGAGGACAAGTTCGAGTTTTATCCGCACAAACAGTTGTAATGGAATGTCTAATCGTTTGCTTACGGTGGATGTATTCAAACGGAATAAAAAGAAAAATCCCGGCTATTGGCAATTTTTTATATAGCACTACGACTGAATAGGAAAAAGAGAAGGCATTTGATGAAACATCATTTTCTTACTTTTTTAAGACTCAATTTTTCGCAATCAGTAGGTGGTGTTTAGCGATCCTCCTCATGCTTGTTTGGAGACTAAGTTGTGGCCGAAATGATAAGTCCGACAGATTGTTTAAACCCATTATTTAGAACCAACATTGGTTCATTCTTGTATGTACGTGTACATATAGGTATACCTTAGGTTAGGTACCTAATTACCTAAGTGCTTAATTTCGTATATGCCCCTCGCACCAACAGCAGATGTTTAAATAGCCTCTATCCCTCATTTGTATTAGTTATATTCTTTTCTGGAATCGTGGATCGCAAAATATATTAGATGTAATATACCTGGATATCATGCATGAAATCAGTGGCATTACCACATGGGCTTCGACGCATTGCGGGTAGAACCCGAATATTCTTATCTTTTCGCCGAAATCTTTATCTTGTTATAGTTAACTATGATATTTGTATTTCCTATATTCTTAATAAGACCGAGGGAATGACGTTAAATAATCCTTTGTTCCAAATATGGAACTCTTTGCTCCAAACTTGCATACCGAGCTTACTCTGTATTGTACATTAGGTAGTTATTATAGTGTGCAATTTTTACGCTAATGTCTACTAATAATAAGGGCGGTTTGCTACGAGCAGTACGTACCGGAGGCTAAGGTTAAATGCCGTTTAGTGTTATTTTAAGTGGCTTGTTCTTAAAAGTAGCGAATAATGATACTAAAATAGGCTTAAGTCGTCCCTCTTTAAACGCTGTGCCGTTAAAAGCTTCAAAGTTCTTACCGAGATCATATTCTGTCCCCATTAAGGGTAAATGACAAGATGTCAATCGACAACGTTCCTACCGAGAATAAAATTTGGTTCCATTCACAAGCTCGCTAGAGACAGATAATAGTATCGACCTTTATAAGTTATATAATCGTGGATATTTCCACTACAGTGACCATTCACAGCACTTGCAATAATTTACGGACCCAGACACCCGGGATACCAATCATTATCCACTTCGACCCCCATCGGCGCAAACGTGCTTAAGACCGAAGATCAGAAACGAGGATTGAGTGGATCTATATCATCTGATACGTCAATTGGCCTATGCGCTGCATACATCCATACCTCTCCATGGCTCCATGGAGTCAAGAATTTAAGATTTCCACGGGCGTTGGAACCGAGACTTATTACGCAAAGTTCCCACGTCCACGTCCACGTTGACATTGACAAGCGGCACCTAGAAATAAACTCGGCACCACAATTCGCCTGGTGTCAAAAATGAAATGACGTGCTGCCCCGTTCCCGGTTCCTTTACTACCCTACTACCTACGTACGGTCATTACCTAACGTAGGTAAGTAAGGTTTAACTATTGTCGAAGTCGGGTTAGCGATTCTCAAGCCCAGGACGGGTCAAAAGTCCACTTCTCAACTTATTAGGATAGGCTCGTCTTAGTCTTGGGGGTTAGTTGGGAACCGAAGCTACGTCTAACATGGTGATAGGTCATATATAAGTCATTGCATGGCACAAGTACGGCCGAAACCCTGTCGGCCCTTTGCTCTGGGAATACCATAGGTACTGACTCGACAGGTACCTATTCCCAATTAGTGGTCCTGTGAAAGTACGTGGTACTATTCATGGTCCATTATTCTTCACCAATGTGTAATAACACAGCCTACCCCTACATAAAGGAACCCGAGCTAACGGCACCGGTTGCCCCAAGGAATGTATAACGTTTACAAGGGTCTTTAGTTCGTTGGACAACAGCGACTTGCTTCTCGATGACTAGGACAAAAAAAGAATGACTATTTTAGCAAATTAAAACCACCAACGTCCAAGCAATACCTAACCTACCTGCCTAACGTTCCAAGCTGAATTATCTCATACCAGTATCCCAACCCGCCACCCCTAATAAACTACCTAAGGCATATTCACTTCCAGTCCACGTGTATGTCTTGTAACATCGTTTACACTTTCCTTGCCTCGCGCGCGCGCGCGTAGCCAAGCCAGTGGCCAGCCGCGGGGTCGTCTACCGCATACGTGTCGAATAGGTTTATGACGCGGTTATTGACACCAACTCCCGCCATCATTCATGATATGTTATTAGTGATAGTGTCATGGTAAGTTAGTAGAGCGGTCTAGAAGCACGTTTTAATATTGCGAGTCACTTTACAACGACATCATGAGAACTTTAACTCTATATTCCCGAATTCCCGATGGTGGCTAGGCAATCTGCTATCCGCACTCATGACCGTATCGAATTATTCAAGTACAAACCATCTACCCTCGAGCCTACGTTAAACTATGTGTACCTAGGTATGGATTCGATTTTAGCAGTATGACTCCGAGATGCGTGAAACCTATGCCGGCTGCCCACATAAGGATATTCCATTAAGGAATACGACCGGTATAGTAACCGTGACTAGTAAGTCTTTTGTTGTCTGCCGTGTAGCCTTTTCTCGCGCCATTTTCAAAAGAAACAGAGGCTATTACATAGTAAAGGGGTCATCGATTGTCTTAGCTGTCTTACTTGATAATGAAGGATCCTCCCAATAGTTGTCCGACTAAGGAAATCCACGGCGTAGTTCTTAATACGCCACCGCGTGAGCACTTCACGAGAGAATCGATCTTCGATCTCTCGACGATGCTCGAAATTAGCCTAAGAAACAATGTGGTGTATCCCGCTTTTGTGAACATAACATATGATTACATACCGAAGCCGGCATCGGTTACGGCACTCCTAATACCAGCTCTGTGTCCAAATCACTCCGTCTGAAGTCCGAGATGCGGCACGGCCGGTTACACTAGATCGATTCCCACGTATACAACAATTACTGCATCCAAGGGTAAACTTCACTTGATTCCAAGGGCAGCAGAATATTCTCAAGATAGGTAGGTAGACGCTTCTAGACAGTACGCACTGAGGTCATCTCCAGCCAGCCACGCCTCGATCCACGCAGGCAAGCAAAGTAAAAGCCAAGAAGAAAGAATTTGCTTTTCGCACCCAACCAAAGGTCGAGACCCCGGTTATCTGCGTCGCTCAAGTTACACGGCCTTCTCAGTAGCCGAAACCAGGTTTGTCACACTGGGCCTGGTGATCAAACAATACTCTTTAATCACCAGAGTTTTTTAGTTTTTTTTTTCTTAAACGGCAAAGCAAACTTGACCGGGAACAGCAACAAGCCTATTTATTTTATGATACGTCGAGTCACAAACGACCAGTGTTCAATCAACCCAAGGTACCTAATCTATACTATGTAGGTATGGAGCTTGTTTGTAGTAAAGGTAAGGTAAAAGCAATAGTGTCATATCATGTCATATTCAGGACACGGGACGCCCTCCCTTCCAAAGCCACCAACACGCGCTATAGCAGGCCTATGAAATATCAAGCGGCTAGCACCCGGTACCGAGAAGCGCACGTATCCGGAATAATTTTCGGTGCTTGACATCCGCATCCCGGGCCCCATACACACACACACACACACACACTCCCTTCCTTACCAGCCCATATTACGGCTCCCCCCTCCTACCACTCCTCCTCCCACCACCAGGTCTGCCCTCTCAGCCTGTCCTACACCCACACCCGCGCCCCTATCCCCCCATCCCATCTTCATCCTCACCCTGTCCCGCAGCCGTCGGCGGTTCTTCCTCCTCTGCCTGTAACTGCTCCTCGACAGCGGGCGCAGCTGCTGCGGCCACTCGAAGACTGGGTCGAGCCAGCGCTCGGGCACGCCCGAGGACGTCGCTCGCCCGTGCCGGCACAGGATGTGCTGCCAGGAGTGGGCGAGCACGCAGACTAGCGTCAGCAGCAGCACCACGCTGACGATGGCCACGGCCATGGCGGTGATGAATGCTTTGGGGAAGTCCTCTGGTACGGGGGTGTCGTTTCCGTCCAGGACCTGCGCATGGCATGGTGTCGTGTAGATGAGGAGGGGGAGGAAGATGGAAGGGATGATGGGGACCAGGGACTCCATCATATTATGATACGTCAGAAATTGGCGGTTTGTCGGCACGAGTGAAATGGGTAATTAGCATTCTCCCCCGATGTTTAGGACGCCAAATTTGGATCCTCAAGCACAAGTGTGCGCAGGATTGAAGATCATCCGAGATGATGATGATAATGACGACGACGATGATGAACTCGTTAACGTCCTGGACATAGATAATTATTAGGTGGTAAGTAACCACTTCGAGTGCAGCATTGCGGGACTACGAGTCACTCATAAAGTAAAGCAACTATTCACACCTATCCCAAACTTAGATGCTTCATAGAATCATCGTTTTTTGTTACTTTGTGTCTTCCCAGCAGCTCTCCTGTCGATCACGGCGGATACGAGGCAGGAAACAGGTTATGGTAAACTCAATCGGATACCAGGGCATGCAACTCGGGATTAGCAAAGGTAAGTTTGAACTTATGCGAGTCTATTTACTCGTTTTCTTTCAACCAAGGATTCCTTGACACCGAGATCTGTGCCTGGTGTCGATGACTCTTTCATCTATGTTTAGAACTTCGCTGCGTCATGGCTGCTCGTATCTTGGGATTGTGATGATAGTAATTGTCGGAGGCATAGTTGATATTTACAATAGGAATATAATGCTACAGAACATATTTTATTATTGGCATAACAACTTAAGAACTCGTATCTAAAGACAGACAAGCAGTGATTTTCACTCCTTAGCTAGGGAGAACAGTTCCGAAGTCTATGAGTTCTATCTAGACCACACCTACCTTGGCTCTCCTCGAAGACTATGCACATTACTAATCGGTAAGCTGGACGGGCATAGCTTTACCTTTAATGGCTAAATATGAGACTACATGTGTAAGAAAGACGCTCGGTTTGGTCAATAAAGAAATATGATGTTGGAAAGGGGATAGATAAGATAATAGAATTATTTCATGAAGAATCGCGTAAAGTGCATTCAATACACCAAACTGTACAGAAAAGGAGAAAAAGAACATTCAAAGAGACAGCGACAATATTCCGTGTATATGTGAATATCAAATTATTTATATCATCTGATTTATTTACTTGAAGCTGTCTAATATCAACCAACGAAAAAAAGAAAAAGAAAAAGAAAATCAATCTGTAAAAAGACAAAAAAGATAATCGCATTTTCCTTGATAAGACGGGGATTCGAACCCCGGCCCCTTTCGGGAGTAGGATTCTCATTGGATGAGAGAAGAGTCAAACTCTTGAATCTACCGCCATAGACCGCTCGGCCATCTTACCATTTCTCGGAAGGTGCAGAGGAGGCTTAGTGCCTCGGTTGAAGTTCTGACTTGGATTTTGCAGCTATATTCTAGTGGCGTTTGGTGGTGCGCAAAAGTTTGACTAGGTGGCCCCGCAGACTGGTGCGGGGCTGCACAATTCTCCGAGTCTGGCCCGATATGCGTTTTCGCTACTTACTCTAGGTACGTTTAGGCCTATTTAATGGCGGTTTCTTCGAGTATGAAACTTACACGTCCTACAGTATTCAAGTAATTCAAGTAGCTACAAACTGAGCGCTATACTATAGTGGACCCATTACGAATAATTTAGCCCAAGTTGGTCTGCTGTATGATTTTTCTAAATTCATATACAGATAAGTATTGCTCTCGGATCTAACTTGGACCCCCTAGAATGGCTGTCATATTTAAGCTCAAGATCTTTGTCCATAAAGATCTGATCCCGATTTCGCCTGTAGAATAAAGTGTGAGACAATCACGAAGCTGATATAAGTATACATAAATTACGAAGCCTTCATTACATCGATAATCGTTTTAGACCTACTATCTCTGTTTATATCATCTTGCTAAAATTAACTTAACGGGTTGGACAGACTCGTATAATATAAAATTGCCATATCATGTAATTTGCTTCTTCCGAGGTAACTCTTAATTAACAATATTTAAAATTATTATCTTTAAAAACCATCCTTTCATCATCAAAGTGTGCTTTGTCGATATAATTCAAGCACTTATGCTCTTCGATAGTAAGATCTAGCTATCACTACCATCCTATGTATCCTTTTAACGTTTAATATGTCCTGTAAACACATCTCTCCACATATTCCCAAAACTTACGTACCTCTTACACGCCTCAACCTACTCCACGCCATCAAACCACACAACCGCACAACTCCGCAAAAACAATCTTCAGCACCGAGAAACCATCCCATCCCATCCCATTGAGGTCCTACACCCACTAACCCCACAATCCTACATACATCCAAGCACATCCAGACCCGCACCACTAAGCGATAGCATAGCCCTAAACGCCGCTAGCCACGAAACCACACCCCACGAGCAACCAAAAATATAACCCATCATAAGGTATCAGACTTCCATGAATCCTGCGGGGATAGCTCAGCTGGGAGAGCGTCAGACTGAAGTCCAACTTCATTCTTAAATCTGAAGGCCGTGCGTTCGATCCGCACTCACCGCAACATTCTCTTTTTGCCCTTCCCCCTCGAAGGGAGGGTGTTTATGAATTCGATCTACACCCAGTCTTTTTTTTTTTTTAGCTTCCCTAATTATACTTTCTATGTAATTAGTTCCGTTAGGGAGCCACTGGATACTATATATATCAAGGATCTGTGCTTCCATGTATATATAATAGGTATGTACCTAGGCATTTCGGCTGTCGTAAGACGGGTCGACAGAGTAAGTGCGATGGCGATACGGTCTTCATATCTACTTCATACCTACGATATCTCCATATGTAATATGCCATATAAAACCACGCCTTGCTATCATCGCACATCCATATTTAGGCTGTAGGTGCTGAGACTTTTCCTATGTTAAGTGGTTTATATCCCGAGCCGGTGTCAGCGTATGACACCGGATATCAGTACTGTCCTTGCTCTAAATGCCACGAAAGAATGGACGTATAGACTTAACCAACCCAGTAGGTTAGAATATATGTCGAGGTGATGATGGGTTGCTATCTCAGGTAGGACATACTTTGGTGGCTTAAGTTTACGGATGTCAATGTGAAGCCTTTTTAGCTCTTAGTGCGATGTTTTCCCAAGTACACACATACAACTATGTGTCCATGAGACTACATATTATTAACCCAGGTATGGGCGCCGTCTTTGAAGGCCCCAGTATTGCATCGCCCCTTTAGGATATTGAATCATATTCATACTATTGCTTAATGTATTATGAACATGTGTGATATAATAGTGTAATAGTATATATATAAGCTAGATATGAAAATAATAGAACCTCTAGCTAAATACTTAGTAGTTATCATATAGACGAGTGAAATGCTTACATGACATAAGACGACACCAAACGACAAGCCAGTTCAATCACGAAACCATTACCTCTAAAATTAACAAAGAACAGCATCTATATCGAACAGCGAAGGGGTATTTATTAATCTCAACTACCATTACGTATTAATAGACAACCAAACCCAACCGCCAGCAACACCTACACACATATTACTTCGAAGGGTATAATGTCTATCCACATCCATCCATCTTCCCAAACTAGCGAAGGGGGGTATATATATCATATCATAACAATTCGCGACCGATCCCGCATCCCAATTAATCCAGGTCGTCACGATTCGTCCGTCATTATAGTCGTAAAGAGTGACAGGCCCAGCCTACCATGGTTGACACCAAGCGAGGTTAGGTGAGAGGTGGTTCCAAAAGCGTATCACATGCACAGAACCGGGAGACCTGCAAGCGACGTTCAACGCTAGCGGTTCATGCTGATACTATGATTCCTTCATCTATGCAGCCTGCTCGCCGACGACGGGTGCCGCGGGGGCGGTAGCCGTCTTCTCGGGGAATTCGCCGGCTTGGTGGACGCGGCCGTATCGGGTGAAGGCGATGTTAAGTCGGCCGTAGTCCCACCTTCGAGAAAGGAAGAGGAAGGCAAATGAGAGGACGGGGATTAGTAGGACGTCCAGAACGCCAAAGAAGATGTATCCGGGGGTCACGCCAATGCGGTTGCCGCCGTCGGATAGACCCCAAGCGATCGGGTACAGGAGCCAGAGGAGGTTGATCCATCCCGCAAGAAGGGTGTCTGCGATATGCGAGTTAGCAATCACTATTTTATCAAGGTATAATTAATCATTTTAGGACATGACTTACGGTCACCGGCAACATTGACGCGCCTGGCGGAAGTTGTGCCGTGGAAGAGGGTGCTGAATGCGAGAAGGACCCATGAGATGGTTCCGAAAGCGTAGAAGCCCCATTTGTAGTTGGAAGTGGTGAAGGCGGAGACAAGGTAAGATATAACCCTACTATTGGTTAGCACATCTTGAAGACCTAGATCCGATATCGTGTAGTTCCACTCACCAGGTCCATGCTAAAGCGACGTTGTAAAGGATAGTCGCCCAAGAGACGCCGCTCAGGAGGCCAAGGGCGATCGTGACGACGGGGAAACTGACGGCCCAGTTGACGTACTCAGCCCAGAAGATCTGGCGTGTCCATGGCTCCGTAGGCTTGTAGTTGGTGACCGGGACAACCTCGTAGGCGAGATCAGAAGCAATGGCGAAGTAAGAGATAGAACCGACAAGGAGAGCAATGGTGAAGAGATAATGGAAGATCTTCTCGCCAGATCGAGCCACGAAGCTAGTAGCGTAGAAGGTAATGAAAGAGACAACGTAGATAGCCGTCACTGCCCATAACCAGTCGCTGCCGTTCACGCTCAGCTCCTCACTACCGCTTGGAGGGTTGATCGAGAGAGCCTCGTTCGCACGATGGAATATGACACCCATGTCGATGGTCTGTTTTGTTAATATCTACCAGGCAAGCCGGGGAGTATTCGAAATAAGAATCTTCACTTTCAAAGTGAGGGAGGTAGAGGAATGTTCTGATATAACCTTTGGATCACGGTAGTTGCTGTGATTCGCTGAGTAGCTTGATGTAGACGAGTTAGAAGACGAAGGGGGGACGAGGCTCATAATATAGGAGACGGCCCTCCTGCGCTCGCATCTAAGATGGAAAGCTGTATAGTTGCATCATCGCGAGGGCCGGAGACCAATAATTGGTGATGAGTCAATATCTTAGAGTGAAGCAATGGGTTAAAGCCGAGATCCGTACGAAGTATTCCGGCTAGACGATCATATGATTGCAAAAATTTTGTACATATGGATGGAAGCTTCCATACAAGCCGGAAGGGTGCGAGAGACGGATCATGGCGGGTTCTAGTGATGCGTTTGTGGCATGGGCTGGATTGGAGTACATGGTTACTCACTCGGAGCTTTGCATAGTCGGAGCCAGGGGCAGAGGCCGATGGAACGAGCGGTAGCAGAGCACACCAAAGAAAGAAGTCGATATGCAATAGCAATAAAGAGCCTTTGTAATGCACGGTTCTCGAGCCAATATGGTTGACGATCCTTCAGCCCTGATGTGGAGAAAACTACCACGAGAACGTGGCAAACTTGGCACTCGCTTCTGCCGGTAACAATATCTGCTTGTCCGTATTGGTAATCATATAGTTACCTATCTATATGTATAGCTAGGAAATAATATTCCTCATGTTCATCTCATAGCGAGGTGGTTAAAGAGAGACGGCTAGAGTAATCTTACAAATACATAGCCCTAGAAGCCCGAGGCAATGGATTATTATTCCCATCGTGGGAAAGGTCATGAGGGCGCAACTAACGCCCGGGTATGTATGGTCAGCAAAGACGGCTCGGTAATGGCGACAAGAAGTCTAACCGACAGACGATGTCAGTGAAGCCAACGAACGACCGACCATTCGAAGGACTTTCACGGCAGCATCGGATGAGCTAACACAAGATGCGCGATTCGAAAATAGTGATAGGTCCCCACCGAATGCTCGACCACGTTCTGTCTATAAGAGGAAATGGGTAACACCAAATAGAGCTAGCATCGTCGAAGCAATGCCGGAGCTTGCAGGGGGGGAAGGGGGGCCTAGCCCTGGCAACCTAGGAGCCTTGAAGCTCCGCACCTCCGATGAAGGCCGGGAAGGCGAAAGCATCGAGGTAGCGAGAGTATCAGTGAAGTGACTGGACAAATGCATAGTGGCGTCGACTTGACGTGACGTGACGTGATTGTAATTAAAGCTTTTTTCCTTTCTTGTGTGTTATTGTTATATGAAGAATGAAATGTTCGATTATATTATCTTACTACCCACCTCCAGCACCACTTAGGCTTCCGAGGCGAGGGGAGTATGTAAACGACAGCGTTAGAGAAGCTCTCATATTTCGATTTACCGATCTCTAAGGCAAGCCAAGACTTCATAGTCTAATAGCTGATAGGTCCTTTAGCTCGTCAAGCCCATCATTACTCTGAGCGTCAAGGCGGAAGGATGTCTTTGGAGGGGAGAGACGAGAAGTTTGGACCATTGAGAGCCTCAATTGCCTGCAGCTCCCTCCCCCCTCAAAAAGCCACCCCCGGCTTTCACGGAAACGCACCAGGGCACCATGGATCGAGATGCAACGCTAGACCAGTCTCAGATGGCGATCGACTGTGCAGGTGTCACGCCACCGAGAGCCACCAGACGAGGTCTTTTTTGTTTTCCTTCGCTGTGGATTTATGTATAGCAATAGCCGGCAGAAGATGATGGAATGACAAGCTTGTTTAAACGACCTTTGATAGATCGGACCACGTAGAACAATTTGTTACCCATTTTGTAACCATATTGATATTATGTCAAGTGGATTATTGTTAAGCAACTATTAATTAGGTAAATATTAATCGGCGACTGCCGAACAATTCGGAGTTTCTTACCTTCCTTACATACCACATCATACATATAGTACATTACATAACCACCTCTAGAGCACTTATGTAACTTGCCGATGTACATATAAACGTACATTCGATGTAGTACGGACGTGATGTATGTGGTAATCACATCTCGATTACGAAATCGAATTGGTTACATATTTAATAAATTGAATAATACCTACCTATGTCCATTTTCCACATCGACTACGTTTAATTCCGCTGGTATGCGAGCCGCCTAGACGGATGCATACAACAGAATGCAACTCGTAAAGAACAGCAAACATAAACCTTGCGTATAATCACATACATTACACACGTACGTACATACATACATACATACATCGCGGCATCTAATACCCAGCCAGTCCTAACCATGACATAAGTAAATGCAGCCTAGCCTAGCCTAGCCTTCTCCTCATCTCTCCTCTCCATTCTCATCTCCCATCCCAAGAAGCACCCCCTTCCCCTTCCCTCCCCTACACATGTCCAGACCACGCCCTCTCACTCGCCCATCCGTACCTACACTTCTTAACCCATAGGCAAACTAATGCACAAACGTAGTTGCTGAATCATACCCGCGCTGCTAGACTACGTATCACAAACACCCCAGCAAACCACAACATCTGTACCACCCACGCCGCCTCCCATCATTGGTCCGTACGTATGCCTAGCTTTTATGTAAGAACATAGATAGAGATCTCCTCCGCCCGGCGGACATGGTCCGGCCATCGCTGCAGCGTAACATCTCAAGTCTTGGAGCGCAACGGTAAGCAGGCAAGCAGGCAGGATATGTTACGGATCGGCGGTGTATGCCTTAGTAGAAAGACTTGCCCTCATAAAACGGGCGGGACAGCAGTGATATACCAAGGAAAGGGAACTTTTAATTACGGCATCGAACGCAGGCTGCGGCCTTGCCTACCTGCCTGCCTGCAGTCTATGTATGTTGACACCCGCCGCTGAACGACTATAGCGTACTCGAATCGGGCGGGACCAAATTCAATATCACGTAGAACGATGAAATTGCAGAACACGATACGGTATAACAATATTAACATAGTTCCGCTGTTAAAAGGGGTATGTATGTTATTTACAGACACTTCTCTCCCCACCCAGAAAAAACGCCGGTACGCCAGTTCCTAAACCCTTTGCATACTACCGAATCCTGCACTCTCGCCTGGTCATGTCGTAGAAGCCATCAAAGACCAACTATGATGATACCCTCTAAGGGTATTTCATTGTGTCCGCCAAGAGAAACAGTTTGGCTACCCCTTATTCTTATACAAGTCCTCTCGTATTGTCGGATAGGGTCGACGAACGCCGTTGCTACATCAAAAGCATTGTCCTGTTGAGAATAACCCTGCCTTACACCCTAATATGCTGGTTTCATCTGCCATAGTGCCGATTTTGCCCGTTCGCGCACGTCAAGTTCGTCGTCCCCCTCCTTAAGGGCTTCGAGCTTTGTCAAGAATCCCAAATTCTTCAACTCCTGCGCCCGCTGTGAGCACCCAGGACCATCACTAGCATTATCCTGCCATGTCAAATTGTTGATAAGGTGACATAGGGCAACCCGCACTTCCCTATCTTTGCTCGTAAACAGCTTCTGAAGCTGCCTGAGTAGTTCTGTCTGAGACACTACTAGCTGCCGGTGACGAGGTATACTGGCTGCGATGTGAACCAATATGTATATGACTGATACGATAATTTTGGGTTTGGGAGGCGCAATACGCGTCTCGCTGCCTGTACGTTCTCGCCGGCTGAATGGATGAAAAACCTTGGTTCGTAGTTTGGAGGCGAGAATCTCGAACAAACGATCTTGTCCTAATGTGCTAAATAAAAAGTCGATCATCTCGGTCGTGTCGTTTAGTGAGTCAGCACTACTGCTTGAATGACCTCCACCGATCAAATTTCGAATAAAATCAAGACCCTGCTCCTGAATTGCTTCGTCATCCCCTCTAGCTTTTCGAACAGGGTCCAAATCATTCTCTCGGAGTGCCTCTAATTGTTCCTCTGCGAGCTGTAATATGCGGATATCCGTATGGGCCAAAGTTGCTGGTGACTTGTAGAAGGAAGTTGAAAGCCAGGCGCGAGATTGGTTGTCGGCAAGGCCCATATCTATATCTTCATCCATGCCATTTAGAGTACTTTGAGCCGCCTCCCTATCGCCCCGCGTCTTCGCCGAGTAAAGCGCCTCGTCTTCAGTATCATCGCATATGAGATGGACTAACCATCCGGATTCGAGCTCTTCTACACATCTTTTTTTGAGATCGATACTTGCTGAATGGACCAGATGTTTGAGCGCCCAGAGAGCATTTAGTCGTAAAGTTGCATTATGCGAATGTGCATGCTCACATAATGCCTTCACGATTCCAGCATCGACAAGAGACTGTAATAATATAGTTAATATTGATTGAATAGTTTTATTGGGGACGATAGCACCTACTTCTCTCATCGGGCTGAAATCCGTAACCAGGTTACAGGCTGATGCTGCGGCAGCAACCCGCACCTCGACATCATGATGTCGTAGTAGCTGCAGTAAAGGTGTGGATACATCGTGATCGACTAAAGCCGTTCTAAGGATATTCACCGAACGAGAGAGTATACGAACCGCATAACAAGCTGTCAGGACAACTGAAACTGGGTTATCAGGAGTTGGTGTTAGGGAATCGACAATAAGATGAACCACTTCGTGCTCGACTATCGCCTTACGATACTCGTCCTTGAAGGTTGCTAGCGCCCCAATGGCTTTTAGTGCGTTCTCCCTCACCTTGACTCGATGGACTAAAAAGCGGTGCTGTCCCTCCTCTCCCAAACAACGGTCGGGAGATATTTCACCTGTCGAGTCCGAGTCCTTCTTACTGAACGCCCAAGACCACGATTTGGCAAGCGGAGGAGGGGCGTCGTAGCTTTCTTTTAATAACTTGCACACCGTTTTCACTGCGTTGCAGTCGAAGGCTGCCTTCTGTAACGGCTCGCTATCAGTGATCAGACGGGCTAATACGGCAGGCGTTTCTTCTACAACGTTAAGCATCGAGGCAGTATCCCGGCTGCAACTGCTGTAATCGATATCTTTTATTTTAGTGTTGACCTCGTCGAGCATACCTAGAAGAACAGGTACAACGAGTAGGCCTAAGCTTGGTTCTCTAGTCGTATAAGAAAATCCGGCTTTGAATAGAGATGTTAAGATAGAAGTAGCCATTAACATTTCGCTACCGCTCTGGGACCTAATTAAGCTAATAAGCCAAGGTATCAAAGGGCTCTCGGCTTTTTCACTCTCGATATCGCCCTTAGAAGTTGAAGCATCCTCGGATGAGCTTCGCGAGGAAGCAGTACTTTGAAACTTGGATGTCGATTGTCCGCCATGACCTAAATCTTCACGATGTGTGCTTAATGGAATTGGAGTATGGCTAGGGACATCGGGTAGAATTTGAGGAAGAAGTAGGTCCATAGGCTCAAAATCCATATGTTTTGTTGGCGGCCGGTGCACCCCAGGGAGCTCCATCGGTCCTAAGGGTAATATCGGAGATTTAGTTGGATCAATATTAGCAACCGGAAAGATTGCTAGGATCGAGGGAGAGTAAAGTAACTTGCAAGCGCGGAACCGAGAATCGCCAATGATCGAAGCGATCGCACCCAGCACTCCATCTAGGCTACTGGCAGGGGTAGCAGGTGCTGGTATGAAGTCTTCTAAGCCCTCAATGCGAGCAATGATCTCGGCCCCCGGAAAGACTTGCCCTTCGGCCACCGCAAAGCTTGCCAGTTTCGTAGCAAGTACATCGAGGATTCCCTTGCTAAGCAATGCTAACTGGTGGCGTTCGTCACGGCAGAGGTCCTTGATTAAATGGGTAACTATGGATATTTGCGCCTCGCTATCAAAGGTCGTGGTCCTCTGTGAGAGTATATGGTATAGAGAATCTAGCGGGCCATCGGCGAATAATATTTCGGCAAGGGACGTGGAGGTGATCGGGGAGGTCGACGGAGCATATGCTGCTGCTGCTGCTATGTCTCGTACGACCCGAAGAGCAGCTAGGACAATCTGGGGATGTCCATTCTGGAGACAGGAACTATTTAAGACAGCTGGTAGCGCACCGATTGCGTGTAGTGGTGAGAGAAAGGCTGGTCCAGCTGTGGGATAAGAAGTGTAAGCCCAAAAATTGCAAGAAGAGGCGAGAGTAATCACTTTGAGAAGGCATACCATTTGCAAAGCTAGCAAGAAGCTGTAAAGCTCGTAGCTTTGCGCTATCTTCATCCGTAAAAGCCGCCAAGGTCAAGAAAGGCGGCCGGGTATCTTCATTCGCCTTGAGGGTACTAGGGATTATGACTCTAACAATGGGACGGAGAACACCATGTCGAACCCAATCCTCTTTCTTCTGGATATGGCCGATCACCTCATTCTTCAAGTATCGTAGAGCGGTGATCTGCTCCGGCGCAGTTGCATTGAGCTTTGCCAATACCGATTGAGGATCAAGCGCCATCGATGATTAATATCTTGTATTAAGTTCCTTATTAAAGTAAAGTAGAAAAAGCGAGGATTTAGCTCGCACTATTGTGATATTCTTTAACACAACGAGATTATCAACGACGAGCTGTTGTCGCGAACGTCGGACGTGTACATGAGATGCATAAAGATGGGCATGACATGGGAGGCGGCTAAGCCGATAGGTTGCATCACTAGTACTATCCATATGTACTTGCTTATATAATCTGCAAGGATGAAAAGTGGCTAACCGCTTAGCCAACAGTTCCTGAATTCTTCAGCTTGTGCCACTTGTGGCATAGCAGGGCGGTCAGCTTACCTTAAAAGAACAACGGCCATTTTCCACAGGTCCGGCAAGTCGGCTCCAGTCCACAACACTAATCGTTAAAAATTAGCAATACTTTGCGTCGTTGCAAGGTATATCCTGGTCAAAGCTTCTTACTTACAAACACCAAAATCACGTCATCGGTATAGCCGTTGAAAAGTCGGTTTACTATTACACTTCTAGTGTAATGTCTAATACGGACATATTTTAATCAGTGAGCATACGATGAAATTAAAGATGCGAATTCAACACTTAGAATTATATAGTTGTATGATTAGGTGCTTTTTTGTTATGATTAGGGGTTTCTATAAGTATATTATAGTTGATAAAAGTATTAATTGTTCGTAACTTTCAATAATTTGGTTTTACCTCTGAGTAATAATTGGGCAAATCCTGGTAAATAAAAACTTTACTAAATCAATATCATATATCTTTCTAATAGGCCTTTGAATTCTGTCGCTAGATATTTCTATAAGTGTAAGAGTAAGTAACACCTGAAGCTTTTGTATTACTCCCCGTGATGAATATTCAAGTTCAAGTTCGCCAAGAAGAACGGGTACCTTGCCGGAGTGTTACACACGTTTCCTATTTGCCCCTCCTTAGGATTTTCTTTGCATGTAGGTATATATTCCGTACATGTCTAATCTATGTAAATCTGCTCCTAAGCCCGTTAGTTGTACCTAGTCTACTAGCCTAACTAAGTTACCAATAAGAATGAATAGCAATCTATCATTCCCTTTTTTTCTGGTTGTAAATAGTATATATACGGCTTAAGCTACTAATTCATGTGTATACATGTCTTGTATTGAACCAAGTAAAACGTGCATATGGATGCATCCATAAGAAGTCCTAATTCTCTTAACCACATAGGGCACCGATGAAAAAAAGCCAAATTTTTGGCCCTACTACATAATGTAGGTACCTAACCCAGACTTACCCAGACTTAGATCTTAGTCCGGGCTAGTTCAATATTCTAAAAAACTAATGGCCGAATGGGAAGATTTTAAAGAAAGGCCTTAGGTAAGAATCTGGATGAGACCGATAGGTGGGTCTCCACATGGTCTTTCTTGCCCGAACAAATCAACGCAGCACTTTTGAAATTTGCCCTTCTCGTACTCTGGTGCGTTCTCGGCCTACTACCAACCCTCAATCCCTCAATCATGAGTTCGAGCATGTCCCACCACCGCCTTTTACATAAAGTAGAATTCTCGTCAACTCTTTGGCGGATCATCACCTAATGAATATCTTGTTGTATAGGTAAAAAATAGACTATCTACCTACGAGTAAAGCGAATAATTCTATAATATCGCCGTTCCTATGAACGTCCGGATCCGTTGCGGCCCAAACTGCGATTCTTGCGACCTTTGTGACCCCTGCGACTGTACGATCAACGCGGCTGAGACATTATGACGCCTTGGAAAACATGTTAACTTCGTCACCATCAATACCAGGAGCTACAAGCGCATCGCCTAGAACCTTTCACTATGCAACCTCTCGCTCTCCCCAACAATCGCCTAAGATAACGGTACCCTTACCGCGCCGCCAGTCCAGACACTCTCTATCGCGCACCTCGCCTTCGACACCACTACGATCCCCGTCGCTCTCTAAGCCGAAACAATATGTTGGAGTTGATGCAGCTACGCAGTACTCACCTATGGAGCCATTCGACCCTACGGTCCCGTTACGGTCCGCCCAAGTATCGGGACCGAGGATATCGAGCTCCACAGCCTCAGCGATAACGAAGACGACGAGCCAGCCCAAACAGCAATCTACCGCACCAGATAATACCCCCGGGCCAAGTTCGACACCGAATAGCTCTTCCAAAATCGAATTCCAAACACTTTCTCCCAATAAGAGACGCAAGTCGCAAGATCCCATGACGATCGACCCGTCTTCATCGGTGGTAGCATTAAGCCAGCCGAGCTCCCCAAAACGATCAAAACCTAACGAATGCCCTCCCAAGGTACTGCCTCTGAGATACGAATTATGTGATAGGGAGGACATGGTAGTCCTAATCTCAAATATGCTTGGGGAGCTTATCGAGACAAATGACTCGATAGCCATGAAAAGTGGCCATCTTACAAGGTTTCATTCTAGGTACGCCGTTACCAGTTCCCATTGTGGTGTGATAGCACTAACCAGGTATACAGGACGGCACCGGGTATATCAGTATTAGATTATTTACAGCGACTTGCGAAACACGCCACTCTTACCCCTCCTCTTCTCCTATCTATGGTATCCTATATTGACCGCCTATGCGAGGATTACCCCGACTTTACTATTAATACCTTGACAGTACACCGGTTCCTCATTACCGCCGCCACGGTTGCGGGCAAGGGCTTATCAGATTCGTTTTGGAATAATTCGTTCTATGCACGCGTGGGGGGCGTGAAGGTGGCAGAATTAAAGCTACTGGAACTCGATTTTCTAACTCGAGTGGACTGGAGGATAGTCCCAAAACCCGAGTTACTAGAGGCCTACTATAAAGGCCTGGTTGCGCGTTGTGCGGGGTATGTCTTGGAAGGGGACCAGTCATCTTCATCTGATGATGGCGACGAATCCGAAGAGGCAGGAACTTAGTAGATTATGAATAAAAGTGAGATATGGGAGAGGTGGAATATGAAAGACAGACAGACGATGGGGTAGTTCCTGCGGTGAGGTTAAGTAGGTTGCTTGGGACGCTACACGAAGAATATTCGACCTTGGAGTTTTTCGGGGACATGGGTTGCATTTGACGCCAAGTGCGCGGTGAATGGGTTAGTACGATTATTTGGATATTAGACGGAACCATATTAGCACCGTCGAGCAGAACCAAGGACATACCCAGCTATTGCAATGTTCATAGCGAAAGGAAGAAGAAACTTGAAAGGATATCAAACCCAAGGTAGCGTATGGGTTTTACGGTGTCGCGCCCATAGTTTAACAGCTAACTAGTTAATGAAATGAAATATATCTTTTTATTTGGTTTTTGGTTTTTTTCACTATTTAAGATGTTAAGTTGGTCTTAACTTAGATTTTATAATTCGCCCGAGCGCGATGTAACTCGCATATGTATAATTGTTGAGGCTCAATCAGCCTTATTGTTGATCGGAGCAGGTACGAAAATAGTAGGGAACAAAGGTACCCGAGTCGAAGTCGATTGTCTTAGCAAGGCTTAAAAAAATCGGGGAATCAATGGCCGATAATTACGAATACCTTACCTAGAGGTACGAACAACATTCTGGACCAATACCTACAACCCCTCCAATTCATTAACAACTCTACGACATCATATACTACCCGACTTACCTAGCTTCACCAAAATACGAAATATAGCTCATGAAGATCTCATCGGTCTTCTCTGGCCTTGCGGCTCTAGCCCTAGCCAGCTCAGCCAGCGCCGCCGACCGAATAGCAGCGATATACATCCAACCCGTATCGCAATCACCAGCGGCACCCGCACCTCTCGCCTCGATCCGGTACAACTCCGCCGCTGCCGCACCCGAAGCAGAAATTATATCGTACGAAGCACCTGAACTACCAGACGAGACTCAGCTGGTGCGCATCGGGGTGTACAACCCGGCGACGAAGCGGTGGGAGTCATCGACCTCGGTTGCATCCGTGGATAACTTCGGCAAGGGATACTCGCCTACGCTGATATTGTCCGTGGACCAGAAGGGCGATGCGTTTGGGGCGGCGCTGAAGGGCGTTAGGATTGATGCTGGACAGACGCGCGATTTTGGCCCGCAGGCTTTGTTGCTTGTTACGGAGCCCGGGAAGCAGCCTGAGTTGAATAAGCCGATTGTGCTTTCGCCGGAGGGCAAGACGGTGGTGCCGGAGGAGAAGTCGTTCTTCCAGAAGTGAGTATTATGACCTTGGTCTATTGTCTGGTTGTTGGGTTTGCTGGTATTCGTTTGCTAACTATGTTATAGGTACTGGTGGTTGATAGGTATTGTGGTCATGATGACATTGACTGGAGGAGGTGGTGAACAGGGCAAATGATAGATTAGACAAATTGCATACGAGTTTAATTGAGGACATACTAATCTTTTCTACATATTCGAACTATATTATCTCTTTTTATATCACCTCATCCGGCTCTCCTGATTCTACCGTGATCAAAGCTAGCACTACTTCCATACCTTGGGTACCTATATCAACTCTACAAAGCCAATGTTGTACCATTTAAACGTATCAATATGCTAAACACATATGCATACACACAATTTCACAAGATACTGCTTCAAACACATATTAATACATGTAACATGGTTACTTCTAAACAGACAAATACGTCTACCTATACTGTAGTGTAGCATCACTTAGGCGGTAACCACGTTCCCAGTTCCAACTTCCCATCTTCCAAAAAAAGCAATCAGCCAATCGCGTTAACATAATTGGGAACCACTACCAAAAACGCATTAGCTTGCCTTCCGATCCTGGATTGAGTTCTAGAGCGCAGCTGAAGTTTGCACCTAGCAACCTGCACTTGCATGTAGTAGCAACCAATAAACATAAACCGCAGGTACCTTTTTCTTTCTCGGCGGTCTACCGTCTACTTTTTCCACCTTTTCCAACTCACCATCTGAATCCGATTGCGCTACTCTCGCGACTTCGTTTTCGCCATTGTTTAATCTCACCCACCGTTTTTTCATCTTACCACCAATACTCTTACACACTCATATACGTTATTCCCCCAAACTCAAAGTCACGATGGCTAGCAATAACGGTGTTACCGTCCCCGGAGACTCTGCTGCCTCCAAGGCCGAAGAAATCCAGACTAAGGGCAAGGGTAAGGCGGCCGAGGAGCAGGCTGACACCACTATGGATGAGGACGAGGATGAAGAAGATGAAGAGGAAGAGGTACGTTTCCTAGCATTCTAATATTACCACTTTACATCCATATTAGCAATATTGAACCATGTTAACATTTTCCTAGGGTGAGGGCGGTAAGCTTTTCCTGTGACTAGCAGCATCCCTACTGCACATTCGTACTAACGCAACCTCATGTAGGTGATGACGACGCCGATGACAACCTAGACGAGATCGATCCTGGCAATATCGTAGAGGGCGGTCGACGTACCCGAGGTCGTGTTATCGACTGGGCCAAGGCAGCTCAAGACAACCCTGCCGAGGACGACGATGACGACGATGAGGATGACTACGAGCCCGCGGTCGAGGAGCATGACGGCGACAAGATGGACGAGGACTAAATTGGGCACACACACACCGCCCTGCGCCCCGCTTGTGCGCCAGCTAGTTGGATAGGGGAGTTCCAACTGGATTTGAGCGAGCTGCCTACCTGTCAATCAATCACAAATATCCTCACATATCGTCACTTGCACCCTCGGTGTCTGGTAGTCTCGTTGCCGGCATCTGTCTCTGCTTCTTTCGACATTCGACCTTGCAAAAACATAAATACACGCTCCAGACAGGAATTGAGTCAATAGTCGAATGCAACATGACTGTAGCTTAGATCTACCACTACTCCTGACTGATGTCCTGGTATAACCCCAGGACACGAATATGCGCATGAATACAAGAAAATGAGTATATTGCCACCTTCGAGATCTTCGTAACCATCACTACCACTACTGTTACTCAGATATCGGTGAACTGGCTAGGTAGTCATACGTGAAGCTAATAGTTTACCAATCCACCCGCCCCCATACTCTTGGTGAGACTAGTCCGTAGTTATGTATTCCTAGCTTAATTGGTAGCCGTGGGGATTATAGAAAATACGGTATACTAAGATAGTTGACTTAAACTACAATTGTTTTGTCGTTATAGCCTTGTTGCTAGGATATAGGCAACGATAGAGGAAAGTATACCTACTTCTTAATATACACACCTTTGCAGATTTCTCAGTTGTGTTGTATAGTAAGTAGTTCTCTCTGTATCCTAACTCCTACGATACATGTATACATAGAACCAACTCCGAACAGAGTATATTCGGTATATCCAGTAGCCTCGAAGCATTACGTAGTTATGTCTATAAAGCCTAATCAAGTAGATAGGTAGATATCTAGGTTACCTTGTGTATCATTCACTTAGAATATCTAGACTTTACAGTAACCACTCACATCTAGATCATTGCCACGAGTCGGTGTCATTAACAGACAAATTGCCTAATTATATATTCAATAGCCAATAGATTCATTGATTGACTCGTCTACTCATCTAATTGATTTACTATCCCGGTTTATATTTTTCTTCTCATTTCGTTCTTTGAAAATGATCTGTAAGATATGTATGTATGTATAACTCACCTTAGGTATATACGGCAAGACATCCCATCTCTATTTTTCTCTGCCGATCAATCCCTTTTCTAATCATCTAAATAGGTAGGTTGCTTTTAAGTCCTCGGGATCAATTAGAGATATGTACTTACCTATATACTACTACATACTACTTCCTTATACCCTTTTCAATATACTCATCTCGTAGCGATACTGACTAAGGGAATGAAATACTCAATAGCAGGAAGTAGAATATCCAACAGACTTCACGGCATTGTAGATGTCATCTATCCCATCCACGTATCAACTAAGTTTAACATCAAATAGTCACATATAAGTCTTAAAGATATCAATGTGTCTAATGCTATATTCATTAACGAAGTCCCTTCTAAATAAGTAGCACAACTAATAGTAACAAGTTCGATATATACCATAGATTTGCTTAACTATATGTCAACTCTAACATATATATACACCAGCCCCCAATTCGAAGTCCTTCCAGTCCAAACACCTCTCTTTTATCAAGACACATCTATGTCCCTAAACGCCGTTGCTCATGCATCGTAACGAAATCATGCCGCTTCGTCAAATTGCACCCTCAAGACCAACTAGGGTATCATCGCTTATACGCGTTCCCGAGACGCACTTTAATAAGTGTCCTAACTCCCCTATCCCACCTAAACTTTATATAAGTTTGATAACCATTCCCATTCCCTTCGTTTATACAGACCCGGCTTATAATAGCCTCGCCCCCGCCTTAGCATTTTGGGTAATACTTGATAGTGCCGTACTTCCGTTTCCAAAGCCCTCACTAAATATAACCTTATCCCACCAGAAGCGGCACTCATCCCGTAATCGCTCTGTCAAGTTACCTGTCTGTGCTGGGATGCCTTTGTTCTGGCGTCCGCGGACCCCCATGCGTTCGTCATTGCCCTCGCCAAACAGGGCCACTTTCCCTACGTTTTCCGCGTTATTAGTGGTTGTGGTGTCGTTAACGAACGGGCTGATAAACTTCGGCCACGAGACCCCAACCGTATCGTTCCTATGTGGCCCAGAATTTGGATCTCCTGTAACCGCAAACCGAGTCCAGAAGCCATTCATAGAATCCGCCATCGTCATGATGCCTGGATACTTGCTAACAACATCCATGTCGTGAGCTACGATAGGGGCTTCATCGCCATGGTCTGCACCACCGTGAGTGTTCGATCGAGCAGCGTAATGGTACGCATAGACGGGACCGGCATCAGCTGCCGTCGAGGCCAAATGTGCTGTCTGCAGCACAGGGCAGATATACGCGTAATGCCCGTACACGTCGTCCAACCTCCAAAACTGTGATCCAAAGCCAGCAGGTGGCTCAGTAATGTATAAACTCTCCCCGCGCGTGGTGCTAGGATCAGGGTATAAAGAATCGAGTGTTCCTAGGTCTGTCTTATTGAGAGACGGAACAATAGCAGACATCAGTGTGCGCATCGTTGACGAGTTGCTTGAGTGGGTTGGGATGAAATCAGCACCCTCGTCTGTGTTGTAACCCGTCATTATTGGGATACGTAGAACATGTCCCTTCTCCCAAGACTTAATAGGCAAGTCTGGTATTATACCTCCGGGCCCATCGATAGTAGGCTGGAAAGGCCAACGTATACTCGGATCCCAGCGCCGGTATACGTTGTGAGATGCAGAAACGACTTTGTCTAAGGGAAGAGCACGGAGCTCTTCGAAGATCTTATCGTCAGGAGTGTCATCCAATCCACAGTTCGTCAAGAATTCTTGGAATTGCTGTTCATGAAGCGGGTGGGTAGGGTTGAAGGTAGCGCGAGCAGTCGATCCACCGGATTCGAGGATTGCTTTTTGAAAAGGTGCGGGTGCCGATGTCAGCTTATTTGCAGAAGAGTACGATATTAAGTGATGTCCAATCTTAAGATGATGTTAGTATCAGTCATCACAAACCAAAGGTCACGAAGGCGAACACTTACCGAATGGGCACCAGCACTTAATCCCATTATCGTAACATTTTTCGGGTCACCGCCAACGTCAGCTATGTTGTCCTGTACCCATTTAAAAAGCGCCTGCTGGTCCTTCAGCCCTATATTCAGCAGACCTTCCTTGGCGGTTACTCCGCTCGGAAGGAAACCCAAGGCTCCAACCCGGTAGTTGAAGCTTATGCCAATAAGAGGGGTCTCAGACCATGACGCAAATGTCATCATGTTCCTCTCCTGCCCACTTCCAGAATTAAATCCGCCGCCATGAACATAGACCACTACCGGTAACTTCGTGCCATTGACGCCAAGCTTTGACATCTCGGCTTCAGCGGTCGCCGGGTCATCGCTAAAATGAGGTCTATAAATATTAAGGTTTAGGCAATCCTCGCCTTGGTTTTTTCCACCCGTACCCTGGGGGCAGACATGGCCGGAAGTGAGGGCACGTTGAACGTGGCTTGCCGTGTCATTTATTGGCTGCGGAGGTCTGAAGCGATTGTTGCCAGCTGTGGACTGCGCATATGGTATTCCGCGGAATGCTTCGATGCTGCGTGGAAGTTTCGAGCTTTGCGCCACAACCTCGCCAAGATAAGTCCCTTGATTTAGTTGGACCTGTGTTGTTTTCTATTGCATTGTTAGCTCTGGTGTAACAAAGAATATCGATATGGGATTCGGTAGGGTGTGAGAAATAGCAGGGTTAATTGAGATGCCAAGTTCGGCAATCTCGGCAGGCTTGATGGCTAAGCATAAGATGGGAATGTGGTGGGAGGATACAAAGGGATATTATTTGACAATCGCAACTCGTGCCAAGCCGATGGATTGTATAAAGAGGTAAGGCATTGTCTGTCTCCCTTTCTTACCTTGAATGCTTCCTTTAAGTGTCCACTATTGTCCAACCATAGGAGAACAGCGAGAAGAACGACAATGATAACAAAAAAGAAAGCGAGGAGGGCCTGGCGAGTCCGGCTTGTACGGATCTTAGTCGCTTGAATTCGCAACCACCGCGGTATTCTGGAACCCGAGGTCTTTTTGTTGTCCGGAACCTCAGGAATTATTGATTTGGAACTATCAGTGTCCCCAAACGAATGTTGGTCCATTGTTTCTTGGCCATGGAGAAGGTCGCGGTGGCTCGACGGATAAGAAGGGGGTTTAAGTGGCTCTATGGTAATAATAAAGACATTTTCCTTCTTGGGCTCTGTCATTTGACTACCTAAACTCGGGCAGTTCGGGTTCCTAAAGCTTGACCTTCTCTTCCCACAGGCTGCAGCTGCGGATAACTGTGCCGTCTATGACTATGATTATTGCCGGAGAGCGGATATCGAGGCGGAGCATAAAGGAACCAGTGGAACTTTAGTTGTCCAGGGGTCAAAAGCTTAATAGGTTGGCAGATTGGCGGTAATAAGAAGAAGGTATTTGTAAAAATGTGACTTGTCTGCTTGTACAATGTCTTGATGGAAAGTAAGGGCGGTTAATGACGAAAGAAGATTCACATCAGTAAATCAATTCAGATCAATCACATCTGTGGGAACAGATGAGTTTTTACGGGGCTATTTCAACATTATGTAGACCTGGGAGGCCCTTTGGTAAGGTGGTGATGGTTGTTATCTATTGTGAGTCTGGGCCTGCCTAGACTCGGACTGGGGTGAGAAACAAAGCTGCAGGACTTTCCCATTAGAAGTGAATGTTGTACAAATGGTGCCATTTTGGGTACTTTCAAATTCTATGCGCTGGCGGCATCATTTTTCGGTATCTCGGAGGTACATTCCTATGTAGGGCTAGAGTTTATTATGGTAACTACCTCCGAGGTACATATAGAATCGATAGTACTTTCTTTAGGTATTGTTCCATTATTCATCCATTGTCCATTAGCAATTGAATCTAAGGTTTCCCTCTTACAACCTTGATGCATACCATGTCGTATTACGAGATATATGTACCTACTTCCTAGGCATGTATTTTATGGCATCATGGGCTATTGGATCGGTTTCTTTTCTCCAGAGACATTAGTTACACCGTTACACGAGCCCCTTTGGTCCTACAATGCAAGAAACTTATATGACATACAAGGGGTAGGAAAAAGCCGTCTTTCTTACAAGTTTAAAAGCGTCACAATCGCAATTTTATGACTTCAAACCAAGAGCACAAACTCGAGACCGTTTGATACTAATAACCTATGATTATATCATTGTCGATCAAACAAGAATAGCATCATTGACGATATCAATTAAGCAATTGACGCGATGATCGACGGGGTCTAAACGTGCTTTCAAAGCCCCCACCGTTAACCCACCGTCGGATCACTTGGCAAAAAAGGGTGTCCCGTATTCCTGGGCTGCTAAGGCTTACTTGGGGCACTTGGGCTGTTCTAGATCATAGCTGGTTCCTGGCTATTCCATAGCCTACTCGGTCGAATGGTTGGATGCCAAGCGAAATTAAGCTTCTGAATCCTGACCAACGAGAGATCCTTCTTACCCTCCATCGCGCCCGTATTGATGATTACGTCGCACCAGCTGAAGAATCTCTATCTCTACAAATCTACATAACCGCGCAACTTCCTAAAATGGTTCCTTGTGAGACTGCAGCTACTGCTACTTCATCGCCATTGCTCCAAACCCTCGATATCTTTTGTGTCGTGGTGATATCTTCATCCGGATTACCCTCCACTAGAACTAAGTCGGCCCTAAGTCCCGGTGAGATTCGACCCCGATCTGGGAGATTAAAATGCTGCGCAGCCAACGACGTAGCCGCCCTCAAGGCTTCAACAGGTGATAATCCAGCACGCACGAGTAGCTCTAATTCGTGATGCAATGATTTCCCGGGCACAATCGTGACGATACCGCTATTATTCGCATCTGTACCGGCGAGGATGGGCACACCTGCGTTACGTATCGCCGTCACACTATCTAGTGAATATTGGAACTTCCTCCCCCTCAATCCCGACATGATCCAACTAATTCCCCACAAAATCCAACTACTGGTCATGGCTTCCATCATCGATAGCGTTGGTACCGTAATGGTCTTCTGGCTGATCATCTTACCAACGATGCTATCATCGAGCGCTTTGTCCATCGGCACGTGAGTTAGCACGTCGAAATCGGCTTGTAGCCCGCGTTCGAATGCCAAGTACTGAGCTGTATGAGCAACGGTCATTTTCCCGTGCTTCTTTGCCTCGACCTGAATTTTATTCAGAACAGCTTGCTCATGGCCTGGGAAATCAGCGATGATCTTGATGTAGTCGACCCCTTCATCAATTCGATTTTGCACAAACTTGGCTGCTTCGTCGGTGTTGTGGACTGCATTGTCGGGCGTGATACCACCTAGTTTGAATAGCTTACCATGTCTGGAGTTCTCCTATTGGCGACGGTAGGTTAGTAAATGCTACATCATCTAATGATAACGGCTCGGCGAGTGTAAGTGGAAATAAATCGCGAGCAAGCGACTTATACAAACCGCCCCCAAATCAACATGATTATACCACTAACCTCATATGCGGGGAGACTGGAGCTAAGCCACGTTGTTGGTGTCCTTGCCGCACGTAGCTTCACATATTTCTCTAGGGGAAAGCTCCTAGAAACGGAAATTATTAGTATACTTAGGCTATTATCCAATTCTTGTCTATATATCTCCTCCTACTTACGCCATATCGCAAACTGCCGTAACCCCGAAAGACGCACATGAAGCTAACTGCGCCTCGTCGCGGATATGCACGTGGCAGTCGATAAGGCCAGGCAGCAGCGTGCAGCCCGTGCCATCGACGACAACAGTCCCTGATGGATCCGGGTCGTCAGCAAGTGCGTCGTCGCCGATATGTGACCCCTCGATAACCACCGATTTAGGCCCCGCAACGGTCTCGCCGTCGAAGACACGGACGTGTTTGATGATAGTCACACCGCCCATTTTGAAGCGATGGGCTTGAGACAATATATTGTACCTGGACTAATATTGTGTAGTACACGTATCTGCTGACGGGAGAAGTTGATATATGGAACCTTGGATGTATGAGAGTGGGTATACGTATGCATACGGATATTTATACTCGGGTTTGGAGTCTCATACGAGTCCTAAATCCGGTCGGGATCGTCAACTAATAGCAGTAATCGGTCTGTAGTGACGTTTTCAATATTCCAATCACATATGACTTAGTGGAGGCTCTAATACATGAGCTAAAACGGAGAATAAGTTGCAGTCTATATTATTAGTTCTGATCTAGAAATTTACGTCAAGTCTGTACGCCGACATGACTGGAGACTTCTCTATTGCTAGCATCATCCTAGGGGCCAAGCTAGTTTCAAGCACGGGTTAAACATATCAACTACAATGCTAATAGCTCGACGTAATGGTCTTAATTAAAAACTCTGCATTATCTTCGATCAATGCCTTAAAGCTAATAATACAACTAGTTGAAAAAAGCCGACACCAACCTAGAAGTCAGCATCGACTACACCTATACACGAATGACTCTCTGGGTAACGCAATAACTAGCCCGCGACACTACCGCTGAACGCCGGGCTCAGTACTTTTAAGACCCCCCTAACGCACCATGCAAATACACGTATTAGTACACCTCAGTCCCTCCACTGATATACCCCTGAAACTCTGTAGAAACAATATTCCCCTGGCCAATCAATATACTGTCAATGACCTTTTCAAGCCATGACATCTCGCAGTGAGGCAATAGTCATTCTTTTTCTCGCTTGCTTCGCCGCCCACTCCCGACTCTGCTGTCGAGATCTTTCAGCGGCTTCTTCTCGTGCTAATTTAGCTAGTGCTTCCCGTTCTCGTCTCTCACGCTCTCGTTCTCCGGTCCAAGAGTTATCCCGCTTGTAAATTTCCTGACCACGTAGTCTCTGCTGTTGTATATCTTCTGTGGACACCGAACTATGCTGTCCACTGGTGCTGTCTACTGTAGAGCTTGAAACACCACGAGGCGGCTGCACTCCGGATGTTTGTGGTTGTAGTCCTCGGCCCCGTGATTGACATTGGTTGTTCGTCTTTGAAAGAGGAGAGCGTGATGTGGAGTTAGTAGCCGTGGATGCGCCTTTGTTCCGGCCGGGTGAATTCTGCTGAGTTGAATTTTCCACTAAGTGTACTTTACTTTGCCGAGCCCGGCTCGCGGCTGTATCGCGCGGAAAGGTACTAGGTGCGGCACCCGATCGAATTGGTCTGGCCTTGAACTCCCTTCTCTTACGTTCCTCTTCTTCCTGTGCTCGTAGCTGCGCCTCACGCTCTTCGCGCTTGCGACGAGAGATGGCTTCCCCCGGCAACTCAAAGTTAGGCCGTGTTGGAGCCTTAGCTGACTTGGCACGTCGAAGGCTTGACATAGTTGGTTTTGTGGCTTGTTCCGTGGCGGCTTGCGTCGATATACGGGCTTCCCGTTTCTCCTTCAATTTGCGAGCGATTTCGTCCCCGGGTAGTTCAAAGGTTGGAATAGTGGGCTTCTTGTTCGACTTGGGTGGTTGTCTTGGTGGTAGAAGACTTGCTATGCCTTTGAAGAATGACCTCTTCGATGGGGCCTGGGTTACAGGCTTATCCTCAATCTTTAATTTTGGGGGATCAAGGAATATCATAGATGCTGCCTTGCGAACAGTACGCTGGGGTTCGCTGGTCGAATTTATCCTTATAGAGGCAGGGCTACTCACCACCGGAGTACTTCGCTTCGGTTGTGGGGTTACAGACCTCGTAATTCCGGCGTTCGTCACGGACAGTAATGGAACTGTAGGTTTGTGCCCGGAACTTGGGTTTCTTGGAGATATAATTCGCTTGAAATGGGCTGCCTCATCAAATGCTTCCAATTGCTCTTCAAGTTCGTCAAGCGCCTCCACGGAATCCTCGATTCTAGCGATAGGTTGTGCGGGTGATCTCGGGACAATGACCTCGACATGTCTATCCTTGTCTCTAACTGAACTAGGTGAAGTAGGGGTAGATTGCCGGGTTCTATCCTCTGAGGGCAACTCTAGCTCCTTAACTGGTGCAAGGTGATTGCGACTGGATTCTGCGACAGCCATGTTTGGTCTTGCGGGCTGCTCGTCGTCTGTCAGAACTTCTTCCCCGGGAGCTAAAGGTGACACAAGAGCTATAAAACGGGCAAGAACATCAGCCTCGGTCGGACTCCCGCGCGGGGCGTTATCGTTAATAGGCAAGAGATTGAAGCCAAGATGTACTGCCTTGAAACTCGGCGCAGCGCTGGACTGTGTAGAATTTTCGATGGGTATTTTTGTAGAAATTATTCCTTCAAACCAGCCTTCGCGATGCTTCGCCAATTGTTCTTTGGCTGAGGGTATGCCTCTGCGTGCAATTTCTATTAAAGGGTGGTCTGAGAATTTCTCGATTGCTAGGAGCGTTAGGTTAGTATACCCCAACACAAGGCATTTTGATGCATGTTGCAGAAGTACGTACCTGAAGCAGGGAGTTCGAAGCGATATTGTGTCTCGTTAGAAATATTTGTAGATGCAGATGTGCATGAGCGCAGTGACTCGTCTTCAGGGACGGTTTCAAGGACCTCAAAGGTGTTGGCCGCAATTGCCGGCCTTGTTAGGCGACGTCGACTTTGATTCTTTGGGTTATCAGTGTTGCAAGTTTCCGTGTCTATTTGTAGTTTCTTCAGACATGTGGTAAGCGACTCGACTGCTGGGTTAGAACAGGCACTTGAGCGATTCTGGAGCTGAAAAGCGGAAAGATCACAAAGAATAGAGTTGTCAGATTTGAAGCTGTCATGAGAGGAGGGATCATCTTCATTGGAGCTCGTATCACTAAGGATCTCGACTCTCGAGGGAATAACTGCCATCTCGATTGGACGCGATTGGCCAATAATAGAGAAGTACCAAAAGTGAGGCAGTTGGGGGTGCACGGCTCAGGGGTCCCAAGCAAGGGTTTAATGAGACTTATTATTTGGTTCCGGGCCAGCGACCGAAAAGCACGGTGTCGCCGATGAGCAAAGTGTTGGCGGGGGAGTTAATGTCACATGTATCCCTTGTAGATTAGCAAAAAGCTATGGTTACCTTTTCTTTCCAATTGGGTAATGTGGGCGAATTAGATTGTTATGCTGTCTGGAGAATGATTGATGTTGTATGTAGAAGAGACGAATCCCATCTTTAGGATTTTGAACTGTAACCTCTTGCTGGTTGATACCTAAGACACAGCAGCAGCAGTACCTAACGCACTTACCCTCTGGTATAACTTACATAAGGTTGGGTAGAGGTAACTAGTCATTCAATTTTTACTGGAAACTTCAATCGTCACTCAATAGTTTAATATGAGCTAGTACTATTGACTTTCATCAAGGTGTAACTACCTACGTCAGATGCTTTTTTTCCTATAATAGTGGCTTACTAAAAAACGCGATCTGACGCGGATCCGCACGCGAACTTCCCCCACTAAATGTTTCCTCCGTGGGGATTCCCTGCAGGAGCTTGCATTGCATACTACTGCACCGGAGCCATAGCCGTTTAAACATTCTCAACTAAACCTAACTCCTGCAACTGTTGGCCCTATAAAAACAGACCACATCGAATACGGGATATATACTATGTATAAGTGCTCCAGTCAGAGACAATTAAATGACTACGCTGGATACCTAATAGAAAGTTCTATATGAATAGTATAGTTGGTGTGCTTACTCCTGACGCCATCTTAGGTGTCTGAAAATGTGTACCTATCGTCTAGCGGGGTGAATTAATCTCTTTAGCTATTTGACTTTATGAGATCGAGGATGAGTTATGTTCGCCCTCCATAATCGCTTCTGTCTGGGCTTGTAATGCCGGTGCATGTTCCGTCGGTATTCGCACTAGAGTCTGTGGTAGAGGTAAAGTATCGTCCTGGGCTTTAGATGTAGTTTCCTCTGCGTTTCGTGGACTGGGTATTTTGGCTACGAGATTGGTCAATAAGACGAAAATTTGCATGTTGCTCTATATGCGGATGTAAGAATACCTGATGCCATGTTGATAGCTCGTAGAACATTATGCCAGTTTCCTAACACCATCGCAATCGCTGTCACGCCTAGTTAGCCAACCACAAGGGCAAGATGCCTATCTGAGTGTGCGTACCTTCTGTCCCATCCGATAGAGTAGCAAGTTTTTGTTCGAGAGCTTCCATCTGATTTGCTACAGCTGCACTAAGTTCCCGCAGCTCCTTTAAATTCTCAAGCTCCGCCTTCTTCTCATTGACTCGGGCGAGAAGTGCGCTTGACTGCCCTGCAGACTGAGCACTGGGATTGCTCGAGGTAGAGGCTTGGCGTATATGGCTAGGTAGCGTGCGCGAAGAAAATGCCATCGTAATGAAGTTCAGCGGTCTCTCGGTTTTTAAATAAAATAATTATACCTGGATAGCTGAAGTCGTATATGTACCTGTCGGTGGTATTCTTTTTGAAATACGCAGCTTTTTACTATGTAGAACGCTTAGTTGCGACTTGCACGCACATTCGCATGTGTAAATGGTAAGTATTATCGATAAGTGGATAAGTGGTAGATTGGGTACATATGCCTTAGTGTGTGACGTGAATATGTGGATACTACCATAGCTGACCCCTGTATAAAATTGCTAGTCATAATTGTGCGTTGCTATACCCCATTCGGAAGTTTGTTGACATGCACTGTGGAGCCAGCTACCTTGCCAACTCATTTCCTCGACCAAAACTTTGATTTTCTTTCACCGCACCTCAAACAGCAACTATCGTCTTGCATACTGTTGCTTCTGACAAGTCTTGCCTTATTTGCTACCAAAAAAGACCCTCTTGCATAGTTACTAGACTTTCTAGACTATTGCTATAAAACTTCAATCATCTCGCATTCCTTCCGCCTCATGTCTTTACAATGGCACGACTCAACGAGCCAATGGTGTCAACAGACAGCGTAGAAACGCGTATGTCCCTAGCTAAAGTCTGCACATCACTGATGATATTAACTAATACCTTCTGTCATAGTACGCAGAAAGTTCCTGCGACAAAACAGAGATATCGCCCGAGTAAATTCAACTCAGTCCCTTAAAATACGTACTTTAGAGAATGAATGTGTTCGCCTATTATCCGAAAACCTTGATCTTCGAGGACAAATATTGCGACTCCAAACAGAGTTAGAAGATAGTAGAGCGCAACAGATTGCCAATCATGCCCTTGAGATCAAGGAGAAGATGGAAGCCCAACTAGCAGAATGGGGAACTATGCTTGCGAGTTTAGGGCACGAGCCCACCCCGAGAAGTCGATCACCAAGAGGACCGAAGAGAGTAAAACGCAGGTCAAGTATTGGACGTGTCAGTATGTCCGAATGGAGGAGGCGGGATACTGTAAGCTCGATGAAAGACTTAGAGGCTGCCGCCCTTCAAGAAGGCAGGTTGGCGCCGATTTGGGAAAATAAAACGTGCCCCCGTGAAACACTAAAGTGAGTTGTGCCCATGAGATTGTTGTAAGCAATGCATACTGATTTCGCAGCCGAGAGGAAATCCTCGCCTTACGCGCCGTCGTTGATGACAATGACGATTCCCCAGATCTTGGACCGCCGCCAGTATCACGCTTTGTCGACGAAGATCCTGTGAAGATTGATTTACCCCCAAGACATAGCCCTTCCAAGTCAGATTATGCGTCTCTAGAGAAGGCATCATCTGATCCTCAGCCTAAACAACAATCAACACCCTCCCCCAAGAAAGATGAAAGAGCAAACGAACCGGTCAGCAATATTCCTGAAGTTGATAATGAGCCGACGGAGCCGAGAGCGGTCGACACGAAAGAATCTCAGCCTACTACTCAAGTTGCTAAGGCCAACTTGAAGCGGAAGCTGAGAGAAGAGGATGAGAAGGAAAATCCCGTGATATCCAAGCCGCCGACTCGAGCTATTGAGGTTGCAAAGGATCGACCAGAGAAAGCGGCAAACGTCAAACCCCAGTCCACCAGCAGGCCGATCAAGCTTCCATCAAACCGAAGAGAGGTTCGAGATAAATCATCTAGCTCTGTAACTCAGAGAAGGCCACTGGGTGCCAAAAGCACGAACGAACATATCAAGTCGCCAAAAAAGACTGCGAAGCCTCCGACTTTAGAAGAGGTCACGAAGGAAGATATTAAGGGAAGGAAGATTATTCCAGTCGAGATACCGGTCCCCGAGCCTCAGCCGATATTTATCGCGCACGTGGAAATCGAGACCGAGACGCTTTCTTCGGAGCCCAACTTGGCCGTGCCTGATACTCCGGAGGCAACCCCGAGGGAGGAAGTAAGGGACACGCCCCCTCCTACTGATATTTCCTCAAGAGGGGAAACATCGCGAGGCAGCCGTAGAGCTAGGACAGCAGTTAGTTATGCTGAGCCAAATCTTCGGGATAAGATGAGGCGGCCTACGAAGCAGCTACTTGATGCTGTGTCAGGCGAAGGCAAGCATATACGACGAACTAGCCAGTCGAAGAAGGAAGAGTTTCCCTCGTCGAACCCTTCGTCAGTAGTTAAATCAGAAGAGAAGCTAGGATCGTGGAAGGATCTGCCTGCTGATCGCAACATGTCAAGAACGAACTTGGATGTTATGGCTAGTCCCCTAGCACGGAAAGGTTCGAAAGCGTCTTCGGACGACTTGACTATGAGTGTAGCAATGGATAAGAAGAAGCGGGCCGATGCTGAATCTTCATCTTATTCTAGCGGTGAAAGCAATACAACTAAGTCGGGCTCCCGAGCAGCTAGTCGCCGCGTAGACGAGATTGCAGCTCGGGAGGCTGAAGTAGCAAAAATATTTGAGGACGAGGCCGACGTTTACGATTTCCCTAGCTCGTCACCGAAAGACGGTTCAAAGCGTACGACAACAACGGAGGAGACTTCCAAGAGGAGGAATACCAAAGGATCTCGACAATCGAGGTCAAGGCGATTATCATCAGTAGCCCGTGAAGACTTGGAAATAGATGCAGAGAGCCAGAATCACGAGAAGGCACCGAGACACGCGGGATCCAGACGAGCAACCATGGCAGCTTCGAAAGAGACGAAGATGGATATAGAAAATGTAGGACATGATAGCTCCGTGGAAGGAGACAGCCTGAACAGCTCTTCTTCCGGAGATGTGGACGCCTCCGTACGGGACAGGGCCTCAATGAGGCGGAGGAGTATGATGTTATGAGAAAGAAATAAGCCCTGCTGCACTATGATGATGATTCGTACGGTCGTTTAAGCGAAGCTTTCTGCTTAGGGGGTTTGAATATCGATTAAGTAATCACAATTGAAGCGAGCGTTGAGACTCTCTTCATCTCATTTTTGTTTTCATGGCGTTTGGAGTGCAGACAGACAGACGGACTCAGTGTACTCAGGATACCAATCAAGTCTTTTTTCTCGATTAATTCCCAATGGTTGATTGTGATTATATGATTTATCGAGGCTAGTGGAATGGCCTGCTATTAGTTTTCATCGTGAGAATACATCTTTGATGGTTGGGGTATTCGTTGATCTAGATATCCATGCATTCCTTTTTAAAAATTACGATGACCCGCCTGTCGTTGGCTCTACAGGTTTTGTGTATGTTACTTTCTCTACGGCGACGTTTTCCACTCCGTTTTCATCTTTGCGGAGCTGGTAGACGTAGAGGGTGAGTGATATACCTTGGACCTGGATTTGATTGTTAGTAAGTAGTTGAAATGAGTGAGTAGCTGGTCTTGCTATCCCTGTGTCTGGGGTCCAGTGTAACTCACATCCATCAAGCAGAAACTAGGCACCATATCCTCTCCTTCTTTCGTCCACCCTGTCGTAAATGCCCCCGTAGCACTGCCCGGGTTCACGAAGAACTTGTCCATATACTCGAAGGCGTCGAAGCGGTGGGTTCCACCCCAACACAGCACATCCACGTCTAACTTATTAGCCTCGGCGAGTAGCAAGTCTGGTTCGGTCGATACTAGTGTAAATCCTTCGATGAAACCGATGCGCAGCGATCCGTGTGTTACGATTTGATACAGCGGTAGTGATGTCGCTTCCACGTCGAAGCGGCCCTTGACGATTTTCAGGTCCGGCGCAATCGAGCGTAGGTACTCGTACGTGTGCTTATCCGTCAGATTGCCTAGACATAGCGTCTGTCCGATCTTTCCCGGCGAAAGGAGTTTCTTAAACTATGAGGTTGAGAATGTTAGCAACGGCACCTGGGAGTGGAGGATGGGAGATAGAGCCGGCCGTCCGTCGCACCTTTTGCGGTATGTCGAGAGCGCGGTCGGGAATGTGGAGATCCCCGATCACTAGGATGAGGAAGGCCATTGGTTATGAATTGATAGAGGCCTAGAATCTCCTAGGTATACCGAGACTATTCGTTCTACGATCGAATCGAAAGGAAGCGACTTGGGTAGGTTAATCGTACAATGGAAATGTATACGTATGCGCAGGCAACACCGCTACTGTTTCGAAGTAGTACGGTTCGAGGACGGCTAAGCCGGGATATTCGCTAGAATTTCGTATATCTCTCTTTTACCACTGGAGACTTGAGGAAGATTATAGGAGCTGCATGCTCACATGTCAACTCGATATACGTAATTGGGTAGTGAAGCTATCCTCAAACCTGCGAGGCTGACGTTGAACTCTCAGGGTCGGGAGCTTTGCAGGCCCCGCAATTCAAGCTATTGGTACGTACCCCAGATTGAGACAAGTACAGTATCTTAGCGTTCGCACTGTTACAAGGAACCTTAAGCTTAATAAGATGAGATCAACTTCGGACGTAATTGCCGTTGCTATATCTAGTGTAAGTCGGGTCAACAAAATGCGGCCGAAGACGGAGGTTATGCACTTCTTAAAACGCTGAATTCGAAGCAGCTATCCAACCTATTTCATGTCGGGAAATAGTCGTGGCTTACTATATGCGATAAGACCTCCTAAACGGACATAGATTATACAGGTAGTGGGGGAGATTTACCTCTAAGAATTAGGCGATTAGCAAATAAAATTCTATAACTGCTTACAAGATTCCCCAATGCTTCTTCTCTTAACATTTCATACCTATAGTTTCTAGCTATAAGTGAATTGAATTTGCAATGCAATAACAATACATTTCTTTCTACAAATCCTGGAGCTCAAGTGGATATTATTTGAGATAATTTACTTCAGGAATTGATATAACTACGCATATAAAGTTCTAAGACAAGATCTATACGAGTCAAGCTCTGCTGAAACCGACCTACATTACAGTAGGTGGTAGGTTTTATAATAGGGGAGGAAAACTGGCTTACTCAGTAACAATACGGAAGGCCGCCGGAGCGGTGGTCGGCAACATGCCCCACCGTCTACTCAAGACAGCGACTTCTACTGCTTCTAACCCCGCAGCCCGTGTCTCGATTATATCACGACACTTATTAGGAGCTACTCAATCCCCTTCGAATCCCAGTTTTCCAAGTAATATTTCTCCTCCAGCTCAGAGTCGTAGCTTTTCTTCGTCATCTACCAAAATGTCATCTCAACCAGAACATCCGACTCTGCTCATCCCGGGTCCCATTGAGTTCGATGATGCTGTATTACAGTCCATGAGCCATTACAGGTTTGTACCAAATAGCTATGCGCGCGCGCTCTTATAGCGAGATACTTCTCTAACATATTACTACTAGTGAGTCGCATGTCGGACCGGGTTTCGTTGCTACGTTTGGCGAGGCATTGTCGATGCTACGTAAGCTCTTCCAGACTACCTCGCCATCTTCACAACCTTTTGTCATCTCGGGATCCGGTACGCTTGGTTGGGATTTAGTAGCAGCAAACCTCGTCGAACCTGGCGAAGATGTCCTAGTTCTCAGCTCCGGTTACTTTAGCGATGGTTTCGCCGATTGTCTTACAGTCTACGGTGCAAAGGTCGATCTTCTGAAAGCCCCCGTCGGCAGTCGGCCGCAATTGCCCGAAATCGAGCAGGCATTGAAGAGCAAAAAGTACAAGGTTATCACAGTAACACATGTCGATACATCGACAGGTGTGCTGAGCGAACTCCAGAAGCTTTCCGAGACGGTTCAGAGAGTGTCACCTGACACATTACTTATCGTGGATGGCGTGTGCAGTGTAGCTAGCGAAGAGATCGATTTCGATGCGTGGAAGCTAGACGGTGTAATAACAGCAAGCCAAAAGGCCATCGGCTGCCCTGCGGGCTTGTCCATTTCGATGTTCAGTGGTAAGGCGATCAACGCCTTCAAGGCGAGAAAGAGCCCACCGGCATCATACTTTGCTTCGATGAAGAACTGGACACCTAGTAAGACATAGGTCCTAAGATCCTAAATAGCAACAGCAGCTAGTGCTAACCCGTTGCGTAGTCATGCAAAATTACGAAGCAAAGAAGCCTTCGTACTTCGCAACTCCATCGCCGCAACTTATCCATGCGCTCCACACAGCACTAACCCAGATCCTTACCAAGCCCCTCGCCGAAAGGTTTGCTAGGCACCGAGAGGTATCTGACAAGATCAAGAATACCGTGGCAGAGCTGGGTTTAAAACAAGTCGCAGCCAACCCGGAAGACCAGGCCCACGGTATGACGGCCGTCTACCTACCCGAAAATGTTAAAGCCACCGATCTACTTCCAAAGCTTGCAAAGAGTGGCGTTGTCTTTGCCGGTGGTATCCATAAGGAAATCGCCGCCAAATATGTACGCTTCGGACACATGGGTGTTAGTGTGGTACGTTGACGATTTCTCTCGTAGCGATCGAAGATTATGACAGCTAATTGTAATTAGACCGATCCTGCGAGAACAGATATTGATAAGGCGATAGCTGCGCTGAAGAGTGGGCTTGCTGACTGCGGGTATCAAAAAGCGTAAAACTCCACATAAGCCGTCCGGGACCGTCTACATAGGAGGTTCGAGTCCGGTGCGCCAAGGTAATCCGTATTTCCCATGATAACCATTTTCGGAGAAAATGTTGGTCGGTTAGAGGACGGATATTATGTCGTATGCTCCAATTTAGGCCGCGTGATTAGGAAAAAAAAAAAAGAAAAAAGGACACAGTGTAACTATTCCATAAAGAAAGAAAGGGATAGACTAGAGGTTCCACTGCGCGGGGAATGGAAAGAAAAAAAATTCGGTTCAAGGAAGCATCGGAGATGGGCTTTGCTCTATTCGGTTGAATTGCATGATTTTTCTTCGGCCACGTCACATCCGTCTGCTTTATTCTCCGTCTTTCTCGCCTGGTCGTATAGGAGGAGCTGGAGCCTGTAATTTATCATCGGGAACTTACGTCAAGTTGCTGCAACATCAGCAGCGAAGCAGCGAAGTAGCGAGCCCGAAGAGCTAGTTTCCCCTATATGCTATTTTACAATCATAACCAACAAAAACATTTATGTTATAGAGCTTATGTTATTCTCGAATAGAGACAGTCTTCCTCTATCTAGAAACAATAAGATAAGAGTCGTATTTACAGTGAATTAGAAAGGTTTAACAATAAATCCCGGAGGCTCGGGAGTAGTCTTTAAAGGCCGGTACCGTTATCCCGGAACAATGGGTCCCGGTACGTAATATTAGGTACATTATTAAGCCCATAAAATAAGCAATTATCAGCGTTTCTTAAGCAACCGGGCAACTTAAAAGAACGACGTATATATTAGAAAACGCCTTAGTTACGCGCAGCAGCTAATAAATACGGGACGTTATCAATAAGGGTGGAGTGTGCACAGCAACAAAATATTTTCAGATACAAAGCAGCGGTGAGCTTTGTAAGTAACATTTCAATTCCCCTCCAAAGCCAAGCCGGACATTTTAGAATTGTACAAGTGTGCGCGCGCAATCGTCAGCATCCTATCTATTTTGCGTTCGCGTTGGTACGCAGGTTATATGTACTACTTATAACAACAACGACACAAGAGCTGTATTCACCTTTACAAGTCGACGTTTACAGTCCAGTCCAGTTCAGACCATCTATTATTCGTCCTTGTCCTTGTCCTGTTGCAAAGCAAGACTTGGCCTAACCTCGGGGACAAGATACCTACCTCTTACTAAAGCTTAATTGTTAAAATTGGAGGGGTAAATCAAATTGGGTTGATCGGTAGGTGTGATTATTTCGGAAGCCTTGCGTTCGCGGACCAATGACATAATTGGAATCGTTAACATTTGATTGGTTCCTACCGAGTTCAGTTGACACTGTTAACAACAAGTTTCAGCCGCTACCGCGCCTCAGGTACTTCATAACACTTACAAATTTACGTGTGAGAGAAAGTATAGGGTCACAAATAGTGGGCGCGTAAGGTCTACATGCTGATGCTCACCTAGGAAGCCTTGCTGCTACAACCTATAGGTACGTACATTTGCTAGCTAAGGCACATGTATCTATGAGCCAAGCTTCCCTAAACCCCCCCAACCCCACCAACAGAACTGTACGCAGCTGCCGCTATCATCTCAGAGACCCGTCACTTTTGGTGCCTCTTCGAATTCTACTGATACCTTTTTTTTACAACTCATCCGACAATTCCTTCCTCCTCTCTACATCTACCAAACTTTTCTTTACCACTGATACCTTTTTTAATCAGATCTCATTTCCAACCCTTGCACGTCGTCATTAAAGCTTTCATCGTCATTACCAACTGTCTTTATTCCGACACACAGTTAAAGCGAGGCGCGCAGCCTACCTCGTCTTTTCCCCGCCACCTCATTCGAGATGGCGCCCACGATACTAGAGCTGGACCTCATGGTCCAGTCTTTCTATGAAGGTCGCGGTGAACAGGTTAGCTTATCCTTTTAATATTTTATTAATCTCTCCCAAGTAAATCTATATCCTCGAAGCTAAGCTGCTAACACTTGCGTTTTCCCCACCTTCAGCAAAAAGCTGCCCAAACCGCGTTAAATCAGGTATGTGATGCGCCATACGCCTTACACGCTTATGTAAAAACTAATACGCATAATTTATAGTTCAAGGAAGATCCCGATGCATGGCTTCTCGTCGATAAGCTCCTCGCCGAGTCGAGGCACCCGCAGACAAAGTGTACGCCGCACTAGTCCCGCGATATGGAAGGTATTGGCACAGGGCTGACGGGTTGCAGATCTTGGACTTCAGATATTGGACAGCGTTATCATGACCAGATGGAAGGTTTTACCCCGAGAACAATGTTTAGGTTTGTCGCCTCATCTGGCTAGTAGTACTGGTATAGATCTCCCTAGCTAACCCGCGGCGCAGGAATTCGCAATTTTGTCGTGAACTTTATCCTCCAGGCATCTAGCACAGAAGAGTCGCTCAGGACTCAGCGCACTCTCTTGAACAAGCTGAACCTAGTTCTCGTCTCTATTCTAAAGCAAGAATGGCCTCACAACTGGCCAACCTTCATCAACGAGATCATCTCATCCTGCCGATCAAACCTATCCATCTGCGAGAACAACATGATCATTCTCCGCCTTCTCTCTGAAGAGGTTTTCGACTACTCGGCCGAACAGATGACTTCGGCTAAGACTAGAAACCTAAAAACTACCATGTGCAATGAGTTTTCACAGATCTTCCAGCTATGTCAGGAGATTCTTACTTCGGCGAATCAGGCAAGCTTGGTGAAGGCTACGTTAGAGACACTACTGCGTTTTTGCAACTGGATTCCGCTAGGATACATTTTCGAGACGCCACTTATCGAGACGCTACGCACGCGATTCCTAGAAGTTGCCGAATTCCGTAACGTCACTTTGCAAGTGCTTACTGAGATCGGTGGACTGGTGACTGGTGGACCGGGACAGCCGAACGCATATAGCGAACAATTAGTCAAGATGTTTGTCGATGTTCTCACGACTATTGCTAATATCGTTCCCTTGGATCTCGACCTGAAGAGCACATATCCTCAGAGTAATTCCAAGGATCAGGAGTTTCTCCAAGAATTGGCACTCTTCCTATGCAACTTCTTCGGCCAGCATGTTGATGTAGGTTTATCTCTAGAATAATAGTGATATCTGCTAACTTTACAATTAGCTTGTTGAGAATCTCCCTAACCGAGACTTCCTCACGCATGGTCACTTCTACCTCATTCGCATCTCACAGATCGAAGACCGCGAGATCTTCAAGATTTGTCTAGATTATTGGCTCAAACTAGTACAGGAGCTATATGACGAGATGCAAACCGCACCCCTCCAGGAGGCTAACCCCCTTATGATGGGAAACAGCTCCACTACTGGGGCTGTAAATCCGACCATATTGTTAAATTTCCCCTTGAGAATGCACAAGTATAAGGAGGTCCTATCAAATCTTCGAGTGGTTATGATCGAAAAGATGGTCCGACCTGAAGAAGTTCTTATCGTCGAAAACGACGAAGGTGAAATTGTGCGCGAGTTTGTCAAGGAGAGTGATACGGTGCAGCTCTACAAGACCATCCGAGAATGTCTCGTCTACTTGACTCATCTTGACGTCGTGGATACGGAAACAATCATGACTGAAAAACTACAGAAACAGGTTGACGGCACTGAGTGGTCATGGCACAACTGCAATGTTCTATGCTGGGCTATTGGATCGATTTCACTTGCCATGAACGAAGAGACCGAGAAGCGATTCCTTGTCACGGTTATCAAGGACCTCCTCGGGCTGACAGAAATGAAGCGCGGTAAAGATAACAAGGCTGTCGTAGCCAGTAATATCATGTACATTGTTGGGCAATACCCTCGCTTCTTAAAGGCCCATTGGAAATTCCTTAAGACGGTTGTCAATAAGCTTTTCGAATTCATGCACGAGTCGCACGAAGGTTTGTTACTCAATTTCGATATTTTAGAGCAATAACTAATTATATTACAGGTGTACAAGATATGGCATGCGATACGTTCATTAAGATCGCAAGACAATGCCGTCGACACTTCGTTGCCTTGCAGCCTAGCGAGAATGAACCATTTATCGAGGAGATTATCCGAAACCTGCAGCGTATTACATTTGATCTGACCCCCCAGCAAGTTCACACTTTCTACGAGGCTTGTGGATATATGGTTGCTGCCCAGGGTAACAAGCACCAGCAGGAACGATTGCTTGGAGAGCTCATGAATGCACCTAACGCAGCCTGGGACGAGATCATCAAAGCAGCTACTGAAAAACCTTCAGTTTTACAGGATGCGGACACAATTAAAATCATCGGGAACATTATGAAGACTAATGTGTCAGCTTGCTCTTCTATTGGGCCTTACTTCGGTCCGCAGATTGGTAGAATATACCTAGACATGCTACAAATGTACCGTGCTACTAGCCAGTTAATCTCAGAGGCTATCGCCCGTGATGGTAATTTTGCAATGCTCATTTCCCTCTCAGGAATACAAACTAACATCCAAAACAGGTGAAATTGCTCCTCGCATGCCCAAGGTCCGAGGACTGAGAACCATCAAGAAGGAAATTTTGAAGTTAATTGAGAGCTACGTTGACAAGGCAGAGGACCTTCCTGCTATCCGTCAGCAGATGGTACCGCAGCTTCTTGACTCCGTACTGGTAGATTACAACCGCAACGTCCCAGGAGCCCGAGATGCAGAGGTCCTGAAAGCTATGTCCACCATCATTACAAGACTTACGGTAAGAAGGTTTAAATACGTTAGTAGTTATGGAATATCGCTAACCATATATTAGGGTCTGATGGAAGACCAAGTACCAATCATTATGCAAAATGTTTTCGAGTGCACTCTTGAAATGATCAACAAGGACTTCTCAGAGTTCCCTGAGCACCGAGTGGAATTTTTCAACCTGCTCAGAGCTATCAACCTGCACTGCTTCCCTGCTCTCCTAAAGCTGGACAACAGACAGTTCAAGTTCGTCATCGACGCTTGCATGTGGGCTAGCAAGCACGATAATCGTGACGTTGAAAGCGCAGGACTTAACATGTGCCTAGAGCTTGTCACGAATATCGCGGACAAGACCGATGTGCAAACAGCCAATGCCTTCTTCCAGCAGTTCTTCATTGGTATCCTGCAGGATGTATTCTTCGTCTTGACAGATCCTGACCACAAAGCTGGGTTCAAGACGCAGTCTATGCTGCTAATGCGCATGTTCTACTTCGTACTCCCAGCAGACGGTTCCACACCCAAGATCCAGGGGCCTGTTTACACAGACCAGGCACCAGCCGGCACAAGCAATAAGGACTTCCTTACCGAATTTGTTGGCGGTCTTCTACGTAACGCATTTCCCAACCTCCAAATGTAAGTTGTCACCTTGTAATATCACGTGAATACCACAAGAGCTAACTAGGTCTCCAGTGCACAAATTGGTGCATTTATCGAGTGTCTCTACACCCTGAACGCGTCGTACGAGAAGTTCCGTCTCCAAGTCCGAGACTTCCTTATCTCCTTAAAGGAGTTTGCTGGTGACAATGCAGACCTCTTCGTCGTTGAGAAGGAGCAAGAGGCTCGCGAGAAACTGACAGCCGACCACGAGCGACGAGCCAAGGTGGGCGGCTTATTAAAACCGTCAGAGATCGAAGCGGAAGATGACGAGCTATGACTGCGCCAGGAGTTTAGAAATGAATTCGCTCCTCGCCATGATTCGAGCATAGTTGATATTCCCGGACGGACCTCGATTGACCATTTTGATGGATGGGACGTCTACGGGCTTTGAGAGCCTGGCGGCTACTCTCGAATAAGATGAAGGGGCCTTTACTTTATAACTTTTCGCCACGTCTCTTTCTAGTGCCTCTTCTCTATTCTCTTGTAAGTGATACCATGATAGAACTGCCGTGGTCGGCAACTGCAACTGCTGTTTGACGGCCACAGAGTTGCGCAGTCAGACGAGGTCAGTAGCCCAGCTGCGCTCCCATACTTGGGCATAGGAAAACGACGAAGGCATAATGGCCAGGGGATAAAGGAAAACAATGGTGAATCCCTCCGTGGTTAACTTGGCGAAAGGTGAACACAGAGAAAAAAAAAGGAGTGATGGTAAGGAGGAACGAATGCATATAATTTTGGTTTTACCAAGGACGTGACCACGGCACAGAGATATGCGGTCATTGCTGCTAGGAAAAGGGGCGGTCTAGTCGTTATGCTGCTGAGATCAGAGGCTTAAGGAGAGGAAAGGGGGATAGACTACTGTCCCGTTTATATCCCTGGATGCGATCTCTTCTCGTTGTTACCTTAGGTAGATAATCTTTGCTGAATGGATGGCATTAGTCCCAGATGAACGATACTACGGAAATGCGAATTTTATTGTTTTTTTTTTTAAAAAGTGTTATGGTATGACTTTGTGCTGCGTAAACATGGTATTTCCATCTCTGACTACCTAGGCAAGAATTATTGTGCAAGCAATGCTCTTTGTCTGCCTTGTGTAATGTATAGTCTTTGGATAGAGCTAGGGTAGCATGTCTAAATAAATGTATGTATTCTCCAGTGAGATATAACACTCTATCTAGAGTTAACAGAGAAATAGTCTAGACCCCCTTCAAGAAGTAATAGCAGGTGTCTTAAGAACTTATGCTTATTGGCGTAACTACCCATTGCTCCAGGGTATCATCCGTCTGGCTTTCACAGGGCTACATAAACAGCAGACCAGACGGAAGGCTTCCTATCAACTAAGCTAGCAGGGTCTACGTTAATTATATTAGCGAAAAACTTGAGCTCGTCTATTCATTCATTCATATGGCTGGATGGAAATCACCCGGTTTGATCTGTCAAATAGAACTCCCGCGGGAAGCGCGATAGGCGCCATGTGCCTAGAAGAGGCGATGGAGCGTAGCATAGAAGAGAGAGAGCTAAGGGGAAAAGCCGTAGGGCATACGAATAAGGTGGTAGTTGGGATTTAAGAGTCCCTATGAGAACATTCCCGAGGTTAACCAATCTCCCACGCTTGTTCAACTGTGGCGATTTCGAGACTTACAGTTCTCGAGAGTCTTCTTGGTCATAACCCGTCTTATTGCATCTGGTAGAATTAGGTAGGTAGTCTACCAGATCGTACATACATCCATCTATCCATCTACTCCTCTTTGCTTTTCTCGCCTCCCCGTCTCATCGCGATCCCCAGCACCGGGCGTGAGACTAGAGAAATCTGGTCTACTCGACAAACCCCAAAGGGTGCCCTTCGCAACCAAGTTTCCCCCATCTCATCCGTATACCCCCGGCGCTACAAGCTGGCTAACTAGTTAGCTAGCTAGCTAAGCTGGGCATCTATCGACGATGTAATGTAATGTCAGGCCTGGTAAGGTAAGGTAAGGTTGAAAGACAGACAGACAGACAAGACAGACAGACGGAGGCGAAGAACATGGGACCACGACGTAAGACCACGTATTTGACTTGACCCCCAGTCGTATCCATCGCCGCATATCGTATATATACGTGTCCGCGCGAAACACCCTGTCTATCTGTATGTGTGTATGTATGTCAGTCCCGTCGGGCAGCTCGCGCGGGAAAAAAAGGAAAAAAGAAAAAAAAGGGTAAAAGAGTATAGGCCACTCGTCTGCTTTCCGCCAACACATTAGTCTCCATTCCATTCTCCAATTCCCATTCCAATCCCGCCTCCCCTTTCCGCGAGCACCGAGGATAATAACATTGATTGAACTCAACTTAACCTAACATAACCTAACCTTAAGTACTAGTTAGATAGATAGATGATCGCTCACTCACTCTGGGCTGAAAGAAGCAAAAGAGCATATGGGATAGCCGCAGTCCGTCCCTATTGGTTCTCTATAAATACCTACCTACTCGACGCTTAAACAGCAAAATGGTTATTATATTTGCCATATATGTATATCACATAACTTATAACTATGTGCATAGTTAGTTAATTAGTTCGTATTGAACTATTGATTTGACCAAACTACCTATACCTAACAAGTAACTAACCAACCAACCAACCAACCCCAGCCTCTACGTACATCGGCGCCGCACCGGCAAGGGGAGCGAATAGCTAGCGCGCGTCTTATGTATTCCCGCCCGACGGGGGACCCGGCCGATTCCGACATGCGACTAAGGCGGGGGGAAGAAGATCGTTAAAGGAAAGTTGTGTTCCGACGTGAATGTGATCAATTGGATGAGGTAGTACTCTACTAATTACAATAGAATAGAATACCTAAGATAGCTTGGAATAGTTAATAGTTAATAGTTAATAGTTGATTCAAAATATCATAAAGTAGTTAGTTAATTAACCTAGTTAGGTAGTTAGTATCATATCTCTAGTTTAGTAAATTCTACATCCAGTCTAGAGAGAGAATCTTGAAAAGAACCATTGATAAAACAACCTTACTGATTGGTCTCTACATATGCGTTGTCTACCTAGGTATGTATATCACGCCCTTTATGCGGGGGAAGAGCCGTGTCCCGGCCGTTTACTCCACTCGAATTGGTCCTTATTAGGCCCAGTCAGCGAACCTATACACACACACATACACATACACATACACACTCGCGATATCTTCTACTATCTATTCATAACGGCTAGACACGTTTAATACTAGTTAAGCATAAGCGTAAGTCATAGTTACTTGGAATGAATTATTAAACCCACCGACCTAACTACCTAGTTACTAGTTACTAGCTACCTAAGACGCTTGGAAGAAGATCAATATTCTATACAGACATCATCAAGATATCAAGACATCACACATCATGGCCCCCTCAGCTATCACGGAGACCCTCTCAAGCACCTTGACCCTCAAAGGTGGAGATAAGCCAGCAGAGACAATCAAGCATGACGCCACCGAAGGCAAGGAGAAGACTCCTTTAGAAGCCATCTCGCACGGCATGGTGATGCCGGGTATTCCCACATTCCCAACCTACACAGCGCACAGGAGGCACATCCTTGTGCACATGTCTGCCACATTCCGCTTCTTTGCGCGATGCGGCTTCACCGAAGGACAGGCAGGGTAAGTTGGCTATCATTAACCATAATCATAATCATAACCATAACCCTTCCCTGTCGTATTCGAACCCGCAGTTCTTTTTTTTTTCATTTTTTTTTCAGGGATGAGTTCGAGTCCCTCTCCACTCCACTTAGGCTCTATCGTGACAGCCCAATCTCCAAAATCCCTTTCCCCTCGCATAGCTAGCTAGGTAGCTAGGTTAGCTGATCTCCATGCTCTCTCTCTAGACACATCTCAGTGCGAGATCCAGAGTTCCACGGCCTCATGTGGATGAACCCTCTAGGTCGACACTTCGGTATGTTGACGGCAGGCGACATGATATGTCTGGACATCGCGACCGGCAAGGTCGTCGGCGGCAACACGTCCCGGCCCGCCAACGCCGCAGGTTACCTGATCCACTCCGCCGTCCACAGGCGGCGTCCGAACGATATCCACGCCATGTAAGTGCTTTCTCTCTCTCTTTTTCTCTCACCCTTTCCTTCCGCAGGACCACGTGGATTCCTTTACCCAAAGGAGAAGAATAAGAAGAAAAATTATGCACGCCTAGACGCAGAAGTGAGGCGTCCTATCTATCTCCCCGGCAAGGTGAGATAAGAAAAGAAAAGGAAAGGAAAGGAAAACACACTAACCAATACTGAGAACAACAACCCCCGGCCGGGAAATCTCATCTAATCTCATCTCATATATCTCATATTCCATAAACGGAGAAAAAAAAAACAAAATAATTTGTTAGAACAAAAAATACCACCAAAAATGGAAAAGACGAAAAAAAAGAAAAGTGAGGCTAACCAATCTTTGCCCCAAAAAGCTGCCACGCACACTCCAACGCAGGCCGGGCCTGGAGCGTATTCGCTCGTCCCCTGGAAATGCTGAACCAAGGTACGTAGAAACAGGCCACACGACACAAGCCTTAACCTACCTCTTACCTCTTACCTCTTTTTTCCCGCCGACTCCACCAATCCACTCTCTTTCAACTCAGATCAGCCTATGTTTGTTTTAAACAACGCTGTCTACCAGGGCGGAAAAGAAAAGAATGGGGGTTAGCTCGCTGAGCGGAGGAGGAGCCCCCCATCCCATCCTATCCTATCCCATCCCCTGGTCCTCCCCACGCTCAACTCACTCTCACTCACTCACCGTAGGCCAAATCAGGCCACAACAATAACAATAATAATAATGTCCGCGTGCTAACTCCGCGCCTCCTGAACGCCCGCAGACGTATGTAATTTCTACGACGCGCACGCCGTGTACGCCCGGTACGGGGGCATCGTGTTCGCGGCCGAGGAAGGGGACCACATCGCGGCGGCGCTAGGCGACCGCAACAAAGGGGTCGTCCTCATGAACCACGGGCTACTAACCGTCGGCTCGACCGTCGACGAGGCCGGCTTCCTCTTCGGCCTGCTGGACCGCGCCTGCGCCATGCAGCTGCAGGTCGAGGCCGCCGCCGCCAACGGCATCCCCAAGAACGTCATCAGCGACGACGAGGCCGCCTACAACTTCAAGATGGCGAGCGAGCCCAACGCCCTGTACCGCGAGGCCCAGCCCGACATCGAGTACGAGCTCGAGGCCGCGGGCGGCGGCGACGACGCCCTGGCCAGGGGCTTCGAGAACTTGCGGGTGGCGCCGTAGAAGATGGTCTCTTCGGTCTGGAGCGCGCTGCGAGATCGTACGTTGAAAGAAAAACCAAAAAAAAAAAACCAAATCAAATCAAAGCTGCGACCCGCTGTCGGCGATAGAGATGCATCACACCTATCTATCTATCTATCTGCCGATATCTACATTGCAGCTGCGAACGGTGATAGGCGCGGACATGAGTTTGTGGCTCGCTAACCAACCATGAAAAAAAAGGTAGGGGGAGCAGGGGAACAGGTAAGGGGGGGAGGAGATAATAAATTTGAACAAGCTCGGCTAAGGGCAAGTAATCCATTCGATCCTTGACGCGATACGGCGCTTCGTGGGGGGAGGGTGGGAAAAGGGCACGTATGTATGTATGTAACTCTCACGGGGTGCAGAACGCATGATCCTACATAGCATAGGTAAGGTAGGTATGTAGCACGTACATACATACATACATACATACATAATATAACCTACCTACTTGAGCGTACACATGTGAACAACAACAACACCAAAAAAAAAAAAACTTGGAATCGAACCCCATGGTATGATCCGGACAGGGGGGAGAAGAAGGACAATACCTACATATGTATGTATGTATGTATGTATGTATGTATGTATGTATGTAATAATGCAAGGAAGACTTCACAAGAATTTTTCCTTGATTTGCTACTACGCTGCTGCTGTTGATGGATGGATGGTGGTGAAGTATGTACATAGGAAAAAAAAAAAAAAAAAAGATGTTGGCACCGTAAAAGGTCTAGCGCAAGAACGGGGAAGACGACGGGAACATCCCGCAAAATGTCATTCAGGGACGGCCCGCATTTTACGCAGGTTTTTTTTTTTCGAACAAGGGAAAAAAAAAACAAGGGTAATATGAGATGAACGTAAGCATCAAATCGCCCGATGGAGATCGAAAAGGCAAGCAAGTCATCGAAGGGGATGGCATGGGAGGGGGGCACACTATGAATCCTGCCCTGCATCGTACAGGCCGACCAGTCGGATAGGCCAGAACATGTGGTTAACTAGTTAGCTAAGTGTTAAATTCATCTATGTATGTATGTATGGATAGCCTCCTTCCTCTCTGGCCGAGATGAAAAAAAAAAGAGGAAAAAGGGAAGAAAAAAATCCCGGTTGTATTGTAGATCGAGTCACTTTGGGGGCCATTATTCTAATGCCGACGTCTCACTCACTAATGAGATATACCGGGGCAAGGCTCTCTCTCTCACCGAGTATGGTGTAGGGTGTAGGAGGTAGGGGGTAGGGCTACCCAGACATAATTTTTTTTTGTCCTCTGCGCAACAACCTCTTTTTACACATATTGAAAATGTGACGCCTTTACATATATACATAGATAACGGGCTTGCTTCGGGGATGCAACATGGTTCTTAGTTCTCGACCCTCGAAAATCTGCAATCTTGCCTGCAGTAATGCGATCCCGTAATAGCAACCAGAGATGCGGTCCCTGCAACGAACCATCCGGGCGAGATCCGCACCAAGATCAATACGACGAATGTGACCCCTAAAACGACCCTTAACATTTACCTGGTCATAATTCCTTTGCATACCTAAGGTTAAGTACCTACCTAGCATTAACTATCCAATTTGGAGGCTAACTTCACTTGTTGTAAAATCTTGCCATTTCGTCTTGAGAGTGAGACAAGGCTCGTGCGGTCACTTCCCCCTTTTAGAAATAAGCACATTATCTGAGCGCCTATCTGATTGCGTGCAGAAATTTCAAGCCCTGGATGTCGTACCTGACAGATCAACAAGCCTTTCCCGTGTGTTTAGTCTATGTATGGATGTAAGTATGTAGGTATGTATGTACCAATAGTACAGTACCAACGCTCATCTGTCGGTCCTCGGTCGTCCGTATGCATATTGACCGGATGACTACCCACATATGTAGTAAACAATGGCTTAAGAATCATCATGTTTGAAATCGTCGCACGGCAGTGATAAAACAGCCTCGATCGGCCTCAAGCAACGCAACGAAAAGCAACGCAAAGCAAAGCACATGGCTACTACTCAAAGCGAACCCCCGACATCCGACGACATAGTCTGAATACCTATTCCGTACACGATAAGCTGTTGGCTTCTGTAGTAATACTACCATACCGTTATGCCGAACGAGACGCTGTGGCTGCAGCCATCTCAAGCCATTTCTTATTTAGCGTAGTCCGAAATCGGGGCAGGGTGCGGCTCTAAGTGTCTATCCCGACGAGACACACACCTCATAGACACTGTAAGACTCGGATTTTGGCTGATTAGCCTCATTGATCCAGGTGTGCGTGTAAAGGATTTGGGTTTCGTCAGCATGGCGATGGAGCGTCATCATCATATACAGGCTCGGCACTGGGATTCGTAAGGCAATAAAATTTGCGTTCAAAGTTCCGTCGTCCGGATGAAGGAGTAAGCCATCATCTAGTTATGGTGTGTAATCGACATCAAATATGTCTCGCTGAAAGTCTATACGCGCTACAAACCCGCCCAAGAAAATCGTAGCGAGCGTAGATCAACGGAACCTACCAAATGAATCATTCCGACGTGAACTCATATTCAACCCAACCTCTCATTAGATTAGTATTCGATTCGAATACCAATATGCTTAGCGAGGTTTGCCATAAGACTACTGAGAACCATACGCCAACGAGTACTTAGGTAACAGGGTTCTCGTATGACGACGTAGACCAGCCATCAATCGAAGTGGAAAGAATTCCAGGCGTGGATCATCTGTCGTAGAACTGTAATATCCGTTTCTCCCTAGTTATGACAACTCAAAGTCCCAAGTAGCGATATATTTGTTTGGAAGTGCGTCAGTGACACTATGAATGCATTCCAAGGAGGAGATAAGCCAAGACGAAAACCCAACCCGTGGAATGGAGCAAACAAGCGGATAGAGCTTCTCGAAATTTCCCAATTGCGTGGGACTTGGATTTTAAGACTCGCTATCCAAGCAAGACTGACTCATCCTCTGTGGATCTAGCGGAGTCGTAGAGGATCCTCTTCGCTCCCAAAAACCAACTAATACTGATGATGATGTAAAGTATCGTGGTTCTGGACGGAGCCCAACATGTTTCGTACCGTGGCTCCCATCGCCGATACACAATGTATGACGGGTCACATAGGTAACCCAAGCGGAGAATTAATCACGATTTGAGACTGTTTACGTGGAACGACTAGGAACCGATCCGATTGAATATGCCCTTCTTCCTTTACCTAAGAAAGACTCTAAAGACTTGTGTATTACCCTCACGGCAACGGCTGTGACTAATGATGATGCTTGGGAGGGACTAGACCAGTATTAGGTGACGCCTCATCAGTCGAGTCGGGTGTATGAGAAACACAAGACATGTGTAAATAGTATCGGGACCTTCCGCCATTGGTACGGTTCAGGAACACATGCGACAAGATCGCGGAGTGCCCATCTTGTCTCCTCCAACGTTGTTCCGATGCAGGGAATGAAACAAGTTCCACGCTAGAAGAATCCGTAGAAGGAACACAAGCGAATGAGATGAGCCGACGAGAAACTAGCCCGGCATATTTTCAATTGTGTGCCGGAGCCCGGGACCCGCATGGCTTTTCGAAAGGAAGTTAGTCAAATGGAGAAAGCCCGCTGAAACGTGGCATAACAGAAACCCTAAGAAACGTGCCTTGGACGTGATAGTGCCAAGGTTTAAGGCAGAGAATGGAGGACCTGAACCCGTAAGACTAACGATTTGAAAACCCGGTCTCGGTGGGTTCTCCTAGACGTCCGGAAATCTCCATGGACTGACACGTCGACGACGTGGATTGGCCCCCCTCCGATAAAGGCACTTACTACGTACGGCTTCAGGAATCTTGGACTCGGTAGCCCGCGAAGAAACAGTGGGCTGGCTTTCTTCTCCTTATGCTACTGCTGCTGTGGGAACGCCCCCGCAACCTAGCACAAACCAACAGGCCCCATATGGATATGCACATGTCAGGTCGGACGGGCCACGGAAGACATTGCCGGGACGGGAAGGCAAGGGAAGTAAGAGGGAATCAAGATCTCACGAACACATACATCTCAAAATGGTAAGCTGGGTGAGTACGGGATACGCCTCAAGAGCTCCAATTGAAGATGACGGGTTCGGCTGGGTGGAAGACTGTATGTAACGCTAGAATCGGTTGTCCTTGTCCCTCGATACCGATACCGTAGCATTGAGATTAGAAAGAAGGAGAAAAAAAAAGATATATCAGTTTCCCAATTTTCATAGGCTCCATTGCACATCTCTAAGAAGAATTGGATGGAATGTTTCCAAGGTTGCCGTGCGTATCACCATTCGCGCTAACGGCACTTGGGATATTGACATGCCAGGAACATGGTTGGATAGACGTTAGGAAATATCCCGAGAAGCCAAGGGTGGTCCTTGCTCTAGCGAGTACCTCACATAAGAGCTGCAGAGAGGTACATATGTATATACATACCTACATACGGAAGTCGCCTTCAAAAGTTATGTCCATACCAAGCACCTGTCAGCCTTGGTCACAGCTGTCGAGCAGCTGTTTTTTAGCTTGATCCACTTGGCACTCCCAAACTATAAAGTACATTGAAATCTACCCTTTATTATATCAATCATTATACAGCCAAATATATTTCTAAAATATAACTCTTGGATAGATCATAAATATAAAAGCTTAGATTTATTATAGTATAAATTTTAATATTATAACTTATATATTTAAGGTGAAATAAATAGATTAAAATGGCATGTAAAAAGGACTACATCTACTAACACGGCTGACAGTTGTTGCCAAGATTTGCCAAGCTGACAGGGGCCGACCTATGGACAAAACTTTTGAAGGCGACTTCCGTACATACATTAGGTACATACATGAGGGTCCTGGTATCCATAGAGGCTAGCCTAAATGGTGAAACTTGGGAAAAGCCCGTCCCTGAGGTCCTTCTTTCAATATCGCACGGCCTTAGGCACTTTGCGAAATGTTAGGCGGAATAGTGCCATAACCAGCGAATGAAAGGGAGAGGTACC